GCCAACGAAGCAGACTCGCGTACACCATGGCCAACTGAGTGTTAACTGTAGAGCTTGTATAATGTCTTGTCTAAAATATCAATGCCATCTGTTGTGGGTCACATGCTCACTTCCACTGAACATACATGAGATAGAATACAAGATTAAGTCATAGATATGTGCACAAAATCCTGCACCATGTAACTATTATACAAGAAGAATGGATGGAATGTCCTGTACATATGACCAATTTGTGGAGACAATTGATGCTACAGATCACCAAAATATGCCCAAAAAAGTTCAGAAAATTTCACATATTTATGCACATTTTGCCCAAAATGTGGCAGATGCTAAGGGGGGACCTTCTAGATTTTCTTCTTTTTGGACTTATTTGCTCCTATGTGCTCCTATGTGCGGTAAAAGGCCCCAAAGTAGCTTTATCTGCATGGATAGTCCAGTTATTACTTGACATTTTCCCCCTTTATGATACTAATTTACAGAGGAGGAGTTTCCTGATGGTCGATATGCTTCGTGCGGGCGTTCATAGCGCCGCTTTTGAGTAGGGTGATCGTGCTCTGATTGTCGCAGTTCGTGACGATTGGCGCGGTTTTGCCGAATTCGAAGAATAGACGTCGCATCCAGATGAGTTCGCGGCATGCACTCGCGCTGGCGATAAGCTCGGCTTCCGTGGTCGAGAGGGCGAGTAACGTTTGCTTGCGGGAGCTCCAAGAGATCGCCGCGCCGTTGTACGTGAAAACCCATCCGGTAATCGAGTGCCGATGCGGCTGGCTTGCCCAGTCGGCATCGGAAAAGCAGGCGAGGCCGCCGCCGTCGTTGTCAGACCCGAACGTCAGGACGTAGTCTCGCGTACCGATGAGGTAGCGCAGGACTCGTTTTGCGGCGTTCCAGTGGGCGACGGCGGGGTCGGACATGAAGCGTGCGAGTGTCGATACCGCAAACATGATGTCGGGTCGGGTCGCGATGGCGGCGTACATGAGCGAGCCTATCAGGCGCGCGTACGGCCGTTTCTTCATCTCTTCGCGATCGGCGTCGGTAACGTCGACGAAGAGGTTGGCGTGCGGGTCGGCAGGTACGGTGAGCGGTGTAGCGTCGGCCATGCGGAATCGGTCGACGATGGTGTCGATATATGCGCCTTGGCCGATTGTCAACGTTCGCGCCCCGAGGTCTCGATGTATCTCGAGCCCCACGAACCAGCGCATTGCGCCCAGTCGCGTTATCGAATAGCGTTCACCAACGGCATCGATTAGTGCCGTCGTTTCGCGTTGGCCGCTGCCGATGATGGCGCAATCATCGACGTGTATCCCAAGGACGAGGGTCAGCCAGTCCTCGAAGACATAGAACACTGCGGGGTCACTCTCGCACCGAGTGAACCCAAGTTCATCAACCAAAAGCTCACATAAGGTGAGGTACCACTGACGCCCGGCCTGCTTCAGCCCGTACAGAGCTTTCTTCAATCGCAGGACCCAATTTTCCTTCCCTGGGACCTCGAATCCTGGCGGTTGGCGCATGTAGATGACGGTGTCGAGCTTGGAGTTGAGATATGCATTGTCGAAGTCGATAGAATCGATAACATAGCCGCGTTCAGCGGCAAACGCGAGGAGAAAACGAAGTGTGCTGAGGCGAATGGTCGGGGATGATGTCTCGGTGTAGTCGACACCGTGCACCTGCGTGTTGCCGCCAGCAACCACGCGCGACTTCAATTTTCGCACCTCATTCGTCTCGTCTCTCTTCTTCTTCAACACCCAGTGACTCCGCACAACATTGGCTCCCATCGGAGCCTCCATCGGGCCATCAAACACTTCATTGCGCTTGAGGGCATCAATCTTGGCTTGCATGGATGCACGCCATTCCTCGCTCTGAGGTCCTCGCAAAGCTTCGCGGGCGCTCGGTTCGTCGCCAGGCATTGCGGCAAAAGCATACACTGACTCGTCGTCTGTCAACGCAGCCATTAACCCGCGTTCCAGATGCTCTTCTTCGGCACTGGCGTCCGGCAACTTGGGCAGAATGCTGGGCGGGACGGCTTGCGCACCTCGTCCTCCAGCGGTCGCGATGTCGTTGCGGAGTGCCTGGGCCCATGGCGACGGCTTGCGTACTCGATCAGAGCAACGCAAAGCTGGTTCGTCAGGCTTAGATACTGACTCCGGGTTGGCGGGGGCGGTTTCAGGCTCGGCATCAGGCATCTCGGGCGCGTTGCGCTCGCTTACCGGCAGACTCTCCCCCTCGAGCGGTACGCGCACTGAAGAGTCTTCCTCTGCGAAGATGATGTTGCGCTCCACCGATATATGGGGGGTTCCCGGCCACCAAATACGATGACCCTTGCTCATCGTGTCGAATCCGATCCACCACGCCTCTTTGGACTTCGCGTCAAGCTTCGATGCGGCATCGATTTTGACCCAGACGCGTGCGCCGAACAACGGGAGCGTCGAGAGATCGGGCTTACGCCCGGTAGCCTTCTCGAATGGTGTGGAGCCCGGCGTGTTTTTCGTCGTCGTGCGGTTGCGGAGCCAGGCGGCGTGCATCACGGCTTCGCCCCAGAGGGCTTTTGGGAGATCAGCCTCGAGGCGCATGGCGCGGGCATGCTCGACGATCGTTCGGTTCAGGCGTTCGGCCTTTCCGTTTTGTGCCGGCGAGTCATGGACAGTCCGTCGCGCAACAGTACCCTGAGATTTGAGGTACGCAAGGAACTCGTTGCTTGAGTATTCGCCTCCACGGTCCGACTGATGCTCGCCTATAGCTACGACACCTCGGTGTTGCTTTGCCCATGCTTCATACGCACGGTAGACGGTGAAGACTTCGTCTTTCGACCGGAGGAGGACCAGTATGGTCTCGTCCGAGTAGTCGTCGATATGCGAGACATAGTACCGCTTTCCGCCGAAAGTTTCCACCGGACTTGGGCCCCAGACGTCGCTGTGGACCCGTTCTCCATATCGGGTCGCAGGAGGAGACCTACGCTCGGAGGGGAAAGGTGCTGCGGCATGCTTTCCTTCAATGCAAGACTCGCATAGTGGCATCTCCATGTCGGTCAGTTCCACTCCTTGGACGATGCCTTCAGTGACCATCCGCTTCAGTTCCGTGATGCCGGCGTGTCCCATGCGGTTGTGAAAATCGCGCAGTGTCATCTTCACGGTGGCGCTCATGGCCGTTTCGCCAGCTGGCCGTTTCGCCACCGGCTGGGCACCAATCGGGTACAAGCCGTTTCGCTCAGGCACGGTCATGACGAGCTCGCCCTTCGGGCTGAAGATTCGGCAGCCATGATTTTCGAAGTGAGCCTTAAATCCACCTCGCACGATGGCGCTAACCGAGACGAGTCCGATGGGCATCTCCTTTGCATACAGCACGTTCTGGAGGCTAATGCGCACAAGATCCTTGGGTCCTGGGAGCTCGATAGGGACAGTTCCTTCCCCTGTTGCGAAGAATTCGCGGCCATCGGCTGATGCGACAGGGATCGGCGTGATTGGCCTGAAAGTGCTGAACTTCGTCCTGTCGGGTTCGAAGTGGCGACTGGCTCCGGAATCAAGGATGCGGCTGACACTCGAGTTGGCCAGTCTCGCTTCCTCGACCTTGGCGAAGTCGGTCGCAACCGGGAATGCAAATTCGCGGATGACGGATGCAGAATCGGGTGCGGCTGCCGCGGCGGCAGTCGCGGAAGTTTCGTTTGTAGTCGCTGCCGCAGCAGTACTCTTGGGCTTGCCGCCTCCACTCTTCGCACTGTTTAGGATCTGCTTCCAGTTTGCCGGACGCTGTCCCTGTTTTCCTCCCCCTTTTGCCCAGCAGTCCTCGCGCCAGTGACCGACCTTTCCGCAGTTCGTGCAGGTGTCGCCAGACTTGTCACGTGCAGTGCCATTCTGACGCCGCTTCGGCTGGTTTGCACGGGCCGAATAGGCCTCCGAGGCTTTCTGACGCTTGTTCAGGCTCTCGTCGTCACGCGCGATGGATCTGATGACATTCGCTAGCTCGTGAGGCTTGAGGGATTTCTTGTTTGCGATGGATTCGGCAAGGAGAGTGCGGATGGTTTGTCGATATGATGTGGGGAGGAGGCGGATGACTGCGGCGATCTCATTTGGTTCGTCGAGGACTCCGCCGGCATTGGCGTATCTCGCCTTCAGCTCTTCCAACTGGTCGAGTGTCTCGCGCGGATCACCGCCATCGGCGGTAGTGAGCGCATTGATTTCGTCAAGGATGTTGATCTGGGATAGGGCGCCGGTATTCTCATGCTGTCCGCACAGAATCTTCCACGCCTCCGCGGCGCTCGCCGTGCTCACAATGCGAAGCTTCAGGCTCGCCGGTACGGTTTGGTAGAAGACCGTCTTGATTTTCTCATTCCGCTGATCCCACAAGTCGTAGGCATCATCGTACTCCTCCACAGCCTTATCGTACTTCGCGACGTCCTCCGATTTGGCCTTGTCGCCGGGTGGGGTAGGTTTGACAGGGGGTTTAGCACGGCCGTCAAGGAAGCGCAGTAATCCCTTGCTTCGGATGGCTGATGTGACTTCCGCCTTCCAGAGAACCCAGTTGCCGCCGTCGGCGCTGAGCTTCGGAAGCTTCGTGTAGGAGAAGTCATCGCGTGAGTCCATCGTATCTTGACTGGCCGCCAGGGCTCATAACCTAATGAAGGTGTACGAGGGACGGGACGGAGTGCGAATGGAACGAGCGGCTAGTGTAGATATAAGTCTCACTGCTCGGGTAAGGGAGCAAGTCGTATTCATGTACCTAGTGTAGATATAACTACGGTACATTAGCTTTCGGTACAGGGTATATAGACAAAAGAGGGACTCACGTCTCACTGCTCGGGTAAGGGAGCAAGTGAGACGTGCGCTCGCGAAAATGAGACGATTATCTGAAGACGGAAGTATAAGTTTTCGTGTCCGCATATGTCCATACCACGCGAAGGCGCGCGCACCGCGCGCGCAACGGCCGACACGGTGTCCGCTTGCATGCTCATCAACCATCTATCTCCAACAGGTTAGATGTACTATCACTGACCCAGAGTTCCTATCGGACCCCCAGTTCCTATTCCTACTTTTTCGTCTCTCCACCCCGCTACACCGTACATCAAATACTGAGAAAATGCCCGGATGATTGCCTTTAGTGTGCTCTATTGGGGCATACCAATATTATCTGGTGAAAATGCTGTAGATGGCCTCCGCACTCAGAAGGACCCAGAAATCCTATTTTCACACGCTACCCCATCTGGCGGAGGATATCATCAATGCACGTATTTCCGCTTGCAAGGCTATCATACCGCAAGATGAGATACATTTTTTTCCACGTCTGTCCATAAAATAAGCCAATGCGTTGAGTAGTGGTTGTGCAACAAGGCCAACACTCAGGAGGTCCGTGATGTTTGTCTGTCACTTGCCCCTGTCTCTTCGCTGTATCGACTACCGTTTATGGTAGGGCTGTGTAGTGACGCGACCGTGTCACCGATAGGAACTCTGGGTCCTCCGACCTCTTCATCGAGGAAAATATTCACTGTCCCTTCGATATAGTCGTTAAAAATAAGGTAACTACATGAGCGTGTAGCGCAGGTCATTTCACACTAGGACATATGCAGAAGCAGAGGGAATAGAACCACCAGATATGAATCCCACGCAAAATAGTGTTTCCGATAGGAACTCTGGGTCAGTGATAGTACTATATCTTGACGCACTCTCAGGGTAGAGGCTTAATGCAACAAGGGTCCTCTGTTTCCTCTACGTATGCAGCTAGTGAACCCAAGAGAAGTCAATCCATTGCGAATGACTGTTCCTTTTCTCCCTAAGCGGACAAGAAAAGTTCCCTGAGCAGCTCCAAGGTATGCTGTGGGTTCCGGACAGAGTGGCCGATAGTGCGCGGATCGGAGAAGATCTCATGGTCATTCCCGCCCTGGTGGGTCTTGTCGCCGAAGAAGTGAATCTCTTCGAAGTTTTCGTCTTCGACGTGGCGGAGGCAATAGGTCTTGTCCCATCTATGTTGCGTTGAATTTCATTGATCTCGGTGGAGAATCGAGGACATACCCGGTGGGGAAGATGTCAAAGGATATTTGACCGCCGATTGCAAAGGTAAGGCCGTAGTCGCTGAACTTCTCCCGAAGCACCTTGACAAACGCCTCGCGGACCTTGTGAACCGCGTCGTAGGCGGCGAAGTCGTAGCGCTCTTGCATGGTAGCGTTACGGCCGATAGGGCTGACGTTAACCATGCCATTCCGGAATTCGACGAACGTGCCCCTGCGATCATGATGAATGGATGAATGACGGGAAGTAGTGGTATGTAAAATACCTTTGTATGGGTATGTCGAGGTCCGCAATGTAGCGCAGGATGAACTTTACCATGACTTTGTAGCGCTCTTCGCCGACGTATTTGATGAACGATTGGGTAGGCAGAGGCTTGCCGAGCTTGAACGCCGTCAGACCATTCTCGGCAAAGGCGTAGTCAAACGCATCAATGGCTGAAAAGAGGAGATCAGGCCTGATGTTGTTCAAGTGTGTGACTGTCAGTGTACCGCGAGTGCTCGGGGTGTCGAGCTGCTCTGAGATCTTAACCAGATCCGATCCGCCCACAAATCCAATCGCGACCTTCTTGCGTAGCTGCTGCAGCGTCTCAATCATCTCCGGTGACGCTTGCTACTTGCGCAAAGGTATGGTAACGTCAGTAAGACAAGCAGAGCGTAAAGCGGCAAGCCTAAGAATAGATCGACGGATTGAACGTACCCGGCGCGCATGGGTGAGTGTCTCATCCACATCGAAGAGGACAAGTTTCTTCACGGGCCTGTCAGCGAATGCGCTGGAGGTCATCGTCGATGGAGGAAACAGGCGGACGTGCGAGCTGGCAGGCTTGATCTGCAACGCCCGCAGCGCAAGCGCCAGCCAGATCAAGCGTGGCGGTGGCGGTGCTGCGGTGCTTCATAGACGTTGCACGGAGGAAATATTTCTTTCTGTCCTCGCTCTGCATCAGAGCGTTTATAAGTTGCATCGAAGCACATCTCATTCTGTCCACCGAATAGCTCTATTGCATTGAACGTTCATACATGCCATCGATGAGGATGGATACCAAGCTCAGGCACGTGCAAGGAAACGCGAAACGTCAAGCACGTGACCGTTCATTGCTTATCCAGTTCCTCCATGGCTCGCTCAACGCGAACAAAAACGACCCAGCCCCTATACGCGGACGATGGCGATTCTGGCGAGGACACAGAGCCAGAGACCCCTCGTCCTACGACGAAGCGTCTAAAGAAACGACTGAGCGAGGCCAACTTCGATGGCAGCTTCAGCGAGGAATCGGGCGCAAGCCGCGCGCCACTGAAATCAGTCAACATGAACGACGACGAGGCCGAGAAGCGGAGAAGGAGAAAGAGCATGAAGTCTATGGCACTTATTACGGACGACGGCGATGCGCCGCAGGCCGGGCCGTCAAATCATGCCCAAGCGGATGGCGGGGGTACCCCTGTTGCTCCTGCGGGACGGTCTTTACAACGTTTACGGAGCGTGGCGCAGGTTCCAGCGATAAATGTATCCATCGACGTGAACAACTATGAGGAGTGGATGAAGATGGCCACGGATAACGTATGTCCCTTTTCGACGCGCTCTTGCACTTCTAACGTTTACCTCGAACAGAAAATCAACGCCGCAAACTCGTGGAATTTCGCGCTGATCGACTACTTCCATGACATGTCCCTGTTGCGAAACACCGGCGACAACTCGATCAATTTCCAGCGCGCGTCCTGTACGCTCGACGGATGCGTCAAGATCTGGACGAGTCGCGTTGACAGTGTCGGTACAGAAACAGGCAAACTCCTCTCCAACCTCGCGAATGAGGGCCGCGCGGACGACGACGAAGATGCCGATTCTGACAATCCCGACGCGACCCCGGGCGCCAAGCGGAAGCGGCGTGAGGGCCGACCGAAGGAGACGCTCGCCAAAAGCACGGAACAGCTGAGGAGCAAGAAGCTTGACTTGGAATTCAAGGTCGACCCGCTGTTCCGGAAGACGTGTGCCGACTTCGATGAGGGTGGTGCGCAGGGCTTGTTGATGAACCACCTGAGTTTGGGCATTGGTCCGGACGCGGGCATGAGGATCATTTTTGATGCTAGCGATGCAATGGGCAAGGGTACGGAAGAAGACGCAGAGCCAACGGAGGAACCCGAAGAGGAGGTTGACATCAGCCACTTGCGCCGTAGGTCTTGTTCCCCGTATTGGCTACCCTCTTTCGTATTGACGTGGTCGAGAAGGCGAATTCCTGCCAGACCTGGACGGATTACAGGACAAGGCAATTTGTCACTCTCTCGCCGGCTTTTCATTTGCGAAGGACGCCTTCACCTTCGACGAGAGCCTCTTCGTCGGTGACGACATTCAGGAGCTAGACGACGACGACGACTTCGGCGGGGTAGAAACCGGCGCGGGGGAATCGATGGACGTCGGTGGGGGCGCCGATGCTGGCGGCATGGAGGAAGATTTCTTCGTAGGCGACCAAGCGGTGGGCGACGAATACGGTGCCGGACCCGACTTTGGCCCGGGAGGAGATGATTTCGGCGGTGGAGAAGACGGCTCGGTGGGCCCCGAGGGCGAGCAGCAAGGACAGGGGCACGGGGGCGGCCGTCCGGGCGCGTTCGTTCCGTTTGACCCGAGGAGGATGCCAAATGAGAGGGAGATCGTCATGGCAATGACGGAGGGTGGCGAAGATGGGATGCTCGACTACTTCGACCAGAATTTCCTCAGGAACTGGGCAGGTCCTGAACATTGGAAACTCAGGAAGGTGGTGCGGCGACGTAAGTTCTCGACTTTTTTCAATGTCCGAACGTGTGTGGCTGATCATGTATGCGATGTAGCGGAGGCTGCGGATACCTCGAAAGACAAGCCGAAGCGGGAGAAGAAAGAAGCGTTCAGGATCGACTTCCTCGCACCCGCAGATAAAAGTCTGAAGGAGACCGCTGAAGCACTTTTCGCACCGGCAACCCGCGGTAACATCAATCTACCCGGATACAGCGTGAGCGGGAAGAACGCGGAAAAGTCGAAGAAGCGCGGAAGGGGCAAAAAAGCAGCTGCGGATGGCAAGGAGAAGAGGGACGATCATACTTTGCCCGACGATATGCACTTCTCGAGTCGGGAGCTCGTGACACTCTTCCTCAAGCCCAAGTTCTCAGTGCGTGTTCAGATACCATGTCCGTGAATGATATCCTTCTGATCAAGCTGCCCTGCAGCTGAAAATGCGCGGTCAACGAGTTCGCTTGGACGAGGGCGATGGCGAAATCGACGAGAACTTTTGGGCTCAGGCGGCAGCCAACGCCGGCCGGGAGGGCGACGAGGGCGACGAAAGTGAGCGTTTTCTGTACGCACCATGCCTTATCATGCATGCTCATTCTCGTCTCTCGCAGCGGCGAATGGTGGTGCGATACCATTCAACACGCAGTTCTTCCACGACGACTACGACGATGGGCCGGGCTTTGACGACGGCTTCGACGGCGAAGGCGGTAGCGCAGCAAACCTTGGGCCCGACGCGGACGAGCAGGATCTGCTCGCGGCCACTGCGGGACAGACGCGCCGCGTACGTCCGGAGTTTGTAAACTATGCGAAGCGGGCGAAAAGGGTCGACGTGCGGAAGCTCAAAGAGAATATATGGAAGGGGTTGGATATCGTCGTGCCCGAGATCAAGCAAGAAGCGGAGGACGAGGACCAAGACATGGTACGCTCGAGCGCTTCTGATATATACAGTGTTCACTCAAAGGACTTCATGCACTGCAGGACAAGGAGGAGCAGGATGCCACCGATCCAGCGGAAGCGCGCACTTTCAGCGAGGTTGTGACGGGCCTCAAGTCGTCATACCCGAAGGACAAGATGGAAGAAATCAGCACCAGCTTCTGCTTCATATGCCTGCTGCACCTCGCCAACGAACGCGGACTCAAGCTCGAGGTGGGTGAGGATGGCCAGATCGAGGCTGAGCCTGAGGAGGAGGAAGAGGAACCCGAGGCGGCCGAACATAAGGTTGCCAGCAAGGTCGGAGATATTTGGGACTTAAAGGTGCGTATTTGCATTCGTGTTTCAGGGATATTGGTCACGGCGCTAATTTGAGGGGCAATAAGGTATATCGGGATCCGTTGGCTACCGCCGCTGCCTAGCGATAGATTCTTACTCGACGCACTGGATGACTTATCACATTACTTGCTTAACGCACTGCTGTCTATTACTATTATCTACCCCCAAGTCTGTTGTTTCCGTAGCGCACAATATCCTATCCATGTTGTATTTGTCGCCTCCGGTCACATGCTTCTCCCGCGCTCGCATGGCTGTGTTCCCGCCATTCCACCTGGACATCGGCGCCTATTTTTTGAGAGCCGCGGGTGCCGCCGTCGTTTGGGTCTGGACGGACAACTGGAGGAGTCAATTAGCGGGTACCGGGTTCGCGAGCGCCCGCGGTCGGGGCTCCGCTGTTCTCTCCCACTTTCCACATCCACGGGGGTCGGTCGCCATGGCCGACCAGCCCATGCCGGAACCTCGTTATTGGAACGACAGCGCGCTCTTGAGCTTCGAACCATTCCTTTCTCGATTCGCGGTACGAAAGGATTCGGGTTCGCTCTTCCGGAGGAAGGACGTTGTTGCTAAGTGGTGCGCAAGTATTGCTGAGGATTTGAGGTCCCAAGGGAGGGCGGTAGGAGCTTTTCGTCGTGCATGGACGGGATTGGAAACTTACCATGGACATCCACCAACTCTGCAGCGCAAGATCACCTCAACTTGGGCCAGATGTGTTGCCACGAGGGCGTTCAAGGTTTCCCGTAAAATCATGCCACCTGACGTGGACACGGTCGACTGTATGGAAGCGCTCATCAACTTCTACTGGGCAATGAACGTGCAAGATATTTCGTCAGCCCAAAAGGCAGTGGACGCTGTGTTAAGAAAGCTTAATATCAAGTGGTCCTTCAAAGTGAGGCACCTCCCCCCTCCGCGACCTGGCGACGTTCTGCAAGCACGGGTTTTGTCTCGTCGATCTAACTGCGGAACGGAAACTCCTCCATCCACGTCGCTCGTCGTTGGACATCATAGAGGCGCTGAGGATACCCAGAAGGACCCTCAATTAGCTCCATCGAGGTCTATCGTTGATCCCACAAAACCATCCATAGCCGAAGGATCGCTTCCGGTCTCGGGACAGAAGCGGACACGATCCGCTTCGTCTGCATCGAGCTTGGCGTCCTCGTCATCCTCTGATCCCTCCGGTCTCAAACAGATCCAGGCTCACGATGCTCCTGAGAAGGCCTCTCGCAGAATGGCTGTGAAGAAATCGCGTAAGGCCCCAAAGCATACGTCCGGTGATGCCCCTATGCGCAACAGACGTACCCCGAAGTGCGCAGCGAACGCCGAAGCTCAGGGTACGGCTTCGAAGAATCGCAAGCCCAGGGTGAAGGACAGTCACTCGAGCCGCCCCTTGCAGAAGGGTCGTTCCGTTGCAGATGCTGCTCCGCGCGACCATACTGCCTCGATGAAGCCGCCTGTTGAGGCACCCGCTGGGAACGGAGCGTTCTCCCCTCAGGTGGTGACCCAGAAAGGCAGAAATGCACCTTCCAATGCTACAAACCCGGATCGATCAATCGAATCCAGGACCGCGGGTGGTTCCTCGCCTTCTGCGACCGTACCGACTGGCAAAAAGCCTACCCGAAAACGCAAGGCGGACATTCCTGCGGAAGCGTCGTCCCGTCTAACGATTGGTGAAGCGTCTGACCAAAAAGCGATAGCTAGTGGGGCCCAATCCAGTCCTGATACGATCCCGGCCCCAATCCAGTCATCCCGTGACAAGAAGAAGAGAAAACGGACTTCGGAATCAACCCACGGTTCCACATCCTCCCCCGGCACACAGACTGCGGCGTCAATCGTCACCGCCTCCACAAGATGCACGGACGGCCCTTCGGCTGCTGCCGGTGTGGATGTCTCCAAATCTCTGCCTGGTACCGTCAAGCGACCGGATCTCTCGAAGTTTCCTGAATCCGGATTATCCTGCATGGCGCGTCGGACGTCGCGACCAAATGACCGCTCCGAATCAGCCAAGTCGCTTAGTGGCTCGGTCCCTCCAATGTCTGCATCCGTGGCCAGTTTCTTCGCAATACCGCTCCGAGTTTTGCCAATCGCATCCCCATCGCCGTCTGGTCCGTCAACGCCTGCGCAACATTCTGCTTCTTCCTACCAGCGCGGAGGTCTACTTACGCCGCCTGAAACGCCACGACACATCGTGACAGCAGCTCGTTCGGCGGGCCCAAAGCAGAAACTTCGTTCTCGCCCCCCGATGTGGGCACGAGTGAGGCCATAGATCTCGTTCGTGCATACAACTTGCTTAACACTTTCTGTTAGTCCCGACAAGAGATCTGCGAGACTTTGCCCTGGTTTCGCTCGTATCAAGCTGGAGTATACTACGCAAACGACGTGGCGCGAGGGTATCTACTCGCTGGCAAACCCGCGCTGTATGTGAAATGTTTTCATTCAATACTTCTTGCTAACTTATTCGTTTGGCCACAGACGTGATGCTTACGAAGACGACGGGCGGATCATTATCTCCCATGGGTAACGCGTCGACTTCAACGCAAGGTCTTCGCTAAACTTTCGACAGCGGCGGCAAGGCGGAGAGTGAGTACGGGCCAGCAAGGGATCAACGTACGACGGACAAGTCGGTGAGGAGCCTGTTGAGTACGTAAAAAGGTCTGATTACTATACTATCTGATTGGCACCCAGATACGTGGAAGAACCGTGTTCCGATTTTCGTGCTGGTGGACGACGAGTACCAGCTCTTTCCGTACGACCTGCGAATGGAAGGCTACGCATACGTAACATTAGGCTGGTATTATATTACCGACGCGTGGGGTATGTCTTCGACCCGTGCCTAACTGTTTCCTCATGACCTTCGATAGCGGAACGGGAACCGGCCACGGATAAGAAGGGCGAATATATCGCGACGGATGTTACGCGATGGAAATTCAAGTTCCAGGTTCGCACCCTACGATCAACGGCGCACTTTTCTTACAAAACCGAATATCCATAGTGGGCAGAGGATCAAGGCGAGCCTTGGTGGTGCTGTGAGCCTGGGCAAACGAATTCCGGTCGAACTGGTATGTAATCAGGCTCATCTCTTCGTTCTAAACCTGTTGAAGCACATCAGTAGCTCAGGAGGAGTCGACGCGCCAGCTTAAGGGTAGCGCGTCCAGGCCACGTAAGCAATGCTCTTTTGCAGCTCGGCTTCTATGGCGCTCAAGACCTCGTAGAGAAACTGAAGTTCGGGGCCCCACCAAGGTCAGCCCACTCCAACAACAGTGGCTTGTGCTTACACTTCCCGTAGCGCCGCCCGGGAAGCGCATACCTGTTCGACTTGCGGGGGTACCTGGCCTCTGGTTTTCGCCAACTCGCCGATGTGTCTCGACCCAAGCTGTGCCTCATTTTGGTTCAATGATGGAGGGCTAGCAGACATCAACGTCCAGCTTCGGAGAGAATTCCTTCAACCAACAGACACGCCGAAGAATTTGTCCCTGGAGCAAGCCAGTTTGCCCTCTCCACCGACAGTCGCTCAAGACGACATCGTGACGTCATCTATGTTCTTGCGCGGATTCTGCTGTACGCAGTGCGGACGACTGTCTTGTCGGTGCGTTTATCAGTCACTACCACATGGACAATGTTGCATCGACATTTTCAGGTATAAGTGGGAGGAATGGCGATGTAGCAACACTATGTGTAACGTGAGCACTTCGACCCTGTGATAGCACATTAACTCATCCTCATCACCACCAGCATACACTCGACATCAAGGCTCGCATCCGTCATCCTTCCGAGTTCTCCAGCATATACGAGCGGACGCCACAAGTTCACACGAAAGACGGTAATGACTGAGTTGTGTCTTGGTGATTGGCGATTGCTCATATGAACGAAGGCATCAGGTCCTCGAAGAAGGCGCTCGAGCTTGACTCCTCGTTGTCTGCCGAAACATTCCACCTTCCGACGTCAGATCCCACGTATGTTCAATGTGAAGCTCATATATCAACTACTAAAGCGAGAATCCTCAGCGCTTGCGCTCGCGTACATATCATTCGGGCCAAATATGATCGTCTCCATGAGGCAGACGTTGCCTTCGAGCGATACCAGTCACACGCCCTTAAGGGTGATTTCTTCCAACGATGGCCGACCAAAGCGGTGCGTCCGAGTCTGCCCCTCCCTCTAGGCGACCGAGCTCATGTACAGTACAGCATAAATGTGAGGGCATCGAACCCCGAAAGGTTTTAGCATGCTCATGGAATAACCAGTGAAAGGCACCATGCTTTCACGTTATTTCTCCCACAACGGTATGTAGCCTATCAACGCCAGATTAAATGTCGTATTAATACTTCCACGCATCGAAGCCGGAGTCGCCTACAAAGTAAGGGGAACATTGAAATCCTATGATTACGAAGGTTCAACGGTTGTTTTTCCAAGTACGTTGCGAACACGCAAAATACCGTTTCGTTTGAGGACGCGCCGGAGGCCGTTGGGAAAGCGTTGGACATCATACAAGAGCGAGCATGCCGCGTATTAGGGGCTCCTAGCGTCGCGTTCAATGAGATATTGAGCGTCGCGTACATGGAGAAGCAGAAAATGAGTGTGAGTATGTTCTTGCTGGTGTAACAGCGCGTCTACAAAATCCTCGACAGTTCCATACGGACGATGAATCGGGACTAGGCCCGATAGTAGCCTCCCTTTCGCTAGGTGGGGCCGCTCAGATGCACTTCCGGCCTCGGAAGAAGCAGAAGTCTGCTCTCAATAAGCAGGAGGAACCCGACCACGAGGTGGATGGACAGGACAACGATATGGAGAAGCACCATGCAAGCACGGTTCTCACGCTGACCCTTGGACACGTACGTGTTTTCTAACTTGAAGTACCCTCGTTGCTGAACGTTTTTCCAGGGCGACGTAGTTGTCATGGAAGGCACCGCGGTACAAAAGGAATACGAGTAGGTCCTTCCCCTTGCGATAATGCACTCATTGCTCACTGTGCTTCATAGACACGAAGTCCGATGTCTCGACAATCTCAGATTTGCGGCTACGGCAAGGGTGATCGATAGCGCCAGAAATCAAGGCAGTCTACACTTCGGCAAGGCTGTCTCGGCTGTGGATCACCCGACCTAATAGATAATATCCTCCATTATGTTTATTTGTCCACTTCATTATTGATATATTATACTTCTACCTACGCAGTTAATGATGACGTTGCGAGAAACGCGACACCAGGGGGGGGATACGTGCCCTTTGTCTCGACCGTAAGCTTATGTTGATGGAGGATTCCGGTCCTGAACATGGAGTATCAATCACTTGAGATAACCCCCATCGTACAGTGCGATGGACACGCGGACTCTGTTCAGCTGCGATAGCGAAGTGCTTTTAGATGCTTGCCTTCAATGATGACCTTCCAACACCACCAGCACCTTTTGCCTGAGTAACTCCAGCTGGACTCCTGAGCTTACATCACGGTGATTTCGGAATGCGATGCGGTCGATCCGCTCGGTCTGGCCATCGCGTATTGAAGCTGCAGCACCTTGATGCGAAGCAGGACCTGGATTTCTATCTCAAGTGGGCAATGATATCTTTGTTGGATCCGCATTTTAGTTATCATCCGCAGAAACGTCAGCGCCAGATAGTGGGCATGCATTGAAGACGTCAGAGACAATTCAAGGATAGGGTATGCTACATTCATTGTCATTGAAGAAGCAAACGCGATGGTCTACGCGAAGAAATAGATTCAATAGATCCTAATGCAGTATAATCTTACAGTATGGGAAGAAGAAAAAAAATACAAAGAATGGGGATCACAACGCACAAACCGGCACGAACCGCGAGAGGTCATCGCGCGCCGTTTAAGACCTCCCGCACCGCGCTCCTTTGCTGTGCCAGCAAAGCAAGGATCTGCCACCCGGGCTGGTCGTCGCGCGCGCCCTCCTCAGGCACCCTGCCCCGAACCCGCTCAAGCCGCTCGAGCTCCGCCCATCCGTCCTCGCCCTCCGGCGCACCGAGGGCGAGGCGCATCGCGGCCGCAGACCGGTTCGGGAGCACGGCGGGGGAGACGGTGAAGAGCGCGTCGAAGGCGGAGGCAGCGAGCAAGCCGTTGTACGACGCGCCGGACGGGTGTGCAGGCTGGATGGAGGTGATGGCGTGCGAGGCGGAGGTGAGGGTGATCGCTTGCGAGATGAGCTGCTTCAGCTTCGCCTGCAGGCAAGAAGGTATGCGTGAGCGGCGGTGAGTAGAGCAAGGTACGTGGGTAGGCTCACCTCGAATGCGAGCATGAGTAAAGACGAGACAGCCTTGGATGGCGCGCCGAGGTTATGCTGCGCGCAGATGAGGTTGATACGATCTGATATATGCTGCAGCGTGGGCGCGCGCGTGACGGCGGCGAGGTGCAGCGGTAGCCTGCTCCCGGGAGGTTCTTCGGAGGTCGTGTCAGCTCCTAACATCAATCGCAGCAACAACAGCATGCAGCACACACCTCCACGTTCCGGTAAAAGCTGAACTCCGCGCTCTTGCAAGATCTCGTCCTGTGGCAACTTCCTTAACGTCGCCGCGGCGTCGTCAATGGGTGTGGCAGGCAGGTGCTGCAGCCGCGCGCGCTCTTTCCTCCCGAGACCCACCACCCACTTCCTGAACCGCGCCGAGCGCAGGGAGTCCATGTCCGCGTCCTCGCCCTGGTATGGCAGGAGCCGCCGCCGCTTCTTCGGCGGGCTCTTGCGTGGCTTCTCCGCGTGCGCGCTCGCGGGTGCGGCCCCGTCCCCAATCTTCGCGGCGGGTGTGGCGGCGTCTGTGGCGGCGGCCGCGCGCCGGTCAAGCTGAACACTCGTGTCGAAGAGGCTGATGACGAGCGCATTGTGCAGCTGGACGAGGTGCGGCGTGTCGAGCGCGCGCCGGGCGGCGGCATCGAACTCGTTTCGCGAGATGTGGCCGGCGAGGAATTCTTTGAAGACGCGCCAGTAGGCGGGCGCTTTGTCGCCGAGGGTGGAGTTGAGCTGCGCGCGGAGCGTCGAGGTGGACGGGAGAGACATCGGGGACGGGCCGAGCTCGCTGTGGCGCGCAGCGTGCAGAACAAACGAAGCGACGGGCGCCTATTGGCCCAGTCGTGACTTGGACCGTGACTTCGCTCATCGATCCCCGCACGCCGCCCCGATGCCCTGAACAACGCCCCCGGTCGTCTCTGTTCAATAGAGATACAGACACACTGCTTCACGACATACGCCTTGCGCACTATACCTAGTTACCCCCAACCACCTTCTGCTTAGTTCTGTTGTTGTCGTTCACTATGAGCTTCCCATCATCCGCCGACCGGCCAGCGACGTCCAAGCCGCGTGGGATTTGTCGCTTCTATTCGACTTCCCGTGGGTGCCTCAACCCGGGATGCAAGTTTCTGCACGGAGAGAACGAGGTACTCACACCATACGACCGGAACAAGGTCTGCAAGTTCTTCGCCAGCGGTGCGTGAGCTTAGCGCCCCTATCATCGCATGTCCTTATGTCCCTGGTCACGCAGGCTTTTGCAAGAGAGGCGACAGGTGCTGGTTCAGACACATCATACCAGAGGCGAATGACGAGCCGTGCTCGATCTGCCTCGAGAAACCCGTCACCTACGGCCTGCTCACGGCTTGCTCCCACATCTTCTGCATCACATGTTTGCGCTCGTGGCGCGACACGAACACGAAGTCGTCCGACGCCGTCGTGTCCGGGAACTTAAAGAGTTGCCCGCTCTGCCGCACGCCCTCGCGCTTTGTCGTCCCCTCCTCGCGCTTTTTCCCGCAAGGTCATCCAGACAAGGACGCCGCCATCGCACGCTTCAAGGAGAGCACGGCCCGCGTCGACTGCCGCTACTTCCAGAAGTCGCCCGCAGATAGCCGTTTCTGCCCGTTCGGAAAGGATTGCTTTTACCGCCACATCAATGCAGACGGCACGCCATACGTGTTCAGCGAAGGTGTCGACTACTACATGCCGGTCAGCCTCGTCGCCTTTTTTGAATGCATATATGCGACGATCGCTGACGAGTCCGTCCCCGCAGATTCACAAGCGCCGCCTCAACAGCCACCTTGAGGCCGTCTATATCGATTGGGATGTCGAGCCGCACATGGCTGGCCTCAACGTGCACGTGGTTGATCTACCCGCCTCGCTCACCGCGCTCAGCTCGACGATCGACGCCATCCGGGCGAACCTTGCCCCTCGACCGGCGTTTAATCCGGATTTGGGCTTTGACGAGGAGGAGGGGGATGAAGACTATACCGAGGACTTCGATGCCAACGACATGCTGCATATGGTGAGCCGCCCCCCCCCCCCCACTCCACACTCCACACTCCCCGCCTCGATCTGTCATGGAGAATTCTCGCATTCTGACACGCGCTCTTCGCGCAGACGGCGACGCTGCTCGAAGGCCTCCAGGGCCTGCGTGCCTCGATGGGGCCATTGGCCTCCCGAGACGATGCCGACGCCGACACTGACAGCATTCCCTCGCTTCGGACGGTGTCCGGCGACTCCGCGTCCGGCTCGGACTCGGAGGACGGTGAGGCCGGGGATGACGACGCGTTCGAGTCTGTCCCGCGCACGGCGGGGGACGGGGGACAAGACCAAGTACGCCCTGGCACTGCACCGCGCTCCGGGCCGGGTGTTGACGCGCCTCTCGCTGACAGTCCCAGCCGTGGTGGTGACGCCCCGTCTCCCGTTCTTAACGTGCGGAGGGTGGGGAACGGGGTCATGGTTGACATGCTATCGGGCGGCACTTTGTACTCGTCGTTGCCGCGTCCTCCGATCGAGCGCGATGGGTCACCGTTACTTGATGGACCCGCGTCCGCGGAGGAGGGCCTCGCGAGGGATCCGTCTGCGGAGGGGTTGACGGTGTCTATCTCGCCGCGGTTCAGCACCGTGGTGAACACTGCGGGGCGGGTGGTCATCGATCTGGCCTCGGAGGAGGAAACGATGACGGAAGACGAAGAGGACTCAGAGGCAGAGGGAGGCGTCAACACGGCCGACGAGGACGATCACGCCAGTGCGGGCGACGACGAGGGGAACGCTGAAGCTGCACCCGGCTCAAGCGCGGCGACGGACGAATCGCGGACAGACGCGCTGCCCCCGTCCCATCCCTCCGCCCTGCCGCAGCCGTCGGAAGACGCGAAGTGGACCCACCCGCCGCAGATCGAGTTTGACGCCGACCCGCCGTTCGCGACGGATGGGCGTGGGCGGGTGGTTTGGAGCAGCGCGCATCACCGGTTCGGGCGAGGACGACGAGGTGGGACTAGCAAGCGCGGGGGCAGCGTGAGGTCTGAAGCAAGCGGGAGTGGGAGCGCCGCTCATGGATAGACCGAGGGAATATCGTCGTTGTTGTGCTATCGAACAGTGCATGGAGCTGGTTATGATAGAGGTTTTCCTGGGTGTGGAATGTATGAACGGATTGTGAAATCTGAGCTCCGCTGCACTCGCACCGCGCTGGTTTTTGTCGACTCGGCTCTACAATGGCGCGACGGTCTGTTCTTTACGGATTCACGGCCTGCTCCTATCTGGCTCTCTCGCCATTGCTCGCATGAAGGCAAAGTACGTATCCTGTGTGCTGTTCTTCGTTGAGCGTACTGACATGGAGGTGTAGCGCTCATTGTCCGCGTATTTGCTGCTCTAACTTGGACGAGGAGGCTGCACTCGGTCCGAACTCCGCGTTTTTTCCAACTCCGTTTCATCAACCATCAAGGTGCCGCGGGCTCGCGGCTCCTTCATGACCGCCCTTATTCAACTACTATCTTGCAGCAGTATATATCTGACATTTCGAGCATGGTTATCAGGTATGCAGCATCTGTGCTACAATCTTCACTGTAGAGTACTCACGATTTGAACCTGTAGTGTTCGCTGTCCACGTATCTGTTGCTCTAACTTGCGTGAGGACAAGCTTTGCCTCCCCGCTTCTTCCCGCGAGAAGCTCAAGCACTTGCGGAGCGAGTTTATGCGGATACGCTTGGAGATATCCTCCGTTCTACGAGAGCACAATGCTGGCCTTCCTATCTCTCGCCTCCATGAGGACATCCTACACAGCGTGTTCCAGTACATCCCCCCCGAATCTCAGCACGACAACTTACGCCTTGTACCTCGCATAGGAAATAGCTCGCGAAAGAAGGAAGGAAGGAACGCACAAGAACCACGGACTGTCTTTCCTGGGGTGGCCCACGTTTGTAGCTCCTGGCGCCGTCTTGCGATACGTACTCCAGCTCTGTGGAACATTCTGAATCTCACGCGGCCGAGACTGTCCACCCGGCTTTACGACCGCTTTTCAGCTTCGTTCCCGTTCCGAGTCTTTGGCCATCTTGAAGTGGACGGAATCATCAACTACGAGCCTTTCAGATCCTGGAATAACAAGGAAATGGCTGCGGGGCTGCAACATATTCTACGAAACTGCCCACGGCTACAAGAACTCAACGTCACGATACCGCACAAACACATCAACTCGCTGAATGGTCTCGGAAACGCTACCAAGCCGCTATATTCCCTTCAACGTCTGACGATCCTCCACGCACGTCGCTCTGAAGATAGTGATAAGTCCGAGCCGCTCTTGGCTTCCCTCGAAGCGCCCAACCTACGTCACCTCGAACTGCACTTCTTGCACCTCGCTTCGTGGCATCTTCCCGTGTTCTTGTCGCCCCAGCTGCGCTACCTACACCTGACCTATCATACTGATACGCCACCTCCGTCCCTTCCATGTGTCCTGGCAACTCTTGGACGAATGCGTCAGCTGGAGTATCTCGGTCTAGACAGTGCGATACCATCTGCGACGGCGGAAAAACAAGCCCTATCAACCGGAGACGAGGTGATACATCCTGTGCATATGCCTTCGTTGAAGGAAGTGATGCTCTGCGGAAAAGCACTTGATTGCGCATCTCTGCTTCGTCACATTGATGTACCCCCTGACGCGAAGCTGTCTGTGATTCCTGGGCAGGGACCTGCGGCGGAATGGATTAATGAATGCGTACAGCTCTGGGATATCGGCCTCCAGCATATCCACCGCTCCGGCAAGGAGGTGATTGAAATTCGGATTGGAGCGGACTCTGATGGCCCGGGCCCCGCAGTCTCGTGCGTCCAATACGACAAAGGGAACTCTCCGTTCAATGCCTTCTCAATGACGCTCGATGTGACGGGTAATGCTCACATTCAGGTTGCGGTCTTGGAAAAGTTATGCGATCGTTTGGCAGCATTGAAGCTCGAGACCCTGCGCATCGATACCGTGGAACTCAAAGCCATCTCCCACCGACTTTGGGACACCGTTCTGGCCTCACACGATGAACTCCAACACTTGATACTCGGCGGCGAGGCAGCTTTCGAACTGCTTTCCGATATCGCCAGGGACAACGACATCATCCCGAACGTGTCGTCGCTGACCATCCAAGATATCGCGGACTGGCGGCAAGAAATAGTGCTCGATCTCTGCCTTCAGCTCTTGCGGAAACGCAACGTCTCGGCCCCCTCAGCCACGGATACCGTTCGAGACGATCTTTGGCTTCAGCTCTTGCGGAAACGCAACGTCTCGGTCGCCTCAGCCACGGATACCGCTCGAGACGGCGTTTCGAGAATCCAATCGTTAACCATAATAGATCACGATCGCATCTGGGGCTATCCTCAGCTTCGGCGTCTCGAAGAAAAGGTGACGGTACTGTTCAAGGGGCGCTGATGATGGCAGAAGGTCCTAAGTCGGTTTCATCGGGCATCATTCCCACATCTTGTCGTTTTTTCTAGTTGTGAAAATATCATTATGTTCCGAACCTGTATAGAATTCGTTGTTTCCCTCCATCTCCCTCTTAAAAACTGCGGGTATCGTCTTCTTCAACGATTCTACTTCATTTTTCGTGCGGATGCTACAATTTTCCATGCAAATCGTCTCGAGCAGCACAGCGTTTCTTCACGAACGTTCGGTATGCCTCGAACCATTTGGAATGGATAACACGCTCTGCGTCCATGATCCTCTGTGGTAAGACAGAACGAAGCACAAAATGTGCACTGATGGGTCACCTTCGACTCGGATGAGGAGGCTCGAATGAGAACCAGTACAGGTAGGTACGCAGCGTGGAGTGACGCCTCCTCTTGGTTGCGCATCCGGGATGTGTCAAGTGAGACGTAGTTCTTGGAATGTCTTGTTGATAATCATAGCGAGATTGCATGCTATGTTGGGAGGGAAACGGATGATAGCGGATTCCACGTGTATCGGATCAACCGCTGTCAGCGCTTCAATCCCTACTCCATCTTATTAGCAAGTTGCAATGCCGCAAACGGTCCAGGAATATGAGAGGCACCGAGTATTGTATCCAATGAGCAGGGTATTCTACCAGAAACTTGAAACTCGAATCCGGTGCATGTAAAAGAGCAGGCCAACTAAACCAAATCACAACCCGTCCACCCAAAATGGCGGATTCCCGTTTAAGAACACAGGAACCAAGCTTTGCAGTATCTCCAGATCGGCCGTCTTGAAATTATAACAGTTCTGCACGTGAAGCGCTTCGAGAGGCTTGACATCCCCGCGCTCGGCCTCGGACCGACGTGTCTCGAGGAACTTTCGACATGCATCGAACCACAGAGAGCTATTGCTCTCGAGCTCTGGTGCTTCTTCTGTGACGAAGTCTTTCAGGTTGTCCTGTATGACGATCTCCTTCAAATTGGGCAGCAGTTCGCGTTTGCGCGTGCCAGGGACATCCACGTTCAGCGCGGTGAAGATGACAACGGCCGAAATAGGGTTCTCCAGGTACAGCGTGTGGATCTGCGAAAAGTACCCGAAGAACGTAGCCCATTCCATGACGCAGGTCAGACCAATCCACGTGGATATCGTCAAGCTCGTGATGGCGGGATGCTCGAATTGAGAGCCAAGTGAGTGCATGATCTGAAGGTGCTCGGCTGGTTTCGAGTGAAAGAAGACGATGCTCTTGAACTCTTTGATGTGTACGGTTTTCTTAGGAAGTCCCAACACCAGGAGGAGGACACCATCAAGTTGGAATAATCTGAGGTTCAATGGTCCGGGTGCGCTCTCAACGTAGCGATTCTTCGTCAATGCGTTCCAAAGCGGCTGGCAGAAGCGCGCGCATTGCATGTCTTGGGTAGGCATACACTTCGCCATGACCATTGCATCTTCTCGGGGCACGACGTATCGGAGAAACGTCGCACACGCGGACGCGGGCCCCGTTAGCACCACGCCGTGAAGGTTGGGCATGCGCACGCGCACCGACGAATTGAGGTCGAGATCATCATGGAGTGAGGATAGTTGCCAATCGACGGTCACCAGGGACGTCAGCTGTCGGCATGTCTCTACGACGGCGGAGATATTGACCGTCTGCGTGCCGGCGCCATGGATAGCGAGTTTACGGAGGCTCGAGGAACGCATGATTGGAGAGCCCCAATGGCTCACAGGAGCGTTGCTGAGAAAAAGGTTGGTGAGGATAGGAGCGTGTAGGGCGTATAGCGGAACAAGAGACGTGTCCTCTGGCGAGTCCGAGAGTGCATCCACATTGAGCTGGCTCAAGGAAAGCGCATGGCCATGTAGCACCTCCACAATCGCCTCCGCATCCGACTCGCTGCGCACGCCGGGTATGGTCAAATTCACGATGCGAGAACCTGCCTCGTGGAGAATCATGAGAAAAGTCTCCCATGCGACATATTCAAACCCCTGGACCAAGGTGACATAGAGCTGGAACGTGAATCGGCGCGATAGCGCAAGGGCGAGCTTTGGCTTTGAAAGGTCAAGGACGTTCCACAGAGGTGGGGTTTCCATCGCCACAGATCTCCAATATCGGCACACTTGTGCGACAGCTGGATTCCAGTTCATCACAGACTTAAATTCTGCCTTATTGTGAGGTCGTGGTTCGGGAGGGCCTGCGAGGGGAGAACAGAGACGGGTGAAGATGTCCACGAGGAGTTCAGCTGGCAAGTTTGTGGCGGGAGGCATGGCATCCCGGAGAGCGTCTGCGTCCATAGGGTCCAACTGCAGACGATCATCAGCATATCATCACAACGCGATACCTAGATGCGTACGGCGTTATCTTTGTCTCCTGCTGCTGATGGATTAATGAACCCTTTCACCACGTGTTCGGGCTGACAATCAACGGCTGTTGAGACTGTTGTTCCCGAGGTAGATCGGGACTCGATCATGCGCACTCAGATTCTGACGGAAGCCGGTTCAGGTTTCCGGAGCCGTCCTGCTTCACAGTGATAGGCGGTCAAAAACGAGGCCAGTTCTCCTGTTCGAGGCGAGGGCTCCAATTTTTGCGGAAGCAATGTTAAACCTGGACCATGAACAGAGAAGGGAAGGGATGTATGTGGCCCCGCGACTCCCAGTGACTCGCGCACGGAATCCAGCGAAATCCGGATACACCTCTTCCTCTCCTTCCTCGTCCATACTCGTTTCTACCGAGGCGGAATATTCACCATTGCTGGGCATTCCGTCTCGGTAGGGACTATGTATCCGCTTTCCCGTAACTTCCGTCCCGAGCACGTATAAATACCAGGCGTCGCTGTCGTACTAACCTCCAACATTCTAGTCCTGTAGCCACCACATCCACTGCCAGATCTCATACCCTACCTACCGTGCTGTTCCCTTTACTTGGCAGCTAGAATGTTCTCCGAACTCCAGTTCTTCGCAATTGGCTCCTTCCCTTCTATGGACTACTTGGAGTTCGCTCAAAACTACACCTCGCTCGACCTCGATGTCCTCCCTGAGGACGTCGCCGAGGCCCTGGAACAAGAGGTCGACGCACTCACCCGAGTGCTCGGCTATATCAAGGCCGACTTGGCCCAAGAGTGCGCGGCCGATCTCGAGGCAGCGGAGCGCAAGTTCAACAGGCTCCGATCTCTTCATGTCCTCGACGGCATCGACATCGTCGTCCTACGTGCCCTTCAAGAGGAGGCCGATTCGGCGTCTGAATATGAGGAAAGCATCTACTCGTACTCGGAGGACGAAGAGGAGGACCTTCCAACTCCTCTCTATGCGTCTGCATCGATTCCTCGCATGACCTGCTCCGAGTCTCAGCTTCAGGCCGCCATCGCCTCCGAGCCTTCATTCGATTACATGGAGGCCGCTGAGGAGTACGCAAAAGTCTACGGGGTACGTTCCTTCATGCTTCTACGCGCCTTCATATGCTGATACATAGTGTCCAGGATGAATTCAAGGAGTTCGTCAGACAAGCCCTGGTGAGGGCCGGCCGCCTCTAAGGCGGTCCTCACGGGGCCTCGGGTATGCCGCCCGATGGCCTCTGGGACTAGGGCGCGAGACCCGCAGGCACCGTGCCCTCCACGCGCTCGAAGGGGTCGTCGTCGTTGGCGGCGTCGTCCCTGGACGGGTGGCACGATCCCCGGACTTTCGAGCGCCAACGGAAAGGTGGTCGTATGGGAACGGGATCCGAATCTTCGAGCGTCGCCTAGGCTTCGTCGCGGAGGGGATGCCGCCGGCGAGGCCTCAGAGATCGACCTTGGGGAGGATGGTCGCGATGCTGTGAGGGAGCTCGGTAAGCCTCTCGACGCTGGTGTGCTCGTCGCGTGTCGCTGACCTTGCATTCGCGCTATATAGGTCGAGAGCGGGACGCCGCAATCGTACGAGCTTTCTTGCAGCAACCCGTCTTCGTGCTGCCACCTTCAGCTCGTCAAAATCGAACTCGAAAAAGAAAAAAAACGGAAAACAAAGAAAAACGAAAAAAAGGCTCGATGGATTTGGATTTGGATTTGGATTTGGAGATCGGCGTAGATAGATAGATAGACGTAGATAGATGGACGTGGCATGGACATTGTTTTTGAGCTCACCCTTCTGACGCTTTTCCCTCTTAGCTTTCAGCTGCCTTGATCTGGTCCTCCCCTTGGTCGCTGGTCCCCTTGGTCGCTGGTCCCTCTGGTCCTCTGGTCGCGGTCCCCCCTGGTCCCCTGGTCGCGGTCCCCCCTGGTCCCCTGGTCGCGGTCCCCTCTGGTTCCCTGGTCGCTGGTCCCCCTGGTCCCCGGTCTGGTCCTCAAGTTCAAGGTTCCCCCAGAATAGGATCGCCGGCGTCCAACGCTGGTGGTTCGGCAGCCGGCCTCTACGTGGCCTGGGGGACTAGTACCCTTCGGGGGAAGCCAACGGCTGTTTCGGACCTGCGCGCATCGCGAACGCTCGCTCGCTCGCGGCGTTGGTCTATAGGTGAGCCTGCCATCATCTTCTCGCTTCGTGGCCTGAGATAGTTCACATCGCAGGCGCAGCTTGATCTCGCGTTGCGGAGGGACGTTCGTAAGTCGCTCTTCCTTGCCGCCTGTATCGGGCACTGACACGAAGTTCGAGACGTCTAGGGCACCTCGAGATCCCGGTCCGTCCCACGCGGCCCTCCCTGGTATCGCGCGCGCCACCCCCTCAGAAAGCCGTATTTCTTAGCCGATATCCTCGGAGTGGGGAGCATCCCGCCGACGAAAGGTGCGTCTCCAGATATGTAGTATACTTCGTGCTGTACGGTACGTCATGATGAATGCGTCATGGTTTCCCCCCAAAGTACGCAGTGTGAAGCGAGTGGGAGACTCACCTGGGACTTTTTGCACGGCATCTCGATCGTCGCCTGTGACGCGCGCGTCTCGAATGATCTATCTGAAGAGGTTCATCATATATATATTCATGCACCTATGCGACACGGTGACGGCTAAGGCTATACGAACACGTGCGAGAGCGCTACACAGCGCTACAGGCCGGAGGGAGGGGGACGAGGTGGAAAGCAATACAACAGTGGTTGATGGTTGGGGGGAAAGGGGAAGGGGTAAAAAAAGGGGGGGAAGTGATATTGCGTTTCGTGTCGTGTTCGTGTCCTTGTTCGTTCGGTCTGGCGATAATGAATAACGAGTGAGAACTCTCGCGTCTTTGGAGATTGGGCTTCCCTGCACTGTTTCGGGAAGCATCTGGGGATTCATAAATGGGGGAGGGGGAAGTGGTGGTGGGGAGGGAGATGTGTGGCTAGCACTTGGGGGAGTGGACGCGTTTTTGGCAGACCGACAGAGGGGGGGGGCAGAATTTGGGAAATTATACAGGGCAGGAGAGACAGACGATGGGACCGTGGACCGTTGAAGTTGAGGGATGGAGGAGGCCGGAAGTGACGATGAGACCGAGAACGAGGGGGATGATGTTGACCGAGACCGGGATGGTGGCAGAGAGACTTGGGAACGACCATTGGCATTGACGAGGAGGACCGCGATAAGACGAGACATGGATTGGAGGGAGGGAGGGAAAGGGGAGGCGGTGAATAAGATGGTTTGCATAATGCTAATGCCAGGGGGGGGGTACAAGACCACCCCCTGACGTGTCGCGCAGCTCGATATCGAAAAAACAAGGATCAGACGCCGCCAGCGGGGGAGCCGCCGAAAAAGCCGCCCGCGCGCTGCACCGCGCTCGTCGCGCGGCTCTTGTTGTTCGCGTAGTGGTGATGGTGGTGGTGGTGGTGGTGCAGATGCGCCGGATGCGCGTGGGGGTGGTGCGCCGGCGGGTGCGGCGTGCCCATGAGCCGGCGCTTGAGCCGCTTCTCCTGCCGCGACTCCTTGCGCGCCTTCGTCGGCGACTGGAGCTCGGTCGCGCGCCCGCCGTCCCGCATCGCGCCCGCGCCCGCGGAGGCCTCGAGCTCGAGCTCCTCCTCCTCCCCCTCCTCCGCGCGCGCCCGCCACACGAGCGCGTCGAACGGGGGCGCGGCCGCGCTCGCGCCGGGCGCGCCGCCGCCCGCCGCGGCCACCTCCTCGCGCGCCTGGCGGAACGCGCCCATCGGGACGACCTCCCACCGGCTCAGGCTGCGCAGGTGCGCGCGCCCGCCCGAGGAGGCGTGGTCGTCCGAGTCGTCGTCCGCGTCCGAGGTGAGGATCGACGCGTCGAGCACGTCGTCGAGCTCGATCGAGTCCGTCGTCGGCGCGTCCGTCGCGGACGACGACGGCGGCAGGTCGAGCGCGATCCCGTGATTCGCGCTCGCGAGGCTCTGCGTGACGTGAAAAAAAAAAAAACGCGCGCGCGTCAGCGATCGGGCGAACCAAAAAAAGGAAAAAAATAGGGGGGAGGGGGGCTAGGGAAAGGAGAGCGCGTATTTACCTCCACGATGCTCCGGTGCAGGTCTGGTCGCCGCAAGACGCGCCCACGCCGGCGGCGGCGCGGGAACGGACTCGGAGGCGGCGGCTTGCCCTCCCGCTTCTCGCCGTCGATCATCACGACGCGCCGCGCGGCCTCGCTGCCGGCGCCGGGGGTCTGGACGAACACGCCCATGCGCGGGCGCGGGCGCCATCCGTCCGCGCGCTCGTCGTCGCTCTCGTCTGCGTACACGCGGCCCGCGAGGATGTCGGCGGGGCGGCACGGCGACGGCGCGTGTTTCCTGGGCGGGACGAGGGACGACGCGGGGGAGGAGGAGACGGTCGAGCGCGGGTCGACGGTGACCGCCGCCGCTGCGGCGGGCCAGCGGAAGAGCGCCATGGCGCGGGGCGTCGGCAGGCCGGCGTCGTCCACGAAGTCGTCCTCGGTGGTGTCGCCCGAGCTCCCGGCGTCGTCGTCGCCGGGCGCGGCCTCGTCCGACTCGTGCTCGCGGTCGTCGGACGTGTTGGGGAGCTCCGGGTCCTCGTCCATCGACGCGTCGCACGCCGCCGTCGGGTCTGCCGGAGCGGGTGCCGTCGCGGAGGCGAAGAAGCGGAAGTCGAGGTCGAGCAGCTGCGGCATGGCGACGCCGCTGCTGTCTTCGAGCCCGCCGACGTCGGCCCACACGCCCGGGTTACGCATCTCGTACGAATGGGTGCGCGCGATCGGGGCGCCCGCCGCCGCCGCCGCCGTCGACAACGCATCGCTCGCCGCGGGGCTGCCGCCAAAGTCGAAGCAGCCGAACGTCGCGCCGCCGTCCTCCGCTTCCGAGTCCGTGCTCGAGCTCAGGTTGGCGAAGAACAGGTCGGCGTCGAACGTGTCCTCCTCGTCGTCCGACCAGCCGGTGCCGATCCCGGCATACCCACCGCCCCGCTCGTCCGCCGTCGCGTCTCCCGCGCCCTCCTCCTCGTCCGCCTCTCCCTCCTTCTCCTCTTCATCCTCTCCGTCTTCCTCGTCCTCTCCGTCCTCCGAGCCTCCTCCCTCGCCGCTCGCGTCCGACTCCTCGTCGTCCTCGTCCACGTCCATATCGTGCTCGCCCGGCCCGACGCTCTTCTTCCTCGGCTTGATCTCCCACCGGCTCTCCCTTCTTTTGTTGCCGTTCTGGCCGGCGGCGTCGTCGCCAAGCAGCTCCTTCCTGAGCCGGCGCTGCTGCCGCGCGGCTTCCGAGATGAGGTAGCGCTCCTCCTCCTGCTCGACCTCGCTGTCGGTGTCGCCAAAGCCGGCGGTCGTGGTCGAGTCCGAGTCCGAGTCGGAGGAGGAGGAGGAGGAGGAGCTGGAGGCGGAGGAGAGGTCGGAGGAGGAGACGGCGGAGGCGGAGACGAAGGTCGGGAAGTGCGCGGCCGATGTGGTGGAATCCGAAAGCGCCATCGCCTCGTCGTCGTCATCCGTTGACGAGTCCGAGTCGGTGTCGGAGAACACGGCCGACCGCCGGCGTTTCTTCTTGTTGTTCGCGTTGGCGGCGGAGGCGGCGGATACGTTTCCGGTCGTGGCCCTGCCCGGGGGCTTCTTCGCGACCGCCTTCTTCTTCTTCATGCTGGTGGTGTTCTTGGGCTTTGCGGCTGCTGCTGCTGCTGCTGCTGCTTTCAGTTTGGGCGCGTAGGCGGCGAGGGCGGAGGCCGCTTTGGTCTTGGGCTGGCGCCGCGGGATGATGGGGTCGGTGAACAGGGCGGACTGGGCGGCGCGGGCGGCGACCATCTCCTTCGTCGGCCGACCGCGCTTCTTCGCCTGCGCGTGCGTATATGCGCCGCCGTTTGCATGGCCTGCGTACGGCGGCGGCGGCTGGTGCGCTTGTGGTTGTGGTTCTCGAGAGGGGGGCAGCTTGGGCTTGGCGACGCCGGCGGGGAGCTTGATCTTCAGCACCGGGAAGCTCGCTTTGGGAGGAGGAGCGGCGGCGGCGGCGGTGGAGATGGAGTTGGGGGCGGACGTCGGGGTCGAGGTGGACGGCCGGCGGCAGGTGCACTCGCTCACGCACACGATGCAGTCTACGTCGTCCTCTTCCTCGTCGGGCAGAGATGGGGGAAGAGGCTGGTGCTGCGTGGGGTGGGCACGGGATGCCGACGTTGGCGGGGACGGTTGGGGGTGGTGCATGGGCGGGCCTGTGCGAGGAGGGGCGGGGGTGAGTAGGATGGCCTCGGGATATACGGGTTATGAGAAAACAGAGCGACGAGGGGACATCAGAGAGACCGGCAGATGGGGCCGCGTAGATGGAATAGATAACCCGCCATCGCGCAATCAGAGAAAAAACGAGGAGGGGGGTGTGATCGCCCCCGGTCGCGCGCCATTGCAAGGCGTTTCGAACGAAATACACGACGTGATGAAGATTCACCTGGCTGAAATCTGTGCATTGTGTTTTCGGACTGGGTGACATGTGGGTGCGTGGTGCGCCAGGTTAAGTCGGGGAGGAGAGCAGAGCGTGAGTGGGAGCGTTGCCCTCGAGGCGAGGACGGAAGGGAAGGGGGACGACAGTCAGGGCCTTCGGCTCCTGCGCGCGCGATCAAAATATTTCGACGCCGTGCTCGCATTTCGCACTCCGCTCCTAATTTCCCTCTTCCTCCCTCGACCGCAATTTATATTCTACGTGACCTTGCTGCAGGTTATATTGATGGCCCAACAGCGTCCGTACCGTGTCCTCCCCAGTCTATTACTCGATGCGTGCTGAGAAAACCCGCAGGGCTGACGCTCGCTCAGCAGGTCGCGCAGCTCGCCGAGGCTACCCCGCTTGGTGCGCGCGCTCTCTGGTCCCTTAGACCGAAAGACTCACGACGCAACGCAGACTTTGACCCAGAGGATGCGGAGGCTCAGAACCACCCCGCCGACGAAGAGGACGACGGACCCCCGCAAGCTCATCTGAACGCCGCGCGCGCGCACTACGTCGACGTCGGGTGCGCCTCCACCCACGTACCCCCCGTCCCCGCTCGCGATGCTGACGAGGAACTCACAGACCCTCCGCGCTCAGGCGCGCACGAGAGAGCGTAGCGGATCCTAAATACGCCGGCGCACGTACCTCCCGGGCTCGTCTTATGGATACCGCCGACTCCCCCTCCGAGGACGAGGACGAGGACGAGGAGACCCACCCACGATACGGAGATGACAGTGGGAGTCCCGCTGCGACGGACGAGGAGGGACATATGCACTCGGACGACGAGATCTCGTCAGCGGCCGAGACCGACGAAGATCAGGATGACGATGACGGGCACGAGGCGCTATCACCGACACATCGCGCGGGCTCGCCGCACCCCCACCAGCACGCCGCCTCCAACCAGGCACCGGCGCTGCCAGCTCCTCAGCCGGACGCGCTCTCCACCGCCCTCCGCCAAAAGCGCGAAGAGGACGTGAAAAAAGGCGCCGCCGTCTCCCGCCAGCTCGTGCGTCTTCCTCCTTCCCTCCCCTCCCCTCCCTTTTTTTGTGGAAAAAGGGGATGGTGCACGATGCTGAACCTCGTGACGCCCAGGCGATCTTCGATGCCCTCCTCGATGCCCGCATCCGCCTCCAAAAAACCGTCAGCGCAAGCAACTCGCTCCCGCGGGTACGTAAACCCACCTCCTACACCCCGCTCCTTCGCCCTCTGCCCTTCGCCCTCTTTCCTCACCCCCCGCCTTCTCTTTCTCTGCGTTCTCTCACAAGACCGCGCGATCGACCCCTCCACCTGACACCTTCGAGATCGCATCCCTCGTCCCCCCCCTTCACCTGTTCACCCCTTCACCATCCGCTCCCATTGTTCCCTGCATTCCATCTCACATTCGCATGCGTCCGATCTCCACGAGCTGACGTCGACGCTGCTCTAGACCATAGACCTCACCCAACACGCGTCCGCCATCCAACGAACCCTCGACACCGCGCTCGCGCTCTCAGACGAGCTCGCGTCCCTACACGAGGTAACGTGGTCGATCTTCTCGGGCACCTATAAACCGCTCCCGATCCCGTCTTCATCTGATCGCAATCTCATCTAATCTAATCTTTTATCCGACCCATTTTCCCACCATCTCATCTCCTTACTACTCCCCCGTCAGATCCTCCTCGAGAAGAGCAACGACGCACCATCCGTCCCCCTCCCCCCTCGCAAACGCCGGCGCCTCACCGAAGACGCCCGCGCCCTCGACCACCCGCAATCCGTACACGACGCGTCGCTCGACCTCTTCGCCTTCGAACACGCGTGCGTAACCCTCCCACCCCCTCTTTTCTCCTTCTTTCCTTTTCTCCTTTTCTCTTTTTTTTTCTTTCCCACATACACAACATAACGACGAAAAAAAATCACAGCTACCACCCGCACCTCCTCCGCACCCTCGCCAAATGGTCCTCCAAAATCTCCGCCGCGACCCCGGCACCCCCTTCAACCACCCGCACCGCCTTCTCCGCCCGCCCCTCCTCCTCCTCCGCCTTCTCCGCCTTCGCCGCGGCCGCCTTCTCCGCCTCCGCCCAGATCGACGCCGCCCTCGCCGCCCCGCGCGCGCGATCACAGCGAAACCCGGCAAACGACGGAGGCGGCGACGAGGCACAGCCAGAGGAAGGGGAAGGGGACGACGACACGTTCGACGACGACACCGCGTTCTATCAACAACTTCTCCGCGACGTGATCGCCTCCCGCACGGGCTACGACGCAGCAGCAGGGGCAGGGGCATGGGGTGCGGAAGAAGAGAGCTGGCGCGCGGTGCAGCGCCAGAAAGCGCAGAAGAAGAAGGCGTCGTCGAAGAGCGTGGTCGACACCAAGGCGAGCAAGGGGCGTAAGCTCAGGTAAGAAGTACCCCTCCCCCCCACCTCCCCCTCCCTCGCTCCTCCGCTTGCTCACCGCTTTCGCGCTCCTCCATCTCAGGTTCGAGGTGCACGAGAAGCTGCAGAACTTTATGGTGCCCGTGCCCGTGCCCGGCGCGTGGCACGAGGCCCAGGTCGACGAGCTCTTCGCGTCCGTGCTCGGCAAGGCTGCTGCCGTCGCGGCCCCGGCGGAGGAGGAGGAGGCGGTCGCGGTCGACGGCGGGTTCCGTCTGTTCGGATGAAAAAAAAAAAATGAAAAACCTCCCTCTTCTAACTTTTCTCGGCCCACGCCCGGCGCCCCAAGACCGGTGTCGAAGAGAGAGAGAGAAAGAAAAAAAAGAGCGGCGGGTAACCTCTGATCGCGACGGCGCGGCCAACTTTCGTGTCGCCTCGTGAATGGCGGCCATCTATATCGTTCGGTACAACGCCCATTCCTTGGTCGGAGGGAAGAACTCGGGTTTCGCTCGCCCACCCTTCCTATACGATGACGGCCCTATGTTCTGAAGGGGGTGGCGAACATGGCATTGGTGCACTCAAGTACGAGAGTCGATTTTTTTTTTTCGTTAGCATAAAAGTATCATAAAAATTACACTGAAATCGACACGCGGCGGTACCATTGGCGCATCAAAGAGAGATTCGAACGCGTCCGGGCGCAGATACGGTTCAGAGGCCCGCTACGGGTCCGGCGACGGCATCTCTCTAATGTCCGAGAACGAGTCAGCCTCCGTAGCGAAAAGAAGTGCCTACGGAAGGAGCTCACCAATTACACCGGTATGAGCCCAACCCCCGGGGGGTAACACCTGCAGTGCAGAAAGGCCAGGCGACTTGAGTCAAAATCGAGGCCAAAAGATGCGCTCACCGGCGAACCGATACCACGAGATGGGCATAGTCCGAAACAGCCGTTGGCTTCCCCCGAAGGGTACTAGTCCCCCAGGCCACGAAGAGGCCGGCTGCCGAACCGCCAGCGATAGACGCTGGCGATCCTATTCTGGGGGAATCTTGAACTTGAGGACCAGGGGGACCAGCGACCAGGGGACCAAGGGGGGCCAGGGGACCAGGGGGGACCGCGACCAGGGGACCAGGGGGACCAGTGACCAAGGGGAGGACCAGATCAAGGCAGCTGAAAGCTAAAGAAGGAAAAGCGTCAGAAGGGTCAGCTCCAAAAACAATGTCCATGCCACGTCAATTTATCTACGTCTATCTATCTATCTACGCCGATCCCAATCCCGTTCCCAGTCCCAATCCATCGAGCCTTTTTCGATTTTTTTGATTTTCCGATTTTTTTCGAGTTTGATTTTTGACGAGCCGAAGGTGGCAGCACGTAAACGGGTTGCTGCAAGAAAGCTCGTACGATTGCGGCGTCCCGCTCTCGATCTATATAGCGCGAATGCGAGGTCAGCGACACGCGACGAGCGCACCAGCGTCGAGAGGCTTACCGAGCTCCCTCACAGCATCGCGACCATCCTCCCCAAGGTCGATCTCTGAGGCCTCGCCGGCGGCATCCCTTCCGCGACGAAGCCTAGGCGACGCTCGAAGATTCGGATCCCGTTTCCATACGACCACCTTTCCGTTGGCGCTCGAAAGTCCGGGGATTGTGCCATCCCTCCAGGGACGACGCCGCCAACGACGACGACCCCTTCGAGCGCGTGGAGGACACGGTGCCTGCGGGACTCGCACCCTAGTCCCAGAGGCCATCGGGCGGCGTACCCGAGGCCCCGTGAGGACCGCCTTAGAGGCGGCCGGCCCTCACCAGGGCTTGTCTGACGAACTCCTTGAATTCATCCTGGACACTATGTATCAGTATATGAAGGCGCGCAGAAGCGTGAAGGAACGTACCCCGTAGACTTTCGCGTACTCCTCGGCGGCCTCCATATAATCGAATGAAGGCTCGGAGGCGATGGCGGCCTGAAGTTGAGACTCGGAGCAAGTCATGCGCGGAGACGACGCAGACGTGGAAAGAGGGGTGGGAAGGTCCTCCTCTTCGTCCTCCGAGTACGAGCAGATGCTTTCCTCATATTCAGACGCCGAATCGGCCTCCTCTTGAAGGGTGCGTAGGACGACGATGTCGATGCCGTCGAGGACGTGAAGAGATCGGAGCCTGTTGAACTTGCGCTCCGCTGCCTCGAGATCGGCCGCGCACTCTTGGGCCAAGCCGGCCTTGATATAGCCGAGCACTCGGGTGAGTGCGTCGACCTCTTGTTCCAGGGCCTCGGCGACGTCCTCAGGGAAGGCGTCGAGGTCGACCGAGGTGTAGTTTTGAGCAAACTCCAAGTAGTCCATAGAAGGGAAGGAGCCAATTGCGAAGAACTGGAGTTCGGAGAACATTCTAGTTGCCAAGTAAAGGGGTAGATAGGTGGACAGGGATAGTTAGAGTAAGTAGACTATTGGCAGGGGATGAGATGGCTAGAACTAGAATGTTGAAGGTCAGTACGACGGATATCCTTGGGCTTTTATACGCGCTCAAGAGCGGAATATGCGGAAGTACGGACATACATCATACCGGCGCGGGACGTTGTACAACGTCCCGCGCCGGTATGATGTAAGTCTGGATGAGGGAGGAGAGAGGAAGAGGTGCATCCTCGCGCGCTGCAGCGGAAAGCGCGGTTGTGGCTCTTCCGCATCCTCTTCACTCACATCCTCGAGTTCGCCTAGCGCTAGGCGAACTCGAGGATGTGAGTGAAGGCCTTGCTCGAGATTCCACATTCAACATTCTTAGCTGTGTGTATCTCATATCTCATGCATCGACAATCTACAACACGACCAATACGATGGCAACAAAATGCATCTTCTCCATACGAAGGGTATCCATGAGCTGTTCGGCTCGTATTCGGGAAGCGACGTACTTCTTGGACGGATATCTTCGGGCTCAAGGTGAGCAGCCATGCTCGATGGAAGAACTGCATGCCGTCCTTATTCGAGACTCCTTCAGATCAACAACCCCATGCTCATAGCCGACAGAATCGCAGAGACGACCGGCATCGCCGTGTATGTTCCGGATATATTCTTCGGTGAGTACTCGTATAGCTCTGCTCGTTGCTCGCTCCTTGCTGATGGATATTCAAAGGTGAAGCTATAGACGTGGATACATTGCCAATCCCAGACAGCGCCGCGGCAGCGAGAGCACAAGGAATCGTGGCAAAAATTGTTACCGTTGCGAAGCTCGCCACTCACTCACCCTGTACGTTCAACGAGTCGCGACAAAAATATCTGGGTTCTAAGCGCTCAGACAGGGTTCATCCGTCACCGACCTGCCCAGCATCTCGCTCAAGCCCACGAACTGATTAAAGTTCTGAAGGAAGGAAAAGGCGTGAAGAAACTCGGCGCTGTAGGGTGTGTCTCCCACGTTGCATACCTGTAAACGGATTGTGCAACAGCCTCGCAGGTACTGCTACGGCGCTTTCTTCACGACCCACTTCAACGCAACGGGCGACGTGGACGCGTCCGTGCTGTGCCACCCCTCCCTCCTGAAGCTTGAGGGCTTTGAGAAGTTGCGTGCGCCGACGTCTGTCGCGCTTGCTGAGGAAGATCACGCCGTCGACCGCAAGTTTCAGGCGCAGTTCGAAGAGGTGCTGAAGTGCAAGGACTTTGAGACGGAGGTCGTGCTGTACCCGGGAACCGCACATGGTTTCGCTTGCCGGCCCAATTTAGCCATCGAAGAAGTCAACAAGGCATTTCAGGTTCGTCGTGGGGTTCAACGGGCGTCCGTCCTCATGTTCACACGTATTCCACAGGGGTCGCTGGCTCAGATGTGCTCTTTCTTCAAGCGACATCTGATTTGATCTGTATCCAATTATAATGAAATTACATATCATTCGTGATCTTGAGCCTGGTTGAACACTTCCTCGGTATACATGGCATCACCGGCGGATTTCGACGATGACCGGGTCTGGTTAATGGTCACGAGTAACATTCGCGAAACGATCCCTGGGGTAATGCTCTGATTCGACACAGTCATAGGCCTACACGCCAGTCAGTGAATGGATACTTCGGCATAAGTGGGAGTACTCCCCCGGAACTCGATTCCTCTCCTTGCGCATTCCCTCCTATATTTCAAGTTAGGAGCAGAACACCTCGTCGCAGATCGTCAATGCCCGCAGATTCGGCAAATACCCGGAAAACTAGCGTGCATAGAGTGAATGTGGAGATATGTTACACATGATGACATGGCCTCAAGATCAGATAGCTTCATGTTTCCCTTATGCAGACACTTCGCGGTGTTCGCCTTCGCCTCCCATACGGTCGTACCACGCCTTGCCTTCCGTGGTAGGTGCGATGTAGCCCGCGCGAATGACGAAATCGCCAAATCGCTCGCCTTCTGACCGCTCGAGCGCGTAACGCTTGATCATGGGTCGGAGGATAGCGAGGATCTCCGGCTCCGACACGGACTCTACAACACCACGGGATTGAGCAAGGATGGATAGGATAGGAAACCGGGATATCGCACCTCGATAGATTTTGTTGAGGCGCTGACCGTAGTAGCCGCCACCCAGCAGCATGAGATACGTCCCTGGCGCCTTGCCCACAAATGCCACCTCTGTACCATGGGAAGTTTAACGCAAGTAGAGTGAAGAGCAAACAGGACGACGGACCTGCTACGTAAGGTCTCGCGCATCCATTCGGGCAACCAGTCATGCGCATTACAATCGAGTCGTTGCGCAGACCATTCTCTTCGCATATTTTTTCGACCTTGTCGATGAGGAGAGGAAGATACTGCAAAAACAAGAAGATAAGCGACGTAGCAAGAGGATGGATAGGCAAAAGCGTACCCGCTCTGATTCTGCCATGGCAAGGCCACACGTCGGGAAAGCGACACAAGCAGAGGAAGAAAGCCTCAAGCCAGTGTGCGACAGGTCGTCCAGCTTGTACTCTCTCAGCAACCTCTTAATCTCCGGTACATCCTCAGGGGCGATCTCGGAGATCATGACGTGCTGGTTGGCTGTCAGCCTGAACGTCCCCTTGTGGATCTTCGCGATCTCCCTCAAGCCGGTCTTGAAGTTGCGCCCGGGCTCATCCTGCACGCGGCCATTCTCGATAAAGAGCGTGACGTGGTGCTTTCCGTCCTCGCCGACATGCCATCCATAGTCGTCCACGTTCCTGTCGAACATGTAGGGACGCGCGGGTTGAAGCTGGTACCCAAGCAGCTTCTCGACTGCCGACTTGAAGTTGTCGAGGCCCATACGGTCAATGGTGTACTTTAGACGGGCATTCTTACGGCTGTCGGACACAGGTCAGGCGCCGAGGGTATGGTGATACCGGTAAATGACTTACTCTACGCGATTACCATTGTCTCTCTGGACAAGCATGATCTTCTCCGCTACATGCTTGCCCTGTTCGGGCGTGCAGAACCCGATAACGTCCGCTAAACGAGGATACGTTTTCTTGTTGCCATGTGTGACGCCCATCCCGCCACCAATGGATACGTTAAACCCGGCCAAATCTCCGGCCTTGTCGACGATCGCGATAAAGCCCACGTCGTTGGCAAAGATATCAACGTCGTTCGTCGGTGGAACGGCGACTGCGATTTTGAACTGAAGTTCTCGAGGGATCAGTCCCCGGAGGAGAGCGAGCGATGCAAAAACAAGGTAAGACGCACCTTCCGTGGTAAGTAGAATTCACCGTAGAGCGGCTCGACGTCTTTGAGTGCCTCGCCCGCGACCAGCTTCTTGTCGAGCCAAATCTCATGATAGGCCGTCGTACGCGGTAGGAGGTGCTCGCTGACAGACTTCGCGAACTCGTACACCTGCGCGTGTAAGCGCGACAAGGTAGGAATAGCCGAGCACAAAACGTTCCTACACGTCGTCGATGAGCACTGCTGTATCCCCGTGAGAGGTAAGCAGAGATATTCACCTGTTCACGTCACCGCACGCAGCGAGCGTGTCCAACAACGCACGGTTGATAGCCTGAATGGACGGCTTGAGGTGCCGCTTGATCACGCCATGGAACTGGAACGTTTGCCTCGTCGTGATCTTGAACGTCGTGTTCCCCCTCTCGTCCGCGATCCTGTCCATCGCGAGCCACTGGCGCGGCTGGCACACCCCGCCCGGCATCCTGACGCGAATCATGAACGAGTACGCGGGCTCCGCGCCCTGCGCCTGCCGCTCATCGCGGATATCGCGATCGTCCTGCTGGTAGATACCGTGGAACTTCGTGAGCTGGCCGTCGGCGGGGGAAATCGCACCCGTCGTCGTGTCCTCGAGACCCTCGGCGATCGTCCCGCGGAGATAGCCCGAAGCCGCCTTGATGTGCTCGTTGGTGATCGGCTCCGGCTCCGCCTCGTGGACTTCGATAGCGTCGACGCCCAGCGCCTTCCACACCAGAGGTTCCCAAACCTTGTACCCCGTCTCCGGACCATCGGGATCCTGATCGTCGCCAAGCCCGATATCCGCGAACCGCTCTCCGCCCAACTGCTCCAGCCGCGCATTCAAATCCTTGCCCGCCTTGTTATAATAATGCGCGTCCTCCGGCCTCGGCCAGTAATGGCTATCTCCCATACCGAACACCGAGTACTTCAGCTTGCCGAACAGCTTCTCCCCGCGCGTCGCCGCCGCGTTGAGGGCCTTCATCAGCTGCCTTCCGTTCTGTGGGAACTCGCCCTGGCCCGCAACGGACGTCACGAACGCGACGTACTCTTCGTTCGCCAGGTCGTCGACCGACACCGAGTCCATCGTGGCCACCGTCGTGCTCAGCCCCCTCGCCTTCCCGCGCCCCGCGAGCCGCTTCGCGACCTTCTCCGCCTTGCCGCCGTCCGACGCGTACAGCACGAGCAGCGGCGGCGCGTCGATGGCCGTAACGAGCGCGTCGAACGCCTGCTGCGCGCGCCGCTTGCGCTCCTCGCGCACCTTGTCGCCGAGGTTGCTCACGAGCTCGGACGCGAGCTGCGGCTTGGACAACGTGAGCTGCGAGAGGTGGTTCTGCCGGTCGAGGAACTGCTGCAGCTCGTTCTTGATCGCGTCCGAGTCGAGGACGAAGGGCTCCTTGCCCTTGGACTCCCTGGAGGGGTCCCAACGGTACAGTGGCCAGTAGCCGGCGTCGACGGCGAGCTTCGTCTCCTTGAGGATCTCCAGCGCCGGTGAGTCGTCGGACTGGTAGGGCAGGTAAGCGAGGACGACGCTGGGGCCCGGGAACCTGTCTGCTTCGATGAGAGACTGGAGCACCTGGGCGTACGAAGAGTACACCGCGACGCTGGCGACGAAGACGTCGCCGTGGTTCATCGCATACAGACCCACGTCCTGCTTGCGCCTGTGCGGGTCGCCGTTAAGGCGTGCGCTGTAGGGGAGCGTATCGAGGATGAGAATGTTAACGTTCAAACCGGACGCGATGGCGTGGTGCAAGCCCGAAGCACCCAGGTCGTACGACCAGGCATCCGAGCCGATGATCCAGCGTGACTTCGGGGTGGACGTCTGGGAGAGGAGAGAGACGATGCGCGGAACGGAAGGATGCTTGAGCGCGGACGCGGAGAGAGCGGTCGCAATGCCCGCAGACAGCGCAGCAAGTTTCGTGCTGTCGCCCTTGGCCAGCGTCCAGCGGCTAATGAGGGAATGGAGATCTTCGGGAAGCGTGGAGTCTTCGAGAAGAGATTGGATGGCGGAGTTGAGCTCTGCCTCGTCGTGAAGTTGCGACCGCACGCGGCCCAAGGCAAATTCGGGAGACGTGGCGGCGGGGCCGTATGTCTCGGCTAGGGAAGGGTCATTAACAACCTCTAGACGATCAGAGAACAATTGTTGGAGAATTTTGGTGTACGATGACTCGTGCTTTGGGACGTGCGGGACTGCGGGAGCGTTGACCGCTGAGGGATGCGAGCCTAGGTATATGCGCTTTGTCGAAGGGGAGGAAAGTGCGGCGGAGAGCTCCTCGGAGCTGACGACACTGACGTCGCCGAATGTCGCACTGATGATAGTGGGCCGAGGATCCCGCTCCTGGAGTACCTTCACGGTCTCGAGATAGAACGGCGTCCACTTCATTGACCATTGCTGTATCTGCTCGAGAACCACGATGCGGTTGACGGACTGCGGGATGGAGGCGCTTAGATGCGCAGAGGGGAAGGGGCTAAACAGCGAGACGCTGATGAACGACGTGCCGTCTGCGTCGAGGTTCGCTCGTCCGAACGTCACCGCGACTGTTTCTGTGCCGGAGGCGCCGTGTTGCCCGAGAGGGTGCAAGGAGCGACCGAGAAAGGCCGAGGTCGCAGACGCGGCCTTGTCGTAGGCTTTGTAGAGGGGATCTTGTTCTTCGGCGTGGACATGACCGTTCGGTAAACCGTTCGCATGGGCTTGCTCCTCTTTCTCCGCCAGGAACGACTGTATGCGGTTCTCCTCCGAGCTGTCTACGCCTCCAGCCTGATCCGCAACATCAAACACATGCACGACTGCCCTCCTCTCCGCCTTCGCTATCCGACACGCGAGCAATGCGTGGTCGTGCGCCTGTTGAGGTGTCGAGGAGTAAAGGAAGTAGGGGACGGACGAGCGGAGGGTCAGCACGTCCGAGAGGTCGTCCTTCACGGCCAAGTGCAGTACCACGGGCGACGCTGACAGCTCCGGCGCGTGAACCAGCAGGCGGTTAACGGTCTGCGAGCTGGCGATCGCGGTGTAGGATAAAAGACTCGTCGAGGGGGAAGAGTACCTCGCGAGCGCGGACCCCGCATCTCCTCCCGCCGGAACCGAGATGATCTGCGCCTGGTGCGCGCTCGCGTATCGCAGCGTCTCGAGCGTCTTGCCAAACTCCGAGGTCGATGGCAAGGGAGGGTGAGAGTCCACCACGACGTCCGAGGCCAGGTAGGCGACCCGTGCGACCGCTGCGAACGCCGCCATCGTCAAATTACTCGTAGAGGTCGGTGTCCGATTATCGTGGTCGTCGTCGCGGACGGCGTCGAGTTGGGTAGCAGCGATAGTGGTACAAAAGTCGAGCGTGAGCGCAAAGGTTCGTGCCAGGTAAAATGGGCGGATAGCGGTTGGTCGGCGAGCACGCCATGCTTTCGGAAGGAGTCCCGACTTCGCTCTGCTTGCTCATCGGCACACTTTCCCAAAAGGCACGTGGCGGTGTGCTCAGAATGGCGCCACGCTTTTTCCTTTTCAGGCAATACGCGCGCAGGAGCGCGCCGTCTCGGGAGCCGACGGCCCGCGAAGTATACACACTGTACACAATGATCTCCTACGTATCCCTACAGTGTATATATGCGTCATAAACTACAGTTTACTAAGTTTGTTACATATCCCGATGGTTCGTTTCACGTTGGTTTCATCAGTTCGGTATTTCCTAGCACTCCTGAACCTGCGGGATGCTTACGCGTTCTTGGCGGCGCGCGCTTCCGCGATGACCTCCTTGAGCCCTGGGAACGAGTTCATGAGCCGCCTGACAAGTCGCAAGGATGGCGACACATACCTGAGACGATCCTGTCGATATCGCCGCGACTCGGCTCCACGACCGTAACTCCCATATGTCTGCCACGATGTCGCTATCAGTACAAGCGGCACCACTCAATAACATCACACAGCGTACCCAATACGGAAGTACTTGTCTGCGAACAGAAAACATCGCGTCAGTCCAATCGCCGATAACCTCAATTTACCGATCCGCACCTTTGATCTCCTTGTGCAACCCCGCCGCGACGATCACGCCCCTCGCTCCCAACCTCGGTATCACGTCCGCCGCGCTCAACCCCTCGGGGAAGTACAACGCGGTCATGCCGTTCGCCGTGAACCCCTCCTCCAGCGCGAGCGTCTTCAACCCGAGCTCCGCGCCCGCCGCCCTAACGCGCCTCGCCGCCTCCTTGTGCGCCGCAAAGCGGTGCTCGAGCGAGGGCGAGCCCTTGGTGATCGCGCTCAGCGAGGCGTGGAAGGCGTAGATGAGCTGCACTGGCGGCGTCGCGAAGTACATCGCGTTGCCGGCCTCGTACGCCCGCATGATGGGCAGCCATCTGCCGCGAGGAGGGATAGATGAGTATAGTTAGCACGGAAGGATCGCACGTAGACGCACTTCTTCCAGCTAGCGTAGAAGGACGTCGGGGGCGCCTTCCGGGTCTCCCAAACCTGTAAGAAGACGAAAAATCCGCGTTTAGGCCGCGCAGAGCGGAATGCGAGGTTCCAACTTGCCTTGATAGCCCTCTGACTCGCCACCAGGATGCTCAATCCCGGGGGCGTGCCGAGACCCTTCTGGCTCGCGGTAAGCACCACGTCGAGGCCCCACGCGTCGAATTGGATCTCTTCGCTGGCTACGGAGCAGACCGCATCCAAGGCGACCTATCTTGCGTTATCGGTGCGAAGAACTCTCGTGGGCTTCGAGGCAAAGATAACTCACGAGAGTATCAGGGGACACGCGGCGGACAGTTTCCGCGATGCCCCTCGCGTCGGACAGGACGCCCGTCGAGGTGTCGACGTGCGTGATCGTCACGATCTTGTACTTCTTCGCCCTGAGCGCGTTCTCGATCTCCGCCGTCGTGGAGACAGCACCGATCTTCGCCTTTAGCTGATCGACGTTCGCGCCGTAGACCTCGAGACTGTGTGCGCAGCCGCGATGAGAACGACGTTCGAAGGGTTAAGACACGAAATGATGAGGTGACGATGACGGGAATGAAGATCCTGAGGTGGGAGGCTGGCTAGCATAGCGTACCATTCTGCGAAGCTGTCGCCGAAGTAGCCGGTGTGCAATACCAGCGCGTTCTCCCCGGGCTCAACAAGGTTCGAGGATACCTACGGACGACGAAGCAGCAAAGCGCAGTCAGCAACGCTAGATCCCCACGTCAACACTTTGCGTTTGCTCACCTGATCCCATCCCAACGTGCCAGATCCAGCGATCAAGAACGGCTGGCCGGTGGTGGTGTACAAGATCTCCCTGGAAGATTCTCTTGAGACGGCGAATCCCGGAAGCCAGACACCGACGGACGCACCTCGTCATCCGTATACAATCGCCCAGGACCGGGATGAAGTCCGGGGAAACGTGCGACATCGAAGGGTGCGCATTGGCGTACAGAACATCGTCGGAGACCTCGATGGGTCCAGGGATGCTACATGGGCGATGGCGGTGAGCCGAAAGTTCAAGGCTAGTTTAGCCCGCAGCAAACACGGGGAAGATGTACGCACACTAGAAGCCTATACAGAGGGGCAAGGGGGGGAGAGGAAAGAACGATCGCGCAATCTAAGCACTTATGGCAATGTAGGTCAGAAGCTGCCGCGCTCACTTGTGCGGCTCCTGGCGTATTTCCAAGGCGGTGGAGGAGTGTGAAAAAATGAGTCTTCATCCAATCTATCGGCGAGTAGTCGCAGATCGCGTCCGCACCTGCGTGAATTTGTGTTCTGCCGCCATGGTGTGTCGATTCTAGTCGATGTCTGGAGCGACGAGGGAGGTGTTGGTACGAGTGGGAGTTCAGAAACCGAAAACAATCTCGGAGCTCGACTGAAAGATGAACCAAGTGGGCACACCATGCTCATTCGTGCCGTCGGACGGAGGTCCGTGAGCCGGTCACCGATCACGATGGGCCAAGCAACGTCGGCTTTCTCAGTATCTTACACTGTATACTAACTCCCACCACCTCACATCTTCACATCTTCTTCGACAGAAAATACGCTAGTGACTGCGTAACCGAAGCGCACGATAACGCGGTCATTACGGAGTGCCCATTCCGTTGGGCTCCTCTTGCCCGACGCGTTGATCCAACGCTCGCGCATATGGCGCCAAACGCGTAGCCGGATGGACCATATGTATGCAGCAATCGTACGATGCCTGAATATATGTTGCCCTTCGATGTTATTCACGAAGGCTTCAAGACCGGGAGGGACAGCATATGTTCCGTTGCTGGGCCATGTGAGTGCGCAGCGCAAAGCCATTCGAAGCTGCTGTTAGGACGAAGTATACGCTATTAGCAAGGCATAGTAACTACACGGAGAGACGGAATTACACACCAGCTCAACAGCTCAGGCCTGTTTATCGTCCTCGCCAGCACCTTCCGGGTTGAGTTCTTCAGCCACGGCGATGAACCTGATCAGCGGCATTCAGTCGGATGACTAGCACACGAGAAAGAATGAGCTCACTGAGCAGCATGAGTAGCCGACAACGTCCTCGAAGCCAGAATATCAACCTGCAGCTGCTCGCACAGATCGGCTGTGCGCGCGACCTCCTGCGAGAGCCGCGTCAGACTCTTCGCAAGGTGCGAATAGTGACGATTTTTGGCGGTGCCGGCCGGTTGTGCTTGGCTGTTCATGCTTGGCACGCGTCTTTGGTACACCGTGCAAGAAAGGGTCAAAGAGCCAGTAGAGGGGAGGGGTGAAAGAGAGACGCGACGCGACGCGATCGAGTCGCGGATTCGGTGTTTACCTGTTTCTTCGTCATCGCATGTCTGCAATATCGACCAACAATGCTAAGCGTGGTAGACCTGAGAAATCTGACCCGAGGCGGCTGGAGGGCACCACAACCAAACCAAAAGTAACGATTCAGGATGGCTGGGTATGGGAACCATTGACCTATACTGCAGGTGGAGAGCGAGCAAGTGGGTCTACGCGCAGGCGGACTTGTGGTCGACCACTGATCTGGTGCGACGTACGTGGTCAAGCTGGCTATGCTGCGCGTAAGGTTGACTGTGATCGCTCTTTCAGAATCGTCAAGATCTCTTGGACTGTTTTCCAGAGCTTCGCGAGTGTGTTGGCGGTATACTCACTCCGGGCCTCCGTGATATCCCTGTGGTCTTCATAGACCACCAGGACCGCTTTCTGGGCGGTCACGAGGGCGATGAAATGACCAACGTGGTCACTCTATCAAGGTGAAGCACGACATATGACACATTAGTCGGCCTCCGACTGATCCCTGCCATTAGCCTCTGGAGGGTTGACCGAAAGGGCAAGACGAAACCTGTGCCGAGCGGGAGAAAAAAGAAGCCTAAACCGACCGAAACCCCGATCCGGTTCAAGGACTACACTATTAACAAGCCAAAACTGCATGATTGTCCACAACCCCTGCTGAACATTGCCACTGAACCTCCTCCGAGTCGTCCCCAACCATCGGGGATGCAACCCATTATGGGTCCAATACGCATCGATGATGCATTTGTTTCCGAGGCAAATGCTCATCCTCCACCGCCGCGGAAGACTGAGGCGCTGATTGACGCCCAGAAAGCTGTCGGCACTGAGATCCCCGCTGACGGCGCATCCACAGGCGACGCAAAGGTTCATCGTTCCCCGCCGCCCCAAATCCAGGCACTTCTTGATGCAGACCAAGACAAGAGACTTGTCATGCTGCTCATGTCCCATGAGTCGCCACTCGGAACGCCTTGCGATCCTAGATATAAATATTATTGGCTTGGACTTTTTCGAGTTGCGTGGATCCGGGACAAAGACGTAAGAGCTAGCTGAGACCCGTTGTGTCATGTTTACCATCATCGTTTGCTGACTCATGTCTGTCTTTAGAACAAGGAGCCGCACAATCCGTCGCGGGAGCATTCCTATGGGGATGTCATACGATGGAAGTTTGTATTCTCGTATCACTCTGGCAGTTATCCAGAGCAGCCAACTGGATGGTGGAAGAACGCACGAGGCGCGGCCCCAGTCCTGCTTTCTAAGGAGAAGATCGATCAATACAAAAGGACGGTCCTTCCTCGTGACATCTTGATTACCGGTAAACGGCCTAAGAGTCCCGTATCCGATGGGTCCCTCTCTGAGGCGGGAACATCCAAAGGTCTTGCAAAACCTAATGGCGCATCTGTGCGCGAGGAGCTCACGTGCGTCGGATGGCTTTGTTCGACGGCTGGGTGCGGACGGCTCTTCCTCCGAAAGAATCTTTGGCACAACAGATGTCCAGAATGCATGGTACGTATGCACCCATCTGCGAGCCCGCAGCAATGCGGTTCCTCATACTATTCCTCATACGTTCCACCCAGCTCGAAGTCAACAATTTCGATCACCTTGAATACGCTCAGGATCCTTTCGACGTCGAGCGTTTCGGCACCGCTCTTGCCGCTCCGCGGCCCAGGCCTGGTAGTGATGAGCCTTCTCCGGAATCAGTCTGGATTCAAGACGGCGCGGATCAGTGGGATGATGGCGTCGTTACAACGCCGTATCGGTCGGTGCTCGACGAGAGCGAATACGCTGTGAAACACGTTGCTCTCATGCGGAACAAAGCCCTAATCGCACGAGCGTCCGAACGCTACACCGCGATACAGGTCGTGCTCCCATTAGAGCGACGTCGCAATCTGGGGAAAGGAATCAAAGGTCGGAATGGCCTGAGCTTACTATTGCTCATCTCACTAACATGATTCTTATTAGCTGATCCGTTGTTCGAACTTTCTGACCGGGTACCCCCCAGTGATTTGCAGTATCCTCTCGTGACGCAATTATCGCAGGATATCACGAAGTACGTGGATATCTACGTTGAGGAGCCTGAACAATGCATCAAGTACCTGCATATAATGGCCTGGACGCAAGAAGGTAGCCAGGTTCGTGCCGTCAGAATCCTTACCCCGCGTGGCACGCTCACAGGTCATGTAAGATTCCGCTGGACCTAGCCAATGAGAAACTCGCTATCCTGACCTACGGATGCTCCATCACTCTGTCAATAACTCCCGACGAGTCGTTAGCGAAGGAACTCGAAAGCTCGGGCAAGACCTGCCTCCCATTCGAATTTAAAATGGCCCATGGGGATCTAGCATACGTAAAAAAACGGAAGCTTCAGGTATTCTGATATCATCAGTCCGTGTCTTTGCTCTGACCAAGAACGTTCGCTGTTAGCTCAAAGTCAAACGCACTGGCCCGAGTATCAGTAAGTCTTCTCATACACTGTTCGCTGCAGATCTATTGAACATAAAATCCCAGTTGTCGTCGGATCGCTCTCCAAGGCCGATGTATAGACGTATAGCCCACCAAGAAGCAGCTGTGGCTAGCACTGTAGGTCTTGCAGCATTCCTGTGTCCTTCTGCGGTGAGCCGTCCGTCCATTCAATCTGCACATCGTGCTTGTGCCGCCCTCATCAATGGCTGCAGTTTGTCACACTGCACCGTAAGGTGTGTGCTGAAACGTAGCAGTCTGGACATATCTTGCCGTCGGACGAGGCTCAAACAGCGCCTTCGTGATCAGCAAGCCTCACGCTGTTGGTCGCAGACGCATGTTAACAGCTCTGAGCATTAAACAATCATGATGTATCTTGTAGCGCAATAGGAACAATCGGACATATATCGTCTGCTCGTCAGCAGTCCGAGTGCGCCCAAACCACAAGCCGTCTTTTGTAAGCTAGAGATCTAGAGCGTAGCAATGCCGAGCGCAGCCGCCACCAAAGCGAGGACACCGTTCACAGCGACGTTCGACGCGCCGCTGGTGTTGCTGGGCGACGCCGCAGTGCCAGATGCAGAACCGCTGGACGAGCTGCCGCCGGCCGGAGTCGTCGCGGACGGGGATGAGCCGGAAGCAGCGGATGCACCAGTGGGAATACCGAAGCCCTTCACGCTACCAGAAAGGGGACCAGGGCCGGCAGAGGCAGATGCCTGCATACGCGCACGTAAGATGATGTACGGAACACGATGATATGATCCCACTTACTCCAACGCCGACGAGACCACCTTCACTCTGACCGGGTGTACCAGACGACTTCTCCGCAGCCTGTTGGAAGGCGGCGAAGGTGTGGGCACCGCTGCCAGGCGCGTTGATGGCACTAAGAACGTCTCGATAAGGGACCTGGAATGGGCCTGTGCACAAGGACACCTACCCGACCATGCCGGCGGTGCAGTGAGGAGCCGGCGCCAACTGTTTGCAGAAGAACCTTGATCATCCCGCATCAGCTTTGCGCAGCGTTATATATGTAACGAGACATACCAGATAGCTATGCACGGAGAGGAAGATCGAAGATGCTATTAGTATTATTCAATCGCCTCGTACAGGCGTAGCTTACGTGTAGTGGCGTTCTATACAAAGGTTTCAATGAGTTTTGCTGTTCCAGCGTCGAAGATCGAGTAACTCACCGTGATGGTCAAGTTCCAGGTCGCGGTCGGCTGTCCGGGGCCGGGAACGAAGATCCAGCCGGAGTCAAAGCCCCCCTCAAGAGGCTGGCAGGGGCTCGCGAAACTGGACTGCGTGACAGTGTGGTTTCCGGGTCTAGACAAGGATGAGTTAAGCCTGTTTGTCGATATCTAGACGAGGTACTTACGCTCCAGAGAACTCGAAGGTGACCACAGAGCCCTCTGTAATGTTCACGCTGCTAGGCGAGAACTGGAAGATACCACCGGGAGAGTTTGCTTCCTTGAAGGGGGATTGTACGTCAATCCCGTGTCTCGTCAACGGAACGCAGACAGAATGCAACTCACGGCCCCGACTTGAATCTGAAAACCGAGGGTAAGTTGAAGGTCGCAGACGAGTTGGGTCAAAGTATTCTTACGGTCGTTTGCGCAACGGCAGCTCCCACAAGAGAGAGGACAGATACGAACGCGATGGAAGCCTTCATTATGCTTTGCAAACTGGGATGGGCTGGAGCGGGGGTAGAGTCGAGGATAGGACCTGAGAAAGCTAGCCCCTTCACGTTTTTATGGCCGTCCCTGTGTCGACCCACGTCAGCTGAAACTCTCCCGCCGTAGCTGCGTTCTTACATGAACCGAGTTTGTCCTCCAGTCAGAATCAGGGTGCATGGAGCAGAGCAATGGCGCGCAGCACGCTCGCGTCTGCATACCCGCCTTACCGACCGTTCGTTCGGAACGTCTCAGTGGCAACTACATCTGTTCCTCGCTGCGTCACATTCCCAAAGAGATAGGGAGACTCTCACAACCGACGCCGAATTGTCTCATGCAGAGGGCAATCACCGCAAATGTACGTCCGGTAATATGACTGTGCGAGAAAGCGCAGCAGCACGCCAAACCGAAGGGATTCCCGGACCCTTCGGCCAGCTGAAAACGGATGAGCTTCGCTCTCACGACTCGTAATTGAAATGACGTAATATCAATCGTTCTTTCCCAGGCCCTTTTCCGCGAGGCTTCCATACGTGCATGTGAACGACTGCGCATGCGACATCGGGGGAATGCAGTAAGTTTGGTCGTATGTATTCATCGCTTACAATACATGTCTTCTGGTCGACGCACTCGCAGGACCACATCGCAACGATGTGCACCACGCTCGCTTGAGGATTAGCTCAAAGCTAATCAAAGTTCGTGGGCATCGGCCCCAGCTTAGACGACGTGTTCAACACCGTCCGGGAGCGTATAGCCGCCTTGCTTACGGACCTAAAAGGCACGATTCAAGCGCAGAATCAATAGCTGCTTGCCACCGGGATGTACGGTCGGCGTATAACAAACCTCATCAAAGATCCGCATCGCCAGGAGGCTTTTCTCGTGTCCCCAGAGGTCGCTCTGCGTCTTGCCCTCTCTCACGCATCTCGCTACCTCGTCGGCCTGGAAGTGCCACCCACTGCCAACGTACTCGAACGACCGCTTTTCCTCCTTGACAATCTTGCCGCTCCCCGGTTTATCGAACCACTGCACGGTGAATGACATCGGTCTGTAGATCGGCGGTGCAATAAGGATATTGCCTTGGCGGAACCTGATAGTGGCTCCGAGCGCGGGCTCCGGAAGCGTCATGCTGCACGAGAGAATGGCTTGGGCAGAAATTGTGGGGAAGGTCAGCGTGAATGCAGTGCTAGCATCGACGCCAGTGCGCGGAGTCTTGAGCATGGCCCCGGATACGCCAGGGAACGCGCTTCGATCGTTCTTAGTATCCTCGAAGAGCGCAAGGATAGCCTGGAAACGCCGAAGGGACACGGGTGTGAGTCTTTCAAGTAACGAGCTTTGGCCACTACACATACCCAAACCAGGGGATATGGGCCGCTGAATTAGAAATGTATATGTTAGTATAGAAAACAAACATCTGGGGTAACACGTACAGATCTAAGATTGCTCCGCCACCCAGGTTAGGGTCTAACATTCGATGAGTCTTCGGAATATCTGGATGTCGCGCTGTGAATAGACTCGTGGGGTTATAGTCCAGGACACCGACTTTCGATATCGAAATCGCCAGACAGGTCAGCGTGCAGGATGTTCACAGGGCCCAAAGAGCCCTCGTCCATGATTCTCTTGACTTCCTGTATGCGTAATCACGGCGGTCAACCGGTCGCAGGAGATCAACGCGTTTTCGACCGATGGTACGAACCTTTACGAGAGGCTGGAAACGGGTCCACATCGCCTCCATGAAGAATACGCCTGTGCGAACGGTGGTCAGGTGTGCGTGGATGAGAAAGGGAATGTGGCAGTCACCATGTTCCTGGGCAAGGGCCAGAAGCGACTTCAGCTCCGCCGCGTTGCTTGTTACGGGCTTCTCGCACAGGACGTGTTTCTTCGCGATGATTGCATCTTTGGCGTTGATATAATGCATCGTGTGGGGCGTGCCTATGAGCATGATGGGAGGTTGAGATGATGCTAGGCGCGAGTGAGGCAAGAAGACCGACCGATGTAGATAGCATCGACGTCCTGTGCAACGACTATGTAAGAACCATCCATGGCGTTTTCCATCCTTGATGTAGAGCTCACCGGATCGTTGTATACTTCAGCGTAGGACCCATACGCTTTCACGGTCGAGTCTCCTGCGATTAACTCCTGGATGAACTTTTGGGCACTCTCGACGCTACGCGAACCAACAGCGGCGACTTTGTGCACGACATCGGTCGTCCCGCGACTAGAAAGCGAACGCAGCGTTATTCCTGGTCAGTGGTAGCCGCGTATCAGTTCAGCAAGCAACGCTACGTTGTCGGGTCAACAAGAAGGTCCTGCAGAACGCGATCAATCAACTTGCACACTATCGTGCTGGCTCGTGCGCGCCTACCTTCACAAAATCTGAGGATTCGTCACGAAACGATGTTAGCAATGCAGCTGCTCATCGTCCAGAAACAGGTCCTCTAGCAAACCTCCAGAGATTCTACCCGTAGCAATGATGCCCCACCGGAAGACGAGCGGCTGAGTGGACGCCATGGTCATCGACAGCACAGAGATAGTTGAGTGTCTTATCGCAGCAACGGGGTATATCTATCATCAGGCTCCTGCCCATCCACTCTCGAGCTATTTGCGCTCCAAACAGAGAGTGGGATCTAATTTTGGGGGATTTGGGAAGACAGGGGGAGATACCGGATTGGGACGATGGCAGTGCAAATATGATGATCCGAGGAATATCCGAATAGTCAGGTTGCGCTCCCCCACTATTCGGATATACTTCGCATCAACTCTACACTGCCACGTTCCTCTTATGGATTCTCCCCTAATGTCCGCAGTTGCCTATCTCAGCATCTCTCTCCACCAGGGAACTCGGATTCAGCCTTGCCCGACGCCCTCTGTTTGGAGCGCAACTACTGTAGCTGGAGAGTGGATGGGCAGGAGCCTGATCTATCATCATGATCATCGGTCACCGGTCACCAGTGTGCCAGGACAGGCTTCGAAGCGGGCCGCCAAGGGCGCCAGCAATAGTGCGGGAACTTTGTGCTTGGAAAGGCAATCGAACATCAGGGGCTTCGAGATGCGCAAGTAAGTTAGGCCCCGATCGGGACACCGGGTTGGGTTGGGTTGGGTTGGGTTGCCCCCGCCAAAAAGCGTGGGAGTCGAGGTGGCGCGGATGCGGGAATCACGCCAGGCAAGGCCGAGGAACTCGGAGTCACGCCGTCGAGCAGCGGTCAAGTTACAATAGATATTCATGGATTAATGGACTCTATCCTCTTTCTCCCGCTCCCTCTCATGGCTCCTGAGGCTCAGTGTTCCATTATGTCTTCCTGGGCACTGTTTAAGATTGTATTTGTAGCGAAGGTTAATGTGACAACGTGACTAATGGTGACAAATACGTTACATGTAACACGGGTCACCCGGCCCGGGCCTCAACTCAACCCAACCCAACCCAACCCAACCCAACCCGGTGTCCCGATCGGGGCCTTAGTTATTCGACCCATGCACGCATCCACCGCGTCGCAACTACTGATCTCGGGACTCAGTCGATCTTCAAGTTCATCCCTACTATCATGCCATTGGTCATGCCACGATGGCCAGCAGAGTTTTTGGTGAAGATGCTCGAATATATGGACGTTGATCTCTACCCGTTGCCCGCGTTACAAAAGACAACACTCTGCTGCTCGTTCAAGACGGCGACGATGGCTCCTCGGACCTCGTAACCGTACGTGGAATCCAGGGAAACATCGATCCTGACATGCTCCTCGTCAACCGGCACCGTCATCGATACATGCCTCGTTCTATGTACTCGATCTCAAGTTGCAGGCCCACGGCAACCAGTCACATTTCGGCGATTATCGTTCTGCAAGTTGTCAAGGGGTGCAATTCATGTTCACGTTCCCTGGTCCCAATGGACAAGGTGACAAAAGTCCAACGAATGCCTCTGTCAACAGAAAGATGGGCGAGAAGAGGGAGAGGAGGTGCGACGGCGGCGACATACAATGATCAAAGGGTGATAATGTTTGACGAGGGTAAAGTAACTCCCAAGGCCTTATGCATGATCAAGGGTGCGATGCTGGTGATTCAAATGCACGCTCAGGATTACTGCAAAGCGCTTAAGCGACCCCGAGCAGCCACCTGGCGCGCTACGGGATGCACCTTTTTCCTAGGCTTGTCCATACCTGCGAAGTCACTTTGTCTGTATGAGCAATCGTTTCCACGCAAAGCTTGCGTAGGATTACCTGCAGACCCGATAGGTCGCCCGCGAGTCGGCTGGGAAAATGTGGACTGCGTTTTATGGGCATAGTATTTTCATTAAAATCGTTGGTGCATGAGATGCGAGACAGCAGTATTCTGGCAGCCATCGTCAGTACACCTGATATGAACGTTGAACGTGGAATTTTGCGCAGGGTCAGGCGAACTCGGATGAGGATGCGGAAGAGCCACAACCACGCTCGCCGGCGGCATGCTCAGTACTCACCTTTGGTATTTCCAACAGAATCAGGGAATGGTCCAGAGGTTTCATATTCGCTCTCCATGAGAAGTTTAATCTGTGTTCGGACAGTTTGTAGAGGGGATTTAAACCAATGAATTCTCTCCAGCGACGCAAAGGCGTAGCGCAGCGGTCGTGGGCCGGAACAGATCGACGCTGTAATCCGTGCTGACCCGCAATCACGTTCGTCGCCTCACCGGTCCCGTCAGTTGTGGTACCTGGGAAAAAAGAACAGCTTGAATCGGGTCTTCGGTGACACAGAACACAGCTTCCCGTCGAACGTGCTTCGTTTGAGGCATTCGACTCGTTTGTCCTCACGCTGTGTCGGCAGCGCAGCAAATGCCATAGCCGGTTTCCGCTCCTCGGAATGATGGTGATGCGCCACCTCTGCTAGAACGATGTCTACTCCCTTCTTGGTGAAGCCCATCAGGAAGGCCATGACGCGGGATTCAAACGATTATGGGACTTGCGTGAGATGTGGAAATCATTGCGACTAGTACCCATTTGGCGACGGATAAAGTGTAAAAGCTGAGGTACCAATACAGTCCGCCGTCATCGCGTATGTAGCCTCGGTTCATCGCGCCAAGCAGACTTCGCATCACAATGCGATAATGACACCATGTTCATTATGAGATCTACACTTGTTTAGTATGAGCACCGGCGCCAGCGATCAAGATGGATCACGGAGCTGCCCTACGGCAAATCATAGTTAGCAGCAGAAGACGGAAGGCAAAGAGGGGACGAACACTCTTTCAGTGAGAACGAAACAGCCTAGCAGAGTAGCGTCAGAACAGCAGAACACCATGGTCATCGAGAATCGCTGCTGAGTTGCACTTCAACCGAGAGAAGGTACGGTTGAAGATAACTATCCACTATGTTGCCCCTGGTAACGAGGGCTTTTGTTTCAGATGCGCGCACCGAATGATTCTCGGTTGCGGTTCAGAATGAGCCTGTTGGTCTTCTCTGATTTCTGAAAAAGCATGGTATATTGGAGAAGTTACAAAAGTGAGAATGAAGCAGCAGTGAATCAGGGGTGTAAGGCTCAAGTCAACAGAGGCTATGGATGCCCGTTGGCGTAGACGTTGGTGCTTTTCTTCGCCTTTAGTTGTTCCAAGTACGTATGCGCCTTCCCGAGCATCCATATCGTAAAAGAGAACTTGAAGTTCGGGTAGGAGATCGCGCAGTTTTTGTTGAACACGCCCTCGATCGCTTCCTGCGCCCACGATCCGTCCTGAGTCGCATTTGTCAGTTCTCAGTCGGATTATCAACGGGCGAGAATCGCGCACGGGAAGCTGCCTGGACATAACCAATTGCACGGCGCGTTCGATGGGCTCCGGGTGCGGATACCGTGCGTACATCAGCGCCATCGCCGCCCAGGACGTCTGGACTACCTGCGTCTTCTCATGCTCCACCCAGGCGCTGACCTCGCAACTCTGCGGCCATGACGAAGGGACAAGTTAGCAAACAAATCAAACCATTCGTCCGTCAAGCACGGACTGACCTTGTAAGACTCGCCCCAGCCACCATCTGATCTTTGCCTGCGGACGAGCATGTCGCAAGCTCTCCTCGCCGCCGGGCTGTTCTCATACGTCTCCCCGACCAAGCTCAAGGACTCGAGCGCGAATTGGGTGGCATAGGTAATGCAGATGCCCCACGAGCCAATCCAACCACCGTCAGGCGTCTGCGATGCGTGCAGGTATTGGATAGCGCCTTCGAGAGTCTTTCTGCAAACACTTGTCAGCTACATCCTGTCATGAGTCTGTGTTTTCAACGCACTCAATATCGGCGGAGCGGTAATGGGGGTCGTGCTTGCGGAAGATGGACAGAGCAGTGATGGCGCTCGTTGTGCACTCGGGATAGGCGTACTCGATCATGATGTCGCCTACCAGGGACGTCGCGTTGAGAGTCAGTTGCAGCGACGCAGCAATCTGGAGAGGGCATACCGAAGACCTCCGCTGGGTTCAACCACTCCAGCCACGCGGGACCACGAATTAGTTCATAGGATGCGAAGCCACCACTAGGATTTTGCATGGTCAGGATTGTGTCGACTGCATCCCGAAGGCGATCTTCAGATATCAACTTGGGCGTGAAGCTATGCTTCGCTTCGTCAGAAGATCCGCAGAAGTCGAACGGAACCACTTACTCTAGATCTTGGAGGTACAAGACCGCCTTCAACCCTTCACCAGTGCAGTCGCTAACCGTATAGCCCTGCTCTTTGGTGCTGAAAGGCCAAGCGCCCTTCGTCCGGTGACGGTAGCTCGTCTCGTAATGCTTTGGGTTCTCCCTGATCTGGCACTCGTCCAGCCACTCGAGAGCATTTATCAAGCTCTCGCGGTACTCCGGCTCGCTGCCCAGCCCGGTCTCCACGAGCGCCTGCGTGACGAAACCGACATCCCACAGCTGTGAGCCGTTTGTCCCGCACATCATCATTCCCTCGGCGCCGATCCACATGAAGTCCTGCCTCTTCTCCATGTGCAGCTTATAGCTTTCCGCGGAAGGGCCATCGACGTGGAAGCGCGCGATGAGGTTCATCATTTTCGAAACCGGGCCGAGGGTCTGGTAACCTGTGTTTTCATCTTCAAGGACGATGAGGTGGTAGCAGCGGTCCAGGGCCGCTTTACGCAGAGAAGGAATGGGGTTTGATTCGTAGATGTTGAGAAAGATGGAGATGAAGTCGAAGACCCGGGAGTGGGGCATGTAGAGGTCAAGGGTGCAGATGTTGTTCCGCTGAGCTGGCCAATTGATGGACTCGTATTGTTGAACGTACAGTTCCTGTAAGTTCGGAACCATGAGTATGTTGATGGCCGTATGGTAGAGACATGGGTATTCACCTGGCGCAAAGCTCGAGTAAGGTCGTTCAACGGGTGTGTAAACCGGATGCCCTGGAGGTACGACATAGGTACCTGAACCGTCCGCACATGTATCCACCACCTATGCGGATGAACAGGCACCCAATCGGGCAATAACCACAATTCGGGCAACGAGCTGTTGTTCCCCTCCCACTCGTACACCCCCAAGATCGACAGCCAAAACTTGCCCCACGCCGGCGCACCCGTCGCGCCCCCCATCTTGTGCAACGTTCCGCGCGCCTTCACCAAAGCTGGATGCTCCGCCGAGACCCCAAGTAGACGGAGCACGACGTAGTTGAGCGCGGTGCCGAAAACAGTCGAGTGCCCTTCGATGTGGATGCCCCATCCCCCGTCTTCTGGGTGCGCGCGGTTGAGGAGATACCGTATCATCTCCAGGCGTTCTTCGTTCGTGAAGGGCATGCCGGTGACATAGCTCCCAATGACGAGGCCCGGAAGCAGGAACATTGGTCCGCCGTACTCGCCTGGCCAGTGCCCGTCGTCAGCCTGCAGATGCTTGTAGAAGGTGTATCCATTCCTTGCGGCCTCCAATGGGGTCTTCGGTGGGGGTAGAGAAGGTAAACCCGTAGGTAGACCGAGCCAGTACTTGTCTAGCTCCTTCTGCGGCCACGACGCGAGCTCCGTGTCGGACAGGTAGTGCCAGGTGTGTCTTCCACCCTCAGAACTACGCAGGCGCCATCGAGAGTAGTCCGTAAACGGCTGACTGGCGTCGACCGGCACGTCGACGGGAGTGTAACAGGCCATGTTCGTTCACCGAGTCCATCGTACGACTGCGAAGGTATACTCAGAGTAGCTAGATGTAACGTGACCGCGGCCCGCGCGAAGTCCATCCACTTCAGGAAGGGATCAGGATGCGAAAATGTAGATATACCACGCCATGCAAGAGCCGTCTAGTTGAATCCATAGAGGCGAGCACGCGGCCTAATGTGGAGGGATTGACAAAAAGAATAAGCAGTATAATGATTATGATAAACAACGCGGTGGCTACAACAGAGAAGGGGAGAATTCCAAAATCGCATGTGGACCCTTGGCCGAATAGTCAACCTTGCTGAGGAAGTTCTTCGCAAGAGGATCGTTGAAGGTGATCTGGTCGTTCGTTGAGTAATCTAGCCGGAGAGGAAATTTTGCAGTCGCAAAGAACACACCTTAGCCACAATACATGCCCCGAGGAAAGCGGCGTATCCTTCCCCGGTCTCGCGGTACTCCGCAAAGTACTCGGGGACCTTGATCGTCCTGATATATTTGGTCTGTACCTCATTTTGTTGGTCCGGGCTGGAGAGAATGTATGTGGCTAGCCGAGTCTGCAGGGCTATACCAATTCCTGAACGTCCAATGAGATGCGGTATGGCAAAACATCGTGAAAGGACAAGAATTACCTTTCACTTTACTGGTCACCTCTCCGGTGACAAACAGCCCGCCATAGATGTACTGTCGCTGGTCAACGTCGGCCAACGACACCGCCTGCGCGACGACATCCTGCAAGCCCAGCAGAGGCACCTCCCTTCCCGTTCCTTTCCAGTATTCCATCCCCGCCACCAAACTCGGGTTGAACAACGGCTCGCAGAACCTATGCCTCTCTTTCCCAATCGTGATATCCTTCTCCCGAAACGTGATCGTGACCAGGTCGAGAGCCTCGATCTCCCGCGCGCGCGCGAGCTCCTGTGCCGTCGCCGTTTTGTTCTGCTTTTTCTTCATCCCGGACTCGATCACAGCCTTCTCCTTCCCCGCGACGACGATGGCCGCGATATCCGTTACGCCGTCCTCGGACTCAAACACGTCTCCGGCCCCTGCCACCGCGGGCGCAGCCTTGATGAGGCCCGAGACGCGGATCTGGCGCGCGAGAGCGAGAAGGTCCGCGTCGAGGTCCGGGTTCGGCGGCGATGCTTCTGAGGATGAGGTCGATGGTGATGCAGACGCCGAGGTGTTTAGCGTGCCCATGACAGATGAGTTCGCTCGAAGGAGGTGGGCCAGGTACCGCTCGCAGTCTGCGGCGCCGACGGCAACAGACGACCGTGCGGGGTGGAGCACGATCCCGTCGAGGATCGGTGTGATGTCCGTGTGGTACTCGTCGATGTCGACGATGAGCCCGCTCAGCGCGTTCGCGGCGTAAAGCTGTGCTGTCGGGCGCTCGAGGATCGCGAACGAGGCGACATTGAAGCGTTCGAAGAAGACGCGCGCGGCGTTCTCGTAGGCTGACCGTGACAGGCCGGCGGGCAGGGTGAGGAGCACCGGAGATTCATTTTGGGCGCGTTTCAAGTGCAAGCCAGTAAATAGCGCATACTTCCTGTAGAGTACGGAGTCGTCAGAGGCATGACCTTGTAGCAACCGCCAATGAGACATAGATTTGCGACATACCACAGTGCCTCAGCTTGTATCCAGTCTTCCACATCCCCGTACTGGAAAGGCCAGAATATATCTAGCTCTTGCCCCGCCGCTATGGCGTCATCGAGTTGTGGTCCAACGACGTAGTCGGTTACTTTGGGTGTCGCAATCCCCTTACGCACGCCTACGCGGGCCTGTATTTCCTGCGTTGGTGTCTCAAAACGTGTCCAGACCATAGAGCGAGCGAGTGATGATCACTGACCACCGAGGGTATCTGAAGGAGTTCATGCAAGCCAAGTCCCGCTCGAACGCTCGTACGCGCGGTGTCGACCACGACTATGCTCGAATCGCGAAAAGCAATGTTGGACATTGGCCGCGGCGAAGGGAGGGCACCAGTCACGTTACTCTGCCGAGACGCGTTGAAGAACTCAAAATCAGATAGGCGCTCGGAGCGATCAACGCCGACCGAGGGTTAACTCAGTACTTATTTCTCCGCACACCGACTTTCTGTGCTGAGGTATTGAATGCACATCACTCGGTTTTGCCGCCTTTGGGGGACTGTCGCCAGCGAGACTCAAGAACGGATGAGTATGCGCCACGTGCAGAGCGCCATCAAACGTACCGTCTGTACCCTCGAATCAGGGATCTGAGCTGTCTGAAGCCGAATCTCTGAAGGACAATCGCGGACCGCGGAGTTGCTGGAAGTAGGCTTGGAGCGTCCCAGCTGACTCAACCGTAACCCGTCCCACTGCTAGGAAATCGTCACCTCCTTTCTCAGGGCGATAGGAGGAGTACATAATTAGCAACTCTTCTTGACGCCACTTGCTTAAGATGATGATATAGCCGTGCGACCACTTATTGGCTTGCTGAGGCCATCTATAGGTCGCCGGGCTACTGCGTAACCTTTAGTTGCTCATGTATCCAACACCATGATGCAGTTAGGCTTCCTGCGTTCACGCCTTGTGCATCACGACTGTTCTATCGTGGCGTTATCTGTCTTCAAGAAGGCATGTTGGAGTATCTTTTCTCTCATGCTGTCGCCATTCTTCGCTTCCATCTACCACAGTCGCAGCCAGGGTACTCGTCCCACCGTCATGTCATGTCAGACTCAGCCTTGGCCTTGTCAAATGCAATCTCACGCCGTCTGCTACTTAGACCTGAGTGTCTCATACCTCATCAGGATCCAGCAACTGTTACTCGATGATCACCGTCTTAGATGCCACTGTCGGCGTACTTGCAATATACATCAGCTACAGGCTGTTCAAGCAAAACCTTCGCGCCCTCCCCCGTCCACCGGGGCCAAAGGGTTATCCTATCGTAGGCAATTCGCTGCAGATTCCATCTAATCACCCATGGGAGAGGTATATGGAGTGGGCCAAGCAATATAGTACGTCAACTATGATCGGCAGGGTCATCTGCTGACGAGTTGTATCAGACAGTGACATTATTCGGCTTATCGCTCCTGGAAGCGAGATCATTATCGTCAGTTCGATGGACAAAGCTGTTGATCTCTTTGGTCAGTTCGCCTGCTCTCACTCGTCTGAGGGAAAATCAGTGATGATAAGCTCGGTGTTGTGCAGAGAAGAGATCCGCAATATTCTCGGACAGACCATATCTCCCAATGATTTGCGGATTGTAAGCACCGACTGGCGCCAGTCTGCCCTGACATCTGATTTTTTGTTTGTAGGATTGAGCTATCCCGTTGGAACCTAGCTCTGATGCCCTACGGAGACCTATGGAGAGACACGCGGAAGGGATTTCATCGGTATCTCGGTTCGCAGGAGATGACATCTGTCCGCCCGAAGGTGCTCGAGTACAATCATAAATTACTTCGGAAGCTGCTTTCTGAGCCGGCCGAGTTTCTTGCGCACGCTCGCGCGTGAGTAGACCGATAATTGTTCTCTTGTATTCTCACTGCTTTGCAGAGCTCCGGGGGCGCTGATATTAAACGTTGCATACGGATTCAAGATCGCAGACTCAGATGATCCCTGGCTTCATCTTGTGGACTCCGCAAACGAGGGACTCATAGCTGCAGCCATCCCGGGTGCATTTCTGGTGGACTTGCTACCATTCCGTGAGCCATAACGACAAAGATAGTCTCACTCCTAACTCGAGGACGATCACAGTGAGATGGGTTCCAGCATGGTTCCCAGGAGCTGGATTTCAACGTACGGCCAGAGAGCTAAGAAAACTCAATGCAGACGTGTATACCTTGCCATACGAAGTGAGCCACGTCTGCGGATGGAGAGGATGATCTGATCAGCGTATTGTGCAGGATGTGAAACGCCAGATTGTTCGTTATTCATGACGATGATATATGCCCGTGTGACATGATTGCGCCAGTTACACAAGGGATCCGCGCCTGAATCAGTCACGCAAGCTATGCTTTCGGGTCTCGACGTGACCAACATTACCGAATACGAAGAACACGTAATGAAGGTTAGACTGTTGAATACGTCCCGAGTCATGATCAATGTTTCAGCATAGTGTGTGCCTGGAATCATGTTCTCCGGTACGTTGTTAACTCGCCTGCGAATCAGTATGATGATCTGACGCGGTGCTCACCGTCGGTTATAGCTGGAGCAGACACGGTACGTAGACCGCACCTCAACGTGTCTATGCATTTTCATCGTCTGTTACTGCACACAGACCGTAGCTTGTCAGTGAACAAACAGCGGACTATTCGGGACACGCTAACAGATTTCACAGCGTTGAAAACATTCCTCTTGGCGATGATTATGTACCCTGATGTGCAGCAACGTGCACAGGATGAAATTGATGTTGTACTGCACGGTGAACGACTACCGAACTTTGACGATATGTCAACCATGCCATATACGACAGCGTTGATGAAGGAGGTATTAAGATGGCATTCTCCCACGCCGCTGTAAGTTGCTCTCGCCAATTTAGTGCATGTATCATACCCAGATTGAACTTGTATGATTTTCACAGGGGTGTCGCAAGGAAGAACACCGAAGACGATGTATACGATGGATGCTTCATCGCAAAGGGTAGTATCGTAATACCCAATGTATGGTGCGTGAATGTGTTCCCTTTGCCGTGATGATCATTTGGTGACGAACTCAGGGCGATATCTCGAGACCCAAAGTTTTATCCAGGTGATCCTGACTCTTTTAGACCTTCGCGCTTTCTCGATGCATCAGGTCAATTGGATCCTTCGGTGCTGGACCCGACTGAGTTCTTCTTTGGCTTTGGTCGGTGAGTACGCTGGATTTTCAGACGCACCTGCGGAGTCCTAATGCACACATCATAGCCGAATCTGCCCCGGGCGTTATCTCGCTCAAGATTCGATGTGGATCATGATGTCCTCGATCCTGGCAGTGTTCAAGATATCCAGGCGGAAGGAAGACATTGGGGTGAACCTGGAGCGGTACACTACCGGTATCATCATGTAAGCTCATAATACTACGCCGGTGAAGGCCCCCACTCAACTTTTCTCAGATCTCCGGAGCCTTTCGAGTGTATCATTGAACCGCGGTCACCCCAAGCGGAGCAGCTAATACTGGCACAGGTGGAAGCATTGTAACGGTACATATGAGAGGGACAAGCTTCAATCCAGGAGACACATTCTGTAGCTGGTTGGTTCCAACTCGTGACCATACATTGCCCACCGAATTGATGCGCCCATACGACAAAGGGGCACTAATGTCATGCCATGTTTGGTATTGTGTCGAGCGCACCACACGCTAACCCATGGCCAGATAGTATCTCCCGACATTCTGCAATATCACTCTATCGTCATCCAATGCGAATTCTCTTGTGTTTTCGTCGATGAAATATGCTGACGCGCGTTGCGCGACGCTCAGATGCTCACAGATGGGCCATCGCTACACCTTACGCTCCTGCTCGCATCGAAGTGCCTTTTCAGCACCCTGGCCTGACCTCACACGACCAATCGATGACTCCCATGGCTCTGCAGATGCCTCACGCGAATATACCGAAGGCCTACACGAATATATTCTGACCGGAGACACGCTAACAATCTATGATCATACATTAGTCACCAAATCAGCGAGTGAATATATATGAGGGGGGTGGGGTGTATTAGTACTGTGACAGTGTTAACACTAGCTATCTCCAAGTCATACCATGGGTTACTCCATGATCTACCACTCCAGACGGTTTCCGTCGTGATTCATGAACTGGCCCCCGGCACTCTCGCGTGTGGCCCCGTCTATCAAAGTAACAATCTGGCCTGCGACCACCTCCGGTGGGACGAACTCGGCCTGCGCGAGCACGTCGTCCTTGGCGCATGCAGCGACAGCTGAGGTATATAATCAGCGCTCCTGGTTGGCGATCACAACGTAACACAAAACACGCACTCATGCCGGTATCCACCGCACCGGGGTTCAGCGGGAACACGACTAGCGTGCAATGCGTCAACACGTGAACGGCAGCAGTGCTACAGTGAGCAAGAACGCACCGAGACCGTCGCTCTCGTGCTCATAGTGCAACTTGCGCGCCATCCAGTTCAGGGCGGCCTTGCTGGCGCTGTACGCAAAGAGTTTCAGTCCAAGCGGTGGGGCGAGCGTTATACTGCCTCCATATGAGGAGACGGGGATGAATTTGGGCGACTTGGTGTTCGCGACGAGAAGCGGATAGGTCGCCTGGAAAAGCACTAACGTGCCGATCAGATTGACCTATGGACCAAATTTAGCGGTGAGGACGGAGAACCAGTGTCGGCGATCCGTACGAACCTCCATGTGCTCCCTGACAGCTTCCGGAGACTCGTCCAACACCCTATTGACCGACGATAAGACACCTGTTGGCGTACTTCAGGCCATCAACTCGCAACAACATCGGAACGGCACCTACCAGCGTTGGCAACCACTACGTCCAACCTACCCGCCAGCCGCTTGATCTCCTCCACCGCTGCGTCGTTACCCTGCCGATCTCCAGAGACCAGCTTCACGACGTGCAGCTTCCCGGGATATTTGTCCGCCAGGGCGTGCAGATCCTTGGCAGCGGACGGGTTGCGCGCGCCGGCAAAGACGACGGTGTCCGGTTTCGCTGCGATTTCTGTCACGATTCCTAAACCTAGGTGAGCAGTATCTGTGTTAGGAAGGGGATCAAATGGACGCGGGACGGCTTCACGCACCGATTCCGCGATTCGCGCCCGAGACGAGCCAAACAGTTGGATGGTTACTAACCATGGCCGCAGATGCTGGTCAGCGATAGGGAGTTATCCAGTGGTGATCCGACTAGGGTTCTTATATTCGTGCCGAGGCTGATGTGGGGCTCCGAAGATCCTGGGAGGACTTGATCCGCGGCATCCTTGATCGTCCGAGGCGTCTGTGCTACGCATGATACGGGTCCCGTCCGTCCATTATGAATGCCTCCCTCGCGTTGGCAAATCCTACCATCATGCACGACATATCAGACTTGTTAGTAGCTATCAAAGATGTAGATTGTACGCCGACGCACCAGTCGGACTGCATCTCGAGCTGCGACGTGTATACAGCAGTGTGAGTTACAGTTCTGCGTTGGCCTCAATCCTGACTTCTTCGGGGATATGATGTCAGAAGGTCGCGCATTGCCAGGCCGCGCACTTGCGTGGCTCGTCGGCTCCAGCAACCCGAGACGTAGGTCGGGAACCAGTGGACAAACTTGTAGTTAACGTTCAACCGGGCGAATATCGTGTACAGCCACCACAACTTGCTCGATCGTCTTGTAAACGTGAGTAAGGGGGCGCCAAGCGCCGCGTCCGACTCCCCCATGAAAAGGATCCCGGGCAGGAGACAACGCCGGTCCACAGTGGAAAGGCACTGGCTGATGTACTCAAAACCGACAGGCTCCTGCGCTGTGTGCACACCACATCTTCTTTTGACCACCCACAACTTCGGTAACTACTAACTACTACCGTATTGTACATTTTTCTTCGGATTAGATCTGGGCAGAATTGAGCATCTCACATACTCCCAAGGCACATCGTGCGCTGGTGCATCACCTTCCGCTCTTGAGGATGGTCTCTTAATTGTGATGCACCACAGATGATCCCATATCACTGATGAAAACTGTACTAGAGATATGAAGAAATGTATTAGTGCTCTCTAGAGATTATCTGATCGGGACTGGAAGCGAGTCAGGCACATCTTGTGGTGAAACATGGTCTCTGCAAAAGTGAACAATTTCTTCAAAATCAGCGACTCCTTTGATTCACTGGAAAACTCGGATCTAGGATATTAAAGCATGAATCTACCACCAAGTATTATATCAAGGCTTTCAGGTTTGTCCTTCATACGGGATTAATGTTTGTATCAAGGAGTGCGGCGGCACCAAGCAGTGCCTGTACACTGTACCCCAATAGGCAAGTGTCATGGTGCTTCGACGTATAGCCACTGGCGAAACCTTGAGAGACTATGATTACGTAAATAGTCATGTTTCTCCCACGATCAGTGGCAAAGGACCATGGGAAACTGCCGCGGCTAAGGCCGTTTCATCCCTGAACTGATCTCCATATTTATGTAAGCAGTCCCACACCTACAGCTGTCACGCTCCCACGCCAGAGTCAAAATCACGCTCTATCACGCCTTCATCACGCTTTGGCTGAGGGTCACGGATTTGTCACTGTGACCGAAGTGGTCGGAAAAAGAACCAACTCCTTCCCTTCGGGGGAGTCGGAATTGTTTTACACTCAATCAGGCCTAGTCATGTAAGCACCCACTGATGCCAGGTCTTCTCAACCCACTTAGCTTGCATACCTAGGCTATGACTGAGCAATCGCATCTACCTCCGGATGGAACTCATAGACACTGCACGTTGCTGGCGGCTTACAATGTCTATGCGCATGAATCCATGAAGATTGGTCGGGCACTCGACATTGTCGACCGTCCCAATTCCGATCCCATAACCATTTTGAGACCCCTTGCTACGATTTAACTGGGCATCTTGTAACCTGGATGACCTCTCCGTGGCTTCTTCTGACTCAGGGAGCTGCGATACCGACTCCATGACTTAGTGACCAACCCCACTCCCTTGAGCTTGGAACCTGAAGGTTGAACTTGCTCTACTTCTTCCCTCGTGCGCTATAACGACCTGGGCCTGCAATGACAATCATGCCCTGTCTTGTCTATCCTTAGGTGGTCCGCGCGGCTCAACTCGACGTCGCGGACTGCGAACGGACTGATTGAACCCACCCCGAACGACTTCGCTAGTACACAGTCTTTGGATGATCGGAGTCTCGCCGTCTATAACGAAAGAGTGGTGTCGGCGAGATACGACCCTGAACTTCACGCCAGCCAATGAAGATCCGAAGCCAACCCATCGGCACTCCTTTACACACGCACAAACCTTCGTCCGAAATAGAACTGTACCCCGAAATGTCATCTACGCTGCGGCGCACTTGACCGCCGCCATGTTCTGCACCCGCTGGCCCTCTTTTCCTTCCAAGCTTGGGTCAACGTACTGTGGAATGCTAAATCCGTCTCAAAGTCGAGAAACTGGCATTCGAATATTGGTCCTTCATCCAGACGAAAGACCGTGGGCACTCGTGTCAGGGCTATGGGAGACGAAGGCTTAGACTTTATGAGACCGCGAAATCATGATCACGGAGCTTTCAGTACCCCGAACATTGAGCCCAATCACATTCATCGGGGTGCCTCTCCTCTCATGCTATCTCGATCATTTGCTTCCGTTGACGGACAGAAGCAAGGCTGCCACACACATGACGGCTCAGCGAATAGCACTGCTTCAGAGCCAATACAAATCCCGCGGCATCTAAGACTTTGATAAGAGGCATCCATCCAGAGCGAACTGTTGGCTAACCGCTTGAGCTTCAACGATGATTACTGCTCTGGATACCGCTGCCGGGGCGTTGGCCCTCTTTCTCGGTTACGGGATCTACAAACGGAGGAAACAGTCCTGCCCTTTCCCCCCAGGCCCGAAAGGACTTCCGATCCTTGGAAACTCCCTGCAGATCCCCGCGAAATATCCTTGGAAGAAATATATGGAGTGGAGCAAACAGTTTGGTCAGTCCTGTCGAATCGTGATATCACATCTGTTGATGGGTTAACACAGATAGTGATATCATCCACCTTACCGCACCCGGAAACCACATCGTCGTCCTTAACTCTTTGGAGGCAGCTATCGACCTGTTCGGTGCGCCCGTTATTCTGCACGCGCGATGCTGGCACCCATTGGCCATGTTTTTGCGTTCTTCGCAGGGAAGAAATCGACGGTGTACTCCGATAGGCCATATCTTCCTATGGTCTGCGATCTGTAGGTGCTAGCTAAAACGAACCGCACTGGGAGGCCACTGACCTCGCACAACAGGGTCGGGCTTTCTCGATGGAATCTGGGTTTGATGCCGTACGGAAGCGATTGGAGAAACGCGCGGAAAATGTTCAATCAGTATCTCGGCCTGCAAGAGTCTAGACTACAACGCCCGAAGATGGTCGAGTATACACACAAGCTGTTACGCAGGTTGCTATCGGAACCAGATCGATTTCTTGAACATGTTCGCACGTAAGCTTTCGAGCACGGAATTTACTTCATCCGTTTGATCGCCTTCCAGAGGTCCGGGAGAGTTCATCCTAGACGTGGCGTATGGAATCAAGGTCGCGGAACCGAAGAACGATTCGTGGCTTGAGCTCGCAGAAGCGGCCAACGAGGCAGCCCGAACCGCATCCGCTCCGGGCCATTTCCTGGTGGACCTCCTTCCCTTTTGTGAGTCGCCAGGCTCCACGGTCTTCTCTCTCGGGTGAGACTGAGCATATCTGCAGTAAAATGGGTTCCTGTCTGGTTTCCAGGCGCCGGGTTCCAGCGCATCGCCAGGGAGCTGAGGCAGCTTAACGAAGACATGTACTCTCTTCCCTTTGAGGTGGGCTTTGACTTTTCACGTGGTGCTACATACTGAACACGGACGCGCAGGATGTGAAACGCAGAATCGTACGTGTTCGACTCTCTGATAGTTACTATCACAGAACTACCCTCATCGTCGCGCCAAGACACTTGAAGGGTCCGCACCGGAGTCCATAACGCAAGCCATGCTTGCCGGCCTCGATGTGACAAACATCCCCGATTATGAAGATTACTTGATGAAGGTACAATTTCTCGACATCTCATGCCATGGTGCTCGGCTCAACATGGGCAGTGTGTGACGGGAGTGATGTACTCAGGTACGCAATATCTGTGTTCATAAGTGTATAGCCAAAAGTTCATCGATCACTGCAGCTGCATCCGATACCGTAAGCTATTAGAAGTCCCAAGCTTAACGAAAGCTAATTGCCGTCTACTGACACGCACTGATAGACAGTCTCCTGTCAGTGAACGCAGTTCTGTGACGGTCCATCTCGACGGCTGAAAGCTACATTCCGAACAGCGATGAAAACATTTTTCCTTGCGATGACCTTGTTCCCCGAAGCTTAGGAACGCGCACAGGAAGAAATCGATTCTGTCGTACACGGGGAACGAGTGCCGGGAATAGAGGATATGCTATCACTGCCATACACTACGGCGTTGGTGAAAGAGGTGATGCGGTGGTATCCGCCTACACCACAGTAAATCGTCGACTCAGCCAATCATCGCACCCTTTCATACTCACGAATCATATCTATGGCCTAGGGCGGTCGTTAGGCGCAACACGGAGGACGATATCCATCGTGGCTACATTATCCCGAAAGGAAGCATCATAATCCCTAACGTTTGGTAAATTGTCTAGTATCTTGCCCAATGCTTTCACTCAATCGTGCAGGGCGATGTCTCGAGACTGCAAGGCGTACCCCGGTGATCCTGGTGTCTTCAGGCCTTCGCGCTTCCTCGATGCATCTGGTCAAATGGATTCTTCAGTCCTCGACCCAGCAGAATTCATCTTCGGTTTCGGAAGGTAAACGCAGCGTTTTCCATCCTACCAACATACCGACGTTCACCGCGTTGCTCCAAGGCGAATCTGCCCCGGGCGATACTTGGCTTATGATTCTATGTGGACCATGATGGCGTCGATACTAGCCACGTTCAAGATATCGAAATGCAAGGGAGAAGAACCCCTGGAGCTGTACACAACCGGTCACATCATGTAAGTGCACGGCCAAGCATCAGCAGACTCGAAGTCTGATTTCCATCGAGATCGCCGGAGCCTTTCAAATGCCTGATTCAGCCCCGATCGCGTCAACATGAACAATTGATCCTGTCGCAGTCCGCCTCGTTCAAATAGCTGAGCAAGCGCGATGACACATGCGCGCTCGATTGAAACTGGACTAGGGTGATGCCATACCGTCGGTCTCGAAGAATGTATGATGTAGTCATGCGCGATGCTGTTTGATGCCCTCTTGCTACCAAGGCTCACTTTGCCGGCCTGCAAGTGGAATCCCAGCCCGTGTCGCGTTGTGGCATTCCAACGCCGAAAGCGATATCACGCTGCTCTAGTCTTCGCCTGGCGCGCATTGGATACACGACCGATGAGGAGCCAAAGATGGCTGCGAATGGATGCTTATATCATAACAAATGATAGTCATACAGCATGGCGTAAGATAGCGATACTTCATGCCTGAGCCTCAGTGACGCTGAGCAAGTCAGAGTCACCCTGGTCGCTGATGGTCATGACGCTGTAGTCGAAGTATGTCAGCAAGGGTCATCGAATGCCGAGTAGATCACGACATACCCAACGCGGAAGAGCTTGCCGGCAGCAGTGCCGAGCGCGACGTTGGTGCCCGCGAAGTGGTGCACGGTCGTTTTGGAGAGCATGGCGTAGTACTCAAGCTCGGACTTGCGCAGGGGCGGGCAGTTGCCAGCGATGAGGACAAGCTTGGCTAGTGGTTCGAACGACCGAAACCGAGTCCGATCCATAGACAGCAGCCGAGCAAGTTATAGGATCAAGTCAAGCAGCAGCAAGCGACAAAGATCCACAGAAGGAGCGGTCATGAAATTAAGCACAAAGGATACGTCAGCTCAGAGGACCTTCTCGGCATCACGCTCCAGTCCCCGGGAGGATAAGCCAGGGAAACGGTGCTCACCCTTGCCGTTGCGCATCTGCTTGAGCGCCGACTTGTACCCGAGGGTGTACTTGCCGGACTTGACGACGAGCGCGAGACGCGCAGCGATGGACTCGGTCGACTTGGCGGCCTTGGACTTCTTGGTGGGGGCCATCGCGGTCGTCGGGTGGATGTCTTGAGGGAATGGGCGGAGGGAGTTGGTCGTTCGGAGAGATTCCGCGTGGAATGGGCTGTATAGTAGGTTCTCACGATCAGATTGGACGCTTACCGGACCTCCAGTGCCCGGGGGTCCAGTATGCGCTTTGACTCCGGAGCCTGCCTTCGGAGTCCCACGATTGATCGGCACGCGCAACTGGGCCATCCACGTTCTGCTGACGCTTGATTCGCTCGACCGCCTCTTGCGCTGTGCGGTGACCACTACTGGACCGCAATCTCATCTCTTAGACTGAACAGTTCTTTTGCGTTGCTTTCTTTCACATCTGAGCCACTGCTTGATTCATAACCTACGTACTACCCTTCTTCGTACTCGAACGACGCCTGACACACCAACCTCGCGATGTCCTCGGATACTTGGCCGCCTCAGTTGAAGTATGTGGATCATCCGACAGGATGAATAGTGACCCGAATTGTGATATACCACCCGCAGAGAATGGGTCGCGAAATGCTTGGGCCAGATGACGGACGGCAACAGGGCTGAAGCTCAGGCTGAACTAAGACAGGTAATCGCTGACGCTTTCACCGCCAAGACCCTCTGGACGACGGACTGGGCAGGCGTACAACTGAAGAGGTGGCTCCTGTGTTTCTTTTTTTTGTTCCCGTGACTACGCTAATCGTCTTAATCCAGCTTGCAACCGAAATCGCCGCCCGGACTCAACGGGTTGAAGCGCAAATCGTGAGTCGTTCAGTGTGGCTGCCTTCCACGCTTCTCGTACCAACTCACCTGAAAGGTTGTTTCTCCCTAGTGCGGAAATACCACTACAGACCAAGAAAGCCAAGAAGGCACAGAAGAATCTGCCGGTAGTACCAGATTTCAACGATCAAGCCGCGCTCAGTCGCCGAGCCCAGCGGTTCCGACGTGAGCACGAACTCGAACGGAAGAAGAATCATCACGGTCATCTTTTTCATAACGCCGATGCCTCTCGCTCATTTTCTCCATCTTCCTTTGCTGCGGATGATCCTGAGGCCTCTTCGAATACCATGGACTGGGATCGCTTTGCGATCGTTGGAACATCGAAGGAAATATTTAAGGATTATTTACGTCTAACATCAGTACGTCTTCCGTTCCCACCGATGCCGACATGCTCATCGTGCTCTCCAGGAACCGAAACCAGAGCAGATCCGTCCTTTCCCCGTCCTACAACAGACCCTGGCGGCTCTCAAACAGCGATGGAAAGAACAAGCATCCGGTCAAACGAGCTATAATTGGATATGTAGCCAGTTCAAGAGCTTACGGCAAGATTTGACTGTAGGGTGTCCTTTTGCGTACGCTTAGGGTGGTTCCTCGCTGACGCATGCTCTCAAATCTAGGTTCAACGCATCAAGAATGACTTCACCGTACAAGTTTATGAAATACACGCGCGAATGGCTTTAGAAATCGTGCGTTCGCGATGTTGTACTGATACGCTGCTCATGCCCTCCTTTTTCTTTTCCTGTGCATATGCGTACTTCTGCATGTTCCCGTCGGCGATCCATGAGAACAGGGTGACATGGTTGAATACAACGCTTGTCAGGCGATGCTCCGCGGGCTCTACGAGCTCGGCATCCCTGGCAAAGTGGAGGAGTTCACCGCGTACCGGATTTTAATGCTGCTCCACGGTCAAAACCGCAGCGGTGTGTTGTACTTGTTCATGATATGACCTCCACTGACTCGGGCAAATGTCCAGAATTAACATTGTACGTAGGTCAACTAACGCCTCAGCAGAAATCACATCCAGCCGTGAAGCATGCACTGGACGTGCAGCGCGCTCTTGCGACTGGCAACTACCACGCCTTTTTTGCCCTTTATCTCAATGCTCCGAACATGGGCGGATACATTATGGACCATTTCGTAGAACGCGAACGCGTCAAGGCGTTGATGGTCGTTACTAAAGCGTAGGTCGCTGCTACTTCGTCCTGGAGATGCGCTGTCCTGACCGTCCGCGTCTGGTAGATATCGGACGGTTCCTTTAACCTTCGTTCACCGGGAGCTGGCGTTTGACGACCTGCCATCCACGCGTGACTTCCTCTCTGAACTCAAGGCAGCGACATTCACCAACCCGAACGCAGCAGATAAGGATAAGGTCATCGAGTGCAAGCCGGCCGTTGCACCTCTGCAACAAGCCTTCGAAGAGAAGTACCGCAAGGTTCAGCTCAAAGGCCGAATATGATCTTCTTTCTCGACCTCAAGCTTTGACCCTGTCGTAACTCAAGACACCATCCGTTCGTTGTTCTACGCCTCGTTATCGCTTTCGTTTCCTCTCTTGTTATGGGATCCCTGGAGGAGTCGGGATTGTTCAGCTTCGCTACCTCGCCGCTCTTCCCGCAACATTGACGTCGATCAAGATGGGGGGCCGATGGGACGCGAGGAGCTGCGCAATGTGTCTGCACACGCATCGGTTAGTGCTACTCTAGGCGCGTCAATGTACATAGCAGTCGTTTCCGCAAGTCTTTCACTGGTAATATATGATTGCTCGCTCTGCTGCATGGAAGCCCAGCTGGTCGTGTGAATGGCCTTGCATTCACGATAGCTTATCGCATCGGCAGACCTGTGGTACGAAAGCAATCCATTAAGCAGGTTTACTACATATACTTGCGCGCCAGCGACGCCTTCTACTACGCTTCATCGACGTATCCTCCCTGCCCCCTCCTCTTCTCCCCGTTTCCTAGGACGATCGAGCTCCGGCCCGCGCTCGCGTACACCGTCTCCTGCTCGCCGAGCTCCGGCGGCGTGTACGCCGCGTCGGCCTCGAGCGCCGGGGGGAACGCAAGCAGGTCGACGTTCGCGGACGGGAGCGTCAGCTGGTGCGGGGGCGTGCGGGTAAGATAAAGCCGGAGAAGCGCGTCCTCGGCCGCGCGGAACTCGGCCATCTTGAGCGAGGAGCCGAAGCCCTCGCCGAGCTTGTCCGCGCCGGAGTAGACGCCGACGACGAAGACGGGCGATATGCTCAGTCGTCCGGTCTCTTTCAGCAGCCTGATGCGGAGCGCGAGGGTCAATCAGCGATCGAGTAGTGCCCGACAGGTTGGGAGAGGACGCTCACCGTGATACCGGTCGTTCTCGCCCAAACTTCTTCACGGTCTCGACGAGCGCCTTCTTCGGGTCCCGGAACTTGATCATGCTCCGGAGATCGACGTCGCGGCTGAGGAAGAACGCGTGCGCGAATTTGCGGGCGGTCGCGAGATCGCGATGAGTGAATACCAGGCCGACCAGCGCGCGGGGCACCGTGGCGAGCGCATCCGCGTGTAACAAAGCGGGTGTTAACGGCGTAGCCGCCTAGAGTCGATTGCAGGGTCGTCAGAAAACCCCATCGTAGATAACGAAGAAAAAGAGGGGGAGGGCGTACCGTCCGATGCCACCTCAACAATGGCGTCACGCCCATCTCCCGCGCCAACATCGAAGACGTTGTCGTGCCCACGTACGCGCTCACGGCCGCCTTCATCACGCGCGTCGGAAGGTGTGGATACGCCGAATGAACGTACTCCGCCGCGAACATCCCGAGCAGCGCGTTTCCCAGTGCGGCCAAATCCCCGTTCGTCGCGGGTTCCGGGAGCTTGAGCTTTTTCAGCGGGGCGACGGCCGAGGGGTGGGTGCACGCCTGCAGGACCGCCGCGAGGCCCTTCGGAGCAGAATCGATGGTACCCTCGACCGTCGTCGTCGTCGTCGTCGTAGACGTCTGCGGCTCTGCGAGGAAGCCAAGGCCTATACGGTGTGCGAACGCGGCCAACGCAGACTCGGGGGGAGGCTGCAGGCTGGCCCATTCGTCCACGTCGAAGAAGCCGCCGACCGTGCCCTGTTTTGGCGCGCGGCCGAGGGCTCGCCGCGGCGGGAACTCAGGCAGCGTCGAGGGGTGTATCGTCACCGGGTGAGGTCTTGGTAATGTCGCATGGGTCTCCGAGGGATGGTGGGGAACGGGTCGGGCGGCAAAGGTCGAGGACAGGCGTCTGGGTATTGGTGCGGTGGCAGCCGCTTGGCGCGCCGTCGCGGTGGAGGTGGACGCTGGCGGGGACGACGAGGACGATGACCTCGACGCGAGGCGGGTCGCCGCCGACGCTAGCCTTTTGTGCGTGCAGCTCATTCAGGAGGAGCAGAGAGTCGGCGAGCTGGCCCGGCACGCGACGCCGTTGCGAGTGCGGCGCTCAGGGCGCGACTTCAAGAATTTTGTGACGGCCGGCATTTGCCGACTTTACTCTGACCCTATCGCTCCTTCCTCCGCGGGCTCAGACGATTTGTATCCATCATCCTTACGCGCTTACAGTGTGAGGTTATATGTGCAGGACGGGGTAAAATCACGGTGACCCTCAACACTACCATCGTGTACTCCACATGAAGCTACACAAGTATCCGCCCTTTGAGGAAGCACCAGGCCGAGAATTAAACGCTCATAGCGAAGTGCTCGCGATTCAATTACGCATCGGAAGGGATCTGGAATGCTTATAACATAAGCTGCAGGTTCGTACAATTTCAGCGACAAGCGGAGTCACATCAAAAAGCCGTAATGTTCGAGAGGAATGACGATGTCTTCCGCGCGCCCTGCTGTTTTGAATGCGGCGAGGACGTTGATTCAAATCGCCTCGAAAGCCGTATCGCGGCCCGACTCGCATATACAGAACTTCGTCGATGTGCAGGAGATACTATCGAACACCACTACTTACTGGTCAGCCATGTACCCACTGAATGCGGAGTTTTCTTAACCCACCGTGCAACTATCTTCCGGGAGTCTGTACTGACGGACATGTACAGTACCCACTGATGTGGAGACCCACGTCCACCGCATACACAGGATGCGACTCGCGGCCTCGAAAGTCCGGTGCGCGACGGTCTCAAACAATTCGGGAAGACATGTCAAACTCCGTGGAGGCTAACAATAGGGCGACCATAGCTTCATGTCGCAACTCGAGTCGCAAGCGAACGGTACGCGTAACGTCATATTGCATACTACCTATACGATTTCGAAACCAGCTAACACAGACGGTTCATGGGTAGTAAGTACATGGCGGTGGCGTTTGCTAGCCCGAGGAGCATGTCTTGGCGAACGGATAGGATTCTATGACGCGAACACACTCGCGTAGGAGGGCACCGAAGCTGCCTCTTGGGTCAAATAGTCGGTCAAATCGTCCGGAGGAGCCCCACATTCGCTCACTGGCAACCACGAATATAAATGCTCTGAAGTCTGAAGCCAGTTCGCTACCACAAGATACAACCCCCTCTGCGTCCCAGTACTTCCTGCAAGCATGGATAGCACCACTCCAACTGTGTGGCTCGTCTCCGGTGCGAATCGAGGAATTGGTGCGTCAAGCCCTCTCGTCTTCCCTTTGTTACGCTTCCTGACCCCGGTGTCGCCGTGTCCAGGTTTGGGAATCGTCACAGTGCTTGCGGCGAAACCGGACACCGTCGTCTTTGTCGGCGCGCGCAACCCGTCCGCTGCCAAGGATCTGCACGCCCTGGCGGACAAATATCCCGGGAAGCTGCACGTCGTGAAGCTGGTCTCTGGAGATCGGCAGGGTAACGACGCAGCGGTGGAGGAAATCAAGCGGCTGGCGGGCAGGTTGGACGTAGTGGTTGCCAACGCTGGTAGGTGCCATCCCGATGTTGTTGCGAGTTGATGGCCTGAAGTACGCCAACAGGTGTCTTATCGTCGGTCAATAGGGTGTTGGACGAGTCTCCGGAAGCTGTCAGGGAGCACATGGAGGTTCGTACGGATCGCCGAAACTGGTTCTCTCCGTCCTCACCGCTAGATATGGTCCATAGGTCAATTTGATCGGCACGCTGGTGCTGTTCCAGGCAACCTATCCGCTGCTCCTTGCGAGCACCAAGTCACCTAAATTTATCCCCATCACCTCGTTTGGCGGAAGCATAGCTCTTTCCCCGCCGGTTCCTATGAAGCTCTTCTCCTACTGCGCGAGCAAGGCCGCCCTGAACTGGATGGCGCGCAAGTTGCACTCCGAGCACGAGAGAGACGGCCTCGGTGCGATTTTGCTCACCATAACGCTGCTGCCATTCCAACGTTGACGCATTGCGCACTAGTTGTGTTCCCGCTCAACCCCGGTGCGGTGGATACCGAGATGTGTACGTATCTTATGTCAGGCTTTACTCATAACATAGAGTGCTTATTGTGTGTGTTTGCCAGCTGTCACGGCGCGCCAGGGCGAAACGCTAGCTCACGTTGAGTTCGTCCCAGCAGAAGTCGTCGCTGGCCAAATCGTCAATACGATCGAAGAGGCCACGCGCGAGAGCGCCGGAGGCCAGTTCCTGGACTACGACGGAAAGCGTTTGGAGTGGTAGATTATGGAAGACGAGCTCATGGCACGGTCCAGAAATTATTGGCTAGACAGAATACTGCGATTGTTGTTATGGTAGTCCCAACCCCTCTTTCAATCGTATCTGCTCATCAATTCGGTGGGTAATTACATGTCGGAAATTATTGTATTTGAATGCCTTGGATGCGTGTCTTTTGGAGCACGTATTCCTTCCATGACACAGCACTAGGAGCATGTTCCGCTGAGGACGAGCTGGTCGTGCTCATGGTATCGTCGTCGAATGGCAAGTATACAGTCGGATGTAACCATGTCTAGGCTCGTGTTTCTAGCGTGCCTCTACCAATGAGGCAAGAATCAACTGTTTGTACTGAGTCGACCGCGGCTTAATCACGCATTTGAACGGTTCCGGTACCCTTTGTTACATCAGCCCGAAAGCATGCTCCGAATAAGCAAAATTGACTCACACAATGAAGGCGCTAGTATATCGTTCAAGAGATACACCGACATCTTCCTTGCGTCGAGATATCTTGAAGGTAGCGAGTATTGATGCCATCATGATCCAAATCGAATCAGAAGCCATATGCCGCCCGGCACAGATACGACTTGCTCGGTACATCAGGTTAAGGCCACTGGTGTGTACAGCAATGCACTCACCGGCCGAAGCCGAATGCATAATCAGGATCTCGTACGGAAGGATCGAGCTGCCCGGATGCGCCAAGGAATCGCGCAGGATTGAAAGAATCCGGATCGTCAGGATAATCCTTTGTGTCCCGAGACATTGCCCTGCGTATATTCTTGTAAAGATCTCTCGCGCGTGGGATAGGTACCTACCAAACGTTTGGCAATACCATGCTACCCTTGGGGATCAAGTAGTCGCCGTAGACGTCGTCTTGTGTAGTCCTACGCGCGACGCCTCTGCGATGCGGAGAACATCATCGTTCATCCATTATACAGTGCATTTTAGAGAGATATCAAGACTTACAATGGAAGGACGGGATGCCATCGTTGGACCTCTTTTACCAATGCCATTGTATACGGGAGGGAGAGCATGTCATGGAAGTCCGGTAATCTTTCGCCTTGTAGCACGGAGTCGAGTTCCTTGTGCGCAAGCTCCTGCGCGTCAGGATATATGACCATGGCCAAGAAGAATGTCTTCAAAACTGCGATTATGGAGCCTCAGCGATCACGTCACAAGAAGGCCGCAGTAGTGACTGACCTGTGACTGTCTATTCGGGGGCACATAAGTTACCGACAATCACGATTTTAGTCCACGTACCGTATCCGATCCGCCTGAGGGAATGCTCAATATGAAGATATATATGGTTAGAGCGCCTCGAACTTACCTGAGAACATAGCACCAGTCACGCACTGCATGAGTTAACATTGTTGGTACATATGGTTATGAAGCGCGTACTGTCCCTCACCTTCATCAAGTACTCGTCGTATTCTGGAACGTCTGTAACATCCACGTTGGAGAGCATCGTTTGAGCAACCGAAGATGTTGCCGATCCCTCCAGCATCTACATAGGACAGTGTTTCAGACCCATGTCATGGAGATGAGAGCGGATCATTGCTGACCTTACGCTTCACGGCCTGCAAAGTACTCAGTTCATCACGAGTGCGGCGTATGGCAACCGACGACTCACCTCGTACGGTAGCGTGTACATATCTGTATTGAGCTGTCTCCACTCCATAGCGAGACGCTTGAATCCAGCGCCAGGAACCCAGGCAGGAACCCATTTCACTGCAGTTTGTTATCAATGTTCAGTCAGGAAGCTCAACGACGCGGGTCCGTACGAAAGGGAAGCAGGTCAACCAAGAACCGCCCTGGCGTTGCTGCGGCAATAGCGGAATCGTTCCCCTCTTCCGCAAGTCGGAGCCAAGGATCGTCCGCGCCCGTGACTTTGATGCCGTATGCCACCTCCAGGATCATTTCTCCAGGCACTCTGGAGTCGGCCATGGTCAAACCCAGGAAGTGGAGTATTAGTACTGGAGAGTGCTTACGTCCGCACATGGTCCAAGAACTTCTCTGGTTGGGACAACAACTTGTTAAGTAGGTTATTTGTGTGACGAATAGTCGTTGGGCGCAACATTTTCGCCTCTTGAGGACCGAGGTATCGGTGGAACATTCTCCGTATATTTCTCCAATGATCTCCGTATGACATAAAGCCGATGTTCCAATTTGCGAGGCCCACCCTGGATGCACGATCAGATGCTTGATATCCGAGGCGTATGATCGCTTACAGCTCGCACAACATAGGGAGATACGGCCTATCAGAGTATACAGTCGATCGCTTATCTGCGAAAATCCCCGTGAGGTTATCGTATGACACGAAGAAGAGATGTTTACCGAATAGATCAACAGCTACGTCAATGGAGTTCACCACAATGATTCGAGCTCCTGGGGCGGTGAGATGTATGATGTCACTGCCTATGCTGCCCGTCAGCAACGCATCTTTTCGGCAATCCATCAACTCGAGCAGGCGTACCGTATTGTTTGCCCCACTCCATGAATGTCAGCCAAGGGTTGATCGCTGGTATATGTAGCGCGTTGCCTAAGAGCGGAAATCCACGTGGGCCTGGCGGCATTGAGGATCCGTGATGGCGTCGCCAGTAGAGCGTGTAGCTTAGATATGCTACGGAGGCAGCGGCCACTGCAGAAAGGGCAGAGAACGACATGGCTTTCGCGAAAAGCGCTCAAGACTAGGGTCGACAGAGCCGTGCGGGGGTAGGGTAATAACATGCAGTCGGCACTCAAGCTGGGTTTTATACAGCACGCGGCGTTCGACGCCTACTATGCCTGCCTGCGCAATATGGGCAAGCGCTGTGATGTTAGGCTGAGTCGCCTGAAACTCAAACGCTGTGTCCTACTGACGCATTAGCACGACGGTCAGAACCGGGGTTGATGGACGAACGGGTTTCCGCTATCGGTGCATAGGACTTTCGCCCGTCGTGGGGGCACATTCCGATCTCACCGGCGTGAAGGCCCGCATGGCTGTACGGCCGGAAGATGTGAAAAAAAGGGCCGGGGGAAACAGATGGGGGCACCTGGAGCCTTGTCAATAGTTGCAAAACCAAAACTGCTTGAAGTCATCATTTCGAGAGTTGTTACGCGATGCAAGTACGTCCTTTCCTTCAGTCGGCGGTTCTTCTTAGACGTACCTTGATCGATGTAGGCTCCATCTCGACGACGCAGGAAGTGTTCAGTCGTGCTCTCTTATCAATTGTGCCTGGCATACGGCCTTCTTGCCCGATCCTACGGAGAATACCGTCGTCCGATGCAAGGTTAAACTCTCGTCCGTCCTGGCGGTCCGGGTTTTTCGGGCAGCCATCCCCCTGCATGCTGCTCTAAGACATCCAGAGTAAAAGAGAGTTTCATCGATCCGGTTGTGCCAGGCTTGATTGGCTGAAATTTCATCCGTCCCCCGCCTTACTAGCCTCCCTGTGCGAGGATCGGAAGACCGGCGAACAGGGTGAATTTGTGATGACAACGTTCGCTGCGTTAGCGAGGCCCATAACTCGCGATGAGGGAAAGCAGACAAGCTCGTGTTGGAGAAGCTGCGTGGGCATGTTCTAGAGGGTGGCTCAGTATGCGTAAATGTAGAAAGTAGGACGTGCGTACCATCTATCAACCACAACCGATACATTCACTCCTGGCAGGGGGCATGAGCAAGAGGCGACAGTGAAGCAGTGCATAGCAAACATAGATAAACATAGCTCGGTAACATATTCCACACCAGGCGGCACATAGCTGAGCATCCGAACGTCCATCTCCTTCGGTATTCCACACAGATCATAGTACCAGATCACCTATTTCCCCACTAACTCATCCTCGGCGTCGCTCGCAACCGTTCTCCTCGAGAACGCGCCGGTGCGGCTAAGCCTCTTCACAGCGGTATCGCCCTTCTGGTTCGGCGGCGGGCTCCTCGAGAGCCTCTTCGCGCTCTGTGGCGTGGCCGGTGCGGGTGGGCTCCCCGGACCGCTCATCGACTGTCGGTTGAGGTTAGCGACGATGTTGCTGACGCCCGGTCCTCTCGGGCCCCTTGCTCCACGCGGGCCACGTAAGCGAGAGGAGTCAGTCGAGGTGTGGCGCGAAAGCGATGCACCGTCCACGGGGTTCGGGCTGACCGGCGTGCTCGTACGCGGCGACGGACTGCGCGACTTGGCTGCCGCCGCTATCCCAGCGGAGGTAGGCGTGGATGGTTTTGTTGGCGACGTGGCCGGAGGTGAGGCAGGCGTAGCATCCACCACGGCCGCGGAGGGTTCACTCTCAGGCAGTATCTCGGGCGGCGGCTCCTTGAAGTTCGGACGCGGAGGAAGGTCGTCATCCTCAGGCGGAGGCTCCTTGAAATGGGGTCTCGGGGGTGGGGCATCGCGATCCAAGGGGGCGAGAGCAGGGGCAGGCGATGGTGCAGGTGCAGCAGCAGGCGCAGGGGCCCCGGCCACAGGCCTAACGGTTGCTTCCGCCATCTCCGTTGGGGCCGGAATAGCAGGATCCGCAGGGGTGTTGACAACCTCGGGAATGACAGGCGGTCGGACCGGCTCCGGTGCAACCACAGGCGGAAGTTTCTTGCCCGTCTCTACGGCGGCAAGCTGCTCGCGCACGTCGCTGCCGACGGACAACCGGCTCCGGTGCATGCGCATGTCGATCGGAGCAGTACGCTTCCGAATAGGCACCTTGCGCTCGGATTCGCGCTTCTTCTTGGTGATAGTGGGCGGCAGGAGTTGGTCGTAGTACTTGAGTAGATCCATGAAGAATTCTGACCAAAAGTTAGCCAAGCCAGGGATATGGGGTGACAGTACGTACGTGTCGGGTGCCGGTCCTGAATCGAAATTGAAGTCTCTTGGCGAGGTCGGCAGATCGCTGCGGCGTCTAGTCAGACATCTGATCTCACATCGCGTGAGGCATACGTACTCCTGCCCAGTGTCAACGCGAGCTTCGTGATGTAGACCTCGTTTGACTCTTCCGCAGTAGTGGAATCAATCAAGCTATGGGAATAAGATGAGAATCATGAACAACGACGCAAAGACACGAATCAGACTGACCTCTTCAAATGGCTGAGGATAGCATCGAGCACGTAAAGGTGCACTTTCGGTAACCTCATTAAGGCGTTATGCAAGTTCTCGAGCTTCTTCTCCGTCGATTCGCCCTCTGCCTTTGCGGATCCCACAGGCGGGTATATCTTCCTAATCTCGTCCCAGCCCTCGTATAGCGCCAGAGGTGGGTCGAGCTCGAGAGCCCAGAGCTTGATGGCACTCGCCAGCACCGGTGGGTCGTATTTTGCCAACACGCCCGCTGGGATAGGCTGGTCAATCGGAACGCCGTTCAGGCTCTCGCGCAAATGGTGCACGGCGGCCAGAGGCACTTCGTAGATCCAAGTCTTGCGCTTCTCTGCAATGTCGCGCATCAGCACAAGTGCTCAAAGAAATGGTATCCAAGGCCGCACTCACCGGCATCGTTGGGTGCATTTGCATAGCCCTCGCTCACGGCCTTCAGCAGCGCGCTCAACACCGGCGGCACGAGCTCCTTCTTCTCCTCCCCGTTCATGATCGCGCTCCATCCGCCCTCCGCCCACTTGCGTAGGTCGATGCCGAACACCACGTCCGCCTCGTCATGCACCACGCTCTCGTATACCTGCGGCGTCGGCCGGAACGGACCCGTTCTGTAGCGCTCGATCAGCGCCGTCAAGTCCGACTCGGGCTGGTAGCTCGCGATCAGCGTCGCGCTCGTCTCGAGCGAGCCCTCGATCCCCTTCGGCAGGTTCGCGAGCGTGCCCTGGTACTGCAGCAACACTGTCTTGACCGCACGGAGGCGGTCGGTCTCCCAGCGTTGCAAGCGCTTGAGCGTCTCCTCAATGCGCTCCTCAAGCCCGAGCCGCTGTCGGTCGAGCTTGCGCACGGCGACGCGGTACTGCCGATCGGCAGCCTCGGCGTCGTGGCGTAGGCGGACGTAGGGGGGCTCCTGAGTTCCATTCGTGTTGGCCTGCATGGCCCGGCTGACGAGGTTAACAAACGTGCCAGAGCGCTTGACGAAGGAGTCCGCAATAGGGGCGAGGGTGTTCTTCGTGGGCGAGGCGAGGTTGTCTGGCTTGTGTGCGCGGGTCTTGTCGAGCTCGAAGGCCTGCAAGGAGCGGAAGTAAGCGCATGAAACGCACATATAAGAAGGACACACACCTTGGGCCGGAACTGGTAGAACGCGTCGTCCGCATTCTCGAACATGTTTCCAAACTCGCCGACGCGCCTCAGCAGACCCTCGCGCTCCGCAAGATCCTTCGCCGCGTCCTCCGCACGATCCAAGCTTCCACCAAAGGCCTCCACGTTCTCGTTCAACCATGTGACGAACTCCTCGCCCGAGAAGCAGTCCTTGTATTCGCCGATGAGCGGGAAGCGCACAGGGCGCAGCGGGAGCTCGGCGGCGGCGCGCGTGAGAAGCGCAGAGATGGCTGCGGGCGGGAGGGAGATGCCCGCCACAAGGATGGGCGACGGAGGCAGGGGCGGCATGGGCGAGCCCGGCGGCGGTGGGCGAATGCTCAGCTTCTGCGGCGGAAGCGGAGGCGACAACGGCGGCGGCGAGCCTGTCTCCTCCGGTGCCGGGGGTATTTCGTGCTCCTCGTTGGTCGCTTTGCCTTTCCCCTTGTCGACCTTCGAAAGGAGCGGCTTCTTGTCGTCGTCGGAAGCCTTCATCTCTGGCGTCATCTCGAGCTTGTCGATCTCCTTATCCTTGGCGCTGTCACCGTCTTCGCGCGCAGCGAGGTTGGCGGCGGTCTTGCGCTGGATGTCTTTCAGTCGGTTGGCGATACGCTCGGAGACGCTCGGCGTGCGGTTCGGCGGCGCCCGAGGGGTACGGTTCGGCGCGCCGGTCGCGCTCAATCGGGGAGAGGTAGTGTAATTATCGGTAGCACCGTTCGCACCAGGCGCAAAGCGCGCACTGGATGGTTTGGTCAGTTTGAGATGGACGTATAAGAGCATATACGCACTCGTCTTCGGCCTCGTCCGCTTTGCGAGTCTTGTTCAAATACTGGTGCTTCAGCTTTGCAACCTTGACATTACTGGTCAGGCCAAGGGGACGGGTGATTTCGTGACGCGGTCTTACCTCGCTTTGAGCGTGCTCATAGGACCGCAGGTGTCCCTCTAGCATATCCTCACGACTCTCATCCACGCGATCCTATAGCGCCAGAGGTTCTGATCAGAATACACGACTTAGAGTGTGATGGGGCGAAACCGACCTGGAATCCACGGGCCCACACCTCGAACGGTTCCGCCACCAGCGACTGCAGCTCCTTCGCAATGGCGTTATGAACTTCACCCTGTCTGGCGCTTTCTGCCTGGAGGCCCTGAAACGCCATAAAGAGCGAAGCGCCATCATCAGCGCCGAAACCTGACACATGGCTATTAGTTCTGTACGTGTGTGTTAGGGACAATGTTACGAACCTTGAGGGCTGATGGCTGGGGTCTTAGTTAACGACGCAGCGATGCTTGCTTCGGCGGCTGCTCGAGCCTGACGCATACATTGATCAGTCTTCATAGTAAAAACGCATCCGAAGGGACGCGCTCACCCGTATGAACGTGACAATCTCAGCATTCTCCGCTATGCCCTGTCAACGCCGACCATCCGCAGTCAGCTCCGGACCCCGCCACGAGCGCGTATTTCATGCGTACCTGTTCTAACTTCCCGTACAACACTTCCAGACCCTTCCTGTAGTCCTGGCTCCAGAACGAGTTCGTAAACGACAGCGGTAGGCTCAAGACCGCCATAGTCGGGCGTCAAGTTACGTTCTCGTGCGATGCGTTGGTGAAACAGCAGGCAAAGGTCTGTTCCCTGGTCGTGCGTGTGCTGGCAGGCAGTCCGTGTACGTTCCAATGCGGTCTCGGTAGACCGTAGTGCGGTGCAGGTGCAGTGTTGCAGGCCCTCTCGCTACGCGTCGGCTGCTTCGGTGAGGGTGAGGGTGGCGTGGGTGAATCTTACACGCTATAATCCTCGCTCAGCGTACGCTCGGTATCAGGACTTGCCATATGCTGCTATCTCATCACTAGATAACGCGATGAATGCCTCGCAGGAAGAACACTCCATGAGTCTAGCCGATGCACTATTGTCTGCGGCAGAAGCACGAAAGCGCTTGTCTACAGTATGAGAGTCTGTGTACAGGATCCGACCGTCACGGCCAGGAAGCCAAATCCATCGTAACACGATGAAGAGATATCATAACGGCGATTTATGAGATGCCCTCGACTGTGTGTCTCTGTTCTTCTCTGTTCAAACGCACTTAATCGATTTCCGATGTGTTGCACGGTAAGATGACGAGAGAATAGGCCATGAAATGAACAATGCAATGGTGTTTCGCCGTCATGTCGCGTAATAGATTGGCTATGGAGCCTACACGCACCGGCGGGCACGTATACACGTTGCAAACTGAGCGCTTAACCAAAAGCTGTCGTATGCTTCTCCCGCTTGTCCCATGATAACATCTGCTCTTGTCGTAGAGTTCCATGGACGGCCACTACAACAGCCTCTTTCGTTCAGTTCACGAACAACGTTTGATTTCCCGTGCACGCACGATGAAACCTGCAGGCAAGATGTCCTGCTCAAATACTGCAGTGCGCCTTTTCGAAGAGCCATCATATCTCCCTCCGCACTCCCTCACTAACAGATCTCACTCGCGATGACTTCTCGGCGAGAGCGGTCCAACTCAACTAGGTCTATTCCCGGACCAGTGCGCAACATGAATCCGAAAGACGAGTCGATTCCAACTCGTGTAATTATTTCAGCCTGAAGAATTCACGCACATACATGCATTGTTGACGAAACGCCTAGCTCATCAACGAAGATTCTGAACAGTTCGGGTGGAAAACATTCCGAGAAGATTTTATGTGGGAGGACCGCGTTGAGATGGAGAAAAGAAAGAACGAGCTCAACGACATGTTGATCTTCGTGAGTTTATTCTGTACGTCACCATGAACTCAGACTCAGACACTGCGAGGCTGGCCTGTTTTCCGCCGTAATCATCGACACGTATCGTAATGGGAAGCAAGATCCCAATGATATCATGATCTTTCTTTTGGCTCAGATATCGCAACAGCTGAACAGCTTCTCTATTGGTGCTCAATTCGCCGATTCTACAGTACATTCCGTGTTCACTGCCCAAGAAGATCCCAGAACCGCCTCGTGGATGTACTCTGGTATATCAGTCTCATGTTGAGCCTGCTCAGCGCACTTCTGGCCACTCTGGCCCAGCAATGGATTCACAAGTACCTGAGAGATCCCTTCACCAGTGCTGCGGACTCCGTCGTCTACCACCAAGCCAAACACTTGGGGCTCGTCAAATGGCGGTTTCATTGGCTTGTCTCCGCCGTCACAATGTTGATCCAGATATCCGTACTCCTTTTCCTCATTGGTTTACTCCTTGTGCGTTGGCACTTTGACGACGTTCTCGCGGCTGGCTTAGCCACATTCATTGGGATGGCCCTAGCCTTTGGTGCATTCATCACAATCTCGCCGATCTTCTCAAGCACATCTCCTTACACCTCTACTCCGACGGATGTCATGCGAACATCCCTCCTGTTTTTCTTCGGCATCATTGAGGTCCTCAAGGATTTAACAGCAATTGTGGTTTCCCAAATCTTTCGATTACGCCGAGATGAAATATCTCTCCTCCGTCGGAATTTCCGTTTTTACCTTCGCCATGCATATAGAGTATTCGAATGGGCCCATTCTGGCGCCCAACAACGTGATCGGCTAGTATGCCGGCAATACAGCCTTGCGGAGCTCAAGCCTTCGCGTGATTCGGTGTTCGCTTGGATTCATGACACAATCGCACAACACCGGGCCCGCGAATGCTACAATGACCTCTGGAAAGAGGACGGGGAACAGCGGAGATATCGCCTTCATGTCGCTAAACAAGCCGCTAAGACATACAGTATCTCTGTTCGCATATTGCGAGTATACATCAGATGGGGCACCTTCCAACTCACTTCTGACCCCTTTCTGCACCATATCTTTGGAGAGGATAGCCCTGGTGATCTTCCTAAGATCCTCAATAACCTTGTCCACTCTCATGATGCGAAATATTACTGCGTCTGGCATGACTTCGACGCTACGGATATTCTGTGGACCATCGCATTTCTGCTATGCGACTGGGCTCGTAAAGATGACATATCCACGCTCACAGCACACCACGACGGCGTGTTGGGTATGTTGACCCACCGACTGGTTTATTCGTACGTCCGTCATGTTCCATCAGGAAAAAGCGGACTATCGAAAGAGTCGCTTATTGGGTACCGAAACCCTCTAAAGCCACTAAATGAGCACGTTTTAGTACGTTTTAGGAGGCTTTTAGCAAATCCGGTTTTTCCTGATGTCAATGATCGGGGGGAGACACGTTCAGCCTCAAACTATCGTACAACACATGTCCATGTGAACAGTACAACCACACGAAATTATCCTTCACGGTGCTTCGTTATTCTTCAAGGAAACTTCGACAGTGCTGACTTGCAGCCCGCTGGGCCCAGGCTGATCGGGAAGGAACTTGGCAGTAGCCTATGGAACAGCCGTCATTCGACGTAAGAAACGACACACCAACGTTTGATACCACTCACCTCAACAGCAAGCAGCTTATCACCAAAGAAGAAGCTGCAGTTGGCGCTCGAACCGATCTGAGCAGCGGTGTTGAACGCATCGAGCGTCAACGGCGTAAACGACGCGCACGCGCTGTGACCCAGGAACGCAAGCTGCAGAATGTATGGACGTTAGCGCGTAAAGTTCATCTACAGAACATTGATAGTCTAACCTTGACCACGGAGCGGTCAAACCACTGCATCACGTAGACGGCGAGGACTGTGTCAGGCGTTTCGGCGAGGCGGTAGAGAAAGAGGGCCTTGACACCGTAGAACTGTACGGCTCCATCGTTTGCATAAGCCGTGTTCAGGAGCACGCTGCGCGTCGTGACAGCAGGGCCGGACTACGTCGAAGAAAACGCTTTCAGCATCATGGTAGCGAGAGGCAGTCAACGCGAGCTTACCCCTTGGATCTTGGCAGTGGGATCACGGAGAGTTCCCAAGGTGATGATGTTGCTTTGGCTGTCGACAGGCGTCAGGCCGTAGCTTGACGAGTTGTTAAGCAGCACTTGGAAGACCTGAGGATAAAATCTGATCAGTTCACGGCCAGCGGCGAGCATATTTGAAGCAGGACGAACTCCGTTGTTCGCAGGCATGGCGAGTCCGTTGTAAGCTGATGTGGAGTCAGCTTGACCTGCAGAACGGGGAAGGTACGACTGCCTTTATATGTTCTGGAGGAAACACGCGGCCTGCACGTAGATAGCTTTGGCGCCCGCCAAACAGGTATCAACCTCGGTGCATGAATGTCAGCGACGATCGACCCAGAGAAAAGTTGACCAGAAGCTTACTAGGTTACTTTGCCCCAAGACACGATGCACAGTTATGGTCGTATTGTGCCGAGCCGTGAGCACCGTAACCTTGGTCGAGGTGTCATACCACGGGTCGCACGAGCGCTGATAATGGAAGGACCCGAGAATGTGCAACCCCTTTCATGCACCCTGCTTTCACGGAAATACGATTTCACATTCGCCTTGTGATTGTCCGTTCATCAATGGACATGCCTACACCAGATGGATGGGAAACACGGAGGCAAGTGGCGGTCCATGCGCCCGTTAGAAGCCAAAACAAGAGACCAGAATAGTTGCCGTGCGCAGGGCACCTCGACTCAACCCTACAGGCCAAAGTCAATGTTCGAGTCGATATTATGTGCAATGTGAATATCCCCATCGGATCAAGTCCAGGGACAGATCAATGCGGGAGAACCAGCGGGCGTCATAATCTTCGAGTAGAGTTAGGCTTTGACGTCGAGCTGAATAGATGCCCCCTGAGAGAAGTGATGCACGACGGATGGAGATAGAGCAGCGCCGATGTGAGCTAGAGCGGCACGAGTCATGGCTTCAAGCGTCCATCCAGTCATGAGGTCAATGTCCAGCATAGGATGTATATCTGAATTAGCTGATACAAAGAGGCCCCGACGACTTCCCGGGGCTCCAGGGGTTCGCTGCCTCCGAAGCCGAGTACCGTTCCGCGGGTACGCCATTTGAGCTTGGTAGGGTATAGTATAGAGCAACAGATCCGGGTATCGTACGTGAAGCGGAGTCTAGAGTTGTGCTAACTGAAGGATGGCCCCGAGACAATCATCTGGCCGTGGATGACGAGCCGGACGAGCACGACGATGATGGTGGTCTAAGAAAGGCAGCGCGATGACGAGCAACATTGCGAGCTCCATACGTGTCTCACGTTTTCCCACGCCTGAATCTCATTCGTGGACCGTCGCTCGATTTGGTTCATTCAAACGCCAGGGGCATGATAGGCCATACGAGAAACATATACACCGAGTGTGTACTACAGCACATGGATTACGGTCACAGAACACCGGTCCATCAAGGCGCCTCCTTGTTCTTCAAGGACACTTCGACGGTGATAATTTGTAATCCGCTGGGCCCCGGTTGGTCGGGAAGGAACTTGCCAGTGGCCTATACGGCACCGGTAAGTCAGCACGGGAAGCGATAACCCGGGCGCATGTTCGCTCACCTCAACAGCGAGCAGCTTGTCACCGAAGAAGAAGCTGCAACCTGCGCTGGCGCCGATCTGGGCGGCGCTGTTGAACGCATCGAGCGTGTTAGGCGTGAACGCCTCACACGTGTCATGCGATAGGAATGCGATCTGGGGCACTGTCAGCTCGTGCGTGTGAATGATACGTTTGATGGCCTCTTACCTTGACCACGGAACGGTCGAACCACTGGGTGACATAAACGGCGAGGACGGTGTCCGGTACCTCCGCCAGGCGGTAGAGGAAGAGGGCGCGGATGCCGTAGAAGTAGACGGAAGCCGCGTCGCTCGAGTACGCGGTGTTGAGGAGGACGCTGCGCGCAGTGGTAGCAGGCCCAGCCTGTGGGGTTTTAACGCGTTCGGCGTTCCAGACCCACGAAGAGCTGATCACGGACTTACACCTTGGATTTGGGGTTCGCGGAGGGTACCCAGAGCGATGATGTTGCTCTGGCCGTCGAGGGGAGTCAGGCCGTAGCTGGATGCGTTGTTTAGGAGCAGTTGGAAGACCTGAGAGTTCGAACAAGCCAATCAGACACCACTGTCCATATCATGGACACCAATACGAACACCGTTGTTGGCAGGCATGATGAGTAAAGGCTGAGCTGGGTCGATTCAAGCTTGACCTGGAGGACACGGAAATGCGAGTCGCGTTTATATCCTCGGGAAGAAGTATGGAGGCTCTAGACAGATGTTGCTTTGACGTCGGCCAAACAGATATCAACTTCGGGGCATGATGGTGAGCGACAGTCCGAAGCATGAACGCAACCCTACCGTGTCAGTTGCCCCATCCGTACTTCCGCTATGACCTCCTTCGGCGTAACAAGGTCCGTGAGCAGTCAATTCCACAACGGATGGCGTACCAGACGCGCCAGAGAGTTTCGCATCGGATTGTCGTGCGGATTCAGGTCCAAGCGGTCGATTATCTGTTGTGCCGACGAGAGGGGCTGGGGAAGCTGGACTCAGAGGTCAGTGTAATTTTCAAGCTCATTGTTTATCCCCAAGGAGAAGCGAAGCATGTCAAGGGTGGGTAGCTATCGGCATGATTCAATGCAGCCGGAGTCACAGGGGGCGGATACCAGATCTCGTTGTCGATATCAAGCCGATGATGCCTCATCCTACAGTATAAGAAGGACGGAGCTTGAGCGAAGCCGATATCATGAGTAAAGAATGGGTCAGCGAGGTTGATAGCCCATCTCCAGTGCATAGAACATATCAAAGATGGCTGCGTTGTTCTTTTACGGCTTTCGTTAACCTCCGACCCTTCGAATTCAAGTCGTCGCCCACATTCAGCGCGCACGCATCTTGTTAACTACACGCGGAGTCAGTCAGAACCCAGGACTGCTGCAGCGGCGTATGTCATTGCAACCGTGCTGCTCGATGGTGGAGACGAAGAAACAGCGCTTGTGGCTGGGAGGGTCATCACGTGCGCCAACGCGCGCCTTGATTTTCGCACGACTGGAATTCATTCACCGTTCCGCGTCCTCGTGGCTCCCGCACGGAACAGCTTCCGAGAGCGCATGTTGCGCAACCGCCCCGCACAGGCCAGAACGTACTACAACCGACACCTACACTTACACGAGCTCGCTCGACGCTCATCACCTGTACCCTTGTACAACACAACAATCTCGCGTCTTTGACAGTGGCTTGATTGTGCTTGGCTTCCCGGTCCTTTGCTTGCCGTCGTGACTCGTAATCGTCCTTATTACTCGGGACGGCTTAGAAGAGTCCTTTACAGAATCTCCGCTTGAACATTCGCAACATCATTGGCATCTGCATTGAAATCTATTCACCCGAACCGAATCAGGACGCACGAGTGAGACAGAAGATGACAACATTGGCGAGCGACCCTCGAATATCCGTCGCGCCCAAAGAAAAGCTTGGTTCGATCCAGCCTACACACGACCAGGTGCGTTCATCCACATGATTACGACGGGACCGTACGTTCTAACCCGAACGATTCGCTCCTGCTCTTCGTCATCGCAGGTGGTCGTGCTCTACGTTCTCGTCGTCTACACCGTCGTCATTTTCGCAATATGGAATATCCCCGGCGCCCGCAGCCTCATCAATCCGCTCAAACTCCTCACTATAGGCTTCCATGAGATGTGTCATATCATCATGGTCAGTCAAAATCACCTGCCGTCCAACCACCTGCTCCCGAACTCGTGTTGATGCTATATCCGCCTTCAGGCGATATTTACGGGCGGCACAATCCTCCGGGTAACGATTGATCCCAACCTTGGCGGATGCACCCTCGTCGAGGGCGGCTATCCTCCCGTCATATTGGCCGCCGGTTATATTGGGTCGACCATATTCGGTGGCGTGCTCATGCTAGGCGGATGGGACACGCTCGTGGCGAAGATCGAAAGTTTCGTGGTCGGCATTGGTTTGATAGTGCCCCTAGTACTGGTGAGGGACAAGATGTACGTCTTTCTACGCTCTTTAGTCGTCGCGTTGTGCTTAAGGAGGTTTCTGCAGGACTATCCTATTGACGTTTGTGTACGAGGGGTTATTGATCGGATTCTGGTTCATTGACCATGCGTATGCTCGCTATCTTGATCGTTCGTTGCTTTTCACTGACATCAGGCTGTAGATCCGCGTTGCGGTGGTACGTTCTCTTCGTAGGGGTCATGAAGTGAGTTTCCGCCATCGCTATCCGCGAAGAATGGTTCTGAATTAGTTCTTCAGCGTGTTCTACGTCATCTGTACGTGTCGGGATCGTTCAACTGCATTGAATTCGTCGAGTTCTGAACCAATTTTCCTTCCCAGGGGACATCGCGGACGACCGCTTCTTCCACAAAGCGAACGACTCGGACTGCGCGCAGTTCTCCATCCTGTTTCCCAAGATCAGTGCCCACGGTGCGTCCCCGGCTGCTCGCCTTCGGGTCATTCGCATCTGACGAGGAAGCTGTTCCTCCACTTAGCTTGGGCAGCCATATGGATCCTCTTCGAGATCGGCGCCATGATCGGTTTCACGCTCGTCGGCATCGCCTGTTTCAAGGTACGCGCTTCGCACTTCGCTCCCACTTTTTATGTAGCTCAAAGGTCGTTCCCTTCTTTCGCAGCGTACGAACGATACGATGGCTCGAGAAGCGGCGCATTGGCTGCCCACGCGAGAGATACTGGAGAAAGTCGGGAACCTCACGGGCCTGTTCTCATGATCGCCCGTCACGAAGAATCGACAACACGACCCAAGTCACGAAACCGCTTTGCACACATGGCATTCCACCGAGCATCGCAACACATCCGTATACACGCGTCGCGGCGACGGGCACGCTCTATATCTATACGCCCGCCGCGACCTCTCCATACGCATTTCGACGCACTCACGCAACGCATACATTCCTGTATACCCTACCCTGGACGTTACACTCGATACTTACTCACGCCTCCTGTACCTTCATAGATCGCGCTCCATGTGCTCCTGTTCTTCCGTGATGATTAATGCTAGCGCTTCAGAATTGTCTGCTGCATCCGCCCCTAAGTACCGGTATTGTCTTCTTGCCTTCGGGTATGTGCAGGTTCACATGCCTCCGGTCTCTCTTCAGCTGCAGTAGTAGGTCAGCGTTGTGGGGGATCTGCCAGTGGTGAAGGCGCCATCAGGCATCGGTCATGATCATCCATCACGGCGCCAATCTTGCATACATCACGGTCATTCGACCATCAGCAGTCGTCGCAACTACTGTGTCTGTCGATCCCACACTTCTTCCAACACCGTGACATACATCTCAGGCTATAGACGGTATATGCGGGCATCGCGAGGAACTTCGGTATGTATGCGTACACTTATTGGTTGTGCGTGTTGCTCTGGGCTTGTGTGCCTTGTCTGACGGAAATGAATCTCGAATCGGTAAGTTCATGTATGGACGATCTTGCCTCACAAGATCCTGCTGGCGCGGGGCGGCGACATCTCGCCTGCTCGGGATCACCGGTGTCCGTAGCACTGGTCGTCCACTCAATTTTTCTTTCTCACTACTGGACCGTGCCCTCCTTGGTTTCTCCCGCAGTTCACGCTGCTTAACTCCTGCTAAATGACAGGGGCCCAGTTCTGATTGGATTCGGTGCATCGCCCAGTGGTCGGCGAGGTCGGGCACGGTATATATATCAGATACGCCCTGTCCAGAACCGAGGCCCGAGATCGAGAGGGGGTTCGTGTGAGAGAGCCTGCATGCGGAGAAGGCTGAGGCGGGTGCTTCTGGTCGAAGCGGGGGGTGGTGATGAGTTTTGTTGTCGCCGTCGTTGTCGTCGCGGTCTCGTGTTACCCGTAGCTTCCTCTTGGCCGAACCCTACTTTGGCTCTTGTGCTCTCTCCTACCGACCTCCGTCGTTCGAGCGCTGCAGAAAACAAACATACACGTTCCGGATTTTTGATCGCTGAAGTACCGAGCTCGCTGGGAATTGGACGAAAGCTGTGATTCGCTGCTCAATTCAAAGGTCGGGACACTCCCATCATTTTGTGGGATTTCAGTGTTCACCGTGCCTATCAACTAGCCACTGATACTGAGCGTGCAGGCGAACATACGTGCGACCGGGGTAGATCAGCACGGCTTGTCTCTGCGTTTCTCCCAGGACGACAACAACACCGATCTCTTACTGCACCTCGCAGTGATAGCGGGCGCGCACCGTCGCACACCGTTGAAGGAATCTGCGTGCCACGTACGCCCACTCTCGCCACGTTCGCTAATATTACTCCCAGATTAACGAGCCCGCGAATTGCTTCCTTAGACTACTGCCATTGGCCCATATACCCATATCCGCCACGACGTCGGCGAAAGCGGGGGCGCACTCGACACTACTTGAAGCTCCACCACTGTAAACCCCCACGGGGCGCACGTAGTCGGATCCATGGCAACGTCGACCGCGACCGCGAACGGGCGCTCCTCGTCGCAGGAGCGCGGCACCGGGCCAGGCTCCTCGTCGCACCTCCGCACCTCGCCCTCGCCATTGCGCACCATGACCTCCCCCTCCTCCAACTTCTCTCCCTCCTCCACCCCGCCTTCCTCCTCGTTCACGCCCTCGGCCTCCACGTCCTCCGCGGTCTCCTCCTCGACCACAACATCCGCGGCGCTCACCTCCGCCGTCACCGCCGAGGCGCTGCTCAGCCAGCACGCCGCCGCTGCGAACCCTCCCCTGGCCGCGCTAGACCAGGCCCTGTCGGAGCGCAACCTGCTCAGTAGCCAGAACCAGCAGCTTTGGAAGCTCGTCGAGAAACAGCGCAGCGGGTACAACCAGATCATGAAGGAGCTCGAGCGCGTGCGTGGCGAGCGGGACGGGTACAAGGGCCGGCTGGTCGCCCTCGGGGAGGGCGTCGAGAAGGACAAGGAGGGGAGGGACAAGAGGGAGAAAGACGCAAAGCCGCTCAAAGCGTCCGCGTCGACGCCGGGGATCAACGGCAGAGAGACGCCGACTGGGCGGGCACCGCTGGTGCGGCACCAATCTGACGATCATGGTATGTCGCAACCCTCAATCTCGCGCGCATTGTATCCGCTTCTTATCCCCGATCTTCGTCGCCAGCACGCACGGAAAGCTCAGCGTCGTATGCCGGAGACCCAAGGCGATATATGGTCCGCGGCCAGTCAGATGAATATGGTCAGTACACTCTCTTCTCGTCCTTGTCCACTTTCTCCATGCTGATCGAGCACCGCAGCGAGCCCCACCATCACCGCATCGCGTGCCATCGGCCAGCAGCAGCTCGCGCGCGAACGCCAAATGTCGCTCGACCTCCCGCGCCCTGCGCCTCAAACCTCTGCGCCGGCATCAGCCCTCCGCGAGCGCGTATCGTCCGAAAGCTCGCGCCCGCTGCCGCAGCCCCTCAAATCCTTGCCGCCGTCCTCCTCCTCCTCCAACCCTACAATACCCCCGGCACTGCAGATGCAGATGCAAACCCGCATGTCGCCGCCGCCGCTCGTGATCCCCAACCGCGGCGAGTCACTCGGTGCGATCCCGCACCTCAACGTGCCCGCCTCCACCTCCGCGCTCACGCCCATCCCGAACTCGGGGTCGAGCTCTGGCTCTGGTTCCGGCTCCGGTTTCGGCGGGAATGACTACGGGAGCGGTTATGGCACGGCCCCCTCGAGCGCGCTCTCTCCCGCATCCACGCGCCCGCTCAACCTGACCCCGCGCTCGAACGGCCCCATGACGCCCGCCATGAATGCTACCACGCCGATGACAGCGACCTCGCTCTCGCAATTCCCGCTTCCACCCTCCTCGGGGTATGATCCCCGAGCCCAGCCGCAGCAGCCGCGCGCGCCTCCTACAGGACCCCCGCCTCCCGCCCCTCCCGCACTGCACGAACCGCCTTCTTCGTTCCCCGGTCCACCACCCCCTCTTAACAACTTCAATGGCGGCCATGCTCAATCTCCTCCGCAGCAATATCAACCCCAAACGCTTCAACCACCTTCGCAGAGCTCGCTCGCACCGCCTGGCCAGGGGCTTGGCGCAGACGCGCGCAGGTTGCACCGCGAGTCCCGCATCGAGCTTCCAGATGAAGCAAGTCGCTACATCGCGAACATGGTCGACAGTCCTGCGGGTAGCCCGGCAACGGACGCGCACGAGTTCGCCTCGCAGCAGCAGCAGGTTCAGCAGCAGAGGCAAGGCGCAATGCCACCTCCCTCCCTTCCGCAACAGCAGCAGCAGGGCTTTTCGGGTGTGCCGAACGGCGCCCAGCCAAGCCTGAACATTACGTCTGCCCTCAACGTGCCCGTGCGCCCGTCGCAGCTCGCCCAAAGCCCGATCACGGGATCAGGATCAGAATCAGGATCAGACGCGTACGAGGACGACGAGGACGACACCGCCGATCCCGTTGTGGGCGCATCATCAGCGAGATCTGCCCCCGCGCAGGCACAGCCGGCTGCGGGTGCCAATTCCGGGAACAATCCCTTCCTGGATATGGACGACGATGATAACTCCACAGCCGAGTACGGCGTCTCCGCCCAGGCCTCCACGAGCGAGCTGTACCAAAGCCACGACTCTTCCAGCGGGGACCTCTACCGCACTTCTGAGGACACAGAGAGCGCGTACGACGGCTCCACACTCGCGTCCGTGTCACAGGTGACGTCGCAAGAGACGGCTGTGAACCCTGCCTCCCAGCCTCCTTACCCAGCACCCCCTCACCACCCGCCTCACCTCCAACACCAGCACCTCCAACACATCCGGACCGCCTCAGGCTCGGGCGTCGACTTCCTCCCCGCCGACGAGCCGCCTACTCCCGGGTTACCAGAACAGATCCAGGTGCGCTCGCCGGCGCGCGGCCCGTCTGAACGCCCGCTGTCCTTCATGCCACCGCGCAAGCCCTCGGACCAGCCGATGTACCGCGCGCTGCCGCTCCTCCTGTCCGACCTTCCGCGCACGCGCATCTCGGTCCTCCAGAGCTCGATCCGGCCTAACGAGCGCGGGAAGGATGTGCTCAACTTCGTGATCGAGGTCGCGCCTGGTAGTGACAAGGAGCCGTGGAAGGTCGAGAAGTTGTACAGCGACGTGCTCGGGCTCGATCACCGCGTTAGGGCGGCGGTGGGTCGGAGCGTGTCGAAGAAGATCGCGACGTTGCCGGAGGGTAAGATGTGGAGGGATCATGCGCCGGCGAAGGCGGATTTGCGGAAGGTGCGTGTGGCGACCGCTTTTGCTTGGCTATATGCATGCTGACGGCGTTTCCTTGTTTACCCTTCAGGCTGCGCTCGAATCCTATCTCACGTCCCTGATCAACCTTCCTATCAAGAACAAAGACGAAGTGATCGCGTTCTTCACGTCCGATATTGTTCGACCATCCCTTCAACCTGTTGCGCAGGCCGGGTACAAACAGGGATATCTCACCAAGCGCGGGCGCAACTTCGGTGGATGGAAGTCGCGATATTTTGTAGTGCAGGGCCCGGTTCTGGAGTACTACGAAAGCGTGAGTTGGCATTCAATTTAGCGCACACCGCGACTCGAGCTCATTCTTTCTCAGAGGGGCGGCGGACACCTTGGCTCCATCTCCATCACGGGCGCCCAAATCGGCCGTCAGCAGCGGTCCGGGAATGAGAGGCGCGAAGCGGACGACGACAACGAGTACCGTCACGCCTTCCTCATCATTGAGGCGCGCAAGCTCCCCAACGGCCAGCACCCGCGGCATGTGCTCTGCGCCGAGAGCGACGAAGAGCGTGATAGCTGGGTGGAGGTGCTCGTGCGGTATGTGCACGGCTCGTACAACGAGGACACGGGGCCTCCTGCAGGCGCAGGACAACAGGCACAGGTCCCGGGGCCGATCAACGTGCAGGTGCAAGCGCCGCCCAGAGCGAGCTCGAGCTCGGCGCAGAGCCCCAGTGACGAGGCACAGGTTACGCCCATGGGGAAGAAGGGCACCCGCACCGCGTCGAAGGACAACATCGTGTTCGGTGGAGCCGTCCCGATCGCGCAGCTCACGCCGGACGCGGGCAACGCGAAACTGATGCAGGCGGCGCCGTATCCCGCGGCGTTGACGATCCCGATCCAGCAGCAGTCGAAGGAGAACGCGATATCTCCTATCAACGGGCCGGGCACGTATTCGACGAGCCAGATGGCGAAGCGGATCCTGGACGGCGCGAACGCCTCCACGCCCGACGTGCCTGTTTCTACCAGCCTGCCCGAGTCATCGCCGCTCAGCGAGGCGCCTGGTGAGCTTGTCAGTATCCCGCGGGCCAACTCCGAGCTCGGCAACTACCCCGACCTCCTCGACCCGAACCGACCCCCGCCGTCGTCGGGGTCGCCGAACGATCACCGCGCGGGCCGCAAGTCCTACCATCCTGGTTTGCAAACTATCGCGGCGTCGCCGACGGTTCCTGTGCCGCCGGTTGCTGATCGGCCTGTGACACCGGAGAGCACGCCTGTGAAGGAGAGCAAGGGCAAGATCTCGGGCGCGTTCAGCGGGGCAAGGCTGCCTGGCGGGTTCAAGTTTGGGAGCAGCACGAAGGAAGTGCAGAGCTCGGATGCCATTTCCACGACGAGTTCGACTGACAGGAGGGAAAAGGCCAAATCAAGGTCGTTCTGGGGCTTTGGAAACAAGCCGCAAGGTGAGTGAGGTGCGATATGGCTGCAACGATTTGTGGGCTAATGGAACTTCAGGATCGGGCGCGGACAAGCCTATGCCTGTTAGCTACGGTGGTAGGCCGGTGTTTGGCGTGCCCATCGAGGACGCCCTCGACGTTGTGCAAATTGGTGGTCTGCCAGCTATCGCCTTCCGATGCATCCAGTACTTGGAAACAAAGAAGGCCGAGCAAGAAGAAGGCATCTATCGATTGAGTGGAAGCTCCGCCGTCATCAAGGCCCTGAAAGACCGGTTCAATGCTGGTGCGTCAATCGTGCCACGGATCAAAAGACCGATGTGACTGACTACGCGCGCAGAGGGTGATGTGGACCTACTGGCGTCGGACGAATACTGGGATCCGCATGCCATAGCGGGTCTACTGAAGACGTACCTCCGTGAGCTGCCCACGAGCGTCCTCACTCGCGATTTACACCTCCGCTTCTTGGCTGTCATGGGTAAGACCGCCTTCCATGCAGCGTCAGCGACCACTGATATGGATGTGCGACCCAGATCTCGTTGACCAGAAAGAGCGGGTCCATGAGCTCAAGCGACTCATCTCGAGATTGCCGATTGCCAATTACAGCCTTCTGCGTGCCTTGACGGCGCACTTAATCCTCATTGTACAGAATTCGTCGATCAACAAGATGACGATGCGCAATGTCGGTATTGTCTTCAGTCCGACGTTAGGCATTCCGGCTGGAGTGTTCAGTCTCATGCTCGGCGAGTTCAACCAAGTCTTCAACGTCTCCGGCGAAGCTGCGGAAGAAGAGGAATCCGAGCCGCCATCACCTGACTACGAGGAGGACGACGTCGCACCGAGCGCCGCTGCGGAGCGTGCAGTGCTCAGTCGGCGCAATAGCCATCGATACTCAGATGCGGCTGCGGATCAACTGCTCGGCCTGTCCGGGAGGACCTTGGCTGGTGCGTGTCCGGGATTGCTTGCCTTTTCCGTTTCTCGCTGACGTCAGTTCCGCAGTCCCAGACGAGTCTGACGAGGAAAATGCTAGTATTCTCATACAAGAGGACAGCGGGTCGGAAACCGCTGAAAACGAGACCACCGAGTCTTCTACGTCGGCCGGCCGAATGCCAACGTACCAGGACCATCTCCGTCCATCTGACGACCCAGAGCAACCCTCTCGTTCGAAGGCGGCGGCTGCTAGTCGGGGGCTGAACATTACGACTGGCGCCGACAGGATTCGGCGTCAAAGTCGGATGATTGGTCTGCCCCACTCGCCCCGACCATTGCAACAAAATGCTCAGATCACTTCGCCGAACGCACCTCGCAGCCCCTCTGTGCCCTCCTCCCCCGTCGACACTCCAAAATAATTGCATTTGACGTCTCATCCTTCGTGCCGCCTTGATGCCATCCGTCACATTGCAAACATGTCTTCTTTCGCTGGATCTCATTCCGTTCAAGGACCGTAGTAAGATACCCTTTGCACAGTTGTATGTCGTACTCGCGCTGTATACTCTTCCGACTATTTGCAAAACGAGCCTGAGTCTCTGTGATAAGCGCCTGAAGCTGTGGGAAGCCAAACGCGCCAACGCACTCGCGTCGCGTCACAGCTCCTGCTCGGCGTCCTCGACGTCCTCAGGTCCGCGACCGTCACCGGCCACAGCGTTTTTTGTCGACATGGGTTTCCGTCAAGCCGTCGTCCTGGCCTCCGTGTCATTCTTCCTCGGTTGGTGCTGAGGCCTTTACACATCACTGCTCTGCGCGTGCTCAGCTGCTCAACTGCTCAGGCGTGCTCTTCATATGCTTCAACGTGGACTACCGAGTGTTGTACAACTACAGTGAAGCGGCGGCGGAGGACGGCTTTCAGTTCTACGCGACGTTCTTCAACTCCCCCCCTGCGATCAAGGTATGTTTGACCGCGCAAGCTTTGCCTGCCCATCTTTACCGACTTCACAGGCGTTGCTACATGGCATGATGGGTGCGGGCCTTGTCGGTCTGTTGGCCAAGCTTTTCGTCTGGACAGAAAGCGCAATGTGGTTCGACGGCTCTTGTGTCGGTGCGTGGGCGGAACGAATGATCCCCATCGTACCTTCAATCCCACTCACGGGCTATTTCTAGTCGTGTACATGCTCGCCATCGTGGTTTACATGACTGTCACGATCCCATCCATGCGAACCATTGTCGATCCCGTCGATGTTGATACGAGAGCAGACCGCATTGAAGCCCTGCGAATCCTCGCAGCGGGCAACACAATCATGATGGGTCTCCTCGGCGCCGTGATATGTCTACAGGTTCGTGACTGTGCGAGCACAAAGTTTGCCGACTGTCGTTGACTCTCGCATTGTAGGCAGGACAGGAGTATACCAACCGCTTGATGGCGAAGGAGCTCGCTGCCATAGAAAAGGAAGAACGCGACAAGAAAGCGGCCGAGGCGGAAAAGAAGGACCAATGAGCCGACGCAGCAGTAACGTCGGGGCCCATCGCGGTCCGCCGCGGCCCCGCCTCCAACAGGCCCGCAGCGTCTTTGTATTCGTGGAAGCACCTCAGGCTCCGACCCATCCACTCTCCAGCTATTTGCGCTCCAAACAGAGAGCGCCCGCAAGGCTGAATCCGAGTTTCTTGGTGGAGGAGGATGCCAAATTAGGCAATTGAGAACATTAGGGGATGATCCAAAAGGGGGGAGTGGCGGTGCAAAAAGAATGATCCGAGGAATATCCGAATAGAGGGGAGCGCAACGCTGGAGAGCGGCTGGCACATAATGTAATTTGCAATTGATGCCGGAGCTCGGCTCTGACACATATTCTCCCAGGGTAACTGAAGACCCAGCTTGGGGTCAACAACCCCGCGCGGGTAGCACAGCCACGTCCCTAATCCGGCTCATACTGCTGCAATCCCCTAGTAATCCCTGATAGAGGGTACACGATCCTGTCATCTACATAATAATGTTAGTTATTAGGCTCTTAAAGACCTAACTTAAGCTGGAGAGGGCGCCCTTGATTTCGGTGGTCGGAAACAATTGCTATGCATTGTCGAAAAAAGTGTGCGTCTCTGGATTGAACCCCGGCCTTACGAAAAAGGAAAGTCGCGAAATGCGACACGTTACCACTTCGTCAGATGCGCGCGTTGTCGGCGCGACTCCTTGTCATATATGACTTGCTGCAACGGTGGTCCGCTAAGCTCATGAGTTCATTTCACCATTCAACAGCCCAAAGGGGTTGCAACAGTCCACGGAGTATGCCTTAGCACTCCTACACCTATCGACGAGAAAGGAATATGCTCGTTGTTGAGCGAATCCCACCTGTGGCTGTGCTACCCGCGCGGGGTTGTTGACCCCAAGCTGGGTCTTCAGTTACCCTGGGAGAATATGTGTCAGAGCCGAGCTCCGGCATCAATTGCAAATTACATTATGTGCCAGCCGCTCTCCAGCGTTGCGCTCCCCTCTATTCGGATATTCCTCGGATCATTCTTTTTGCACCGCCACTCCCCCCTTTTGGATCATCCCCTAATGTTCTCAATTGCCTAATTTGGCATCCTCCTCCACCAAGAAACTCGGATTCAGCCTTGCGGGCGCTCTCTGTTTGGAGCGCAAATAGCTGGAGAGTGGATGGGTCGGAGCCTGGAAGCACCTCTTTATTCTCTATTGCAAGTACTGAGACCGCAATACCGGTCACAGGAGTTCTATATGGTCGGCGGAGTGCCCGACTTGTTCCTATCCCGCAACCGACAAGCTCTCACCTTCGACCTCGATCAGGCCTTTCGTTTTCTGCTGGCGTCCGATGCCACGCCTGGCCTTGCGGTCGCTCATGGCCCCGTCCATCGCTGCCTCGATTGCTCTCGTACAAGGATTCTGCCGTGGTACAATGCCGAATCCGAGTTCTTGCGGCTGCTTATCCCTTGTTCCTGACGACCCCGACTCTTCCGAGCGCTGCTGAGGTAGTAATGGTCACCGAGGCAGCGTCGGTGAGCAGTACTTGGACTATACTTGCCGTCAGTAGTGTCACCATCGTCGAAGCGTGCGCGTGAGGGATGAGTCGACGTCGCTGTTCATTGGTAGTCTGAATGTTCTGATCACGTTCGTCGGTCGGCCTTTCCTCTCTTATCTCCATGTCGTACGTTCTGGCAGGTAAATTTCCTTGTTCCTTGCGCACGCGCGTACACAATTCAGGCCCAGTGCCCCCCTCGTGTGATCGTTTCTCAGTCGTCTCTCGAGAGCTCCGCCGCTCCTTCTCCCTTCGCGCGCAGTTTAAACGGTATCGCCACGACGTGACGGTCACATCAAGCTCTTGCATCCCGCCGGCTGAATTTGATCGTTCGACGCTCTCGACTGGACGGTCAAGGCTATTCTGGACAATCCCGTCGTGTAGTATCGTTCCGCGGACCGACACCCACTGCTCCGGGGGGGATTCGCTATATCAAGCAGTCAACGATCAACTCGAGTAGTTGCTGTTTGCAGCAATTCCTATCAGGAACTATTTGTCGTGTCAGAAGTCAGAGAAGCTGTGGGATATATCGTTTCATTTTTCCATGTGAACAAGCTCAACAGCCGGTCTGAAAGCCGGCCGCAGAACACCTCATTCTTGTCTTTTCTTCCTAGGGCGAGGCACGAGATCATGATTTCGCCCTGCATCGTGAGTAGTATTATTGATGCGAGTTGCTGGAACCCGCCACGTCCGCCCGCAAGGGCAGCGTTGGCGCCACAATGGTTCGGGCTTTCATCGGCGGTTCCACGAACGCAAACGCATGTATGACGCATTGGCAGAGTTCAATGTGTCCAGCAGCTCAGATTGGAGTTGATAACATGGAAGGTCGTGCGTAACGCCTACGAGTTGCGGTACGATAACACTCGTCATGAATTAGCGAGGGAGCAGAGATATGCCCCTGCAGAGTACCTTCGCACGCCGAACGGCAGGGACGCCATCTGTTGGCGCGAGAGCGCGTCACACAGCGAGCCCTTCGACGATCGTCTTTCTGCCTCCTTCCGTCCTTCGATGTCCCTTCCGCATCAAACACCGCGACAGCGCTCGCCCGGCCAAATCTTTCGAGAATTGACCGGTTAGTAACCGTCGCACATGGTCGAACCTGATCATCCCGCGTTCGCAGAGACCGTCCACCCGCACAAGATATAGCGTCGCGAGCCTGTCCACTGCCGACGGCGCCTTCTCCACGAGCTCAATATCTCTCGCCAACAGAAGAGCGTGCGGTCCAGGCTGATACGGTGTGACTATCAGCACGAAATACGAGAGAACATACTATTGGCTAAATTGGGGTGGGTACGCAAGCGCCTTTCTTTGGCCACAGCGCGGGAAACGCTACGTTGCATCCCCTTAGATCCCCCTTCACAGAAACCGGCTGAAATAAGCAGTTGCCGGCAAAGGGACAGAGAACATACCAGAACATATGCGCTATCCAGCAACGCCGACTTGGTCACACAGCTGATGCAACGTGGCGGAAACCTTCGCGTCCTGCAGCTGCACATGGATGACGAGAGCGTTCCAGTGCGGTCACATCACGCACCGACGGCCGGAGTTCGCCAGACGATGTCGGACTATCGCCACCAAATTGCCCACTCCTCTAGAAGTTATTGTTCGGCGTGTACTCGTGCACGTGTGCCGCGCACCGCCCGCATCTTGTCTCAGCCTGAAATATCAGGAGGGAACACTCGGAGTGCTATCCTTATATGCTTGAAGGTTGGTCAGGAAGGACCGCTCGAAGATAGAAGCCACGTTCGTCGTACGCAGATGAAACGGTGATGCTTCATTCGTTATCGTGACATGCCGACACTGATGGTAGTGGTATTGTGTGCCGCAATGGCAAGTCCGGCTGTAAGACACATGTACGGTTGATCAGTCCATCACGAGACGCGAGAGCCACTCAACCCGATACAGCAGGTGGCGAGCGAACGACGAACAGCAACGTGGAGATATTGCAAGGTTTTAGCCTTTAGGCAAGAGCTATGACGTTCACGAGAGCTCAGAGACGAGAAGGCGTTAGCAAGGTATGGATGACCAAATCATAGCGTGCTCAGAAGCATTAGGCCTGCGATGTCATAGGGAAAACTCCGGGTCGAAACGCGGAGGTGTTCGATGGGATTGCCAAGCTACGAAGGACGCTCCATTGATCCAACCCGATAAGAGAGACGAGAGGTTGATAGCAAATCAGGCTCAGTACCTTTCGCAGGCCGTGACCCTGCTCGCGGAAACTGGAGCTCAGCATTCGCATCATGCATGCAGATGTTCGATGAATTTCCATGCCTCCCGCAGCGCGGTACAGGCTGTGCGCCGCCGACCGGGTCCTATACAGCGATCCACAATGCACTGTGAAGGTGCGGGATCGATTCACGATAAGCTGTCGTGGCAAGGGTCGGGCGCGGAAGGCGGGAAACAGGAAGTCGATGACGCTTGAACGTGGGCGCGCATCCTCCCGAGCGTCCGAGCCCGGAGAGTTATAGAACCGCATGACGCCACTGGCCATTACGCCGACGCTCGTCACCCCGAGGGAAGACGGGAAGTGGCGGATGCGCACGGGTGCTGCCGGTGCCAGGGACAAGGCGAAGGTAGCGCGAAGGTATCAGATAGCAAGATAGCAAGATACAGTGAACGTGCGGAGAAGGCTCGTCACCCCTGCAGGTCCTCTCCGTCTTCAAGAGAAAAGTAACCTTTTAGTGGCGGCATGCCTTGACATAGCGCGACGGCGATATCGCCTCGCATGCGCGGGATCCCGAGAGAAGGAGACGCGGCCCGAATGCATGGGGCTGAGAAGACTGGTCTTCGAACGATAACGAATCCGAGCAAAGCGACGAGTGCTGGACGCTGTTGTTGTTTTTGAGGGGACGTGAAGCGGAGATGATGCGCGACGTTCGTTGATGATGTGCACAAGTTTCGCCGGTCCAGCGCAGCGCGAGCGTCGTCAGCATCGACGTTTTGTACTCGCCCCGCTATGGGAGGAAGAATGTCGAATGCAGCAATGACGTCGTCGTCCAGCGGTCTAGGCCCTTCGTCCGTACAGCGAGGATAGGCCGCGGGTCTCGAGTATGGGCAGCGCAGATAAGGGCAGGCCTCGAACGTGGCGGATCAGAGAAGGGCGGGAGAAGGCGGTGTGACACGACGTGGGCTGGGAGAGAGGGAGGACAACAATATGCACTGTAGATGAAGGGGCCAGGCTGGTTGCAGTGGTTCGTCAACAAACGCGCACACCGACCGTTCAGTGTGGGTAACGGATACTCACAACGATAGGCGGGCGGAATGTGATGGAACGACGGCGATCGACGAGCCCGAGGCCCGTCGCGGTGAGGTGACCGTGACGGTCCCTCGAGCCCCCCAGGGAGTGCCAGATCATTGCAGTCGTTCGCCCATCCGGATGAGAATGTCCGAGCCCGCGTTCATGTTACTGGTTCCGCGCCCTCTTTCGGGTGGCGAACGCTCGTAACCGTGGAGTAGCGTCACAGGACGGCAGCGAGGGTCGAGGCCGTCGCGCGTCCAAAACATGATATGCAATAACATCGCGTTCGTTTGGCAGTGCATATGTACAGCATCCCGTCCTGCGTTTCTGCTAATCTTGGGACGTCTATGAGAGTGCCGTCGTAGCTACACTGGAAAGCAGTTTGTTGGGTCAGAAAATGGGATTGCAGCTACTGTTTTTCGCTGGGGTCGAGAGGGCTCACCGACGGTCCGGAAGTGGTGTGCCTACGCGGCTCGGAAATGGTCGTTCGGCGCAAATGCCGGCATACGTCGACTGCGACCGCTTTGTTTCTCCCGAAATAGAACGAGGAGATCCATGCTCGACCGCCGCCATAGATTCGAAGATGCAGGAGTTCATAAACTGAGGCACCGAGGGACGGCGCAGAAGCTACTTTCCAGCAATCGACGCCACGATCATCAGGAGAAGGGCCGCCGCAGACACCGATTGATCGGACGGTACGTACGTGGATGGTCGTTTGGGCGGGTAAGTCAGTGTCGGCATGAGTCCGATGTCAGCATGACTTCGATGCCGGCATGGGTTCGGTGGCGGTGGGTGGGTCTGGAAGGCGAGATGAGAGATGAGCTCTTAGCAGCTTCGTTGTCGCCGCCGCCACCGCGACATGCTCGCGAGGGCGCTCGGCATTTAGGGTTCCGCCGCGGGGGGAAGGAGTAGGGTGATCCGGCGCTCGGCGTGGATATGCCTATGCGGTGACGGTATTGGTCATGCGTGCGACGCTGGGTTCGGAGAGTACTAGTGCGTTACGGCAGCATCGTGGGCCCATTGGCCGACGAAAGCTTCATCGCGAGCTCGGGCGAGATCTCAGCGGTGGTGGTACGTGTTCATGCAGTGGCTCGCTGCGGCGCCAATGCCCGGGAGGATCGAGTATGCGAATAGTGTTGCGCATGTTACATACTTGCGGGCGTTTTGGGCGGGTGGGGAGTCACAGACTTGAAGACGCGACGCTGAGGCATCAGGAGGTCCGGGTGGGGTGTGTCAAGCCGACGCGCATATAGGCAGGCCATTACCCGAATCGGGCTCCTGAGAAGGGAGACAACAAAGCCAGCTAGAAGTCGGAGGCGAGACGCGGAGGAAAGAGGACCGACAATTGGGGGGAGTTTCTGCGGGACATCGTCTGGAGACATGGCGGTGGCGACGTTACGACCTCTCTCGGCGGCCCTTCGCTTTCCGCCGCTTCGCCAGCGTATCCATATGCCTGGTTATGGCACACAGTGATGCACAGTACGATCAGCAATGCTACTGAACCAGGCCTAAACCGTAGGCTTGATAGGCGCATCGTGATGTTGTCTCGCCGTCGAGTTCGCAGCGGACGCAACATCTGTTGACAAGCGATCAAAAAGGAACTCGCGAAGGAAGAGCAGAAGAAGCCTGGACACTACCTTTTCCCTGCGGAAGCAAAAAAATGTCGTCATAGCCCCAGAAGTTCGCATTCCTGTGCATTTTTCATGCGTTCGCTGGCTACGTACTCGCAGCGACCGGGCTCAGTTTTTGGGTGCTATGGCTGCTGGCACACACACACACGCCTTCGGCCTCTGCTCGGATCTCAGCTGTCTAACGATGCCCGTGCGGCTTCTTGCTGTGGTCGATTATTCCGCAGGTAGCCACCGCCACGATATCCAGCTCTATATGCGCTCGGATATGCAAATAAATGACCGGGATTGATGATGGGAGCTCGGGAGTAGGGTATGCGAGCGTCGCGTCTGCGCTTGACGCTCCGGCGACTCAAAAGCGTCCCGTAGGACGACCTGATGTACTAAGTATCGCAAATGATCAATGTTCGGGGCCCCTGCAACGGTGATAATATCAGGGACGTCTCGCGGAATCGGACTGGGATCTATCTCTCTTACCCAGCGCGTTGAGTAATGGTTTACCTACAAAGCGTGGTGACCTAGCCGGTACCGATCGCAAAGCTGGAAAAAGGGGTCCAACCCTCGATTGTAAGTTGCGCGCAGCAGCGCAGGTCGAGCGACGATGATGCAACCACTTGGCGCCCCGGATTATGAGAGCCTGTGTGAACGCATCGAAGTCATCGTCCTTCCCCGATATCGATGATTTACAGGTAAACGGACATTTTGCTGCCGCAATCCGTGTAAGTAGTAGCCGGACGAAAGAGGGCGGACGCAAATGCGACGTCGTCCCCACGGATGTTAACGAGTTTGTCACGCAAAGTCGTGACGCCCCACCTTTGCACGTCCACGTCCCAAACCCATCGCCGCCTTAGAGAATTAGATCGCCTTGAGTTGCGCACGAACGGCGCGGAGAGTTCGTCGAACTTCGCGCCCTCGATCATCGACTGAGATGCACGCACCGACAGAGATGCGCGTCCATGCGACCCTATATTGCCTTGTATGCGCTCTCACAGCCTCGATGAGCCGAGAGCGCGCGACAGCGGTGACGACACCACCGATGGTTCTCGACGAGATAGGTGTGTTCCGCAGGCTTCGAGTTCATGAGGGCGACGAGAAATGACGGTGATAGCTGCTAACAAACGCATCCCTTCCTCGCTACTACTTCAGTGGATGACGAAGCATACCGACGCCAAACCTGCACGATCACCCTGAAGCCACGAACGGCATACCCAGATCTCGCAAATGCCCAGCGCAAACGCCCCCCGACGGACGAAAGAGCGTTCGGTCGATGCTCCTTGCGATGACACGCCGTTCTGATGCGCATCCGCCTCCATCACGGATATATCTCATCTATCTCGTCGCGACCCAGCCGACTCCCAAAACCGGTGCTGTACACCGGAAACGCCGAACGCGTCGGTGACCAAACACGGACGGAGCCGACGCGATCGCGCCCGCGCCTTCGAACGAATCCGCGCCAAGGCGCCGAATGCTTCCGACGATCCCCTCTCCGCGAATCATCGAATTTTTTCAAATCTCGCTCGACCCCGCGCGCGGGCTCGGCCTCCCCATCATCTCACCTGAACGCGCGCCTGACCACACCGCTCGCCATCATCATATCTTGCAAACAGACGAGTCGCAGGCATCAGCACAGACGAGACAAGCGGACTCGAAAAACACTTGGCAGGACCGGCCGGTAAATACGAAGGTCCTCTTTAAGGCCTGAGGGTCTGAACGACGGAGAATTCCGAGCCCTACGCACGATACGCTCGGATCACCCCTCGCGGACGTCTGCGCCGCGCTCTCCTCAACGTCCTTCTTTTCGCTTTCGCAATATCAGCCTCGCCCCCGCGCCGTCCACCTTATCTGGGCCCGTCACCGTCACCGGCCACCCAAGGAGACGCGCCGGATCCCCACCCCCCCCGCACTTGCCCCCCGATAAGTGTAGAGCAGCTACGCCATGGTACATATGCATGTGCTGATCCAGGACCCGGAAAACAAAAAACACAAGGTTGACGTTCTTACTGCGTGCGCGTCTGGGCGTGGACGCCGTATAGAAGGGGGGGGAGGGGGCAAGGAACGGGCTATAAAAGAAACAAGAAGGGATGTACTCTACGCTCGCGCGCCTTCACGCGATGCAATTGCGCTCGCCCGTCCGACCCAATCTCGATTACTGTGTGACGCCGCCGTGCATGTCTCCTTCCCGTAACGTGAAGATTGCGGGTTAGCTCGATTCAATGGGGAGAAGGAGCCTCGAGCGGAGGCGGGGGGTACGCAGCACGACGCCGCCGCCGCCACCGCCGATCTCGTGGTGCTTTAGGAGAGAAAGAAGAAGAGAGACCATGTAGGCAAGTAAGCATCGTCTCGCCGGTGGAGCGTGGCGGTATACATTACGGGGGTGGACGTAGCACCGTCCCCCCCCCCCCTCCCGTGCGTTCGGCGACGGCGCAAATGCAAGCACCCCTCTGTTTGGCGTGGTCGAAGTACTCACATATTGTGCGCCACACCTGTAACGGGCAAAACGTTCCCTTCTGGGCTACGTAAAACGTGAATGGTATATGACCCGATGGCGGAATTAAGCGCAATTTGGCGCATCCCTGCGGGAACGAGTATATATATGCGTGCTCTGGATGTGGGCACACGAACACGGACCGGGCCTCATGGGTTTCTTCTGTCAATTGGAAAGTCGACGACGTGTACGGCTGTTCGTCGAGGTGTTACATTGGCCCTCTGGCGGCGCTCGATCTCTCCCGTCCAACCATCACACTTTTTTTTTTTCGTCTCGGAATCCACGTCCGGTGACAGCATCGAGTTATAGCGAGACAGGGAGAGAGAGAGGGGCGCGCGCAAACTCCCGAGCCCTCGGGGTCATCGTCATGCGACGCCAACCCGACCCGCCGGTGTTTATCTTACCTTCTGGAACCTCGGTCGCTAAAACAAACCGCCAAAAGAAAAAACAGAAACGGGACGACCCGGACACCGTGCGTCGATTGCGGGTTTATCAGGCAGTTTGGGGTTATAGTACCCGATCTCCTTTGTTTTTTTCCTACTGCGAGTCATCATACTGAGGGCGTCGGGGGCCTTCGTGATCGTATCGTATTTTGTGCGCAATATACCGAGGGAAGGGCGGGACTGCCCCCCCCTAATGCTTTAGCGTCGCTTGGCGCCCGAGTCGGACTATGGCGGGTGAGCTGACACATGATTCATATATTCATGACCCGGCTTGCTGGCGCAGCCTTAAGTTAGTGTGGACCCACCCAGACTCGCCGAGCTGTTATCCTGGATAATATGCGGTAATCGAGCTCTCCTACGAAGCCAAAAAAAAAAAAAAACAAGGGAGCGTCGTTGAACGCCCAGATCTGCGGAGGCGGAAAGGGCGCGCGACAGGACATGAGAGAGAGAGAGAGAGACGTCCGCGCCCCTGACGGTGGCTCGCGCGGGCCCGCGAGAGGTGTTTTACGTCCGAGCTCGCGTAGCGTCGTTGAGTTGCCGGAGGGAACGAGAGGGGCGCGCGAGCCCTCCGGGCAACAACACCTTCTCGCTCCACCATCGTCCGTTCATTTGATGACGACGGGCCTGATGAAAAAGGGCATGTCACGGAATATATGTATATCGCGATCGTAATTATGGGCGCTGCACCGGTATTTTATTAATCACTGGTCACATTTACATACTTATATCGACCGTTTTTCGTTATCTCAGCTGGCTTTTTTTTTGCTTTATTGCCACCGAGTCGCTGGCTTCGAATCGCGGGGGCCGCGCGCCGTCGTCATTTCGCGCGAGAACAAGGTACATAGAGGCGGGGCGGGCGACTACGAGGATGAGGGGGTACGTCGACGGCGCGCGGCTTGGTGACCCAGAGATAGCGACTGAGCCCGCTGCCGCTAGCTACAGCCCCCGTCCGCAGATCTATCTTCCTTCCTTCCTTTTTTTTCCTTCGCGGATTTGCGCCGCTGCGCCTTCACATCAACGTCCCGCGGGGTGCGTCTAACAATGGCAGGGGAGAGAGAGAGAAGAGCGCAGAAAAGATGGGGCTGCGTTCGCCCCCCCATTGTCCCGGTGAACCTTCATCCCAGCCCAGCTGGAACCGGACCTTCCGCGCAAACGGGAGAGTGAGAGGTTGCGCGCGGGGTCCCGGCCAAACGGCGGGGTTAACGGCGGGTCTCGCGTGACGGAGCCCCCCCGATCGTGACCTCTCTCTCTCTCCCTTGCGAGAAAAGCACCCGTGGGAACGCGGTCCAGGGCCCAGCTCGGCCAGACCACACGAAAAGCGCGTCCCCGTCCATGCCCGCCCCCATACATATGCATTACCCTCTGCTTCCTTCTCTCGATCTTTTTGGGCGTGTGCGCGGGGGGGCATTGGCAACGTTATGGATATGGCGTGTCGAGGCCCTGCCGTGGAAATGGGGGCCTGGCTGTCTTGTGTTTCCAGGAGGGCCAGTCCGCCGGGGCAGACCGCCACGGGGTCCAGTCCGCCGCACGCAGCCATCAGACGCCGCCATCGTCCAGAGGGGGGAGGCACAGGAAAAAACCCCCCCGTCACGCTCTCCCTCGGTCGAAAAACGCGCTCGGGAAAAACGCGAGGGGGAAACGTCTCAAATGCGGCAGGCTCTCAAGGTACGACGCAACCCCAGAACCGAATGCGGTTTAGTGGCCTTAGCGCCGCACATATCTCCCAGATCTGGGAGACCGCAGCCGGGAGAGCGAGATCTGCGGGTCTGGGACGAGATCGCCACCCCTCTCTCTCTTCCCGCGCGGTATGTGACGCTCGTGGGCGTGACGCCTTCGCAGAAGACGAAGGAGGGAAGGGAAGGGAGCGTAGCGTGATGGTGCTGATACTCTTCCGAATGCGACGAGTCGTCCTGGGTGTGGGTGTGCGTGCCTCCCCGTTCGCTGCCCCTCTCCTCGTACTTAAGCCCCGGTTCCGTTCCCAGCCCCTTTGCTACCCCACCTGCCGCGTGCCCTTCCCCTCCTGGAATCCAGCACACGGTCCCGCCCGCCACCACCACCGGCACCCCCGACGACGATCCATACGACGACGACGATCGTCCCCGTCCTCCTCCCCGTCCCCGCCATGAACTTCGCCGCGGACATCGACTGGTGCCTCTCCTGCAGCCGTCACACCGTACGTCTCTCTCCTCCGCTCACCTCGTCCCTCGCCTCGTACTAATCCCCACCCCCCTTCACTTCAGGACGGCACATCGCCCTACTGCTCGGACGCATGCTACATCGCCGAGAACCCGCACCCCCCGGCGTTCCTCAAACCCGCCGCCGCGCCCGACACCGACATCGACGACTTCGCCCTCGAAGACGACGACGACCGATCCGGCTCGTTCGCCATGCCCTCCACCTCGACGCACTGGCCGGGCACCAGCCCCACCGGCATCGCCGCCTGGGCCGCCCTAGTCCCCGCCGGCGCCCCGCCCTCCTCGCCCCCGCCCCCGTCCACCTCCACCTCCACGCCCTCCTCCACCTCGGCCTCCTCCTCGCGCAAACCCTCGCCCACGCGCTCCCCGCGCTCCCTCCGCCCCTCCGCGCTCAACTCCCCGCCGGCCGGCCGCCCCTCGATCTGCCTCTCCCGGCCGCAAGCCGCGCCGTGCGAGCCCACCCTCCCCATCGCCACCCCCGTCGAGCACCTCCACCACCACCTCCACCTCCACCGGCCCACGCGCGACTCGCTCGCCACCCTCGCCACGCTCACCACGCACGCCACGACCGCGACCGAGTCCGCCGTGCCCACCCCCGCGACGTCGCTCAAGGACCTCTCCGTCATCCCGACCACGACCACGACCACGACGGGGGGACCGGGAGGAACAGGAGGAGGGAAACGCCAGCCGGCGTTCATCCGCGACCTCGCGCACCGCATGAAGACGTGGGGCGCCGGCATCGGCGCCGCCGCCCGCGCCTCGACGCCGCAGATCGCGGTGCTGGACGGCCTGGAGGCCGCGACGGACCACGAGAAGGCGCGCTACCTCGTCGCGGCGACGGCGACGACGGACGCTACGGACGACGATCATGATGACAATAACAACGACGACGACAACGACGCTTACGACGTCGTCCGGTTTAGCGTCGTCAACCACCAGTGCACGCTCCCCCGCCGCGCGTCCCGGTGCGCGCTCGACGACCACCCGGCGTTCAAGACCCGCGGGCGCAAACCGCGGCACTGAGTCTCCGCATCGTCCGCCCTGCGCTTCGCATGTTTTTTTTTTCTTTCCTACTACTTCAGGATTCCACGACATAGACGGGGAGACGACCGTCCATCGTATACGGTCCCCCCCACCCTCTTCCCCACTTTTCTTGTACTACCACCACCACCACCACCATCCACGGCGTGCACCTCAAAAACCGCCCCCTCCCCTCTCTCTCCAACGCAATCTCTCTCTCTCTCTCTCTCTCGCCCTTTCAACTCGCCCTTTCAACTCGCACGAACGTCCCAAAAATTCGCATCCCCGCCCAACCATCATCGCAACGGCCCCGTCCTCGGATTTTTACCCACCCACCCACCTCCCTCTCTCACACACGCACACACACACACACAAAATACCACCACCTCACGAAATACCCTCTCTCTCGCTCTCTCTCTCTCCATCACACAAAAAATTGCCATATATATATACATACACATATCTCGTCGCCCCTCCTCCAGAAAAAACACGCCCCTCAGCACGCACCGTCTTGTTTTATTTTTTCGTTCCCCCTTCTCGACTTCTCGTTCCTGTTCTCTCTGTCTCGAGCTTTTCTTTTTGCCATCTTCATCAATAGAACGGCCCCCCGTCGTGGGGGTCCCAGGATCTCGTGCCCGGATATTTTGTAACAACGCGCACGCAACCACGCTCTCTCTCTTTTTTTTTCACGGCTCTCGTATCTCTCAGTGTTTGTTTTTCTTGTACGTTGTACTTAACATACCTCAGTATTATGCATCGATATCGCCGTTTTTAAACGATTCTCGCGTTTGTCGCCATCCCTGCCACGTTTGGGACAGAGATGATGTTTACGAAACGGGAACGTTTAACGACGGACGACGGACGACCTTTGACGTGGAGATTCCAGCCAGCCAGTCGGAGGGGGCCTCAACACCGCCTCTATTCGTATTTGCAACTCTCGGTTCGCCCCCGAATCGGTGCGGAAGTTAGTTACAAAGTTAAGTATACATATACTCCGTCACACGGATGGGGGAAAGAGAAGCGTTAACGTATGTAACGCTGCCCTTATCGCCCAGCAGCCCCCCCCCCGCGCCATCCGAAGCCCAAACGCGGTTTTTTCCTTCACTTTGTCATGGGCGCCGGGGCACGCCTGTTCTTGCGCGTTCGCTCGCGTTCTATGTTTTTATATGCCACGTTGATGCCGTTAGCCTTACCATGTAACCCCTTTCCATCTCTCTCGCTCGCATCTGACCGAAGTCATTTCCCGTTAACGTTCCTCGGTCCGGAGAGCAGGGAGGTCTCACAGAAATATCTCGGGAGCCGCGCGCAGCTGCCTTAGAATCAATATCATATACCAATTGCGACGCCGAGATCGCAAAAGAGAGTGCGGTCACGATTTTGACTCTGAACTCCGCAGTGTTGAAGAGAGAGGGAGGAGGGAGGAGCCAGGCAGGATAGGATAGGGTTCAGGCTCAGCCAGCGATGGCAAGCTTGATCCGGAGTCAGGTCAGAGAAAAGAGAGAAGGAGGGAGAGAGCGCGCCTTGCCCAGTGCCCGGCACACGTAACGAGGGATTTACGATTCGAGAATTTGGGTATTGCGGAGCCTCAAAAGGGAGATAGCGCGCGCCGTCCGCCCGCGCTGCGGGTAAGATTTGAGACTGTTGGGGGGGGACTCGGCAGACCCGGCGGACGGTGGAGCATAGCGGGCCCGACGGGTCGTTGCGCTAAGCTAGGCTCGAGAGGCGGAGTTGGCGTTCCGCGATCGGCGCTCTCTCTGCACGGGATGGGCATAGACGGATCGAGAGGGGGAAGGTCTGGACGAGCTCGGCGCCACGAGCAGATCATGCTGTTTCGAGCTAATGAACGAGGCTGGAGCCTCGCACCTCGACTCGGAGGAGACGTGCGCGTGATTGGGGGTTAGCACTGGCGTTGCTGGTGGTTGGCGCGGGGGCGTGGTTCGTGCTGTGGCGAGCGGCGTTACAGTACGCCCAGTCCGGAGGGCCCAGACCCGGGTACTGGATCTAACGAGCGAAGAGCTGTCCGAATTGGCGGAGAATACCGAGGAAGGGATAGAGCGTGCCCGAGACCGGTTGGACACAGGAGAAGAAGCTCAATGAGACCGCGCGAGGCCGTCTTTGGGAAACGAGAGATCGACAGGCTCTAGCCCTCAGGGCACATCGAAGGCCGGATGTAACGCGAACGACCGCCGCGAACGGACGACGTATCCTCTCGTCCTTTCGAATCCCATACTGAGCGAGTCTGGATAAAAGGAGAAGAAGGCGTCAGTTTCAGTTTCGGGGGGGAGGGGAGATTTAGCATCCAAGGGGAACATTCCACATACGGCGCTACGACTCCTTGGATACGAACGATAGCATCCCTCGTGCTCGCCGACCCGGCGGTGGCTGGGCCTGCAACAGGGGCTCCCGTCGCAGTCGACCGCCTCTTTTCTGTCCGTCGATGCGCAGATCTAAACCCGTACGGCGGCGCGAACCTGAACAAGGTTTTCGCCCCCCCCCCGCCTTTCGTCCGCCCGCGGCGGTATTGCGAGGCGACTTTGGCTGCCCACGTCAAACCGCCATCGCCATCCCTATCCCGCGAGGGCGCACGGTTGTCCAGCTCGCTGCTGTGGCAGGTGTTCGCGCCGCCCGGCGGCTTCGGGGCTGGCACACCACAGTGCGATCTGCGCTCTTCGTCCGCCTTCGAGAATACGACGACGCCGCCTTTTTTCTCGCGTGATGTGAGCTTCTGTGACGCGCGCTGGGCTCTTGCATCGCCATCCGGCAATGGTTGGTGGGGTGGGTTGGTAGGTGGTGCACGCGCCGCACACCACTCTGGCCCAGTGTCTTACGTCGACACCGAGAGACGGGTGGGAGCGTCCAGCAAATAACCTTCGAGGAGCGATTCTGGATACCGTGGGCTCGTATGGGTAGCCTAGCGCGCCGTGTGCGCCAGCGGTGTGGGAACGAAACGAGCAGGCGGCGGGGATACAGGACCGAAGGCGTTGATCATGGAAGTCAGGCGAGCGATGCGGGGAAAGGCAGCGCCGGGGTCGAAGTTGTCAGAGTTTCGACTTCTACAAGTTTTTTCGCCTTGAGTCGGCCAGCGCGCCAAGAGCTCTTGTTCGCGAGAGACATCCGGAGGCTGGGAGAGTATCGCTATCAGCCACAGATTTCGGTCCCAAGCAATGTCGAACGGGCTTGGCTCGCCTTGATCAGGCAGTCGCGCGCCTCGCCATCACCGACGTATACCAAGCGATCAGGCGAACAGAGTCAGCAGGGGCAGGGCGGGAACAAAGGCGCGAACGCGCGACGTCCAAGTAGCCGCGATAGGGAAGGCAATTATTCGCCGGTGTGTGTGGGCGCGACTTCCCAATAAAGATCATGTGTCGCGAACAAACTACTGGTCCCGCCGTTTGCTTGCGTCGTGGATCGGCCAACGTCTCGACTACCTATCCACGATACGATATCTTAGTCAGCCCCCGCCCTCGATACCACTTGAACTGCATACACTGCGCAAGGCGCGGTGCTCGACGAGCGACGCGTCCCGCTGCCACCATCAAACTGCGCCCCGAGAAAAGACAGAAGGTGCAGATTCGAGTCACAGGCGACGCAGATCGCGCGAGAGGGAGGGGCCGTTCTTAGAGATCCGTCCCTAGATTAATTGAATGAAAAAAATCATGGTCGGGATCTCGGGACGACCGTATCTCAGCGACCGTCAGCGAGCGCACTATCCGATCCGCACGGGGGTGGGGAGGGAACCGAATATTCCCTCTTGTCACAGAAGGGAGCAATTAATTGCAAGCATATCGCGTCACGGCTTTGATCAAGGAATCAAGCCACTGACGCCCGACGTCGGACCCGGGACTTGAGAGGGGCCGGGGTCGTAGAGTGGGTGAAGTTGGAGATTGATATCGGACAGGGGGGCCGGGAGGAGGGCGCGCGATATCGTGGAGTATTAGGAGAAAGAGAAGAGAGGCGCTGAGGTGCGGGGCGCGGCATACGTTGGACGGTGCGCCGTGCGGGGAGGATGCTCATCGGGTCGTTCCGTATCCGTCACGCTACGTATTGGCGGTTATTCTGACGGACGGGTCTGAGCGTGCCTAGGCGGGAGCATGATAGCCAGCCAGGCACGGCGCGTCAGAGAACAACAGAACATACCAAGGTCATACAAAGATACGCGTATGCGTCAGCAAGATCTCGGTCTAATCGCGAGTAGTGACACGCTACCGGCTGGAGTTTAATGTGTGCGCGGCCCGTTGAGATCTGGGCGGAGTCCCATAGGGATTTGCGCCAAGGGCGCATCAATCTGAACAAAATATATCTCTGCGCCATACGGAGAATAGACAAGGACGACGCTTGAGCTTGTTGGGAAAGAGTAACATGTCCGTGACAATCGACATGGGAGCAGATGGGGAGCCTACCCGGGGGTCACGAGGGCGGGACACTGCCCGAAAAGGCGAATCCGGCGGTCTGTTTGGTGGCCTCGTGCAATGATGACGGAACGGCCTCCGACGTCGTGACACGCGGCTCTCATACGCCTTCCCGAGCCCCAACGACCTCATGCTCATAAACTCAATTAAACGCGCTCCGACTCCGAAACAAAAACCAACCCATGCATCGTCAGCTGCCCCGGGAACGAAGCTTGAGTTCCCCCTACATCATCACCGAGATGCAAATGACAAACGCAAATCGTCCACACCCGCTCTCTCTGAGAGAAAGGCAAGTGAAGGGGCTGCTTCCCTCTCAGCTCTTAACCCCCCCAGAAACTGAGGTAGTTCTGAGATCCCGGACGGACCTCCAACCTGATCTCAGAAGGGTCCGTTCGCGGGAGCCTTTCACAAGCCGCGCTATGTTTGCTCTGTTACCACTCTCCTTGAGGGTGGGTGGTGACAATTACGGCGTGGTTGTGTTGGAGACGGCTCCGAAGCTGCCCCGCTCCTAAAGCAAGCTCATAAGATGAAAATGCCGTCGTCGCTCCATCCACACGCGGTTCGTTACGAGCAAGCTACTCGGGACCAACGAGCGCAGACCCCACAGGGGGGCACAAAAAGGAAGGGGAGGGACGGTTGATTCGGCACGATACGACCACCGCAGCGGCATCGATGATTGCCGTCACGCTCAGAAGTTTGGGGGAACATTGGTGTATTCGTCGGTGGTGGAGATGATGGCGTGGCTGCTGCCAGCGGAGAACGCGATGCAACCCAGAACTCCGCTGAGCAATGCGGAATCAGCAGGTCGTACCCTCGGGCGTAAGACGCTCTTCACCCTGCGGGACTGTCTGCGTTCGGTCGATGATCGACCCGCAAGAGTTAACAATAGACCGATGAGAAGCTGCCGCGAATGTGATGTGGGTCCAATCATACCAGCGTTTGGATTTTGGGACGTCCTCCATCGTTACGCAGAGGCGTTCGAAGCTGAACTTAGAGAGAGGGCAAGAATACACGCACACACGAGTAGGGTTTTCAATTGCCTGATCGACACGTTACAGCGGGCGAAGCACAGATGTTGCACAGTACAGCGTGACAGGGGACATGGGAAGGTGTGGCGGCAGATAAGGGCGTCGCCCAGCACGCCTCGCAGGGATCTCGGGACACAGGATAGGCGCGCGAAATTTTTTGGTTCCGTCTGCGACCACTCCGCATGCTCGCCGCCGATCGTCGCATTTGGGGAAGGAGGGTCCATCCGTTCGTAGAGAGAAGACCTTCGAAACGCTGCGCAACTGTCTTCTGGCTCGTCCGTCGCGTCGGGCGAAGCGCGCACACTGACGTCGTGTTCACTGCGGGGGCCGGAAGCTGCGAACGCGAGAGAGCAGGGACGCGAAGAGGTTCAGCATCGTCGATAGTCTTCGCCTGAGAACGAGGGTGAGCTGATATTGCTTACCCGGGAGGAGGCGCGCCAGGGAATCCTGGGGGCGGTTGGAAGCCCGGCGGGGGACCTTGGAACCCGGGAGGGGGACCGGGCATGCCAGGGGGGCCGAACGGCATAGGCGGGCGTCCCATCATCGGGGGCGCCACTATATGATTCAATTGCGTGAGCGGGGATGCGAACTAGGGGTTGGTGGTGGGAAACACGCACTGGGCGGCATCATGCCCATTCCGCGACCAGCTGGCGCACCACGACCGGGACCAACAGGCAACTGAAAACGTGAGCGAAGAAAAATATTGTCAGCTAATGAAGTTTCGCGCATACGTCGACGCAACGCGTCGTGGCCACACGAAAAATGAAAGAGTACCCACCACGTTCTTTTTGTCCTCATCCGTGACCGGCGGCGGGCCCTCGACGCTCAAGCTAACGACCGTCTCGCCGCGGAGGATGACAAGGCCCAGGCTACGCTTCATCTCCTGCACCGGGCCCGCCTCCGTCTCGCCCGGCTTCTTCTTCGGGCGCACGCGCCTGAACTCCTCGCACTCGGCGAGGACAAGATTCATGTGCCGGTCGAACGCGAGCATCTGGCCCGTAAGCGCGCGTCCGTCGTTGATCGTCACTTTCAGCCGCCAGTTGATCAAGCTCAGCATTTTTCCGCCCTTCGCTTTGGGCGGCGGCTAGATGTGAAGAACGATCATGGTCAGATCTAACGAGACGGTGTACGACGCGACGTGGGCGCACCATGATGGGCTACGTTTCGGGCTGGAAAGTAGCAAAAGGCGGGGAGATGGTCAGAGACAAGCGAGCAACACGAGGCGCTCGCCGCCGTCGCGCCTTCGCGCCTCTTTCCTCACCCCCTGACTCGCGCCGCTCTCAGTGCAATTGCAATAATATCTACTACCTCTACTAGCACTATCACATGTTCGACTCGTATTGTGTGGCACAGCGCAATGAGCGGGATCTTATGAGAGCTCCGGTTAAGCTCATATGACGGACTACCCGAGCTAACCCGACTTCCTTGTTCTGAACCATGGCCAAATTCAAATCCAGGATTACCAGGCTCTTGAGTACGTCGCTCCTCGTCAAGCACGCGGTAGCGAGACTCTGACGCATACATGCAGAGATTTCGACGCCAGTGATATCGGCGCCGATGGCAGGCGGGACCTGTGCCCGACTCGCTGCGGCGGTCACCTCCGCGGGCGGCTTTGGTTTCATACAAACTGGTGCGCATCAGCCCGTAACCACGTAGGCCCAGTCTCAGTCTCGTTACAGGGTACGACCCCGCCGAGAAATTCGAGAAAGAGCTCTTCACCGCTCGCGAGATCCTAGGCACTTCCCGAAACGAGCCCCTCCGCATCGGGGTGGGTTTCATAGGGTGGATTCTGGACGAACGCCCAGAACTAGGTCGAGACCTCATCCCGCTCGCGCTCCAAAACCGCGTCTCCGCCCTGTGGTTCGCCTTCGGCGCGGACTTACGTCGCTGGATCCAACTCGCGCGCACGGCCGAGGCCGAGCTCGGATATGGGCAGCAGACGCCCATATTCGTTCAGCTTTCGTCGCCACAAGAAGCGGTCCAAGCTGTAGAACAGTGGGGTGCTGACGTGATAGTCGCCCAAGGTACGTGTCTGGGCTCGCAAACGGGAGAATACGCACTGACACCTTGGGGTAGGCATCGAAGCAGGCGGACACGGATCGGCCACGGCACCACCTCTTCTCAGCCTGATACCGTCCACGTTGGCAGCCCTGCGCTCCGCTGGACTGCAGGATGTGCCGGTACTGGCTACGGGCGGGCTGGCGCGTGGCAGCCAAGTGGCCGCTGTCCTTGCGCTCGGCGCTGACGGCGCAGTTCTCGGCACTCGCTTCCTACTCTCGCATCAATCTCTCTATACCGACGCGCAGAAGAAGGTGCTCCAGGAAGCGGACGCGACGTCGACGGTGCGCTCGATGGCGTTCGACTATTCGCGGTGGACCGTGGGCTGGCCTGCCGGGATAGATGGGAGAGGTGTCCGTAATCGTGCTGTGGAAGAGTTAGAAGATGGATCGAAGCCGGAAGAGCTGCGCGAGCGGTACGCAGAGGCGGTTAAGGAGGGGCGAACGGACAGGGCTGTTGTGTGGTCGGGTCAAGGGGTCGGGCTCGTGTCCGAAGTCGCTGATGCCTCGGTAAGTCCAGCCCGCCCATGTCCTTGCCTATCTACTCGTGCTACTCCAGGCACTCACAACCAATCTCTGCTATAGGATATAGTACGCGAACTACACGAGGAAGCCGTGTTGCATCTTCGTGCATCGGCCGGCGATATCTTAGACGCACCCTAGATTGCCACAATGAAATGATGATGATCATATTCAGACCGTGTTCGATCTCACAGAAGACATCCGTGACCGTTACGTGCTTCCGCATATTTCTTCGAGCTCCTTCCACGCACATTCGCAGCTCTCCAACATGGACAATTCCGTGAGTGTCTCGGTCATTGCCATGCGCGTTCGCTTCATATCCGCGGGAAGTGCCTACAGCAACGCCTGCTCAGCCCTTACCGCACCGCATGCTCGAATGGCGGACTTACATCAAGCCGCTCGTTCACTTCTTGGCTGGAGGAGCACGCCATCTGATGTCTCCTGTCCTCGCAGAGCCGTATCACCTGACGCGCAATCAAAGTCAAGAAGTGCAACAACGATTCGTCGCTGATCTCCGCTTCGATAGCGTGTTCGTATGAGGAGGCACCACCACCCAAGTTGATAGCCAGATCGTCCTCCGTGAGCCCTTGCTCTTCGCTAGCCCCTTGGCGCTCTTCCACAGCACATTCCAACTCTACCTGTTTCTGGGCGGCGCGTTGGAGCATCCCGATATAGTCCGAAGGTCGATTCTCGACTTCTTCCACCACCTTCCTCCGCCCTTCCTCGGAATCTCTCTCCTTCCTCAATTGAAGCAGCCCGACCGTGGCCGCATACACCCACAAGTGGTGCGATACCTTGCCGTCCGCGTTGAGTTGGAATATGGGTGTGTTCGCGCGCGGGACCTCATCGTTCCCAAGAAGTGTATTTCCGTCGGAGCCCGCGCTTTCTCGACCAACTGGAGCGACAAGGTTTGACGACTCCCACATTGTGCTGTCGGGCCACTGGGCAATCAAATACGAAAGCAGCCGCAGCTCCAAAGCATGCCGTGACTCGTCGATGACACCGCCGAAGCCCGCCGGCTCGTGCGTCGTTCGTGCGGTTCCGTTGTCCACCCTCGTCGGACTAGCGAGCCTCCGACGTTTCGGGGCTCGCTGTTGGTCTGAGCCATCCTCTGCGTCGGCTTGCGTCGAGAAGCTCGACTCATCGCACTCGGGACTTTCGGGGTTTGGAGTTGCGCTCCCGATCCCGCGGCCGAAGATCCTGAACAAATGAGTGAGAAAATCACTTCTGCCGCCGTAATTGCCTCGCTGACATACCACGGCAGCTCGTTCGCGTACCATTGGATGCTGTCGTTTTCGTTGCTATCGAGCATGAACCCATACCGTGCCAGGAGCTCGGCATTGCTCAAATGCTCTCCGTATGTATTGAATACTTCTTCGCCAGCCTGCACGTGTGCATTGGTGACCATCTCATATGTGTCGCTGCCGCTTTGGCCGTTCAATGGCTGCCGCCAGCCGCGCTCAACGGTGCTGCCGTCTTCGTCATGGGGACATTCATCGAGGGAACCACATGTAGGGCAGACATGGTAGTCACTCTGTTGAGGTTTCAGCATGAGAACAAATGATGCTTGTCGGATGCACTACCTCAAGATGGATGTGATTGTCTTGAATGTGGTTGAACCTGGGGAGCATGTTGGAGTGAGTTGTAAGCTGAACAGAGTGTGATGGCAGAATGAACATACACATCTGCAATAGGGACCATGCAAAGGCCGTGGTATGCATCTGTGATGAATGCCCTTGACGACACTAGGGCAAAGGCCCTGCAAAAACCTGACAAGGTTGGTCCTGAGTTTGGCCACAGATGGTTGATTGTAGGAACCACAGTGCTTTGATAGAAGCGGTGGACTGCATCCTGTACATTGTTTGCAGTCAGCTCATGCTCATGCTGGATGATGCTCAGAATTACACTGTAGCTTGCTACCTGATAATCATGGATTGCATGCCAGAGCTCAGTACCAGCTGCCCAGGACCATGCTGACTGGCTATCCATCTTCCAGTTTGGGTCCAAGAACAGATCCTGGTCTCCCAGGCTTTCAAAAGCTATGTCCAGCATATATCAGCATGGGTCAAGCTGTGAGCAGCAGCAGAGGCTCAACTACTCAAACCCCATAAGCTTGCAATCATTGGGGGCTCTATAGGGAGGGATTGGATGTACCCATGCCACCGTGAATGTATGCCTTGCAGGATTTCACCATACAATGCAAGGGCAAGGAACAGCTGAGCAGATAAGCCATACAGTGTTTGTTGCCAATTGATGAACTGATGAAGACCACGGTGACAAGATCGCACTGATAGCACTGTTGTCCTCGGGATGTGAACCACTGCAGAAGCTTTAGGTGGAATACTGAAATAATTTGCATGTACAAACCTGAGGATGACACAGGAATCTCTGCTGTAGCATGAACACACAAACCACCGTTGTCATGCACTATTTGCAGCCGCTTGTCGATTGTGATACCAGATGCATGACACCATTTGAGGAGAACCTGAAGTGTGTTGGACATGAGGGACCATGGAGGGAAGAAACAGCCTTATAGTTGACCAGGTTTGCACCGAGTGGATACTTCAATGTTCCCACAGTCACGTGATGTGCTTTTTGGAGATCGTTCACATTGTCTCCAGGTTGACCAAGGTGACCACCACACTTTTCTTGTTTGTACTCGTCTCCCCAGCCCCAACTCCAACCCTGATCCTAACCCTAAGGCCTCATGCCCCCTGAACGAGTTCTGATTGAACTATCTGCAGTTCCTTCTATGGCTATGACAGCTTTGGTGGAGCTCAACTGTATCTGGATGGATTGTACTGCCATCCTCAATTGCTGGTATGCACTAAAGGAGGTTTGTTGGCTCCTACTCCAAGCCACCAAGAGAGCTTATCATACCATCTAGCACCTTATATTTCACTGTCAATGTGAAGGGCAGATACTTGATGTGTGTAGAAGTCACCAGTGGTCCTTCAAATCTGACTGTTCTTCCAGGATACATGGAAATGTGGCATACAAGATTGTTCTGTCGATGATCTGGAGTCAGAGGAGGCACTTGTCACTCATATCAAGGCAGTACACATGCCACAAATACCTCTTCCGTGTCCTGCCAAAGGTAAATCCATGAATTCGCTTTTTTATGATAATTCACTCATCCATCCATCTACACAGGCTGTCAAAGGACTTATTTAAACAGTCCCATCCTCACTGCACATTTTGGCAGGGCCCACAGAGCATTACTTGAAACACCCGTCTCATCTTCCCACCTCTGGATGATTCTGCAACCACAGCACGATCTGATCCAGCTACCTAGCCTCGGAAAGCTCCCACCACCATTAGCCCCAGGGATCAGCTACAACATGCTACCGGTGTATCAAGGGACAAGGCCTTCACAGCATCTTCCTACCTCCCCCAGGAAGAGGTGGAAGAAGTTGGATCACCCAGATCCAGAAGATGATGGTCAAGACTCCGACTCTGACACTCCCGAGCTGAGCCGCTTACCAGTTCCCCACCCCCTTGGTTTATCCTTTTTTGTCCCAAGGGAGATCACTGTGGACACACAGCAGCACATGTCTGCTGCAGACATATCTCAACTGTTGTCAAGGCCCATACGTCCAACCCTGGAGCCCTCAGTCACCACAGACTCCAGCGGTGATCCAAGATTGCCCGGTCATAGTGAATTCAAGCGAGAAGCTGAGGGTTATGAGCATGAGGGTCTCTTGATTGGGGATGGTCTATGGCCAGAAGAGAGGCAAGGAAGTGATGCTCAGCATGACGAAGGAGACTATGATGAATTTGAGCTTGTATTGGAGGATGCCATGGACAGCAACTGACCACAATACCCTAGTTTACACAATCGAACATAATCCTATCATTCACTTAAAGAGTCGTGCATCTCAGGCAAGCAGCTGGCATGCACTGTGTTCATGTTTCTGCAAAACCGAACATAAAATAGTCATCATGGAAACAGATACATCATGCTGGTCTACATCTTGTTTGCTGGCATACAGTTCATTCATATGGTACAACGGAATCAGTGGACGATCTCCACGGTGAGATCGCCTTGGTTGATGGAGTCACCTGCAGGAAAGTCAGCAATGATGCACCCGCAGACCTGGTAATGGTCTGATTTCTCACCTTCTTGTACAACGACGCGCTTGACGTGGCCAGACACCGGCGCAGTAATGGCAGATTCCATCTAACGGCCCAGTCAGTACTCGCGCGAACATCAACTTGTAACGAACTGACCTTCATCGCGCTCATGACGCACAGCGGGTCACCCTTCTTGATCTCCTGACCCTCCTTGACGCGCACCTCGACGACGACACCGGACATCGGGGCGCCAACTGAGCCGGGATCGGATGTCGCCTTCTCGCGCGAGACGGTCTCGACGGCAGAGTTCTTGTCCTCTACGGAGACGGCGCGAACCTTCGAGCAGTCGTAAGTACATCGCCCTTGCCACGACGACAAACGCTGACCTCGCCGTTTACTTCGAACCAGACGTCGCGCTGCGCCTTACCCTCGACCACAGGGCCGACGGCCATCAACCGGATGATCAACGTCTTGCCCTTCTCGATGGAGATATGCATCTCCTCGCCGATCTCAGGACGTCCGAGGAAGTAGCGGGTCGGGATCACGCTGGAGGACCTCTAGTCAGCGAAGTGTCGTTAACGCGCGGGCGTCGAGATATACCTGAGATCACCGTACTTCTGGACGAAGTTCTGATACTCTTCGAAGACCTATCGCGTCGGAGGTTCATTAACGTTCGTCCGTGACTATACACGTGAAGTCGCTCACCTTTGGATACATGACATACGACGTCACATCACTGTCTGAAATGTGCTTGCCAAACTTGCTGCGCAGCTCCGCCTTGATCTTCTTGAAGTCGAGGGGCTCCATGGTCGCGCCGGGGCGCCCGTCGATCCTCGGCTTGTCCCTAATGATACGCGAACGGAGGGGCTCTGGGAATCCGCCGACGGGCTGCCCGAGGTAGCCCTGGAAGAACTCGACGACCGACGACGGGAAGTCGAGCGTCTCGGCACGGTCGATGACGTCCTGCTTCGACAGCTTGTTCGAAGTCATCCACTGAGCGAAGTCGCCGACGACCTTCGACGACGGCGTGACCTATGGGGGATGTGAGGACGGGATGTCAATGTACGGTGAAAAGGGGCAATCACCTTGATGATGTCTCCGCACTGAACGTGAACATGCACTTGAGCGTTGCTAATGAGCTGTGAAGAAGCCGACACGCACCAATTCGTTAGCTTCGATGTACTTCCTTTTGATTTCTGCGCGCCAGTCATGAGCCCAAGTAATCGAGGCTTCAAGTAATTACTTACCGGTCCACTGGGTACCGAGGCCAAGCTGCGAGGCTTGGAACTGAACAACGTTAAGTGGCGTGTCACAGAAGATGAGAACGCCGAGGACGTACCATGAGATTGGTGTATTGACCACCAGGCATCTCGTGGTCGAAGACAGACGAATCCGACGCGCGGACGTTCGCCTCGAAGCACTGGTAAAGGATGCGAGCCTGGCTCCAGTACAAGTTCAAGGCTTGGATATCGGCGTAGCGGATGCCCGTGCCGAGGCCAGTCTGCTCGAGCGCGGCGCAAACAGCGCCCATGGGCGGCTGCGAGGTCAGGCCGGACATGCCTGGGAGGATATGAGCAAAATCCCTTCCAAGCGAAAACGGAATACCGACTGTCGATGGCGACGTCCACGACGTCGGCACCGGCGGCGGCGGCAGCGATCATGCTGGCCGTCGCAATACCGGCGGTGTCGTGCGAGTGGACGTGGATGGGGAGGTCGGGGTACTTCTTGCGGATTGCGCTTATAAGCCTGTATGCACGTATGAGCGAAACCTCCGCAGTGGGGCCTATCGAGACGTACATGGTCGCAGCCTGGGGCTTCAGGAGACCGGCCATGTCCTTGATACCCAAAACGTGAATGCCCTCATTCACAAGCTGGTCGACGAAGTCAAGGTAGTACTGGAGGGTGTACTTCGTCTTCTTCGGGTCGGCGATATCACCGCTGTAGCAGACGACGGCTTCGCAAACACCGCCAGCCTTCTTCGCGGCGTCGATACCGAGTTTGAGCTAGATAGACGGTTAGCCGAGATTCCAGGCCTAGAATATCAGCCACCCACGTTCTCTACGTGCGACGTCAGTAAACTGGGGAAACGAGGATAGGTGCGGATTACTGACCGATGTAGTTCAACGAGTCGAACACCCTGAAGATGTCCAGACCATTCTCGACAGCCTTCTTGGAGAAATCGTAGATGGCGTTGTCACTATGAGCCTTATCAGGCAGCTGGATACCTGGCAAAGGGGAAGTTCACTTACGGGTAGCTGGTGTAACCGACACCGTTCGCGCCACGGACGAGCGCCTGTAACGGCACGTTCGGGACAAGCTTGCGGAGCGTGCGCTGAAAGGCGGCCTTAGCACATCCGACTGATACGGAAGCCAGCACAATATGAACCCACCAGGCGCTCCCACGGGTCCTCGTACAAGAACCGCATCGCGACGTCGAACGTCGCACCGCCCCAGCACTCGATCGAGTACGCGTTCGCGAGCGCATAGCTCGTATGCTTCGCGATGTTCGCGATGTCGACCGTGCGCACACGCGTGGCGAGGAGAGATTGGTGCGCGTCGCGCCACGTCGTGTCCATAATTAGGCAGCCGGGGTACTCGCGGACAGCCTTGGCAAACGCTTCCGGACCCTTCTCGACGATGATGTTGCGCCAGCCCTGCTCGCAGGGGAGGGTGGCGTCGAGAGGAGGTCCGTTGGGGTCCTCACGATTTTGGAAGGGAGGGATAACGATCTCGTCCTTGAGGCCGGGCTCGCCCTATCAACAACGGTTTCAGCCTCTCAGAATCCAACTTGCATTTGAATGAGCGTACAGTTTGTCCTTTAATCGAGCTGCCGTTAACGGCAACATCTCCGAGATAAGCGAGCAGCTTCTGTGCACGGTTCTGAGTCTGCACGAGCCTGAAGAGCTCCGGAGTGTCGTCGATGAACTGCGAAGCAACATGAGCAACCGCATGACGACGACGAGAGTGATGCTCACTGTAGTCCAGGTTTTTCCTGACACGAAGGTGTCGTTTGTCAGCAGACGGAGCAAGAACGGAATGTTCGTCTTCACGCCCCGAATTCGGAACTCCACGAGCGCACGAAGCATCTTGCGCCTCGCAACCTCGTACGTGGTGCCGGTGACGGAAACCTTCACGAGCAGACTGTCGTAGTGGGGCTGAAGAGCGCGTAAGCAAGCTTGTCCCGTAGGTAACAACAGGGTCTATGATGACTTACCGTGATCTGAGCGCCAGCAAAACCGGAGCTCGCGTCGAGACGAACGCCGTTACCACCAGCACTGCGGTACACCTCGATCTTGCCGGTGTCGGGCTGGAAGTTGTGCGCCGCATCTTCGGTGGTGACACGGCACTGGATGGCAAAGCCGCGCTTCGTGATCGCCTCCTGGGTCAGACCGAGCTGCGGGAGCGTCGCGCCGGCCGCGATCTGGATCTGGGCGGCGACGATATCGAGACCGGTGATCTCCTCTGCACCCGGAGTTCGTCAGCATCGTATTCGCTCGAAAAGAGGAGATGAATGAAGCCTAACCAGTGATAGTGTGCTCGACCTGGATGCGGGGGTTGATCTCGATGAAGTAGTGGCGGCCCATCTGGTCGACCAAGAATTCGGCCGTGCCGGCGTTCCTGTACCCGACGCTCTTCGCGAGCTTGATCGCGTCGTTCCAGATCGCCTGGCGGACCTCCTCGGGCAGGTGCAGCGCGGGCGCGACCTCGACGACCTTCTGGTGCCGGCGCTGGACGGAGCAGTCGCGCTCGAAGAGGTGGATCGTGTTCCCGACCGCGTCCGCGAGTATCTGGACCTCGATATGGCGGGGGCGCTCGAGGAAGCGCTCGATGAAGACGGTGCCGTCGCCGAACGCAGCCTTGGCCTCGCTCACGGCGCGCTCGAACGAGACCTTGGCCTCGGACTCCTCGCGGACGACGCGCATGCCGCGCCCCCCGCCGCCCATCGCGGCCTTGATGATGACTGCCGGCACAAACGTAAGTCGAGGAAGAGAGGACAGGAAAAAGCGGTGCAGACACCTGGGAAGCCGTATTCCTTGATGAAGGCTTCGGCGTCCTGCCAGGACTCCACGGGGCCGGGGGTACCAGGGACGACGGGGACACCAACGTTCATAGCTGGAAAGCGATGACGTCAGTGCGCGGGCGTACAATAACGGGAAGTGTAGGGCGTACCAAGAGTACGGGCCTTGGTCTTGTCGCCGAGTCCGTCGATGACCTCAGGAGTAGGCCCGACGAACGCAATGCCAGCTTGCTCGACCTTGCGTGCAAACTCGGCATTCTCGGACAAGAAGCCGTATCTTGAGACATCCGTTAAGTTAAGGAGAAAATGAACACAACGAGGTCTATGCATGACGTACCCAGGGTGAATCATGTCGACGCCATGTTCCAGAGCGATCCTGATGATGTCGTCCTGGGCGAGATAAGCAGCGACGGGCGTCAAGCCCTCGCCGACGCGGTACGCTTCGTCTGCCTAAACAAAAGAAATGCAAAACGCGTCATCGTTGGCGGATCGCGTCGAATAAGGCAATCGGCCCACCTTCTGGCGATGGGCACTCAGCCGGTCCTCATAGGAGTAGATAGCGACGGTGTGCATCGCGAGCTCGTGGGCTGTCCTGAACACACGAATCGCGATTTCCTGTAACGTTCGATGAGCATATATGCGTGCGGGATCATGAAACCGCGATGCGGTGAGGAGAGCGATGGATGGGATGGCTTACCCCGCGATTGGCGACGAGGATCTTGGTGAGCGGACCGCTGTGCCCAGCGGCCTTGCGCCTCATCGTCTGGATCGAGTGCACCGGCGTTCCGGGCGCACTGGGCGAGCCAGCGAATATGTGCGCGAGGCGCGGGGGGTGCAAGCCCGCCGTGGCTTTCGGAGGCGCCGCCATGGTTGCGGTTCAAGTGTTTATCGAACGGAAGCGAGAGAGGGAGGAAGAGCTCGCGATCGCTGTGAGGAACGGCGAGCGGCCGTGGAGGTGGGTGGATGGAGAGCGAAAGATTGGAAACGAGATGAGATGGGCTCGCGCGTTTCGCTGAGGGCAGGCGCGAGGAAGGGATGTGGCGGGCGGCAACAGAAGAGGCTTAAAGATAGCAGGGGCTGATAACCGATGAGCGGGACTAGATCGGGGTCCGGTCGGTCTTAGGCATTTGATTTCATGCGGGTTCCCGCTTTATTGCCAGAGCCAAGTCCTCAGGGAAGTGAAGCCTCAGAACAGCAATGTCTCGCTAGCGTCCGTCGAATACCATCGACCACATTGTACAACGCACACCCACGTTGGCCGTGCGCGTTCTCCCGCATCCGCTCATGAGACCCGATCCCGCCCTAGGGGCATCTAAATAAACAACTACGCGGACAATCTAGGAGACAAGCGTCATCGTCGCGGTTCACCTTAGCGAAACAATCAATCCTTCGATCTGTTCGAGAGAGGGATGATGCCCTTATCCCGGCCCGCTGCGCTCTCCGCCTTCTTTTGGTTGTTCTTCGCGACCGCGTAGAGTAGCCCGGCGAAAAAGCCCACGCCTATCGCCGACACGCTTCCGAGCGTGACCGCATCGCCAAAGAAGATCATGCCCGATGCGGCGACGGGCAGCTTGTTCAGAGCGCCGACCATGCTGTCGTTCGAGGCACCCGTCGTCAGCATCGATCCGCAACGACTCGTCATCTCCTGCCTCGCGGCCGGAGGCAAGAGGTATCGGTTTGAATTGCGAGTGCGAGAGCTCACCTGTACGTCGTACTACTCGTCTCGCGAATACACCACGCTGTGGTATACGAGATCCCCACTGCGGCCGCACCGGAAAAGGCGATCGCAAACAGTAGGATATTGCGACTTTCGGGCGGGCTGCAAATAGAAGGAAAAAAAAACGCGGGATTCGATGAGCGCTCCGAGCTAAACGGTATTCGAAGGTGAAGCGGGCGTACAAGTTCCTGATCAAGTTCTCCGTGCCCCAATCCTCAGCGATGATGGAGAACACCGCAAGGACGGGGATCGAGAGCAAATTGTTGTAGAACATCGAGTCCCAGTCGGAGAACCCTGTCGCCTTGATGCGTTTCCGCATGATGAGGACCTGTAAGAACAAAAGCAGGCTTCAGTGGGTGTCAGATTGGTATGACCGAGTTCCACGTACATATCCCGCAGAGGAGATGCAGTTGAGCAGCATCCAGAAGTAGCCGACGTTCAGGTTGCGGATGACGCTGGCGTATGTCGCGCCCTGGAAGAGCTTCTCAGATTCCAGGAGCGCCTCGCTCGCACTATCCGCAGAGGCTGTAGTCACGTCTGACCATGCTGCTATCACTGATGAGAACACCTACGCAGAAACGTCAGATCGTCGAGGGTGGCTGATGCATTTGACGTACCATGAAAATGAAGGATACGAAGGTCAAGGCAGTGACTCGGCCGCCGAACCACAGGACCTCGCCATAGGCCTATAGGAGGCTTAGATCAAACGCCTCTAATGCAGCCACGAGACACTCACGATGAGGATGATGGTCAAGTTCTTGAAGATAGTATAGACAGGTATGTTGAGGTATTGCTACGGATAGGTTCTGCATCAGCACAGAAGTCCCTCATTGTAGACCATTCCGACGATCTGCTCACCAAGCTCTTCGATCCGGTATATATCACACTGACGAGCAAAAAACTAACGGGAAACCACGCCTTCGCGTCCTGCGTCGAAAAGTCGCGGAAGGAGATGATACCCGCCCTCTTCACCGCGAACACGCATGCGCAGCACACCGACGACTGTATCGCAAGGAGCAGAAAGTTCATGTTGAACTGCCGTCCGGATACCACATACTATCGCGGTGACAGTTCGTCTTAGAAGACAGGACGAGCAGAGGCAGCTTATGGAACTCACTTTATTCACGACCGTCATGAGGATCGATGCGACGCAGTAGCACGCTATCGAAGCAACTGAAACGCGATGGTGTTGGTACGGTACGTCTTGTGTTACACAGAGCTAATGAACTCACTGCCGGTGGGCGCTATATGCTCCTTCGACGGAGTAGTCGCGAGCGCTTTCTTGATCTCCACCACGTCCTGCTCCTTCTCCTCCCCGGGCACTCGCTCATACTGAGCGCTCTTCCTGTCGGCGGACATAGCTCTCTTGAATCAAGGAAAGGAAGGGAACGGCGCGGTTCGGTATTAACCAGTCGAGGGGTCCAGAAGGGGGGATATCCAATGTTGAGGCGGTTTATCAGGTAGCTCTGCGGCAAAACGCAGGGTTCAGCACCAAGTATATGGAAGCAAAAGGAGCGGCTGGCGCGCGCAGCAGCATACTCACTGGTCGGCCGGCGGTCGGCGCCCAAGCAACGGGGGAAGGTGGTGGCAATGGAAGGCGTAGCATCACGTGCGCAGCGCCTTTGGATTGCCCCAGTGGCGGTGCTCATAATGAGTTCCCTTCTGTTTTCGCGTCCGGACGGCTCAGGAGCCCAGGATAGATCTCCCTGCTTGGTCTTGCATCTTCCTTTCATATCCGTGAAATGGACGTAAGGAATTCCCATGAAAATGCCGCGAAGATCGTTGAAGAACGCATCAATGCATTCGTGCGAGGCGTGTCTGCGTCCCCAACTCACGATTGGTCGAACGTGGATAAGATCTCACAGCGATTAGCAACGGACGCAGGCATGAGGTGCATACACCCGCGATATTTGTTGCTCCGAGAGTCAAATATTGTCATGAACCAACAGATCAGACATGACCCAATACCATTTACAAATATGGCAACCTCTCCGTCATTTCTGGCAACTTCTAGCCGCGGAGGAAGTTGGACGCGACGTCGACGATGACCGGCCCTGGGACGCGATACTGTCTGTGGCGAGACTGACACGCAACCTAATTGCGGCCGTTTCCGAAAATCAGAAGCTGGCATAGTGCGTCTCCCATCCCCGCAAAGGTCTCTCAGAAGTGGTGGTTGATAATCCTCGTTCAGTGAATATGAACCAGCAATACGAGAGCTCCTGTTCCAATACACCACGTTCACTCTCGCGAAGGACGCAGATTGTGAGCCCGTCTGCTTGTGGTCCGTAAACCTACTTACGCCATGAACAGCATATCCTGCCGTCCGAATGCTCGTCCAAACGATCTCGAATATCATCACCAGCAACGACGAACTGTCCGCGAAACTGTGGATCACCTACATGTCGCTCCCTCATGAGAAAAGCATAGTATTGTGAGAGCAGCTCGTTTCCTGTTCGTCATTCCTTTTTTTTCTGAACTGGCGTATATTCAAGCTAGGCGTTTGCTCACCCACCCGGATACCCGAACTCGGGAGTCGTGCATGGTGCTGGTCCTGAACTGCATCAGCGGCAGCGAGGCGAGGATGTACGCATAGGTCCTCCCACGTAGAGTCATACCCTGACGCGACGCACTCCTCCAGCCAGTCTCTTATTGAGACGTCCTCTGGCGTTCGTATATGCGTTACATTGCTGGACCAAATCGCCGCGGCCTCTGATTCTGACGACGGCGAAGAGTCGAGGATCTTCGACATCGGGTACTTAATCGGACAGCTCCCTCCGTCCCGCCGGTGCTGACGGCGATATAGTTACACAATTCTCTCGCAGGTGATAGCCGCAGGTCTTTTCCCCTCGTTATACGTCTCGTGCTCCGTGTACGTTCCCCCCTCCTCTCATGGTCGTGTACGTGCTGACTTCGCTATTGGTTCAGAGCAGGCGAGACAGTCTCGCCGCACCAAGCCGTCCTCCTGAAACTCCTCGACTCGTACCTACACGCCAATCAGAGCTCCAAGACGCCGACTATACACGCCGACGCCTGCGATTCTCTACTCGCCATTTTCGACAAGCTCGGCGTCGCGGCACGGGCGTCCATTACTCGGTCTCTCGGAGCCGTGGCAGAGAGCGCTGGCGATGCCGAGCTGAAGGGAGTGGACCTCGACCTGCCCAAGGTCTGCGAGGCGCTCGTACTCGCCACGCAATGCTTGACCACGATCGTACTCGCATGGGAAGACGGTCAAATCCCCAGCAGGGCGTTTAACCCAAGAAAGCTCTTAGAGGAGGCCAGAAACAAAGCGAACGAAGGATTCGCCGAAGGTCTCGTAGGTACGTCCATTTCCGAAATCTGTCTCGAAGGCACTGAATCTGTCGTATCGCAGACCTCTTGCGGCAGCTGGATAGGTTCATTCCTAAGCTCCAGTTTGGTAAACCCATAGGCGCGGCGCCTAACGCCAACGCGACCGCCGCCAGTACCGGTGAAGTCGGCTTCTTCTACCTGAAGCGTGACCTTGTACGGTTACTCGGCGTACTTGCGTGGTCAAGTAGATCGATCCAGGATCGCGTCAGGGCCTGCGATGGTATCCCCGTGGTCATGAACCTCTGTGTCGTGGACGAACGCAATCCATGTACGTCACTTCATCTTCTTGCGTCGGGATTGAGGACAGGAGGTTGACGATCAACATACAGTCATGAGAGAGCACGCATTATTTGCCCTACGGAATTTGCTGCATAGTAACGAGCAAAACCAGGCGATAGTAGACCAGATACGGCCGTCAGCGAAGTGGGATGAGGACGGCGTCCTAAGGGAGACGGCAGGAACTGTTTGGCGATGATCCCTACTTCTCTCGTAGTTCAAATATGTGAATGTATACGAAAAGCGAAGATATAACATCGGAACGGGAACTTCGCGATGCACGCGGCCGGTGTTGAAAAAGTCGCGGCGTGATTGGCCTCGCCTTCGTGACGCCACAGTCGGGTCACACCGGTCACATCCTTGCTCGACGCATCCCGGACGTCTCCTACCCACCGCTCCATTTCCTTGCCCCCCTGCACAAAATGTTGACGAGGTTGCCGGCGAGCTCCCTCAAACAAGCGCTCGCCGCCGCGCGAGCCCCCGCCGCGCGTAATGCCCAGGTCCGTTCACCCCTTTACCAGGCCGAAATCGCATTTTGACGAACCCGCGTTGTGTTGGCAGGCGCGGTTCGCTTCGACGTCTTCCGCTTCGGGTTCCGCGTTCCAGGTGCGTGAGGCGCTCCGAATGGATATGGACACAGGGTTGACGGGGCGTCATGGATGATGCAGACGTTTGTGAACTCGCGGGCGACCCTGGCTGGCGCGACTATGTTCTCTGTCGGTTCCATCGCCTGGTACACCCACCTTTACGGCAGCCTCCCGTTCATCGGCGAAGTTCACGCGAGCTCGCTCGCTGAAGAGGGTCTGCACCCGGCCACTTACCCCTGGTCGCACAAGGGCTGGTTAGACAGCTTCGACCACGCGAGGTGCGCATCCTACAACCCCTCCGCCCTCCTATCTGTCCCCATTACCTCGAAATCGACTAACATCGGCATCATCTTGCCCTATTATGCTCCAGTATTCGTCGCGGCTACCAGGTGTACCGCGAAGTTTGCTCGTCCTGCCACTCGCTCGACCGCATCGCATGGCGCAATCTTGTGGGCGTTTCGCACACCGTCGACGAGGTCAAGGCGATGGCCGAGGAGGTCGAGTACACCGACGGTCCCGACGACCAGGGCGAGATGTTCCAGCGTCCCGGCAAGCTGTCCGACTACATGCCCGCGCCGTACCCGAACGAGGAGGCCGCCCGCGCCGCCAACGGCAACGCGCTTCCTCCGGATCTGAGTCTGATGGCCAAGGCCCGCCATGGCGGCATCGTGAGCAGCTCTGTATCCGTCTGGCTCAAACCCCCGTGTTCACGACAAGGTTCCTCGATCAGGACTACATTTTCTCCCTCCTTACCGGCTACCAGGACCCCCCGGCGGGCGTTGAGCTCCCCGAAAACATGAACTACAACCCTTACTTCCCGAACGGAGCCATCGCCATGGCCCGTGTCCTCTTTGACGGTCTCGTCGAGTACGAGGATGGTCAGTCCTCACACACCATCCTTTGAAGGCGGTTTTTGATGCTGCTCGATGCAGGCACCCCTGCCACCACCTCTCAAATGGCCAAGGACGTCTGCACTTTCCTCAACTGGGCCGCCGAGCCCGAGCACGACGAGCGCAAGAAGTCCGGCCTCAAGGCCGTCATCCTCTTCTCCGCGCTGACCGTGATCTCGCTCTACGCCAAGCGCTTTAGGTGGGCGACCATCAAGACCAGGAAGATCTGTGAGTTCTCTCTCTCTTTTCCTCCAGAGACGGAAGCATGGCTAATATCGCCTTGGCTCAGCTTACAATCCTCCCGCGGACAAGACGCACTAAGACCTAGTGTAGATCATTATGTGACCTGCCGGCGAGATAGAGCCCCTTGGGATGTAATACAGGTTGAGAGTAATTGCAGATTGTGTGGACTGAAAGACTGCCTATTGCTGAGCTATCGAGATGGTTCGGTTAGGGGCTCTGCTCTCCAAATCAGGAGACTCGCCTTCTCGACAATGACATCTCGGTCTCGCTCGCGGCGACGTCGCAGGTTGTTGCTGCATTAATCTATGGTCTGTAAGGCTAAGGAGACCGAGTCGAAGCTGCTATAAATTGCCACGAAGGACGGAGCTTTCCGCGCGCCTTTGGCTTCCCAAGCATCGTCGTGCATTCTGCGGTCCGCGAGTATCCAAATAAGTGGGTATATACACACATGTAGGCCTGGACCCCTCAACGCCCCAAGACCGAGTCTCCAAGCCCGTTCGCGGTTCCCTGCGCGCTTCCGCTCATGTTCGCAATGCACTTCTGCAAATCCGTCCACTCGCTCTCGCGCGGGATCGCGAGGTCGCCGATGTCGTAGATGTACAGTTTGCCGTCGCTTCCGCCCAGCGCCGCGCGCCTGCCGTCCTTGCGGTCCCATTCGAGCTTGTTGAGCGCGCGCTCGTTGCCCACCGGAGTGGATACGATGGGAACCTGAGCGAATAATCCGAATGAGCACGCATATACGCGTGAGGAAACGTACCCGGGCGGACGTACCTCGGTGTCAGCATTGAGGTTCCACAAGTCGAACCTGCCTGACCCGTCCACGGAACCGAAGAGCGCAGGATGCGTAGGATGCCACTTTACGTCGTAGACGTAGTCGTCTGCCTCCTCGAATGAGTACACCGGCGCAACGTTGGTCGGCGCTTGGTTCGCCCCCTTCGCGCCGCCGCTGCCCAAGTTCGCGCCCGTACCCCGCGTTCGCCACAGCTTGCACGTCCAGTCCACGCTGCAGCTTAGCATCAGGTCGCCGAAGTCGACCGGCCCGGCGCTGGGGTGGAAGGAAAGACCGGTGATCGGTCCGGAGTGCGCGCGGTAGATGTCGTGCGCGTTGAGGCCAGCCTTTGAGCCAGCGCGGTCGTAGCGGTTGGCCTGGTAGATGTTGCCTTCCTCAGTGCCAACGAAGAAGGTAGTCGTCTCGGTGTCTGGAAAGACGAGGGACGTGATGGAAACTTCGTTCGTCTTATTGTGCCCGCTATGTACCAGTTCAAGAGTTTCCTGTTCGGCACGCGTGAGTGCACAGTCCGTGGGATGGGAGATGGGTCCAGCCTACCTGGGGTTGTGCCAGCATGTCCACCAGCCAGCTGCATACAGTGCCATCGGTGCTGCTGGTGATCAGGTTGTGCGCGTTCTGCGTGCCCACCATCTGCATCGCATACACTGGATGCGTATGCCCCGCAGCTGATAATGGCGTTTTGAGGACAGGGAGATGCTTAGATCGTGTGTCCCAAAGCAATATCTGCCCCGAGTATGTTCCACCAAAGACCAGGTTTGAATGGAAAGGGGAGAAGGTGACAGAGAGGACATCGGACTATGCTCTGAGAGTGAGCATGGAGCGGACATGATAGAATAGAATATACCTACCTGAGAGTGGAAGACAAATTCGGGTCGCTCGAGTAAATGCAGGTTCCATACAGCAGCTATGCCATCGGGTTCGTTCAACGCAGCAGGGTTCTTATTGTACGATGCTACGCTCAATTCGGGATACTTTATCACACGAGAATTCAGTACAGACGAACAGCACGTAGCACAGGACTCACTCGTGGCGACCAATCCACGTCCGTGATTGAACGGTTCTTCAATACTCGCTCGTCGTGGAATGCACAGATACGTTTAACGCGCTTGCCCTCAGTATCGTCTCTAATGTCGGATTAGCAGGATATCCATGGACCACCACGATGAAACAGAGACAACTAAGAGGCCGCGAACACTCACCCTCCGGTCTCAGTGCCAGTGGTGTAGTCACGAATATAATCGTAATTGTCGTTTAGCGCCCGTTGCACGATCTTGGACGACTGCTCAACGAAGTCAAGGAATTCAGGGGCGCTGAGGATGGAGGCCTTCTCCTCCTCAGTCAGCTCTAGAAACACGCGTGTGAAGATAGCAATCAAGAGCGGTCGAGGAACGTGAACGGACCACGCAGTTCTTGTTCGATCTCCCTGTCCAGTTGTACCGACTCCTCTTCGAGCTCTCTGTCTCGTTGGGCTGCACGCTCTGCCTCGAGATCTTGCTCCTGCTCACGTAGTACCCGCTGGGAGGAGTCTTCGTCGGGTGTAACGTCTGTTTCCACAGATGCTGTTTGAATCTCTTTATTGTACATAACTTTCTCCTACTCCATGCCGTTTCAGCCATCGGCAACACCAGATCGCGAACCCTGCATAAAAGCATACCTTCTGAGGAAGCTCAAATAGCTCTTGCTCGATGTCAATGAGATCCGGGACGAATCTCGGCATCATTGCCCTTTTATGCGTTTCGTGAGCTCGCGACTAGCTGCTAGTATCGGCACCAACCTTTCCATTAAGTTGTCGGTCCCGCTTGTGGTGCCCGCTAGGGTGGTGCCGGGGCTCATCCTCCCGTTCGTACTGATGGCACTTCCAAAGTCGCTCTGTCTGCTTCTCCTTCCGCTTCCGAGTCTTGTGGGCGTTCCCATAAGTCCCAGGGCGTCACCACCAACATTGAGGTCGCGAAGTTGGGGTGTACCAGGTATCGACCCTGGCGTCATATCTCCGTCCGAGGCGTGACGAGGTTGGCCGATTAATGCATTCACGAGGTCATCGACATCTCGACGAGGGGCTGACGAGCTGGACGCATGCTGGCCAAGATCTAGCATGTCAGATATTTGTGTTCCGGGTAACTGGTGTGCGGACATACGCACCTCTGACTGACGACGTTCCTGCTCTGCTCGTTGCCGTTGTTCGCGGGCTCGACGCAGCTCAGCGAGCCTTTCGCGCTTCGCTTCGATCTCGGCGCGACGTCGTGAGTCTGCCATAGTGGATTATAGACCAGATATGCCAATGTATGTAGGGGACGAGAACAAGTACGGCAAGGTGTAGTGATCGAAGAGGGACGGAGGACGCGACTTCAACGCGACGCGTCGACTCGAAGAGTCAAGACATCCTGCGCCCCCACCATCAGAATCAAGTACAGAGATCTGTCTTGCAGAGCGCCCGACGCCCTGCTCATGTCCGGAAGAAAACCCAACAGACAAAACCGCGGGAAAGGCGGGGCCCAGCGAGCCAACAACAACAAAATCTATGCATATCCCTTGCCCCTCGTTTTCGCTCCGGTAGAGTCCCCGAGTCAGCGCCTTCTCGCGTTCCTTGGTCTTTCCTCTGGCATCCGCGTCCTGAACCCACACTGCACCGGAGTCTTCGATAGAGATACGAAGAGCGTATGGGTAATTGATACTGCCGATGCGCAGAAGCTTTGGAGAGGAGGATTCTTCGGAAAGGGCAATCTGAGCAGGAGTGAACCGAGTTGGTTAGCTAGGCAAATCAACGCACGAAAACTCGCAGGGAAAGGTATGTACGTCGCCGTTACATCTACCTTGGCGTGTGCGATCGTTAACTTCAGACACGTTCAGGATTGACCTCCGAACAAGTGACTGCGAAGCGCAGAGCTGAGCGTCAGCAATTCAAAATTGATCGCGCGAAGGCAATGGCAGCCGTTGCTGCTGAGGCAGAGAAGGCATTCGAGGAGGGTCGAGAGTACGACCTGGAGGCTGCCAAAGCTTCCATCCCGTCTGCAGCAACGTGGAAACCTTCAACGAACGCCGTGGGCTCGAGTGACGCGGATGCAGCTCCTGTGCTTGCTGAAGCGATGGAGACGGGCATAAAAGAAAGTCCCGAGGAATCAGTAATTGATGACGAGCCCATAGAAGATCTAGAGCACCTTCAACTCACCCTTCCCGAGGCTTTCTTCCTCTCCTGGGCCCTCGATTGCCTCACCATCATCGACTCCACCAAACTCGAGCCTCTCTCCCTTTCGGATATCTACATGTCCTTTCACGAAGCGCACATCGATGTCCCTTCACCACCCGACACGAAGCCGCCACTGCGGCCAGATAATCCGTTTCTGCTTCACTATGTCCTGTACCACCACTATCGCTCTCTCGGCTGGGTCGTCAAAGGAGGAATCAAGTTTTGTGTCGACTACCTGCTTTACAAGCGCGGCCCAGTCTTTCATCATGCCGAGTACGTATCCACCGTTACGTTGTGGCCAATTACTCATCCTGACATTGACACATTCGCGCTTCAGGTTCGCACTGGTTTTGTGTCCCGTATACGAAGCTCCGGCGGATCGCTCGTCTTCGCCCTTCACCCTGCAGAACGTTGATCCGTTCGAATGGTCTTGGCTCAGCACTATCAACCGTGTCAACTCTCAGGTCCACAAGGTGAGCACCTTCAGTTTCCGACTACTGTCTACAAGCTGAACGTGGGTTTGCTCCGTCGCTTCAGACGCTGATTTTGGTATATGTCACTATCCCCGCCTTAAGTCGGCTCGACCCGGAAGTGTTGCGTAGTCCGGCCGTGCTCGCGCACTACTCTATCAGAGAAGTCACTATCAGGCGGTTCATACCGGCGAGGATGCGCGATTAGGGCTTTTCGACATCAGCTCCGTGCCCACCTCAATCAAGCCATTTTTCGGGGATATGCGAGACGCACTTAGGGTCTGTCAGCCTGCCGCGAGATCCTATCGCTCGCATGTGGGCACAGGCTCAAAGGCTGATAGTTAACGACAGACAGATCTATGTACCACCAAACTCTGGTTAGATGGGAGGTGCTGAGGATGTTGCCCCGAACATGATTGCGGAGCCGCGGATCGAACGTTCACTTGGGGCTATAGCAGCCGCCTATTTGAACTTCAACGCTAGGCTGCCAGAATCGCTCGTTGGTAAAGACGGCCAGAGTCCAACGTGATGCAGAAGGCTCATCGCGAAAGGGTGACAGAAGATACGACCTGGCTGACAGTCGCGGAGAGTGCTTTCCTCGAGGGCCGCATATATTGTGTGGTCGTCAGTTCACGATAGCACTTGACATACTACGGAATGAGCAAAAATGAAGAATAATGCGTAGACGAGGTTCATGGTAAACAGTATCTGGAAGTACTCGGAGACATCGCTCTATCGCGCTACCATTAGGTATTCAGCATCACAAGTGAGAGACGTTCAGCATACCCATCAAGCGTGAGCCGACATCTCAGACGCCACAGAGCTAGGTAGGTAGGTAGTATTAACCGGCGCGGTCCGTGAGGCCGAGGATGATGCTGTCCATCACGAGCGGCGCGATCCACATAACGGAGAAGAAGTTGCTTCGACCGGTAATCACGCAGCCCCAGGTACAGCAGCAGTAACGTGAGAGCAACGAGGCCAGTGTGCGATGATGATGCGCTAAGGATTAATGCACAAGGTGGAAGATGACGAGCCTCAAGGCCGCAGAAGACGCTCACGAAGCCTTGAACATGTCATGAATACCCTTGGCCGTTTTCGACTGCACGAGTGCAGGTGTTAGTGACCTTCCCTCCTCGTGTCACCGGCGGAAAAGCTAACGCTTCACGCTAGTTGCACCTACGAACAAGGTGGTCGCTATCAGCGGTCACGGCAGAGCACGCTCTATCCAGCTCGAAATCCACATGTGATGGGGAGAGGACAGTACGGATATACTGCAATTGCTCCCGCCGGAAACGGGTTTTGATGCGGCAGCAGGCTGGATCCCTCCTGCGTGTAGACAGGCGTAGACACGGTCCAAGCCACAATCATATTCAAGATCTGGATCGCGGAAAGACGGCAGTCCATGAGCGCTCATGTTCATATTGAATTTGACACTTGACGAAGCGTGTGAGGGCGCCCATGGAAGATTGTAACGAGGGATCCGGATGCTTCGTGCTGCCTGCGTAAGATTATCATAACATCTTGAGCGCCTTTGAGAGCCACTCATTCGAAAGAGAAGCAATGAAGCTGCTCGCGAAGTCAATTGCAATCGATCGTTGTGCAAAGCAGGACGAAGCAAGAGAGCATATAAGTATGGCTTCCTAAAGCTGGGTCGATGTTGCGAAGTGGAGAAGCCCTGAGATGGCAACCCTTGTTGATCGGGGTCAGATTGGGACAGAAAGCGTGGGAGCGCTTCCACCTTATGCGTCACCTTCGCCTTTCAGACCTCTTCCGCACATCGTCGCTGGCCTCTCTGTCTCTGATTTCTGCACTGCCGAAATGTATATGCATAACACCGAACGCCAGAGCTGTGCGATACCGCTCATTCAAAGCGCACCGAGGACCTCGAAAAGGACGTACGAGCGCGCTAAGCCGCCAGAGAAGCACAACGGCGGCATCACTCCAGATCTCGACGAGCTGATCCGGCTCGCCTTCTCTACGTTTGCGGACAGCATACGTTTCGGGGCTTAAGCTGCTTGCGGAAGAGCACTGCGTGGCTGGCCCTCGCTGGAGCTGCGTTTTCTACCCCGGCCTTCCTGCTGGACCTTTGACCAGCGATGGACGGACCGCCTTCGCCTGCCGCTAAAGCCGCGATAGCGGACGCAGTGAGCGATTTGTGAGTGAAGCTGCTACGATTGTACGGAGTCACAATCAACGAGATATCACGTAGGAGGTTGGAGCATGCGATTGCGATCTCGATGGTCGCACTCTTCATGTACGACTACTGTGAGTGCCCTAGTTAGTATGCCACGTTCAATGACGAGCGATAAATGCTATTCCTGCCAGTAATAACCATCGAAGAAGAGGTCGATCCCCGTGGTTCTCAGAGAAGTCCTGTACTGACTTTCGCATCCCTAGGTCGACGCCATTTGGAAGCAACCACGAAGCCTGGCATCTATCCTGTTCTTCATCAACCGTTACTACTCCTTATTGGAAATATTTGCCGTGGCCCTGATATCCTTCAACTCCGCATGGAGCGGCAAGGTATGTCCAAGGAATACATGATGATTCAGTCGTCACTGATGCGTAGCCAGGTGTAAGTGAACACGAAGCCAGTACATGAGGCCAACAAACTGAGAAGATACGGACAGATGTTCCCACTTCGTGCGATTTCAAGGGGCAGGTTCGTTGGCAGGTGTCATAGTTGGCGAAGGTACGACGTGTCTCCACCTCCATGTCCGTATCAAAGGCTGATAGGTCGTTGCACAGCTCTCATGATACTTCGCGTATACGCGCTATACGGGAGCTGCTATTGGATCCTACTCCCCCTATCGCTCTTCCTTTGCGTTCAATTAGCACTAACAAGCGCCGCGCTGGCGCAAGGCATTCGTGAGTCCATCTTGTCATTGCGCGAGGCAGCCATATATTCATCCAGTCTTAATCCGTCAGCGACGCCCGTGCCTATGGGGTGCTATTTGTCGGGCAGGACCAGCTTCTTCTCCGTGACTTGGCTTGCGCCGTTGGTGATGGACAGCGTCATATTCGCCCTCACTTTGTGGCGTCTGAGAGATTATCTTCGCAGGAAGTCGGTTAATGGGTACGTTTGTCACCAGATGTCCGCTTCCTCCAAGCAGCACTCATCGGCCATGTGCGACAGCGCGATCGCACTCTGCCTACGAGACGGGCTAGGGTATTTTCTCATCGTCTTTGCCATCAACCTCGTCAACACGGTGCTCTTCCTTGTGGGTACCCTGTTCCTTCCCCACACCCTCCATTTCGTGTTGATGGCATCTTGGGGACAGCACGCCCGACCTTCGAGGAAGGCGTTGTTTGCGCCTGTTAGTCAGATCATCACTTCCATCGTCGTCTCTCGGTACGCCTTCTCCCTTCAGGCATCGCGACGTTATCGCTGACAACCCTAATCTCCTCGACAGCTTGGTTCTCAACCTCAAGCAACTGGACGTTACGAGCGAGCACCGACACAGTATCTCCGGGACCCGTTCTGCCTCTTCCGCACTCGTCTTCGGGAAGACGGTGCTGGACACGATGCCGTCCCTCGGCACTTCCTCTGAAGACGCCCCCATGTCGCCGAACGACATTGATACGGTCGCGGCACCCGCCTTCGGTCCCTATCAGCATAGCGCATCGATACCGCTCGGTGATCTCGAAGGTGGACGCGAACATAGGGTTCGGTTCCGATGACGACGGGACTCTGCGTGATATAGTACATCGTGTGCTATCCGATCCGGCAGAAAACAAGAATGAACGACTGTATATTATTCGTGGCCTTGCGCTGCTCGCGAGCTGTATCTGTAGCAATCTGATTCTACCTTCGGGACAGGAGCGATAGACAGGGAGTCCGCTCGCTGCGTTGATGCACTCGGCCCAGGGGTGTGGCGCCAAATCTGCGCAAAGGTCGACAGGAGCCAGCACAGCGCGAGAATTTTGCAAGCGACCCTCTTGCAAACTCGTCCACGATCGCGAAATCTCTCAATAACACGTCAGGCTCTATGCCAATCGCCCATTCGCGTTGTCAATTGTGCAAAAATTCACGCCCACCGCATGGACATCCTAGTCCACCCTCCTGTTGATTTGCACACGTAGAGTACATCCCACGTGAACATACTGGGCACACCAAATCCTCGTACATACCGCGTTCGTATCCCTCCCCGCATTCATATTCCTCCCACAGACTAATCGGTGATTGATGCCGGCCTCGCCCGTCGAGCCACGATGGATCGCCTAGCGCAAACGCGAGCCCTGCCAGTGTCGCGAGAGGGCGGACAGAAGTCAAAGTAGCGCCCTATACCGCTGCGCCCTGCGCATCCTAATAGCGAAAGCTCGAACCCATCCTCCACCGGTTCGTAGTGACGGCCGTCCGCGAGGCGAACGCCGACAATGGGGGAATTGCCAGAGTGCGTCGGCGGCTCCGGGAGATGAAACCTACGAACCGGAACGCGGGGTGTGGGATGCGCTCAAGCGCCTCAGAGGAGCCGAGGAAAGCTATTCGTCGTGGCTAACCCTTCAGCGGGGCCTCCTGTGACGCAGGCAGCACGCCCTTCTCCTTCTCCTCCTCCTCCTGCTCCGGCTGACCCTTGTCCTTGTCCTTATCTTTGTCCTTGTCCTTGCCCTTCTTCCGGTGCACGCTCTGGTGCCGCGCGAGCTGGTCCGGTCTGGCAAACGCCTTGTCGCAGCCAGGTTCGGCGCACTTGTACGGCCGCGCGCCGGTATGCGTGCGAAGCTACAAACGAACAACAAGGGCGGAAAAAATAGTGAAAAACGGCCGTCTTCAGCATCCGTGGGCAGCATGGCGGCGGTGGGGTGCCAATGATGGGGGCGCACTTACGTGTTTGGAAAGATTGGACGACTCGGAGAAGGCCCTGCAACGAAACGGAATGGGCCCCGGTTCAGCGCGAGCGGTCTGGGGGTTCATGGGGGTCGGCAGCGCTTTGCTTACCGGTCGCAGAACGTGCACTTGAACGGCTTCTGGCCGTTATGCGTCCGCTTATGGATCGTGAGCGCGCCGGTGACCGTGAACGCCTTCCCGCACCCGGGAAAATCGCACACGTACGGCTCTTTCGACGTCAAACCAAAAAAAAAAAAAAACGCAAGCCAAATCAGTGTCCTCCTCTGTTTATAATTTTATTTTTTTATCGTGATTGTCATGGAGAGAGAGAGGAGAGGAGGAGGGAAAGAAACCCACTGGTCTGATTATGCCGCCTGACGTGCTGTCCTAGCGTCGCGGCCTCGCTGAACCCGGCCCCGCACAGATCGCACGTGTACGGCCTGTGCCCGGTGTGGCTCTGCACGTGCCGGAGCACCTTTTGCTTCGAGGTGAAGCCCCGCGCCGAGTGCCGGTCGCAGCCCGCCCAGAGACACTCGTAGCGCGCGCGGCCGGCGCCGACGTGCGCGTCGGCGATGTGGGCCGTCAGGAGCGCCGCGGAGGGGAAGGAGGCGGTGCAGGATTGCCAGCGGCAGATGTGCGTCGTGATGGTGGAGGTGGAGGTGGAGGAGGAGGAGGACGTGACGAAGGGCGAGGGCGAGGGCGAGGGCGCGCAGTCCGTGATCGGGAACGCGTCGGGCGGCGTCGTCGGCCCCGGCGTGCGGCTCGGCGTCGACGCCCCAGACGGGGACGCGCTGGTGGACGGACCCGGCCCCGACCCGGCCTCCGACCCGCGCCACGGGTTGTGCGCGCTCTCCGGGTCGTCCTTGAACTTGTCGCGGAGGAAGGCCTCGAACTTGGCGAGGTTGGTGGCGCGGGCGACGTCTTCGAGGGAGACGTCGCCGAGGGGCGCCATCGCCGCGAGGAGGTCTTTGTTCATGCACGGGTGCGCGTGACGTTGAGGCTGTTGTGGTTGATGTGGGTGGGAGGAGGCGGAGGGGTAAGGCGCGGCCGGGGGCGAGGAGGGGGTGGGCGGAGGAGGCATGTGCCGGTGCTTGGCGGTTGCGGGGTACGGCGGACCCCATCCCGGCGTCTGCTGCTGCTGCTGTTGTGCGGGTTGCGGGTATCCCTGCATAGGGAAAGGCAGGCCCAGATGGTCTTGCATGAGATGGCTCGCGAGCAGCGAGAGCGAGTCCTGGGCGTAGCCCGGGCCGGAATAAGGCGACGCGTCGGCGAACGACGGAGACGTTTGCGGCGTGGGCAGCTGGCAGTCGCCCCAGGGGCAGTGGAGGCTGCCGCCGTCGCTCGTGCCCTGGTTTTGGTGTTCGGTCGGCGCCTGGGCCTGCGTGACGCGGAGGTGCTCGAGGTTGACGTGCCCGACGAGCTCCGCGAGAGACGGGAAGGATTTGTGGCACTGATCCCACATGCAGGGATGGCCCGGGTGCGCGTCGGGCGCGGTCGAAGGCGTAGACAGCGGGAGCATCAGCGGGCTCGCGGCGACGCTGGTGTGCGACGAGGCGGCGGAGAACGCTGGGCTGGGCAGAGGCGGGTGGTGGTGGTGCGGCTGGTGCGGGTGGTGGACGAAGTGCCCCGGCGGGTGCCCGCGGTTGCAGTGTCCGTCAATGGGGGCGGCGGCGGACGGCGCGGAGGGCTGCCCGCACGCGCAGAGGAATTCTTCGAGCGTCTGCTCCCATGAGACGGACGCCGGGGACGACGCAGAGCCGCCCGCGGCCGCGTTAGGCGCGCGGTACGACCCATCGTACGGCGCCGCGCAACATCGCAACTACGGGAGGGAGCGTGAGACCCGTCATTCCATCGATCGGATGAAACATTGCCCGACTTCAGGCGAAATGAAGAAGGTTAGACTCACGAAATCGTCGATGCTGTCGCATTGCGAGCCGCTCTCGCACACGAAGGAGCACTCGGCCGCGTCGTGCGCGGTGTCGCACGTCGGCGCGCCGTGGGTGGGATCGTCGCACGCGACGACGACGCATTGGTCGTGGCACTGGTCGGTGCATTCGGGCGTGATCAGCGCATCGCACGCGGGATCGTGGCAGGCGTCGGTCATCAGGCAGTCCGGGCAGTCCGCGAGGTCAACGACGTGGCTGCTTGTGAACGTCGGCGACTTGTGGGGGACGAGATCGACGAGCGTCGTCGGGGTGAATCGGGGGTCGAGGCTGCTGCTGTCGTCGTCGACGTCGATGGTGCTCGTCGTCGGGTGCGGCGACGGCATCGTCGTGCGCAGGCTCGAGATGGACGGCTGGGTGGCGGCAGGGGAAAAGGAGCCGGACCGACGATGGCCGACGGTTTTATTGGCGTGCAGCGACATCTGGGTAGCACGACCGGGGAGGTACCCGTCGCGGCGACTGCGCAGGTCGTCGACGAGTGCCATTGGCTGTGTGCACGTGATCGGCAGGTTTAACCTCTTTCCTTCTGCCGAGGACCGTCGCACGAGGGCGACGCATGGTATTCATTACGACGCAAACGGCCCTCTTCCAATCCTTCAGGCTGTCGCGGAAGATACACGATGACTGACCCAATCGTGCACGGCGCGGGTCACGAACGCGCCCGCCTTGGCGCGATGTTCCCACGGTCTCTGCCCGCGTCGTCGTTCACGACGGCGAACGCAAACCACGAACCCCGACGAACGTCTCTAGCGCTTATATACGACACAACAGACACCACTTTGAGAATGCGATGTACCCATCGCGGTACAAGTGTGTAAAGCTCTATCGGAGCAACAAACAATATTCCGGCTCTAGACGTGAGCATGATCAGCATGGACATCTTCAACGTCGCCGGCATGCCTAAATTCCACAATACCTCACTAAATTCCTGGCGACAGCAAACGCTCGTGTCCTTGGGCGACTTCGCTGGCCATCTCTCGCTCTCACCATGTTCTCCGTGCCTGGCAAGCCTGCCGCCCTCGGTTCCACGCCTGTCCAAGTCCCCAAGCACATCATCCGATCCCGTGCAAAGACAGCATAAAATAACGCCAAACGCCTCGCCGTACGCTCGCCGATTCACGCAATGGCGATCATCCCGACGCTCGCCTGCCTCGTCCTCGCGACCCTCTCCCGGGCCGCCAGCCTCGACTTCGACCTGCCCCAGCTCGTCAACCTCCGCGTCGAAGGCGCGCACAACCGCACGATCTTCGAGGGCCCGATCCTCACCCGCGGGCACGACGTCGCGACTCCCTCTGGCGGGACGCACCACTGCGACGGCACGAACCTCGGCGCGAACCCGAAACCGGGCGCGACGTGCACCGCCGCGCTCTCCGACGCCGCGCACCTCGCCGGCTTCACGTTCGACGGGTGAGCTCCGGACCTCTGCATATATATATACATACGTCGTACTGACGCGCACGTTCTTGTTCTATCGTTCGCTGTCGTGCTCGCCAGGACGTTCCAAGACGACTTCGACGACTTCTTCATCACCCGCGTCGCGTCGAGCGCACAGACCGCGACGCAGTTCTGGGGGCTGCTGCTCGACTTCCAATTCACGCCCGTCGGCGGGTGTCAGCAGGAGGTGACGAGCGGCGCGGACGTCCTCTGGGCCTTCGACGCGTTCAGCGCCGCGCACTTCCTCAAACTCGCCGGTTCCTCGAGCGTGGCGCACGTCGACGAGACCCTGACGTTCACCGTCACGGACGGGACGAGCGGCACACCGGTGGCCGGCGCCGAGATGAAGGTGCGGCAGGCTCTATACTCGGTGCGTTCGCGTACTCTTCGCGCTCATGCATCGTTGCAGGATGGGTCGTTCGTGCTCGGAACGTCGGATGCAGCTGGGCACGTCTCGATCAGGCCAACCGCGCCGGGCACGCTGTCGCTGAAGGCAGCACAGCAGGGATCAATACAGAGCAATCGCGTCGATATCCTTGTCCTTCCCTGACACTCGCGGCATGCGTTCCGCGGGATAAATATCGACGGGTTTTTTCTTGGTTTCCAAAGATGGCCTGTTTTGATGATATTTCAAGTACAAAATCTACAGCTCCGCCTCGTCGACGTTGAGGATCAGCGTCGTAAAGAATCGAATCATCTCCATGAAGGCGTCCACCTCGATGTCTTGAATGTAATCAGCGCCGTGACCAAGAAAGAGTAACGAGACGCGAGCAACATACTTTCGTTGACGGTATGCACACCGTTGAGCACCTTGCCCTTCGCGCGATGGTGGTTGTACCGGAAGATATGCTTCGACAGCGCCCAGTAGTACCGCGTATCTAGCATGACACCGTCGCTCAGACGAAAGAAGAAGAAAAAAAATGTATCGCGAAAGAGATGCGAACGACGTACCGGTGTTACCGGTCATGATACCGGGCGCGATCGTGATCGCGTCCTCCTCGTAGCTGAGGCCGCGGTGCGCCGCGTACGCCGCCTTGATCGTCCCGCTGAGGACCTTGTACGGCGCCGCGTCGGTGGGCGTGATCGGCGCGGGCTCCAGCGCGGTGCCCCACGCGTCGGTGAGCGTGAGCGTGCCCCACGCGGGCGCGCCCTCAGCCTCGGTCGAGACCTTCTCGCCGAACGCGGTGTACGAGAGGTTGAACTTGTCCGCAAGGTCGGCGAGGAGCGCCGAATCGTGCTCTTTCACGGCATCCACGGAGCTGCGTGAGTCGCGTCAGCGTTATAGTTTTCACTCAGAATATAGAAAGAAAACAAAAAAAAAGATGGGGGGAATGGAGCTTACCTGTCGGTCGCGATGCGGTGGTTGACGACGGCCCAGGCCTGCTCCGGCAACGCGTTCGTCTTCACGCCGCCGGAGACGAGGTCGATCGCCTGCGTCGTGCCCGCGAGGCTCTTGAACATCAGATCTTTGAGCAATTCCTCCTCCGCCGCTGCCAGCGCCTTGTCGCACGTCGCGCTCTTTCTAATCGCGCGCTTGAGCCGCTTGGGTATCTCCGGCGCGTGCGCGGCGAGGCACTGCGTGAGGAGGTAGAGCGGCGTGCCGCGCACGAGGTGCGGCGTGTACGGGTTCGCCTCGTACTTGACGAGGAGCTGCGAGAGCGCGCCGATGCTCTGTAGACGTGAAAGACGGACGGGGATCAGGCAATCCGTAGCTGCTGCAGGAGGCGCGGCGAGCGACGTACGGTGTGTTCGGGCGGGATGCTGGAGTGTCCACCGGGCGTGCGGATCTCGACGCGCACGTCGAGGTAGCCCTTCTCGGCGATGCCCGGGCTGGCGAACACGCCCCCGAACTGCTCGCTGTATCCGCCGCCCTCGTCGACGATCATCGCGAAGTAATCCTCGCCGAACTTCTCCAGGAGGTAGCTGGCGAGCTTTCCGGCGCCCTGATCGAGGAAGGCCTATGGTGTCGGCGAAAGGAGTGAGGAGGGGCTAGAAGAAGACGTACGCGAGTGCCGCTCACTTCTTCGTCGAAACCGAAGGAGAGCGTGATGGTGCGGGTGGGGGTGAAACCTTGCGAGAGCAGGGTCTCCACGGTGGTCCTGTCGCATGTCAGGCGAGTGAGTGATGACGCAGAGGAAAAAAATAACAGGGCGACGTACAAGATGCCAATGAGACCCGACTTGTCGTCGGAGCTGCCGCGGCCCCAGATGTTCGAGCCGTCGAAGTAGCCGGAGTAAGGTGGGTGCGTCCACTGGTCAACTGTGGTGGGCTCGACGGGGACAACGTCTGAAACGCAGGTCAGGAATGATCACGACTATTTCTCAAGACTTGCACACCTTGATGAGCCATGAGCAGGAGCGGCTTGAGTTCCTCCGACGTGCCCTTCCATGTGTAAACGAGGCCATAGGTGTTCACCTTGACCAGGTCAAGCTTCTCGTGGCTAACAACCGAAGTCAGTGCCCCAGTACAGGCTGTAGAGAACGGCACGACTCACACGAGTGGGAAAGCCTCTGCCAAATAGTCGTGGAACGGGCCAAACGCCTCCCAGCGTGGGTCCTCGCCAACCTCATCCATCTTGTCGTAGCTCTCCGTCGGCACCCGCACTGCGCCGCTCAGCCAGTCGATAGACTTGTTCACGAACGCCTCCGTGCCAATGAGCTGGCTCAGCGTCTCGAACACGTCCGCGTTCTTCGATGGCACGGTCGCCGGGACTTGCGGGCACAGCTCGGCCGTCGACGCGAGGTCGTGGTGGTGAGGGCGCGCGTGCGGATGTCCCACATCCCGCGCAGGTTGGCTACCCGAGGCCCAGTGGACGAATCCGGGGTTCGTGCTGCGTAGCAAGAAGATGGAGAGCAGCGCGAACGCGCCGAGGACGCCAAAGGTGCGTCTGCGGCTCGTCGACGCCGTGGGCGCAGCGGCCGGGGCAGGGCCCTGGTAGAGCGGAATCGCCTTCTCGTCACGGCCTAGGTAGGTGGACATGGTGCAAAGCGAGCAGGGCCGTCGAGTGCTGCGGTTTATATGGTGGGATGACTCTTGCCCAGGCGCGATGGCGAGAGGATTCGGCCGTCGGGAGCTGGCCACATGCTACGAGATTAGATAGGCAATTGATTCCGGGAGCGTTTGATCGGTTTACCCATCCCTCATCGCAATATCGTTCTAACGAGACCTGCGAAGGATACCTGCAAGCTATGTAACACATCGGGGACAAGGAAAGGTGAAACGGGAGATGTGTCTTCAAGTCACTGCAACCAACCTCTGACCAGCGCCAACGCGCCTGCCGCCGCCTGCGAAACTTCTATTGCAATTTATGCTCGTCTTCCGCAATAGTTCATGCCAGTGCAACGTCCTGTTCGCACTCATCACCGCGTCATTCATCGAGGCTAATCTTGTCGGCGGGCGCGATTACAACAACAACAATAAAGTGCACCTTGCCCTGTTTGCGGCTCGGGCACATCCATGCGACCCATACCAGTCCGAGCGCTAATACACTTGGCCTCACGCCGGAATACACACCGTAGCCTGGATGTGCCTGCTTCTTTGCGCACGGCGCTCGTTGTCGGGACGAATCCATCAGGGTTGGTTCCCGGAAGGGCTTTGTGCGGAGGCACGGGACAACTGTCCTGCGGCAACATAGCCTTACCTGGCGATACCTTCGTGTATCGCGGGAGAGGCCAAGCTGATGTCCGTGCTCGTTACGCTTCCTTTCTGGCGCGCGAACCGGTGAGTACCACCATGTATGGCTCCATTTCACTCCGCGCTGGTTGATGCCAGCTATTGATAGGGAACTTCTCACCTCGCTGATGCGGTTTCGTTTATAACGAGCAACCGCTTCATGCAACCACTGCCTATCTAAAGCCAGCATAATACTTACTGTGGAAGATGGCGGTATCAGTGCCCATCAAGGCTGCAGAACAGGCTGATGAAGCCTTGTATGTGGTGTCGATATCAGCTCGCTTCTCGCAAAACTAACTGTATGGCATAGGCTATTAGAGCATTGGATCACGATATCCGTGATCGCGTTATTTGCCTACGAATATGGTGCGTGACATATGGTCTTAACAACTACAGAGTCGCGCTTATGGTATGATTTCGATGGCCTGTTTGCAGTGATCACACTCAGCGATGAGGTACCCGAAGCGCTATCTTCTGCACAAATTCTGACTGAACACCCTCCGCTCGTCAGATCGATCGAGCCTGGAATAAGAGATGGAGTCTCGCTACCGTCTTGTTCTTCTTGAACAGATATTTCTCGATGTTCGAGATATTCTCGGTGGCCATGATATCATTCAACCCTGCCTGGTTTAACGCGGTAGGTAGTCATTTCTACGACTATTCATCACCATGTGCGCGCGATTGACCCTGTTCGCGATGTCATAGGTGTCAGTGGCATACTCTTTTACCAATTTCGCCGGCAGGAAAGCTCACGCCTCTCGCTAGCTGCACGCGCTTCGTCAAGTTTCAAGGCGCCGGCTCTTCGGTAGCTGTCGGGATCGGCGAAGGTGTGCTACCAAATCGCTCTGTATACCCTGCCTGTGAGCTCACGCCTTACAACGGATAGCGTTGATGATTCTTCGCGTCCACGCAATCTATCAGAATCGGCTCGTGGCGATCGTTCTTTCGCTCTGTCTGGCTGGTCAGATCATCCTGCAGAGCGTCGTGGTGTCGCAGGGATCCGGTACGTCTTTACCTTGAACGTGCACAGCGCAGCGTGTTCATGAGATTAATATGCGATCGACGAGAAGCTCTCTTCGAGCCGACAGGTGGGTGCGTTCTGGTAACGAAGACCTCAGTCTACTGGATCGCACCGCTCGTCACGGAATGCCTGATCTTTATTCTGACGATGTGGCGACTGCGCTTCTACTTCAGCGGAGGGGCATCTATGCCGTACGTATTGTCCCTTAGTGGCATCCGCGCCTATCGCTGACCATCATCCAGTGCTATGAGATTATTCCTCCGGGTGAGCATGAGCGTTATAACTGAAGGGTTGATTTCAAGGGGCTTGACTCGCGATCGAGTAGGACGGAGTCGCTTACTTCCTCGTGGTTTTCACGGCGAATCTGATCAACGCCATCGTTTTCCTCGTAAGCCGCATAACGCAGGCTCTCGCGTATCTCTGCTTACAAGTGCGCTCAGACGGCGCAGCCATCACGCAAGGAGATATTCGCCGCCGTGAGCCAGGTAGTGACATCCATAACTGTTTCGAGGTAACCAACCTCTCGTCAATGCCCGTCGATACGAGAGCGACGTCATTCTAAGCAATGGCCCTGATCCCAGATTATACTTGAATCTGAAGGGCTTCTACTCTCCGCCCCAAGATGTACCAGACGTCTCTCAGGCGACCGAAAGCGGCCCCATCACCTTTGGGCGACACTCGGAGAAGCAAAACGGACAGGATCCGCGAGATTGGCAAACGTTCAACGACTATTATGATCCGTATGCGGCCAACGTCGGTATCGCGTCGGATCCTGGCGAAATTCCACTCACAATCATGCGGCATACCCGCTGTTCGGTGAGCGTTTGAGATGCTCCTTCGCTTGTGTGCACTTAGCTTGGCGACTCGATGTAGCATGATCCCGAATCTGACTCCCCACATACGGGCTGCGTAGTTTGAGCCCGCCGCTATCGCCGTGCGTTTATTCCTTCTATGGCCGGTTTGGCCACCGCTGAATAAAAGCAACACCACTTCACAGGTCGATCGTTTCGGTGACAGCATCACCGTAAACTCCTGGCAGACACGATGGGAGCGCCATGGACCGCCAACCAGGTCTTGAACATGATTGTTGCTTGCACGTTGCTTGGATGTGTTTCAAGTCTCAAAACAGCTCCACGTCACGAGTGAACAACAACGCAGTGTCTCCGAATTCTGTTCCGCTTCCAGCGTGCCCGCGCTGATGTTCGGGAAACCGGTGCTGGACACGATGCCGTCCTTCGGCACCTCCACTGAGGACGTGCCCCCTTCGCCGGACGACTTCGCTGTAGATGCAGTGCCTGCCTTCCGGCCTTACCAGTGCAGCGCACCAATACCGCTCAGCGACCTCGAAGGCGGACGTGAGCGCAGAAGCCGGTTTCGATGACAAGTGGTTCGACGAAATGAATGGTTATAGCTAGACAATGGTTTCATGTAATTCATAGTCATACACAACCTTCCAACTTATGTCTAAGGTTATAGCAACTCTGCGACGTAGACAGGTTGTCTTCATTGGGCATCAGAGCTTACCGTAATGACATAACACGCCTCAACCGGTACACTACTGGTAGAGAAGTTGCGAGTCGGCATGGTTTGCCATTGGTGTCAAAATGATATTAATTTCAATGATCTAATCGGGTTGATGTGTATGCTGAGATCTATTGGCAGGGCGCGGTGGATGGATTCGGTGAACAATACTGGACGGTATCTTCGTCATGAGCATTCAGGATGCACTCCGATAGGCCTTGGATTAACACATCGTCTGTTCCACCATTTTTCCGACATACCACAGCATCTTCTCGCACCCCCACTGTCCCACAATGCTCACGCCCACCGGCCAACCGTCGTCGCCCTCGCCAGCGGGCACGCTGAGAGCTGGAAGCCCCGCGAGCGACGCCGGTACGGTGAGCACGTCCTGTACGTAAGCGTCCAGCGCATCGGCCGACCCCGATGCACCGCCTGCCCTTTGTAAGGGAGGCGCCGTTCGAATCGCAGAAGGATGGATCAAGACATCGACTTTGTCCGCGGTATCGGCCGTTTCTCCCGTCCAAGTAAGAGCGTTGGGCACGGTGAAGACACGGTCGAAATCGTGTTTGATCAACTGCCGCACGCGTTGGGCTTGAAGGAAGTAGTTATCGAAGGCGCTGCCAAGGTGACGAAATTCAGGGCCGATCGGCCATAAAGTCAATGAATCATGACATACTCGGCGGTTAGAGCGTATGTGCCAAGTAGAATGCGTTTCTTCACTTCCGATCCGAACCCTTTAGTGCGTGTATGGGCGTAAACCCTCGAGGTCTTCGTAATATCACTCCCTGGAGGCGGGATCACGCGTAGACCTGATTAAACACACGTGAGTGCATGATCGTCGGACACGACCCAGTACAAGGGCTCACCATACTGCACTCCATCGTACCTTGCCAGATTACTGCTCGCCTCCGCACTCGCGATGACATAGTATGCACTGAGAGCATAAGCAGTGGAAGGTAGCGACACCGGGACGATCTCGGCGCCCTGCTCTGCTAACGCTTGGAGAACCCGTCGCACGGGCGACACTACCGACTGAGAGAGCTCGGAGGGGAAGTATTCCTGTGGGATGCCGATGCGGAGGCCGTGGGCAGGCGTTGGCAGGTCCGAATGAGGCGACATAGTTCGCATCCTGCGATCACAAAACGCGGAGGCACTGCCCCGGGTGCGCATTGGCAAGGACGTGGGGTCTCCGTGGTCATGACAATTCATGATATCTACGGCAAAGGATGCGATCATTAGCGGACAATCTTTGAAGCCCCACTATATAAACTGTACCAAAGGTCCGTTCTACTTCAGATATGTTTTTGGCGAGTATACCCACACAGTCCAAGCTATCTGCATACGATACGACGCCTCGTCTATAATATGAATCGTCAGCATGAGAATACGCAAGTCGGTAGAATACGCACCTGCTTATTAGGCCATAAGACGGCTTGAACCCAACGACGCCGCAGTAAGAAGCCGGTAAACGGACAGAACCGCCGGTATCCGTTCCTAGTGCACTATCCTTCAGCTGGCGTCAGACACTGTCGCCAGACGGTCTTATGGGAAGCTTACACATCACACATTCCCGCACGAACGGCAGCGGCACTACCTCCAGAGCTTCCGCCAGCTGATCTGGGTTCAACGCCGGTCTGGCGATGTTCAGAACCGAGTTTGTACGGGTTGACGACGGGTCCGTGCGTTGAATGCACGTTTAGCGAGCTGCATCACCCTTGAGCACGAGGGTTGTATGACTGGGGTAAGATGAACGCACCCCATACCGAACTCGTCGCAGTTAGTCTTCCCGATGATGTGGGCGCCTTGCTCGCGCAGCAACCGGACGCACGTCGCCTCATATGGAGAGACAAAGTCGGCAAGCATGGCAGAGGAGCACGTCGTAGGCATTGACGCGGTACAGATGTTGTCCTTGACCGCGACGACAACTCCACCTCGATTCTCGTCTTCGGTCGGTTCCGCGACGTGGACCATGGCGTTCACGACGCCATTGAATTTTTGGATGGCTGTCCGATGTCCGGAAGGCCTGATAGGATAATGCCTTGAGCCATGTAGAAGGGGCCGAAGCTTGGCTACGCGCAGCGACCTCCGCATTTACGAGGCAGCGGTCGTGGCGGGACGCAACGCGCGAGTGACTTCATCTTGTGTTCTGCCGTGATCGACCAGCGTCGAAGATGGATCCAACAAAGCCGCTCGTCGTCGACAACGGTACCGGTGTATGCTATATGAAATCCATGGACAAAGTGTCTCTATGCTGATTGACACTCGAAGTTCGTCAAAGTGGGCTACGCCGGCTCCAACTTCCCCGAGCATGGTGCGCAGCTATCTCCATCAACTGCCCATCGCATTGGCTAAGCGCGGTTCATGGTGAACCACAGTATTCCCATCGCTGGTTGGTCGCCCCATCTTGCGCGCGGAGGAGCGTGTCGGGAGCGCCGTGATCAAGGACATCATGGTCGGCGACGAGGCTGCCGAGAACCGCAACTACCTCCAGGTTACGCAGCCGATGGAGCATGGCATCGTTCGCAACTGGGAGGACATGAAGCATCTGTGGGACTACACTTTCTACGAGAAGCTTAAGGTGGACCCTGCAGGCAAGAAGGTTCTGTTGACGGAGCCGCCGATGAACCCCAAGGTTAACCGGCAACGCATGTGTCAAGTCATGTTCGAGGAATACGGATTCCAGGGAGTTTACGTCGCGATCCAGGCCGTGCTCACCCTCTACGCGCAAGGTGCGTTCGTCCATGTCATATCATGTAATGCGATCGTCTTATTGTGCCCCCAGGTCTGACGACTGGTGTTGTGGTCGACTCCGGTGATGGCGTGACACACATTGTCCCCGTATACGACGGGTTCGCATTACCCCATTTGACTCGTCGTCTGGATATCGCCGGTCGAGATGTTACTCGATACTTGATTAAACTTCTCCTTATGCGAGGATACGCCTTCAATCGAACCGCCGACTTCGAAACGGTACGAGAGATCAAGGAAAAACTCTGCTATGTCAGGTGCGCTCCAAGTGCCCTTCAAGTGTGATCATCTGTCTGATCAATGCCGCCAGCTATGACCTTGACCTCGACACTCGCCTGTCGGAAGAGACAACGGTGCTGGTCGAGAGTTATACGGTATGTTGTCACTTCTCCTTGCAGCCCTTTCATCTATCTGAGGCTTTTCCAGCTTCCCGATGGCCGGACAATCAAAGTCGGCTCAGAGCGCTTTGAGGCCCCTGAATGCATGTTCCAACCCCACCTTGTGGACATTGAACAACCGGGTGTGGCAGGTATGCGCATTCTCCACATGCCAATGCAATAGCCAATCACTGACATTTGGTCCGTTCAGAAATGCTCTTCCAAACCATCCAGGCGGCAGCCGTCGACATTCGCTCCGAGCTTTACAAACACATCGTTCTCTCCGGTGGTTCGAGCATGTATCCCGGTCTGCCCAGTCGACTTGAGAAAGAGATGAAGCAACTCTACCTGACTCGGGTACTAAACGGGAACCCCGAGCGGCTAAAAGTGAGATTCTGTCTGCATCTAGTCATCGTTCACTGACGTGACCCCCACGAACAGAACTTCAAGATCCGCATCGAAGACCCGCCGCGTCGGAAGCACATGGTCTTCCTCGGCGGCGCCGTCCTCGCCGACATCATGAAGAATCGTGAGGAATTCTGGATTTCCCGCGAAGAATGGTACGAACAGGGCGCGCGGGCACTGGATAAGCTGGGACGCGGCGAGAGCTAGATGCATCGTGCGAGAAGTAGGGTTACTTATACGTATCGTTGGAAGAGGTGTGCGGTGCTGAGTCTGCAATGTAATGTACGATGGAACACTTGTCAGCACCCTGTGAGATGTCCGAGTCCGCATTGGGTGAACGGCATCCACGGTACATATGTATCGCTTTACCAGCTTCCATTGTTGAGCGAGCAATAGTTTAACAAGAGCACAAGGACACTTATGCTACAGTCGGTAGTCGTTACACAAACTACAATGCTTTGCGAAGTCCTTGCATTGATTACGGCGGTTCTGGATTTGGGTAGTTCTATGACGATCTTTGTTGGACAAAAATACAACAAACATTAAGCCCGATGCCATTCTGTTACAGCCACTGTGTAGTGCTGAGACAGGGCTAGGCCTATCCAATGTATTTAGTGTGCGAGAACTGAGGCAAAATCAGAGGCTGCCGGAATGGGAGGTAGATTGGATGTAGTAAGGATATGTTATGATGGAACTCGTAGCTAAAACGGGGCGAAAGCGAATGCTAATTGGGATTGCTGCTCCTCGGAACTACGTACGATGGGCCCTTTATATCCCTACGTGTCCGCTGCGTTCACCCAATCCTGCTTCACCGATCACATTGCGTATCTTGGAATCCGTCGTGCACCAATCCGCGAGCACCTCGTATTGCGCCAGGGCCGGAGAGTAGGGCGTGGAATGTTGTCAAAGCTGCCGGGAAGCTCTTGCTCGTTGCCGAGGGTTGTAGTGATCAAAACCGAATGCTCGAGCCCGCGATGATCGAGGTGTTGTCGCGGTCGCTGTGATGCCCAGGTGCGTGCCGGAGTTGCCGCGGTTGTCATGCCATGAGGGCGTCAGGAACGTGGTGACGTCGTAGGATCAAGCAGTGCGTGTTGCAAGCACGTCGGCGGCCGTCGAGAGGGTGATGGTGGTGGTGGTTGAAAGCGGCGACAGCAGTGGCGATGTAACGGGTGGTTTGGGGCATAGATAGTGTGGGCAATGAGGCGACAGGTCCAACGAGACACGAGATAAAAACCTTGGAAGCCCAATGACAGAACAACACTCGTGTCTGGCCACTGCAGCTTCCTAAGGTTCTGGGCCCCTTTGACTCAATGTGCTCACATTGGTTGTCAGGACGGCCCAGTCTCGGCCTAGTGGCTTGGTGGTGGGGAGAGGAAAGCGACGGCCACGCGATAACGAAGCGGCATACTTGTTTGTGGCAGTGCAGACGTCGGCGGGCGTGTTCACGTTGGGCGCGCCACAACTGCCTGAAACTTCCGGGAAGTTCTGCTAACTTTGGCTAAGTCTGTGTAACTTCATGAACATACATCCAGGTATGGCGACACTCACGTACATTGCTGGACCTTCAGATACTTACCTGAAGGTATGTCTATGTGCATGTAACTCCATGACCTGCTTCAAAGTTCGTCGTACTTTGGCTAGACTTGCATGGAATTTGACCAACTTTCTGGGAGTTGCTCGTACTTCAATGGAGCTTCATCGTAGTCCATGAGACTTTGACAAACTTTGTGGGACTTTGTCCAAAGTACCTCTCAGGAGGTGGCTGTACTTCCATGTAACTTTGCAAAACTTTCACAAAGTTTGTACAACTTTGGCTCCAAGTTTTACGAAGTTTGACAAACTCTGGTGGTCATTGTTCTGTTCAAATTTGACAGATTTGATGAACTTCTGGATCTGAAGGCAAGAGCAATAATTCCCTAATATATGATCCTCAGTCAAAGTATAAGGGAAAAGATGGGGTTACGCATGTAGTACCTAATATATGACTACAGAGGCATCATAAGTAAGTTAGGACATAAGGGACATGAAGGAACATGGCAGACTCACTCCTCAGTCAAAGTTAAGGGAAAAGACTGAGGAGATGCAGAGGGAGAGCTCCTGGTATATGTGAGGGAGCTCGAGGGAAGCATTTCCACAAAGGGAACAGAAGAATGTGCCTAAAGTGGTAATATCAATCAGGAAAGATATAAGATTGCAAGGAAGAACACAAGAATAGAACAGGTGAGAGAATATGTACATAATAGGTAATGAGCATGTGATATTTCCATATATATATATACGATATACAAAGTTCAACAAGATTATCATCCTCTTGGGGACTTGCCAGAACTTGGTGACATTTGTCAAACTCCCCCATTGAATCCCACTAACTTTGTCAAAGTTCCTTACCATTACCTATTCCCAACGGCACATCCCACCTCTTCCTCCTCCTTGATTCTACCCAACTTATCTAGCAATATCACCGATGCCCAACTCTACCTGAGCATGGTGTTTGCACAGTAGATTCATGTAACTGCCCATCATGGCGGTTTGTGAGGGTGTTATCAGGGCAAGACAAGCTATGCCATACAGTATGTGGTTCCTTATCACCCATGTTGCCCCGCCATTGACCATCGTAGCATCCTAACATCATCGAAGAGCTTGTCACTGCAATCACTCCTGGCTTCAGCATACACCACTCTACCAATCTATCATGGACCGTCAGTGACCATGAGGGACTTTAGCATCTCATGGGTGTGGGGGATTCTATGCAGTGATTTCATTCTTTTCATCTTTCCAGGAGCTGATACAATCTGGGACAATGAAATATAGGGCCCAAATACTTGTTGTATGTGCACCGGGCCATGATCAGCACATGGAATTATACGTAGGTCTGTAATCAAACCCACCCCCAATCTTCCTCGGCTAATTATAGGTAGCATTCTACCCGCTGCATCTCCACGGACCCATATAGCACCGGTGACTCAAGCACCCCCTATTACCGCCTTTAGTACTACCCCGCCAGTACATACACTGGGTCTGTAACTGCATTCTTAGACCAAAGAATAATGTAAAAATCCTATAAAACCTTTAAAACTTCCCATGATTTTATACAGAGGAAATCTTGAACCAGATTAATCATTTTCAACATAGCTAAAAGTTTCAAACAGAAATCTTATAGATGTATCACTATTTCTTCATTGCATTTTAGGCTCTAGAAGTTTGAAACCATGTATCTCCATAGTTATTTATGATTCTCATTATGAGAAAATTGAAACCTGATTCAATAGTTCTTTAATCTTGTTGCTTGGTTAACAGACTGGTTCCAGATTTTTATGGCAGGAAATATTTTACAAAAATCTTAAAAGAGACAAAGGAATTTTTTCAACATCTAGATCATACTTTTGTGAGTAAAAGTTCAGATGCCAGTTTACCATCTTTACAAAATCCTTTGGGCTAAAAATGTTTTAAAGGTTTTGAAGTTGTATAAGATTTTTTCATCACTTTTAGAACCAAAAATGCAGTCACAGACCCAGTGTCAACAATTGTACTTACCACTTGATGTCAGATGGAATGTTCCTATACCATCATCCTCCACATGGTTAGGGTCGGATAACTTATCCACATCATACCTGTCGGAGTCCTCATTACTATTGGATGCATCATTGGTACCAACAGCACTATTGCCGTCTGATTTCAATATTAGTTATACAATTGCCCGGTCAGTGTGATCCTATCCTGCCTTGCTCTTTCTCCGTAAGTCTAAGTGACTTCCTCTGAGCTTGCTCTGGTACTCTGAGAAGCTCACATTTTTTTTTCACTCCCTTTTTCACTTCTTACAGCTTTTGCAGAATCCACAAGTCCTGAGCATGTGGCTTAACAATTGCAAATGGCAGGCCTGTAGAGATACTTGGTGAGACCTTTCCTGACAGGCAGACAGGCTAACTTACTCCCAATGCATATTTTCTTGGAACCCCTTAGGAAACGATAAAGATGCGTGAGTGGAAGATGTGTTGTTATCCGCTATATCACACCTGCCATTGTTGTCTCTACCTTTGTAACTCCCCTTGCGCTCCTTAAAAGGGAGCGCACCACCGGAACCCAAAGGCTCTGTGGTGACATCGGTAACTATTGTGTAAGTTAAATGGCAGAAAAAATTATTTGGGTGATAACTGATCGTGCCCCACCGATTTTGCCAAAAGATGAGAGTTGACAAATGTGGTAGCAGAAATATAGTCCTTGAGATGTTGAATCTCCTCCTGCCACTCAGCCATCAACATAGATCCAGTTCCTGCAGGCTGGCTGGTGGGAGCATGAGGCCAGGGCTGGGCTGGGATACAGCTATCTCCGTCACAAATAGATACTGGTCCCAGGAGCTTGTTGGCATTGATCTGGACGTCCCAGTCCTCAGGTAGCCAGTCCTGAGCCATCTTGGTTGTCTGTATGATGGAGCACCCTACGAGCTCCAGCATAGATCGCTGGTCCATGATGATGAGTTCATGGGATAAGGTACATTGTCGGAGGCACAGACGAGTTTGTGTGCGCTGAAGGATAATATATGAGAGTCAAATACGTCAAGAGCACACAAAGCTCACCTGTATCCAAGTACAGAAGGATCAATATTGAATAACGAGGTGTTTGGCTTGTGGTGTGGAAATAAAATGACTGGAGCAACTCCAAAAGAAATCTTGGGAAGGAGCATAGCTGATGCAGGATTGCCAGACCACCATGGGGCTGATCTGCCTCGCATCTTTTACGCATGGTGGAGCAGCTGGAGCTTGACCCCCATGTCTAGTGTTTCCATGGAACAGGGTCGATGAGGGATAGTCTAAAAGAACAAAGACACCAATACATACGAAGAAAAATAGGACACCACTATACCAAAGATCAAAGGAGGGGCAATCAATGGGAATCGGGTCAACCACGTTGGAATGGTTGATTAGAGGAAGATTGGGCTCTTCTCCTTCTCCAAAAGAAGGGTCAGTGATCATGTCTGACAGCATCCAGGACATATCACCCGGGTCTTTGTGGTTACCCTGGGCTCAGGCCAGAGTATTGGTTTTCTCGTGTGGTTTGGAATCAGGCTCCAGGAGTGGTGTTGGTGTTCCTATGAAGATTTGCGCCTATGAGAGCCATAACTGGTGGAATGTCTTCCTTGCTTACCGGAGCTGTGCAATACTACAGACAATAGGTTTAGCTGCCAAGATGGGTATAGTATGTTCTCATATTGGCCAATCTGCAGTATATTCACAAGTCCTATGTTACATTCCACGTTACACTGATACGTGGTAGGAGTTGTCTCGATTGCCAGCATGCTCATCTCTGCACATATCTGTCAGGATATAGAGGTGAGTTAAAAGATGTGGCAAGAACTTTTTGACATACCCTGATGGTTTTGGCTTGGAAGTTCTTGAACTCCTCCAGGTTGTTCTGCTTGAGATCGTCCATAGGATTGGACATACCCGGCTGCTTCTGGATGCTAGCTGAGAGGCTATACACTGGTGGCTCCCTGCCCATACATGTGGGTGGCTGGTTGGGTACCGGTCTAAGGCGCTCAAAATATGTGCCGCCTTCGCCCATATTGTTGGGCTTGCCTTGGGTCAGGAACTCCAGATCACCCAGCACAGTCTGAGCTTGTGCTTCTTGAATTTTGCTACCTGCTCCAGGGACCATATACCCCTTCATCCAAATGAGAGGATTTCCAGACCAAAGATTTAAACAAGATGTACTGATCGTAATGTGCAAATAGCATCACATCATCTTTGGGTTCGCAAGACCCATGGATGTTGTGCACATAAAACACACATCCTGGCATAACTATCTGCCATCCTAATAAACAGGTTTAGATGGTGCCATATTAAGGTGATGTATCATGAACCATCCTGTCATACCACCCCTTCTAGTGTAGGCAGCAGCTGGTCCTTGGCGGCCAATGCAAGCCGCTGACAGGTTGGCTGGTCTCATCTAAGGACAATGGGTGGACACCGTCATTTCCTATGTACTTGAAAATGGGAAGCATGTAATTGGACTGGTTGGGATTGTCAGGCAAGACCTCCAAGTCCGCATCAAGCTCATATTGACCTAGAATGGGATGAACAGGCATGGTGAGTTTGGGGGGTGGGAGCAAACAGAACAAGGAGCAGAAGACTTGTATAAGTGACGGCTTGGCCTACGGCAGGCGGTGCAAACATAGAACATGGCAAATGCATTCATTGGGCGCTGATGAAATCTTACAGGAATGTAGAAAGAGCATGTACACAAACAAGCCAGCACGTCCTCATGTCACGGTTGGTAGTATCAACCTGAGCATTCAGCTCTGTCAGCAAATACTGAACCTCTTTACTTGCATTAGCCCCATGGAGTAGTGGTTGAAATTGTCCCTGACTGTTAAGCTGTGTGAATGAGAGTAGATTAATGGTACCTGGATCTATTCCCCCTGTAGGTAAACATTCTGCAATTAACTGTGGTAGTGCTACTGTGGCAGGCTACCCCTGCCTGGCCCACACCCGTGCTGCTGCCTCTTGACCTGTAACCATGTCACGGGTCGATCATCACCAACCATTGCCCATCATCACCGACTGTCCTCTGACGTCTCCTCCGCTCTTTGCCGCTGGTCCTCCAACAGATCTCCGGCAGACTTTTTGTATCTTTGATTCTCCCATGTTCCCTTTGTTTGTCCTTGCTCATTTTCACACTGTATTCTTCTCCCTTGTTCCCGGTTTCCTTGGTACTGATCCCCTTTGTGTTCCACATGTACTTGAGATCTTCTTCCCTGTTCCCTTTGTCTGTCACATGTCGATCCAGACTGATCTACGCCAATCTGCTCCGCTGATCTTCACCAATCTTCTCCGACTTCTTTGCTGACATCGATCACACCTTCCCATTTCGGCCAAGAGTGGAATACGCTTATCACATGCACCGGGCCACCGGCGGCTCAACACCCTGGTGGTTCCAGATCTCTGAACGGATTCAACTCTGACTTTCCTGATTCCTGTTCCCTTTGTCTGACATCATAGTTTCCCTTTGTAGACTTTAGTTTCCTGTCGCTTGCGACGGATCTTTCGGACCGTTCTTTCTGCCTCTTCTCCAGATATGTTCCCTTTGTATTCCATACGTTACCTGTACCATAGATCTTCAGTTCAAATATCGACTAAGCCTCTCTCTCTCTCTCCCTGCGGACTCAGAGCGCATAGCAGGCTAGCGCATGAGCTTAGGCTTGGTCCGCATCCGTACTTGACTTCACCGATCTCTCTGGCTTACCAACTCAACGCCGACGCGTTGTCAAACAAGTTTTGTGTTGGTGTCGAAGAGGCGAGAGGAATTCTTGAGGCGATGGAGGTGTATCACCGATTCTTCAGCTTCTTCTGCAAAACTCCTGGGGTCCTGGTCTATCTAAGTCGGGGATTGCTCAGTTGGCCGTCAGTTATTGAACCTGACTTAAATTTGATGAGACAAGCTTCTTGTGAGCTCGTCGGCGATACCTAAAAAAGGTAAGATGTGAGTAGGCCTAAATGGAAGGCTTGAGGGATCCTGTGTTGAGGTCTTGTGAGACGTGCTGAGCGCCGAAGTTCCTTAAAAAATAAAGAGAGAGGTCAGCTGTTCCTTTGGTCGCGAAGATGATAGAGCAAGGGAAACAAATTCGAACAGCCTATGGTGGCTGTGTAGAGTCGATAGAGGAGCTGTCCAGGCACTCAAGGCCTGAAAGAGAGGGTTCAGCAGACAACTGCCAGGCACGATTAGAGTGGAACTGATTGACTGCTCATTCATGCCGGTTTGGCTACATTTTATACTCCTTAGCTAGGCCAGTTTTCTGAGTCACATTAGTAATCTTAGCAGTGCTGAGTCAGCTTCTGACTCAGCTGGGTCACGGTTTGTCATATGCTGACTAAGATCAGGTACTGCTTGGTAATCCTTTCCTGATATGGTCAGACTTTCCTGGGCTAGTTTTAAGGTACACATTTAGTCTATTCTACTTGAAGTGTATACTACTAAGTGAAATGAAGGCTACAGAATCAATTTAAAATGGAGGTATTTGAGCAATTCCACACCTATTCACTTTAGGGGCGGGACAGCATCTCTGACTTATCTCATCTCTATCTTTGAGTTCTCCTTTTTGTTTCTTCTTATTCTTTGTCTTTACCTTTTGAACTTCGGTCCTCCGACCCTGTTGACCCTTCCGTATTCGTTTTTGACAAAATCCAGGTCAGTTCGCGCTGTCGCGCACCAAATCTGTTTGGTGCTCGGACATAGCCAAAACACACAAATTCACAACGTATTGTGATCACGTGATTAGAAAGTTGTGACGCGTAGACGCCATGCCCACAACACGTGTTCAGGAATAGGCAACCCCCACTGTACACACCAACTACCCAGTCAGCATGCAGGTGTTTAGAGCAATTGCCAAATACATATGGCATAGTCTAATGAAATGGGCGAAGCCCTTTTCTGTTGATCCTCACCCACCCGAACACACTCTGCTAGCCGATAACGAGACCACTGCACTTCTCACACAGGCCGAGAGGTCGTCACTCCCTCAGTACATCAGGGTTCTGTTTCTGCAGCGCCCCAAAAAGGTCAACCACATCGAGGTCCACGTCACTACTACTGTCAAATTCATACCAGAATACCAGACGCGTCGGCCCAGAGCTTCTCCCTACCAGCCTATTGAGGCAGCCAACCTTTTCCTTCGTGCACCTCCTCTATGTTTGCAGTTCTTAGCACTCAACCCGTGGCTACATGGTCCACAAATCTTCTTCCTACTCGACGGTCCTCCATTTGCTACCAATATCCTGCAGCCCGGCAACGTAATGTGTTAACGTCTTATGTTCGGAAACAAGATAATGGCCGCTAGTGCCTGTATCTCTTACATCCTGGAAGAGAAGGTCAGAGACTACATCATCTATGTCACTCGGATGCACAAGAGATACCGCTCGCACAATAATATCTTTGGGCAAATGGCCGATGCATACTACCATATCGCCGCTTCAAGAAGCCGTATGCCCATCGATTCAGGAGTAGGGTACCTCGTCGTTGTCGCCAAGTACAGCGACAATAAGCGCGAACCACAGCTTCCTCCCATCAAGAAGGAATATGGACCCCTCCCCTTCGGCTGTCCTGTCACCATCGCAAAACTAGTGGTCGCTACCAATGTCACTCTACATTTACAACGACACTCCCTTCCCCTCCTCCCTCTCAACGATCGACGCCTCCGCCCCAAAAACATACCTGTCAATATGACCCGCTCGTCCCTGTTTATGGGTCACCCACACTTATACCCCCTGATAGCTGACTATATCGAGGGGAAGGATAACACTGCTCTCAAAATCTTGGAGGAAGAGTCCCGCGCCGCCCTTTAAACTAGGCATCCAGATACTGGACATACCTTTCTTGCAAGAATATTTACGGTTACGATAACCGCACGATAAGATTTCCCTTTGTATAAGTATATTTCTGATCTTGGACTAGTGTCGTTTCAGATTTGTGTATATTGTTGCCCATTTGTATATTGCTCCCTCCACACTTTGTATATCACCAGGAACTTCATATATCGTCAGGACCCTCGTATATCGTCAGGAAACTCGTATATCGCCATCATCTAGTAGATCGTTAGTCCCTCGTATATCGTCATTGTCATCGTGCTTGTATATCATCTTAGGCTGTTTTATGTTTGTGTTTTGTACTAGTACTCAAAGTAGATAGATCACAAGTACCTCGTTTCAATCTCTCGTATATCGCCTATCGCCACCTCGTTTATCAAGTAGCTCATTCGTTAGAACTAAAGAGTTGTATATGAACTGTCGTATATAGTTCGTTTCAGAAGTAACATAGCCACGACCCAGTAGGTATAAGTACTGTCTTTGTAGTAGTAATGAGCAAGTACTCTTTTCCCCTCGAATCTGCCCCCTATAGTGCTAAGTTGCACTATATTTGTCTATCCACTGCAATAGTTGCAGTATCGTCATCTGCTTTATCTTCTCTTACATTCTCTGGAGCTCACTCGCGGAGCCCATCCTAATTTAGTCTTTGACCTTCCTATTTAGGTCATCTTCTCCACATCTTCTTCGGCTCTAGTACGCAGCCATTCTACACAACACATCCCTCATCCGAACAAATCAGGCAATCTCCCGAGTCTCTCACAGACCCCGGAAACCTGAGTCTATTGTGTGTCTACACACATTTATAGCACGACAGCGCTACAGCTCCATGAATCTCTTGAGGGACGTGGATTGAAATGATGCAGGTATGAACAGTGCATCACATGGATTGAGCAGGAGCCCTGAGCAGCATATGGATGGACAGTGGAACCTATGTGTATGGGCGCGGCGTCAGTCATGACTCATTGGACGCAAATGGTGTCCTCTCTGAAGCTTCAGCATACCCGCTTTATCCAGCCTCTGGGAGTCCGTCGCAACTTCGTAGAAAGGCCAGAGGGTTACTGTAGTTTTACGACCTTAGGTTCGTCTCCTGTCCCCTGGCAGCCCTAACTGAACCTAATTTCCCGGTCCTGAACTGATTGTGGGAATTCTGCTTCTTACTGTGTGAATATTCTAAGCTGACTCCAGTCAGTTTGCGAACTTCCCATGGCCCTGAACTTGCAGCTGTCCCCTGTCCCCCAGGAGGTGGACCGAACTTAAGGTCATAAAACTACAGTATTGAAATGATAGGCAGTCCGTTTGAGACACCGAACAGACTCGGAAAATAGAGCCCAGTGAAAAGTGCCTCTATAATACTGAATTGCCTAGAATAGGCTGATGTCATGGCACGCCTCCAGTATTCATCTCTCCCTGTTTCCCCCGCATTCCCCACATGCTCTTTTTACCCTTTCAGGTTTCCTAGGAGCTCCCAGATGCTCCTTCTATTCTTTCAGGTTTCCTAGGAGCTCCATACATTCTTCTATCCTTCCGGGTCTCCTAGGGCCTCCGCACATTGGGTGGCTTTCCTAGGCCGTTCCACTGGTCACGTGCCGGGCACCCGAGGAGCCTCCCTCTCTCTCATTGGACCATCCCTTGTGTTTCTGATGGATTACTCAGCTACTATATAGTTGCCTGTCGCACCAGGGAGCAACTCAGACTTGTTCTCTCAGTTGCTTCCCTGCCTTGTGCGACAGGTATGTGTATTCATCTCATATCTCTGTATATATTCTCAGTTGCTTCCCTGCCTTGTGCGACAGCGTCTCCACCGCCATCCTGGAGGATCTGCGCCGCTCCTAGGAGCTCCAGCGCGTACTCTGACATTCCGCAAGTACCAAGGCCCGCACTGTCAGAGTACGCGCTGGAGCTCCTAGGAGCGGCGCAGATCCTCCAGGATGGCGGTGGAGACGCTGTCGCACAAGGCAGGGAAGCAACTGAGAATATATACAGAGATATGAGATGAATACACATACCTGTCGCACAAGGCAGGGAGGCAACTGAGAGAACAAGTCTGGGTTGCTCCCTGGTGCGACAGGCGACTATATAGAAGATGAGTAATCCATCAGCGCAACGAAAGATGGTCCAATGAGAGAAGAGGAGGGTCCTCGGGTGCCCGACACGTGACCGGTGGAGCGGCCTAGGAAGGCCGCGCGAGTGCGGAGGCCCTAGGAGAGCCGAGCGATGGAACAAAATAGGGGAGATGCCAAAAGGAGGGCGCGGGAAGCCTAGGAGGGCGCGGGAGAGCGCGACCGAATAGGGAGACAGAAGTATTAGGGGGAATGAACGAAATGGGACAGAAGCGGGAGCAGAAAAAGAGAACAATGAGACATGAGGCGAGTGTGGGAGCCGTGCCCTGACACGCACGATGGCGCCAGCAGCATGGACTTTGGCAATGAGCTCGCCTCGCTTATCTCCACCTTGCACCGAACACCGGCGCCAACCTGGGTCCGCAGCACCAGTCTTCGCACGAGCGGTCCACGAGCGCCTACGCTGATGGCTACCGGCCCCCGACTCACAACATCTTCAACATCTCCGCCACACCAATGCACAACCCGCACCTCACCGGCTCGGCGACCTTGTCTGGTGCGCCATTCTCCAAGTCGCACGCCTTCTCCCTCCTGCAGACAATCCACCGCCCGCCCGATCTTGGCGGCGCGCCCTCGCTCAGGACCCGTCACCACCACCACCACCACCCTGGCTCGCTGCACGACTTCTCCACCCCGGCGCACTTCAACTCGACCCTGCCCACGCTCAACTCATCCATGTGCTTCGACCCGCACCCACCGCAACCGCACGAGCAACAGCCGTCCTCGCTCGTGTCCTCCTCCTCGCACGTGCCCTCGAGTGCTCGCTCAACCAGTTGACCTGCTCACTCATGCCCTTGCCCATCACCTCTAATGGCTCCCGGCTGGGCACCAGCATCCCCTCGGACTCAGACTCCCGCTCTCGCTCCCGGGCACCCTCCAGCGGCCCCAGCCTGACCCGCACGCAGTCCATATCCCACGCCAAGCGCAACTCGATGTCCTCCGGCAGCCCCCAGCCCGGCCCGATCATTGTCCCCTGCTCCTCCTCCTCCAAGATTATCTATACAACTGTTGGACAGTGTTGTAGTGTAGCACCGAATAAGAGTGTTTTCTATTCGGATATACCCTAAGGCCCGATAATTGGCCCACAACAGAAATTCGAAGGGATTCAGGGGAATAAGATGTGCACCCAATACTACCTTCGTATGTGTTTGAATGTGGTGGAATAACAGCCCCTCGAAGCACTAGCAATACGACCGTATACCGAGTAATTCATGTGGCAGTGTCAAACAGTGTAAAAATGCACGCATGGCCGAATACCATTGAATAAATTGACGGTACCATCGCGAAAAACACCCTCGTCTGTGCTCTCGCTTAGTCTCGCTTATCTTAGCCGGCCGGTCTCACGATTCGAGCAGATTCGAGGACATATATCACATTTTCACCGGGAATAGAGGCCAACATGTATTCCCACGGCACATCTCTCCGAGCTACAACCCCTCATCAGAAAGAACGCGAGGCATTGCCCTTTCTTAGGTCTGACGATAACAAGTCGTTAGATTGTGAGCTGTAGAGCCGATGGCTAGCCAAGCGCAGCCAAGCTCACCAACCTGCCAGCAGACGCACATAACCAATGTGCTCCCCTTCTTGGGGCATACCGCGCTTGACGGGTGAGAACAACATATGCCATTATCAATGAGTAAATTACGTGCATGTTACCACGTCGTAAAGCAGATCTACGGCAGGCATCTACCGTCTTCGGTATCAGACCGGAGACGTCCGGCAGCAAGCCGGGCGTGCTGCATTCGGAACCGAAGACATCGCAGTTGCAGGAATAAGAGCCCCGTAACTGGGACGATCACCTTGGACTGTAACAATGCATACAGCGATGCGCGAAATTTGCAGCTTTGATGGGCCTCACCCGGCAAGGCAGGTTACGAGAGTGCCCGAACCACGCCCTCGAATGTCGCAAACGTGACCATATTAACCGGGATGGCCCTGTTCATAGTGATCGGTCAGAGCAAAACCGGGACAGACCAAAGCGGGACGAAATTACCGGATCAGCGTCGGAGCGATGCCTCGGAAGAAGATTCTGGGTCCGTCATCCCGGTACGAATGAACGATCGTCGACCAGGTATTACGATATTTGCCTCTATACAGATCCCCGCCCTGAGCCTGCGAGGCCTGCACTCGGGTCTTGACGACGTCGAAAGGGAAGGTTGATACCCAGCTTGCTATGCCTGCGAGGGCACCAGCGAGAAGCAGCGCGGGCCATGAGTGAGAATTGATCTCGGACTCGGCTTGTGAGACGAGGGATGACGCGTCGTAAGGCTGTTCTTGGCGTTCCCTAGACCCTGATGGTGGTGGAGGCGGTGAGGCTGTAGTGCGTTGAGGCCGAGCAAAGTAACGGCAGGTCGCCTCATACTGAGCATCCGGGAGGAAAACGATAAGGACTGCGAATTCGTGATCGCAGAGGACGGAGGGCTCACCGCCGCAAAGTATGCGCCGTAGCCACAATCACGCAAAGCGGTGGACGTGATGCCACGGTAAAGCCCCTTGACACCATGTTGGCGGACAATTTGTCGGGCTACGTCAAGTGCATTGGGTCGGAAGGCAGGGTCGACGTGATTCTGTTGGTGAATCTTGATGAGCTCCGTTGGGGTCGTAACCAGCCTATCGAGGGTGGGTCCTGTGTCAGCAGGTCGTCGGAGAGAGGATGCGTAGGAACGTACGCGGAGATAATCCCACTCCCCGCGCCGGCCAGGCCGACCTGCCATAACGTCGGAACATCGTCTTCATGAGAGAGCTGAGCTTTCATGAGAAACCGGTAGGAGGCGAAAACGACGCCATTCAGCAGAGCGCAAGTCGCCTGTCATTGCGAGGATCAGGCCGCTTAGGCCAAACCTCAGGCGGATGCTTTACAATGCAAGCAGAGAGAATGCGGACCAAAGGTGTCGTTATGCCCTTAAAGAGGCCCGTAAACCGCTCTTCCCGAGTGATGGTAATGAGTGACTGGAAGGTCGAACGGTACTTCGACGATAATTCGGGGTTCTGGAAGCGGACCTTCACTATGAACGATTAGTTGTGCATTCTATGCTGCCCGCGAACCGATCACGTACCTGTGTCAAAGGGATATCCAACGACCAAGCCTGCTGCCCCTATGAGAAACAAACAACGCGTAGGACGTCAGCTAGTAATCCAGGCCTATGATAGACCACTCACCGGCGACCGTGCCAGCTATGAAATCAGTCGTAGGATCCATGATCTCCGCTTTACGCAATCATCCACGAGGTGACAGGTGAGATCAACAATCAACGCGAAGAATACAGGTCCTTGAGAATATCCGTGGTGGAAGGTGTTCGTGAGTAACCTGGTGGGGGAGCCTCTTTGCGTTGCTGCCACGCATGTCCTTGAGCTCCGACCATGACGGTCATCTCGGATCTTCTGATGCAGGAGGCTGCGATGCCTAGCTAAATCGATACACGGAGCTGGCGGCTGCTTGCCTAGTCTATTCCGAGTCTCACATACTGGCTTCACGCCCAGAAGGCGCGTTATCCGAACAGGTCTTTCGCCACCAGCGTTGTACTCGCGGAGTCGCTACCAGTGCTCCGAGGACGGATCGGATTGGTTTGGGAACTCTCGGAGCCAGCTGTGAGTGCCGCACAACCACTCTCGACACGAGTAGGGCATTCTCAGGACTCCTACGGAATGGTAAGCTATCATCATCATGCCATACGGGCGTAACGCATATGCGGCGCTATGTTGAAACACGCATATAGAGTTCGAACTGTGAAATCCTTGATGAGCAACCACGTCCTCTACGAGAATACCTCGGTCTTAGTGCGGGACGGTCCATCTGGGTTCGTGCGGCGAGCGTTTACTTCACGTTGTACCGCTGGCACCGCAGTCTGAGCGGCTCGCCCTACAGCATCGATGCCGTTCTGTGGAGCTCCATTGATGTACATGGCTTCAGTGCGCGGGCTTCTTTCGCAGCTCATTTAACACTTGTTTGGTACAGGCGGCAAGGGTCGTACTTCGATAGCGGCACAGATAGCAATTGAAGCCGCACTTTCCGGAGTCATGCCCTCTCATCAAATCAGATCGCTCAGCTCATTGCCGTGATACCCTCTCACTCGGAGGAGTACCCCAAGACTTGGTAATCTAGCGGCTTCGAAGCCGATTCATGCTGTCCTGAGTTCAAGCCCAGTTAGTATTTTGATTCATGTGGACGTCGCTCGTACTCATCCTTCATCTCCGCGGATAACAGATTTCATGAAACAACGCTTCGCGCGATTCGTGTAGACAACTCGTCATATTGCGCATACGAATCAACCACCTACCGACAGTATCACGTACAGGACTCTCAAGATACGGCGAACAGCCTGGATCGCGGGGGTCACCACAGATTGAAGTTATCTGACTATCCAATCGGTGGAGATTCGAAGCTACCAATGACTTGGCCGCATCCTCCCAGCATCCAGCAGGACCACGGATCAATCGCCACCTGATACGCAAGGTTCTATGCTGGCGTTCTTGTCGATCATCGCGCGCGAGAAATCTAGGGCGTCGGAGCTCGACTTTCCATGGCAGGGCACTTCCGGTTTGGAGACCGCTGGATGCTTCATGCACAGGTTGATCTGTTGTGCGATCTTCTCCTTGCCGCCCTGTTCGGTGCCTGATCTTGATGCAAAAGTACCAGCATTGCGCCGCCGACCTGCATCCTGACGTGTGCTGCGCAAACCCTGGATCATTTGCCGCTCGGTGGCGTTGGCTCACGATAGCTTGGCCTTGTTCGGTCCGTATGCTGCCATGGCGCAAATTTTTCTTGCCTTGGTGGGCGTCCTTCCGCTAATCGTATCTCCGCCTGAAGATCCCATACATGAGTATGTTGACGTAAACGCAGATTCTCCGGCCCGACTGTGATCACGACGTGTCTCAGTTACTACCAAAGCCTGCTACATTTTCTCGTCCGTACGCCTTTCATCGTTCTTTGTATACACGCATTTGCTTTTCGCATATATCGTGAAGCTTTCAGTCCCTCACGAAGGGAACAGCCTCGACCAAGAACCAGGAGGTTGTCTCAGATCTGGACAGAAGTTTGCCAAATCAACGTAAACGTGTAGGCCTCTTCGCTTCCGCCTCCGCTTCAGCAGTTACCGTGGATGAAACGAAAACTCGTGGCGTCACCTGGCCTCGCAGCGCATGTTGCTGATGCACGTCATCCGGTCTCATGCAGAAGCGGGTCTTCATTAAATATCACATATGATGGGGCCCTAGATGGTTTCGGCTACATTCGGCCTTTCAAACTACGAAGACACATACGTGGGTTCAACTGTAGGAACGTTTGAAGGCCGTTATTCTTCATCGTATGTGCGATACTGGCCCGACATGGTGGCGGCCCTATTAGACGACGCGAGTGCCATCGGTAGGTTGAGCAGCGCTCTCGGTCGGCAATGTGTAGATAATGTGACGCCCAGTAATCTCGATTTGATTGGGCTACAATGGTGATTCGTTACACTGAAGCATCGCCGCGCTTCTTCTAACGTCGTTAACACAGCTGCCGCACTCACGCCATGACTCAAAGGTCGCGTTCACGGAGCATCGTTAGCGTGTTGAAAGAGGGCACAGGAGTGCTATGAAGGAGCGCACTCAGCCTTATCATTGAGTAAGGGTCGCGGACATTCCTGTTTGAGATTCGGCAGCTGACGATCGTTTCGCCACCATCGCTTCGCTACCGACTCTTCCGTGAAATCGGAAAATGATATAAATGGGCGACGTGTGTCTTTAGCGGTCCTTGCCACGAGGCACCGTCGGAGTCCGGGTTTTATAAAGACGCTCCGAGGCGGACGCGACGAAGCGCTCCCTGCATCCACCTTTTGCTGTCCCCAACTATCATGGATCTGTTCAAGAGCGTTCTTTCCCCTCTCCTTGGTAGTGGAGGCGCACTTCCCGATACCCTCGTGAGCCACCTCCCCGTCCCTGCGCGAGAACGCTGATGCGATCCTGAATGTCAGAAACTGGTCGTCATCGGTGGCACCGTAGAGACAGCTCGCAGAGTCTCTGCATCTGCTTGGAACGGCTTCGTAGACTGTTCGTCACCATATACGAACGGACGAACGTGCATGGATAACCCCTCATCACAGCTTTCTTCTTGACCGCGCATTTCAGTCAGGACGATTATCCTTATGACTGGTACGCATTCCATTTGGATGTTCAGCTTCCAGAATGCGTTACTAAAGACTCCTTTAGGCTAATGCATTGGCTTTCGAAGGTGTGCATCTCAATTGATGCATGTGGAGGTTTATGGTACTGAACAAGGGCCCCTGTGGCAATGGCGTGCAGCAACCCGCGTGGGGACGAAGCCGCGAATTCGATATCACTACACGGTCCGCCGGCCGCTTAGCATCGACCTCGACCGGCGACCTTGAAGATGACGACGAGGATGAGCTGCATGGCCGCAAGAAACGGAAGGTGGCGTTCCTCCCGAGCATGGGTACGCGTTGATCCCAGTCTTGATTACTAAGCACCGACTAATTCCGTCTCAAGACACCAGTCATACCATTTACTACCGCGGTCATTGGCTTCGGGTATGCATCTGTTTTACGCGGCGCCAAAGTCGATCATTTGGCTCAATTGGCGTGTAGATAACGCGCGCGAAACGCTTCCAGGACTACGGACACTGTGCCGAGCTGAAGATCAGGTGCGCCAGAGACTCTCACCGGCTACCAGCGCTTTCGGAGCTGACGCCCGCCTCCGGTTCTCTTTCTCAGTGTCGTCGCACGCAATAATGATATCCTCAAGAAACTCGTACTGGAAGCGAAGAGGCAGTATGAGAAGGATGCCGAACACCGCGTGCACATATTCATGGCTGATACGTCCGTATACCTTCCTTTTAGGGAAATTGGCTCCTGACCCGGCCTTCTTAGGACGTACGGCGGCTGGAGGTATAGTGGATCGCGCCAGAAACGTCCCATGAGCTCCATTGTACTCGAGCCTGGTGTGAAGGAGATGATCGTGGAAGACTGCAAAGACTTCCTGCGGTCCGAAGACTGGTGAGTCTTAGCTTGCATTCGTTCATATTGGCGAGTCCTATGACCAACTAATGACCGAATCTCCTTCTCACCGCCGTTAGGTATGCCGAAAGAGGTGAGTTCATTGATGCTTATGTAACGGTTTCGGTCTGACATTACGTTCCGCATTCAGGGATGTTAGTAGCCCGCTCGTCGTTTACACACCGGTGGATTGCTAATGTACACACCCAGACCGTTTCGTCGCGGCTATCTCTTACATGGAGTCCCAGGAAGGTTCGTATCATATGTTTCGGACTTGGAAGTACGACTGATAGCTTTCGCCAGTGGGAAGACGTCTTTGATACATTCGTTAGCGGGCGAGCTTGGTCTGGACATTTACGTCGTCAGCCTGTCTGGGAAGGGGTGCGGACTTCCAATGTCATTCCAGGAACCCGCCATTCATTCACTTCATTAGGATGAGTGATAACATGTTGACGACACTCATGGGCCATGTACCTTCTAGGTAATTAATGGCCTCATCTCCATGCCGCGAGTTGCTCACGTTCCTCATAGATGTATTGTGTTGCTAGAGGATCTAGATGCCGCATTTACGCGTTCCGTGTCTCGGGACAACGGGTCAACGGGTGCCCCTCCTGCTGCTTCGTCGTCAAGCACGGAAACGAACGCGAAGAACACAGAGACTAACGACGGATCTACTCTTAGCCTGAGCGGCTTATTGAATAGCCTTGATGGTGTCGCAGCTGCGGAGGGAAGGTGGGTGCCCGCTCTCGTTTATTCCATCGCACCGGGTTCTCACCATACACCTGGAAACAGATTGCTTTTCGCGACAACGAACCACATCGAGCGACTTGATCCCGCGCTGAGCCGCCCTGGACGAATGGACGTGTGGATCAATTTCAAGCACGCGACCAAGTGGCAGGCAGAAGGCATCTTCAAGTGCTTCTTCCCCACGAAGAGCTCCTCCGTGTCGCGGAGCGACTCCTGCTCGTCTTCTCTCGAGTGCTCGCCGACGACGCCTCAAGACCCGTCGCAACAGAACATTCCCGTGCCTAAACGCAAGTCTGCACACTCAATCCCGCTGCTTGACGACGACGAGCTCTCCGAGCTTGCCAGGAAGTTCGGCGAGGCAATCCCTGAAGACGAATTCAGTGTACGTAGTGGATAGATTTTCGGTGTTTCCATCTCACCGGCCGTGTAGGTTGCGAGCTTGCAAGGTTACCTTCTGCGCAACAAATCGCGTCCTCGCGAGTGCGTTGACGAGGTTCAGACATGGTGAGGAGGTTTTTCGTTCCGATCATCAACAGTTCATTGACCATCCCTCGTAGGATCCAGTCCGAGCGTGAGACGAAGGCGAGGCTGAAGAAGGAAAAAGAAGAGGTTAGTTCGTTGCCTTCATCGCATTACGGTGCTGACCACCACATCCAGGCCGAGAAGAAAGAGGTTAGTATCACCACCTACATGACAGCGTGAACTTGCCTGACTATCGATTAGGCGGAGGAGAAAGCCAAGCGAGAGGTTCGTGCTGCAATCTTGATATTGTGATGGTGTGTTGATAGTCTCCTCCTCAGAAGGAAGAGAAGGCGGCGAAGGAGGTGATCATCTTCGGCTTTAGAACCGATCAAATTCGTTAACGAATTCGTGTACAGAAAGAGGAGCGAGAAGCGAAGGAGGCGAAAGAGGTACGCCATCTTGATAATCTAGATAAGGCGCCGGCGGCGTTGACTGTATCTCTCGCAGCGGGAAGAAAAGGAGAAAGAAGTAAGGCCTCATCTGAGATCTGACAGCCACCGGCGATTGATCTCGCATTATCGTAGAAAACCGAGAAGAAAGAGTCGAGACCCAGACTGAAGAAGTCCTCTCGCGGCGAGCTGCACAAGATCGACACGAGCATGAGCAAGCCGGCTCCACCGGCAGAGCTTCCGGCGCCTAAACCTCAGCCGGTCAATCAGGCTACGACCTCCGGCTCCAGCTCCAGCTCTGAAGCTGAGTCGAGTTCTAACACCGGCAACGAGGGGGACGAAGAGAGTGTCACGTCAGAGGAAGAATATATATCGAACCTCGTCAACGCTTCGACGGAATCCAAGGAATGCGACACCAAGACGAAGGAGAAATGGGTGTCCGTCAAAGGCGAGAGTACGCCCGAGGCTGTACCCGCTGCTGCTGCTGCTTGATTTCTATCTATCTACTTCCTCGTTACTGTGGTCCTTCGCCTTTTTATGCTTGGGTAACGTCGTCTACTGTGTTTTCTGTCTTTCCCGCTGTTTGTAGACCTGGATTATATCTGTTCCGTACACGTTCTATAATGATGATAGACCTCAAACCTACCAATAGCTGTTTGCGGTGTTCACTCTGGTCATCGCATGCAAACGGTCTGAATAGCGGAGTGCCATGTATTATGTGTAACCGACAACATGATGGATACCAATGCTCTACGAATAGTCCTGAGAAATCATGATGACTTGAGGGTGACCTCGGATAGCGTCCGGAACGCCTCCTTATACGCATCGAGGAGCGCCTTCACCCGCGTCCGCTCGGCAACGAGCTCCTCGTCCTCGTTCAGCAAGTCGCCGAACATATCGGGTTTGTACAAGGATGCCACGAGGCGATTTTGGACGTGCTGCGACGTGTGGTTGACAAGGAAGTGCATGACGGCTTTCGGGACGAGGTCCTGTATCGTCTGTCGGACGATATTGAAGTACGACGCGAGGAGAGTGCGGATGAGGTTCGTCTCCATCTCTTCGCGCATCGTGACTTGTAGGTTACCGTCTGTAGGGATCTATCCAAGCGACTCAGTGAAGGACTGTAATAGGTTTGACACAACGCCTCTTACCGCTTCAATGTGTTTGCCAAGGCTCTTCATATCAAACGCCGCACCGCTTCCGTCTCGCCTTCCAGCCATAATCCCTGAATGCACGCTCGGATCCGGCCCGTTCACGTCGCGTCCAGTGCTGACGATCGCGCCCGGCGCGTCGTGGGCGGAGATCGTGCGTTCTATGCTCGACGCCGAGATCGGACCAGGCCCGTTTTGCCCGAAGAAGTAGTTGAGGAACGTGTCCTTCGCGGTGCCCGACCCGCCGGACGTGCCGGACGAGTGCCGCACGGTATGGGAAGAATGGGTGGAATGGTGGTGGCGGGAGACGGTGGCGTTGGCTCCGCGGACCGTGGACCCTGTCGTTGTCCGTGTCCGATCGTGAATGGTGGATGAAACAGAACGGGCATCGGCATGGCCTCCGAGGCCGTTCACGGCATTCCCATCGACGGATTCGTCGTCATCCGTCGGCGACAGCATGCCGTTGATGGGCTCTGTCGACGAAGGCTGACAGGACCTGCGATCAGCCTGGAACACGGGTTATACAAACTAAACGCTTACTCGGGCTGGTGAGACGGCCTTTCGAGGTGGCTGATGTGAAGTCGTCGCTTCGCGCGCAGCATTGTCGGAGCTGGCGATAAACGCTGGGTGGTTTGTGTTGATGTACGCAACTTGAATATCGATCAGACTTTGCGTGTACTCGGACGTAGGGCCGAGTCGTTCCCGCAACAGCTCCGAGACGACGTCCACGATCTGCGCATGTAACCGCGGGAAGCGTTGCAGCTCCTGCAAGGAAGGAACCATTGAGTTCATGTAGCGTCACCACACTCCAATCAGTACTCGCACTCACCGCACCCGCACAATTGTGGCAGATCTTCACCAACTCCTCGTACACTAGCTCGACGCACCGCAGGGCCGGGGCCTCGAGCAGCTTGATCTGCGGCTTCACCAGCAGGTCGAAAGCGACTTCGGGGACGAACAGGCTGGGCCGTGGCCCGGTCGAGTTGCGGATGGCTGTCCGTATGTCCTGATCTTCGAGGTTGGCCGTGGAGTCGATAGAGGCGAGCGCGTGCCCGAAGACGTCATTGAATATGTAGTAGAGCCGCGCCCCGCCAGAGAGCTCTTTCGTGGATATGTCGGGGTTCGTGCCTTCGATCGAGGAGACGAAATCCCGCGCGAAGGTGGTCATCAACCGGAGAACGAGGGAACCTTGCTGCAAAAACGCAAAACGCGAAAGAGGGGAACGTCAGGGCTCCCGGTCCAATGAGAGAAGGATGTTGCCATACTTGATTCGAGTCTCCGAAGACCGCCGAATCTCCAAAGGAATTGAGTTCTTGTTGCGCTTGACCCATCAGGGTATTCAATCGCGCTTTCATGTCCGGTAACTTTTCGCGAATATGGTTCATCAAGACCTAGGAAAATAGAAACATCTTCTGTGAGCATCTCCCGTACATTCCATGTCCCGCTCGGACCACATGAAATGTGAAGGTCACCAGACATGCAGGCAAGTTCACAAGGACGTACATGGTTCAGGGTCTTGGCCAAGTACTTCGTTCCATTCTTATGCGCGATGTTCCTGTACGCAGGATGGGTCTTGAAGAACTCCTCCTCGCTCTCCCGTGCTTCAACAAGCTCCTTCCCGACATTAATGTCCTGTTGGCTCCGGTTCACAACGCCAATAAAGCCGAGCTTTAGCGGATAGACGCGGCCTGTGAGGATGTCGAGTGCGTTGGTACCGGCATCCATCAGGTCGAGTTTCGTGAGAACACCGATGGTTCGTCGTGCCTGAGGGTCCACAGAACGAGCGAGCTTCAAGGATTCAGAGTTGGCAAGGTCGACGTTGGCGGCAGAGACAGCGAGAATGATGCTATGACGGACGTGAGAAGAGCATATGCAGGTCTCTCCTGTAGAACGTACCAGTTCGGTTTCGAGATGTAGTCCAGGACCAAATTGCGAATCTGCTTCTCGATGTCGCTCGGTTGGTCTCCGACAGGGATCTGGACGCAGCATTGAGAACTGGTTCCGCAGGATAGATATCTCCTTTCTACTAACCTTCGTCAAGCCTGGTAGATCCACCAACGTCAAGTCTAACACGTTTGGGCTGTAAATCCTTAGGTTGATCGGCAACTTGCTGATACCCTTGTTCTGGCCGGCGACCCGAAACGTCTCCTGTTCGATCTCGCGCCGAATCTCGTTGAAGTCGGTGAAGCGCTTGTCGATATGCAAGAATTGGCCCCATTCCGTGAACCCGGTCGGCGCGTCGGATGCGGGCTGGTGGATGAGCTGCAGGACTAGCGGCCGGCGGGTCACGATACCGGAGCCGCGAGGCAGGAAGTCGCGACCGACGATGCTACAGGGAGAAAACGAGTTCAGTATAGTGGAAAGAGAACCGACAGAAGGACATCGTACGTCTCGAGCACGCTGGACTTGCCCGCAGATTGACTGCCGACCTACACCGATCCCGAACATATGCTTCAGTTTCAACGACAATGTGCACCGAGACCACCGCACGCACCACAGCCAACTGGGGCATGTCCAGCTCCCCTCCTGTCGTCCATAAATCAGCCGCGCATTCCCTGCGCATAAGTACGCTCTGACATACCGAGATTGCTGAACGTGTCTTGAAGCTTGTTCACGAGCTTAATCAAATCCTCGTCCATGGCGGGCGCGTATATCGTCTCAGAGTCAGATTAAGAGGTATATCGCAGCAGTCTCGTCCCGCAGACAGTTATGTAGAGCGCAGCGAGGCGGATGGGTGAGGCTGGCGCCGGAAGGACACGGACGAAGACGGTATCAATGGCGTTGAAAGGACTTTCGCGTCGCGACGGCTGGGTGCGCCGTGCGTCACAGGAGCCACAGACACGTGAAGCCGGACGCGTACGTTTTCTCGAGAATGGACATGCAATAGAATATTTTACTGGACAAAGCTCGGGAGTTACGGAAGGGACGTGAGGCCGGACCACGAGGCGCTACGATAGGGTGTCAGGCTCAGGGTTTCGCGCTGGAGAGACCCTGCATCTACAGCCTGCGGACGGGAGGGAGGGCGAGAAAGCCATAGCATTCCACTCGTCTGTCTACATCACGGCCACAGGCAAGACACGTCTAGATGGCCTTGCTCTTAACGAGCTCTGTAGAACGGCGTCAGACACGGAAGCACGAGCGAAACATGTTTGCAGCAAAGAACCTACGTTCGACCTCTGCGATCGCACCCGCGAGGATCTCCTTCTGCGTCTTCTCGTCCTGGATGCTCTTGAGCACGTTCTCGATGACGTTCTTCGCCAGGTCCGCCTGCTCGCTCTCCTTCTGCTGCTGCTCATACCGCACCCAGCTGTCGAGCACTGCCTTGACCTCCGCCGCGAGCGCGACCTTCTGGTTCTGCACGAACGCCTCGGACTCGAGCTTGGCGGTCTCCTGAGTATAGTAAAGTAGCCGCAACAATAATGATGAGTCGTGCAAACACGGATCTGCGGCACTCCAGACGTGCCTTGGAGAGCGCGAAAAGACCCTCGGTGATCGACACCACGTCCTTCATCTTCTCCACCGAGCCGATGCGGTCCTTCACGGCCTGCGTGTGCTCCGTGCGCGACGCCTCGAGCACGTCCTTGATGCGCTTGATGTGCCCCTCCGCCCAGTTCTTGTACGGCTCCTTCATGCTCCGCGCGATGAACGTCGCCAGGATCGCGAACCCGACCGCAAGCACCGTCTCCTCGTTGAGCACGTACAGCTCCTGCGAGATGGCGGTCGCGAGCAGGCCGGTGCCGAGCACGACCGAGCCCGTCTTGGTGACCAGGCCGGGCGACGAGGGCAGGTTGTTGATCAGCTCGGACGCCTTTTCGGCCGGAGGCTTGGTGGCCATCGTGCGGCTAATCATCAATGGTAAATCTTAGGTACATGTATGGCCTTGACCGGTAGACTGCATGTGCACGTACGCATGGATTGCGCCCGACACGGCGGGGACTACCCGGCGAGGAGCTGTGACAAGTCCCAGTCAACGTCGGTGGCTCCCTGAGGAGAGTCTAGTCGGTATACACACCAGCGGCGCGCGCGGCGCTGAGGGCTATTCTAGAGGCCATGAAGTGCTGGCGGACACAGTGAACGGTATGAGTGCGATATTTCCCGAAGTAGAGGAAGAGCTAGGGCAGGCTCGGCTCTAGCTCCGTGGGAAAGATAGCAGTCACGGTTCACGTAAGCACACAGCCCACATCAATGCTCGGTGCTGTTGTCTACGGGCCTGAACGAGGAAGCTCAGAAAGTCGCAGGCTCCTTAACCAGCCGCTCGTATCGCGTCGAACTCCCAAATCCTAGGGCGGTAGTCAATGTTGTAACAGAGTAATAGATCATGTGAACTCAGGGGTAAATAATCATGTGATATTTCCTTTTATATCCTGAGCTTGGGGGAGTACGACGCGATAGAGCGGCTGGCGGATCTCGTATTTCAAATTCTCGGCTTCGCTCGGCATACCCGCTCAAGAACGAGCATGAGGTTGGAAGAAAGTATGGTGGCTGTGCCACAAATCAAGCCCGTTGTGGGTGCTACTACTGGGGTCCTAACACGTCCACCAAAGCGGCGTATACTGACTGTGTCTCTAGCAGCACGTGTCAAGGAAGTTCCGAGGTCGTCGAAGTCCTCCTTGGGGATGTTCTGCGCCTTGCTGATCCGGAAGGAGAGCTCGTTCAGTGCGGAGAGGACCACGCTCGCGTCGAGCGAGGGCCCTGCGGAAGCGCTGGCTGCGGCCGAGGCGCACATTCTCAATGGGGGTGTTGGACGGGGAAGAACTTGCTGAGGCAGCGACGGAGTGTGGGCAATGTACCTATATAGGCTTGCGTGGAAATAACGATTGAACCACAATGACGAAGTGGTTATTGCGTAGTGTTTGAGCTCCTGTTTTTGCAGGAAGGCACAGGTTCGATCCCCGGCTGTTGCCTCCTGTTGTACATTTGTCCAGTGCTATACCTATAAACAAGGTCATATACAATTACGCTCCAAACAGCATCGATGCTGTGTTAGCTCAGCGGTTAGGCGTCTTTTACTATTGGTTTTGGTGGCAGTCCGCCTCGCGCGTTCGAGTCCGCGCATTGCATCTCTTTTTAACAACTGTTTCCTCCTGCTTCCCTCCTCACTTTTGCTCAGGCTGCTTGCTCTCGTACTTAGGGTGCTTACTCTGCTAAGGGAGTGATTTTTACTGTAATATGCATTGGACCGGCCTGAACTGTCGAAACTTCTTGCAATTAGGCTGCGGCGGGCCTCGGGGTCCTTGTGGCGGTGCTTTGTATGATGCCGGATTACGCTTTCGGAATAGGCGTGTTTCTTGAGCGGGTATGCCGAGCGAAGCCGAGAATTTGAAATACGAGATCCGCCAGCCGCTCTATCGCGTCGTACTCCCCCAAGCTCAGGATATAAAAGGAAATATCACATGATTATTTACCCCTGAGTTCACATGATCTATTACTCTGTTACAACATTGACTACCGCCCTAGGATTTGGGAGTTCGACGCGATACGAGCGGCTGGTTAAGGAGCCTGAGAAAGTCGGAACTGAAGCCAAGGGTCGTAATACATCTACTAATTTAAACAGAACTTGTTTCAGGACGTGTATGTTACACAGCGTCTAGGCTCCCCAACATGCTAAATCTCTTGCCCAAAAACATTGCACCGAGCTTGAACACAACCGAGTCGTCCACTTGCACGTCGGCAAGTATCCTCAGCACGTCGTCTATCGCAAGGCGAGGAGGCGAGCTCGTTCGTGACTGATCCACGAGCTTCTCAAGTTTCGACGGTATGTCGACAGTTGGTGCCCTACGATCGCCAGGTCAATTATCGTCACGGACAACTCGCCGGTGGGTCGAGTACCTTCGGACATCGACAGGATCTGCCAGCAGAAATCCAGCGTCCTCTTCGACCTTGACCTCGTGAGAGGGACTCCGAGGCACTGGAGAGTTTTGTCGTATGAAAAAGCGGCCACGTCTCCTGGCGCATATCCTCGTGTCGACCACGCTGACCACTTGAGTGACCTTCTGCCTGGTGTGCTTGCGCTTGCGCTTCCGCTCTGGCCTGGCATCCCGATCCTCGCGATGTCTCCAGCGCTCGTCGAGAGCAGGTGTCAATGTGGTCCTTTCCCCGTGCTCGCCAGCGTCATGTTGTCCCAGTCCGTGCAACTCCGATTTGATGTTAGCAAGATCGTATTCGACGGGGGCGGAACCGATCAGCGTGCTGCCAGACAAGTCCAGGCTGTTCGACACGTCAGTCCTTTCTCCTGGATTATGTTCCCTGCTCTGGTGCGTCCAAGTATCATTAGCCATGGCGGAGTTCGGTTGTACTGCGGTAGCTGAGCCAGTTCCAGGCCTTTGAGCTTGAGCGAAAGAGAGCTGATAGTCCGGCAAATAGCGGGGAAGAACCTCAGTGAACGGCGCACAAGCATCTACGTCGAAGCCGTCTGGGAAACAGTGGTCCGATGGATCGATAAAACGTGCACTGAGTCCAGATGAGCATACCATCTAGCACAAAGGGAGCCAAGCTAGTCGGAAGGCCATCGTCAAGTGATTTGAGGATCCAACCAGCGTGGAATATCTGAAGTATATGCGCCGTGTCAGCCAGCAACGATAAACTCCTCGTGAGTGCGTTTGATACCACGCGCGACGTAGCGGATAGTCTATGGTAGGCACAAATCAGAGCAAAGATAGGACAAAGTACCTGCTATCGGATATTTACGGCTCACTTTTCTAACCATGGATCTCTGGGACCGTTGCAGAAGTACCATTCCGCCGTACTTCGCTGCTCAGCAGTCAAAGCTATCGTGCCCCCGTGTTCGACTTGATAACGAATATCCGTAAACGCGAAGATATGCAACTGGCCCGCTTTCCCTACCCCATGTATGTTTGACGTATGCCGGAACCGAGGTACTGAAGCAGGCTGCATATATGCGTACCGTTTAAGGCCAGCGACATTCAAACAGTGCATCAGATTTTATACCCGAGTCACTGAACATCTTTATCTTGACGAAAAGCCACGAGCGTATTGCGCCGTGCAGCAGCGTGCAGAGAGCTGTGATCGAAGTCCGGTACGAAGAGGCGTCAAGGGTCTCCCTGCTTCCAACCACCGCCATGTCTGCCTCCGCAGGGCCCTCTACGTCGCGACCCGTACGACCTCAACCTGCTCAAGCGTCTGGAAAAGTATCGCGCTCCAACTCGGGCCAACAATCCGCATCCGCGATGGCCCAAATGCAGACCGTACGCGGACCGTTCCAGCGCGGGTAGCCCGCACCCACCGATACTTCGATAGGTTTCCGCCGCGATCCCTCGGGCGAACCGGTACAAAGAGAAGTACGCCAGCGTCTCTAAGACTCTAATCAACCTTCACGGGAATTCTTCTGACGACCCGCCTTTGGCGCAACGTTCAGATTCCATTCCCTCCGCGAGCGATACGACCAAGTGAACGCGGTACGTATATCATGCACCTCAATCACCTATTCGCCTTTAGCCCCCCCACCAAATCAGGAGAAGCTCACACCCACGTCCTCTCCCCATAGCAACATGAAACGTACGTCCGCGAGCTCGCGACCGCCGACGCCAAAATGAAGCGTCTCCAGGCCGAATGCGAGTGCGTGTGTGCTCTCGCTCCCCTTTGCTCCCGCCCGTTCGGAGCCGGCCGAGGCGACAATGAAGAGCTGATGTCACCTCCTGCTTCCCTTCCCGTCGTCTCCACAGGCTACTTTTGGACGCCGTCGCGCTCGCGGCCCCTGCGCAGCCCACGCTCATGCAGTACCTCCTGCCGCCCGACGAGGCGCTCAACGGGCACGGCCTCGAGCTCCACGCGGACGTCGAATACGGCGCTCCGCCCCCGAATGGCAGCGCTCCATTCATCCCGGATCCTGAAACCTACCCGCCGCAGCAGTATCTCCCGTGGTCGCGTCGAGACCACGCGCACCATTCGGACCCGTACTCGAACGGGCGTAACGGGGACACACACCCGGAAGATCGCGCACAGTACCAGACCGCGTCGGGTCAGGTGCGTGTGTCTGTCCTGGAAGCTTCGCGTTCTCGGCATGAGACTGATGCCTGTCGCAGATGACGCCAGACGGCGTGCACCCGCCGGGTCGTGAATCGAACGGTAGAGCGCCGTCACAAGACGACGTGCGTCGATAGCCCCGTCCACATCAAGTTCCTCCGTCGGAAAATCCCACTGTGCCCCGCCTGTCTCTCGTGCTCTTTGTATTGCCCCTGTAACCTAACTGGCGCCACTCATGCGCAATGGATCCATGTCAAGTTCGCGTCGCCCATCGACCCCATTCGGTCATGAATTGTCCATGGCTCAAATGCTGCCAAACTGTACACGACCGCAGGCTCCCACCCTTCGAGTATGTCATCGGACGTGCCATGGCACCGACAATACCCTTCTCAGAGCTCGAATTCGCGAACTGATCCTACGAAGTGCCTCGTGAGACATCACTGCGAGCATCCAACCACCTGCCCAAACGGGTCAATCGTCAACGATAGCGCGCGCGGGTCCCGCGATGCGGTCTCATCAACGCCCGCGCCATCAGCTTCGGATTTCCTCTCCCAACGAGGGACTTGGCACGCGTCCGATATTTGAATGGCAGAACCCGGACATAAGTTTTTTTTTCTCTCTGCAGAATGATAGCGGTACATGCTCGAGGAAGAGGTCTACGTCGTACGGAAACTTGATGGCAGGTTTTTAGGCGCGCACGCACAGCTGCCCACCCGAGAATAACGTCGGAGTGCCTACGAAAGCAGATGCGATGCGCGCGGTTGTGGTATATGTACGCGGGATCCGTCGACGAATACAGCGAGCTTGAGAGAGGGTCGAGAGGTTCTTTGAGTTTGCGATAACTCGGTGCGGATCTTGTGGGTGCGTGGCGTGGGCCAGTAAACGACAGATTGAAGGGGATTGGACGGATGAGAGAGTATATGGACAGCTATGAAGAACAAAGCGCGACAATGGACGCATGAACACAAATGATGAGGTGTAACTAATCCAATGGCGAAAGCAGGTAGCAGTTATACATGGGGGGGCAGAAACACAGGAGAAAAGTTGATGGCGACGCATCCTCTAGATCGAGAACGAACGACGAAAAGTGGGTGGTATGGAGAGAGAGAGAGAGAGCAACAAGCACTGAAACAGGATTCCAAGAGACGATGGGCACGAACCGAAGCGAACAGGAGAATGGCCACGAAACGACAGTGATTGTCCAAAGGAAGGGGAGCGTTATGGCTGGGTGAGGACCGAGACGATAACGAAACGAGGCGAAAAGGGGCTGATCGATACAAGAGGTTGGGCAGGGAGTCCCATGAACGTAGCAGAGGGGAGAAGGATGAAACCATGAAATATAGTTTTCAGCGTCGGCCGAGGGAGCAAGCGGCGGCCTATATCCCGCCTTCGCATCCTCATTGGCCCTTGGACGCAGCAGAGATGGACATCACGCCCGACCCCGTCCCGCTCGCGGGCACCCTCGGCGCCAGCGTCGGCAGCGCGATATCGTCGCGGCGGCCCGCGACCCTCACAGGCGCGAGCCCGCTCCCGCTCCTCGGCCGCGCGTCCTGGCCCCAGCCCGCGCCGAGCGCGTACCCGAGCGGCGCCGAGTCGCTCCTGGCGCGCGACAGCGTCTTCTTCAGCGCCATCTCCCCCGGGCCCGCGACGGGCGAGTTGCCCGTGCGCTGGCGCTTCGCGCCGCCGTGGCGGCCGTCGGCCATCTCTCCCGGCGAGGACGTGGCCGAGTACGGGTCGAGGGGGCCCGGGGACGGCGGGAGCGACGTCGACAACGCGCCGGCGGCTTCGTACCGCGCGCTCGAGACCGATCCTTGCGTGTACGACGGCGGCGCGGCGTCCGGGCCGTACTGAAGATGCTGGAAGCTGTGGTGCCGCGAGAGCGAGTGGTGGTGCGGGTGCGGGTGCGGGTGCGGGTGCGGGTGCTGGTGGTACTGCTGCCCTTGGCCGGGCGGGGGGAACTCGGTCGAGGTCGGGCTCCCGTTCGGGCTAGCCCCTGACGATTGCATCGGGTGCATGGAGGGGTTAGTGAGGACGGGCAGTGCCGGCGGGTGGAAGTGGGCCGCGTGCGGGGTGGCCGTCGAGCCGAAGGGGTTCATCATGAGATCCGCACTGCTGGGGTCCACGAGGTCTGACGGGAACGGCATGGGCACTGGCGGAGGGAAAGGACGCGGGTCAGTATGACATGCAAGCGCAGTGGTCTCTGGAGTAGCGGCAACTTACTCTGGCCTGGCATGGCCTTCGCCATCATATCGTACAACGTTTTCGTAACGTGCGCCAGCCGCTCGACCTTGGCCTTCTCCGCGTTGAGCGCGTTCGCCACGCGCCTGTTTTCGTCGCGCATCTGCGCCAGCTGGGCGGCGACCTCGCCCGGCAGCTCGACGCGCTGTTTGATGGACGGGTCGGGATCGAGCGCCTTGCGCTTGATCTCGTCCAGCAGGTCCGGGCGCCCCCTGAGGAACTTGTTGTGCGAGAACTCCCACGTCTGGGCGTCCGTCGACGTGCGTTGTGCACGCGGTGTCTGCGGGAAAGAACACACACGCACACAGAGTTGGCGTCAGGGGCGGAACCTTAGCTAAACTGGGACTGAACGCCCCGTGGGGGGCCTTACCCGATTGATCTTGTGGAACCCGTACATGTTCAATTGCCGCACAAAGCTCGAGAACTGGTGCGCGTACCCATGTCAGTTCCAAAGTCAAGAAGAAGGGGAAACAGCGGGAAGCGACCCAAAGAGAAAGAAAAGGCTTACGTTGTTGTGCTTGAAATGGGAGCCCAGTATGCTCCGGCTGAATTCGCCAACATTGGATACAACGAAGCTGGCGACGGAGTCCGCTCAGCCCGAGCACGAATCACAAAGGACGGCGGCAGAGCGCCAAAGGGGGCAGACAGACCTGGTGCCGAGATCCGTCCATTGAATAAAGTTTGCCGACTTTGGGTCGTTGATCATCCTAGCGCCACCGGGTTCAGAAAACCAGATTCCTCCTTTCGTCGGACGCAGCACCGCCACTCACTGGTAAAGCTTGGTGACGAAGTTGTTCGTCCCCGCAGGTTTTCCGAAGATGTTGATGCTGCCGGGCGGTATGCCCGACTGCGAGCCGGAGGCGCCAGAGGCGCCGTCGAAGCCCTTGACGTGGTCTTCCTGTTCGCCGCTGCTGTGCTCGTCCACCGGGCTCGCGTCCATGTGGGGGTACCCACCCATCTCCGCCTCGTCGTACGAGCCCGAACCGTTGATGTCCATCATCGTCGCCGGGTTGTCGTACTCCTCCATGGGGCTGAGGTTGGGCCCGCTGTTGTGGGTGAAGCTCCGTTTCTTCGGGATGGACGACGACTTGTCGGAGCTGCTGGCGGACGAGCGTCCGCTGGACTCGAGGCGCCGGCCGTGCACGTCGTATTGCGGTTGCGGGTCGTCCCCATGAGTGAACGTGAACTGCGGGGGAATCGGCTGATGGTGGGCCCCGAACGGGTGCTGCGCCGGGCTGATGGGCGTGATGGGGGACATGGTGCTCGCGCTGGAGGGGAGCGCGGAGGGGTGGACGGGGGACACGTTGTTGCTCGAGGACGCGTTGACGGAGAGGCCGGACATGTTCAGCGAGAGCGGGCCTGGGCCGTCTTGTGTGCTGCTAGTGGTAGCGCCCGGCGGGGGTTGGTACCATGGCGGGTACTGGTTGGGTTCGCTCAGCGTGGAGGAGGGGGAGACGGGTGACGGGAACGAAGACTGGTTCGCGACGGGGACCTGGAGGTGCAGCGCCGGCGTCCACTGCTGCGGCTTGGACGACGAGGGGGCGTAGTGGACGTCGCCTGAAGACATGGTCGGAGGCAGAGCGTCGGAGGGGGGTTGGGCCGAGGTGGATTCCGGACGGGTCGGAGGAAGGAGGGAGGCCGGGATATACTGCTCAGCACCGCGGTGGGCGCTGGAAGGCTGTGGGCGGCGTCTCGGGTGGTTTTAGCGGCTGATGGGCTCGGGCGGGGGTGGTAGTCTAGTGTCGCATGTATGTCGAGCGAGGTTGCAATGATGGAAGGTAAGGAGCGGAAGGCGGTTACGAGCGTTTGAGCGGCGCTGGTCCTCGTTGGTCGCAAGTGAGCGAAGTCTGGATCTCCGATCAGGCTCGAAACGGTGCGGCGAACACGAGCCCTCTCGGCGAAATGAACGACGAACGACGGACAACTGAGAACGCGCCGCGCTCTGTGAATTCAGCTCAAGTGCGCAGCGCCGGGGATGGATGGACGGTAGTAGAAAGAAAGTGGCGAAATATCCCTTTCCCCCTCCCCGAATCAGCCGTTGCGACGCATCCGCCCCCTGCCATCGCCATTTTACCTTTTTGCCATATGCGGACGCCCCCGGACAGCCACCGCGAATGGGAACAAGCTCTGCCTCGCTATCCTCGTCCCCTCCATCATCCTGATCATCACCGCACGCCCCGGGCGAACAGGTGGTCTCAACGCGCAGCTCATCACCCATGCAAAAGGGTCGTCGCATGCCGCACCGTATCCGTATCGCACCCAAGTCCCCTTCGAGCCCCATCGCCGTTTCGCGCCAGTTGCGTACGAGGCACAAGGAGATTCGGAGCCTTCGGCAATGATAACAGAGCCCAGGATAACATCTCGGCGCGAACCCGAACCTTGATGTTGGGTGTCCCAGCCTCGCGCGCAGCGTGGGCTCTCATCCCCACATCTCCTTCTTTCCCCCTTGAACCAGTCCGTACCCACCGGCTCGCGGTCGTGCCCGTAGCCGGAGCCGGGACACGCGACCGGCCCGACCGGTACGTCCGCTCGTCTCGTCGGTTTGGGGGGGGGTGCGAATTGCCACACCCAAATTCCTACCCTGGGGCCTGCTTTTTGTGTGCGACGGGGACGGAGAACGAGAGCGCCACGAGCAGTCAGTACACGTACGCCGCCCCCGTCCTGCACTTCCTCGCGCGGTCAAGCGCACCCGTAGGGGTGTGCAGTCCGACCCGGCCTCCAATTACATCCCATATCATGCTCTGAGCTCATACGCCGTCTTAGTAAATGCAAATGGTACCCCTTCCTCGTGTTCGACCGGCTGGTCTCGTGCAGGACTCCTCGAGACCCTCCGGCGGCAAGGATATACCACCCGAGCGACATTGCTTCTGATCTGTATTCGTCATGCCAAAGGGGGGCCATGAAGCCGCATGTCATGGTCGTGCAGTGGGTCATGGCCACACCTTCGATCTCATAGCGACCCCGCTGACCCGTGACGGTCAGGAGAACTGTACGGTAGTCAGTATAGTACTACATAGTGTCCCGATCACGCACGATGTACCCGTTCTTATCACTCGTACCTACCAAAAAGCTGGTAACATAAATCCGAGATTGTCACCCTCCGTAATCGCGTGGGCACTCGCCGCAGTCGCGCCGTACGTAACAAGGTTGCGGTCAATCGCACTCGAAAGAAGGATATTGCAATAATCGGTTCGAACCCTCATCGCTATTGTGATTTCGATGGCAAAGCGGCCGAGAGCGGTTCCGAGTGGGGGGTGTCTTCGAGGTTCGAACGACAGCGACCCGCTGACCGGGTCCAATATTACTATATTCGCGTCCCAGCGCGAGTCGTGCTCGCGATGTACGGTCGATATGACTTTTTTTCCTTTGATGTCAAGACTCGCGGTGGGGACAATCGATCCTCTTCCGGTCACAGAGAGTCCCAGCTGATCATATGCCGTTCGAGGCCGTCATCCACAAGATCTAGCGAGAGATAAGGAAGGATCAGAGTTTCACGAAAACCGTCGAGCTGCTTGGCACGCTGTCGACTGCACGAGTGGCGTACGTGCAGCGCAGCAACCGGCTGTTCCGCTACCGGGACCTCGTCGGCAATCTACCTACCTACCTACCTAAGCAACAAAGCCCAAGCCAGAGGACGAGAACATGATACGCAGTGATCATGACACGTGGGTACGTCCAAGCTGCAGTCGTCGTCCGCAAATCGGCATTTGGAACATCAACGCGACAGCTTATACAACCGGTAAGAAACGGTCATACGGAAAAACTCCCCGCGTCAAGAGGTTATGTTCGGCGTTATCGTCGTCGTCAACCACGAACACGACAAGATCCCCATACTAACCCATGGTCGGCGCTCACATGAATTGTCAAGCCGAACATCCTTACGCAAGGTCGCCTGGCCATGTATAATCCAGCTACAGAGAACTCAGAGAAACAGCAAGATACTGCAAGGACGCATATGTTTATGGATATCCATCCAAGCTTCGCGTTCTTGCCCCTGGCCTCAAACACGCTAAACCACCTACCTATACTTGACTGGGCAGTGAGAGCGTTGATGTTTACATAGCCATCTGCCGCATGCGTGTAAGCCCATCGTTCACGATTTGGGACGCGCACGAGCATCCAGGACAGACGTCGGTACGTACGCTTGCCCAACGATGCGCCCGAAGAGGAAGAGAGAGCGTCCGGGGGGCCCAGGCTCAGTGCTCAGCGCTCAGCGACGATCAAGCCCGCGAACGCCGGTCGTCGAGAGACAGAGAGACAGGGACGTCGGCCGTGTTAACGCTGGTCGCTACACCAGTCGCGAGTCAGCGGCCCGGAGGCGCGCGAGGTTCCCCCGACGCGGGTTCGGGAGGGGGATTGGGCTCCTTCCCGCGCACTAAGCCTCGAACCCGCACGTTGTCGTCATACTGCTACTCGCAGACACCCGTAGAATTTTGCCGAGACGTGGAAAGGCAGAGCGAAGTTGGAGCCAGGATGCTGCTTGAGAATACACTCGAACAACGTAAGTGGTGCCCAGGGGTGCTCAGACGCCCCGCAGGCTCGTTCGAAAGGCCCGAGCACGCTGAAACGGGTACAAAAAAAATGCGCGGCAGCGGGTTGAGCCCATCGGACCATCGCGTCGCACGTGCACGTACATCCGTCGCTCTCGGCGCCATCGTATGTACGTGCGCACATACATCCCCATATGCATACACCAGTTTTCACGAACGCCGGTGGAGATTATTAACGCAGTCGCTGGCTAAAAACAAAACGGCGCGGCGTCCCCAGGCGATTCAGCGTCCAAATCCGGCCGAGCGTTCAACGGACACGCAAAGGTTCCGGTGCGTCCGCAGTACGTTCAGTGGATGCGGCGATGCGAAGGCGCCCGTCTCCGAGTATGTGCGGTGGGATGCGGTGCCCCAAGGAGGGTAGACGGATACCCACAGATCCGCTACCACGTAACGGTCTGACTCTTGAGGCGCCGGCCCAGCCGCCACACCCGTCGTCCTGGCGTATGGATGTATCCTGTAACGAGACGCGGCACAGCCAGAGCGCGCCAGCCATCACCCGGCGTGATGAAGGTGACACATCCCGAACGGAAGGTTAGCCTTTCGTATCCTTTCTTATCGGAAACGGAGTCTTCGGAGGCGTCCGAGCTGATATCGGCGTGCTCTCTCTCGGCCGCGGGATTCCAAAAACATCTCGTTATCGAAGGGCATGCACGTAAGCATAGGTAAAACGTCGATGGCTGGAGACAGCTCTCCATTCGCATCGCATCTCAAGACGGCAGGTCACCATGCGAATCTCAAAACCTCTGCGCCGCTGGCAGATCGTCCACATTCAGCCAGTCGACGCCTTCATCCAGCAGCATCTGCCAAACGGTGTTTCTGGAGAAAAACCAACCATACCGTCAGACACCTCTCCGCGAAAACGGTACCACAATGGGTGGCGATGAAGAAAGGGTAAACCGGGCGCGAGCGACCCACCTGCCAGCGACCTTCAACGTCGGCGTGTGCCAGAACCTGGCCTGTATCCCCCGCTCGTGCGCGGCGTCGACGAGCGTTTTTATCTTTCGCCGCCCGATCAGCGGCACCGTCCAGCTCGCGCCGACGCTCTTCTGGAAATCGGAGCTCGCGAGCGGGCACACCGTCTTGTCCAGCACCCCGAGGCTGTCGTCCGGGATCAGGTCCAGCACGGCGTCGAGGAAGATCGTGCGCGGTCTTTCTTTGGTTTGCCCGAGGGACTGGACGGAGGCGAGCGGGGTGTTGCCGGTGCCGATGACGGTGATCGGGCCCGGGGTGAGGGAGGAGGAGGGGGTGGTCCAGGTGGAGAGGTAGCCCGCGGCGCGGAGGGGTTCGAGGACTTCGTATAGCTTGTTAAAGGTGCTGGATGCGGAAGGCGACTGAGTTTTGCGATGTGAGAGGAGACGTTAGTGGCGCACCTGGGGCCATCCGTCTTGATGTCGATCAGGAGGTGAAGGCTCAACGACGGCGCAGTCTCGAAAACCCCTCTATCAGACGTTCGTAAGGGAGGTATATGCTATATGGAGAGGTGGTAGGACCTGCCTCCAGGCGGATCCGGTGTGCTTATCCGGCGCGTTCGCGGCCTCGAGTATGGCGACGAGCGGGTCGAGGTAGAGGGAATTGAGCGTCTTGCCCGGCGTGATGTCCGAGTAGTCATGCGCGATCTGGGCACCGCAACTGAGCAAACGTTCCCAAAACGAATAACGCGAACGAGACGGAAACGCACGTATAGCTCGTCGTCCACCAGCCATATATCCGCCTCGATGCTCGCCGCCCCGTAGCTGAGCGCTTTTAACAAGGGCACGCTCTGCACATCTGCGTGTTTCTTCCCACTATCACTCGCAATTCACTTTGAAAGGAGTGCGATGACGAGCCACGTACAGTCGTTGTGCGAATGAAAGCGCTTGGGCACGACGCCCGCCGTCAGCGGCACCGTATACGAGCGCAACGGACTGTCCGCCGGCGCAAGCTGAAACAGCAGCTCGTTCGAGGCCGAGTGCGAGCTTCCGGCGGGCACGAGGGACTTCAGGCCCCGGATGCCGACGTACGCGATGGGCAGCCAGGGTAGAAGGGGGAAGAAGAGCGCTGTGAGCGTTCGGTGCAGTTTCCGGATCCACATCGAGATCGCGACCGTGGCGGACATCATGGCGGCCGGCGATCCCGCAGAGGTTTTTCAATGGATCCCGACTTCCGAGTAGCGGTCGTCGCGACGGTCAAGGACGGCGAGCGCAGGGTGGCTGTAGAAGGTCCTGGTGGGGGAGCCTAAACGCACGTTTCATTGTGGCGGAGACGGCGCCCAACGGCCTCGAAAGGGAAGTGACGCACGGCTGGACCCTCAGCTTGCTACTTTCACACGCTCTCACTAACTACACCGAAGTCGCAGTCGATGCCAAGCCACGCCGCGCATTACACAGCGCAGCTTTCAGCCACCACGGCTCGAAGTATATATCTCTGACTCCTTGCTTCCCAATCTGATGTCCATGACCATGCGGTACCACAATATGACGCTCTATCTCTCGAGGGAGTCTTCTCGGCAAACTGCTTTTACCCTTGCCCGTAGCACCGCGCCTCCGTGATCGGGCAGAGGCGTTCCCGACTCGGACGACTGCCCACCCCGAAGCCGCACAATCGATGAAACAGCACCTCAAGACCACGATCTCAGCTCTGGCCAACGGCGCTATATCACCCGCCGAGGCGGTGACCGCCGTCGTCTCCACCGGATTAGCCCGCGTCGCGACGCAATCCAGCGACTCAGTTGGCTGCGAAGGCGACACCCCCGGCGCGGAGTCCTTCTTCTGGACGCTCTGGGCCGCGGTCCTGGATGCGGTCAGAGAAGGCTCGGTTGACGATGAGGCCTCGCGGGCACGGGTCGATCGAGCCGTCGCCTTCGTCGCAGCTATGAAGGCGCTCCCGCCTGACGACGGCTCGCCCAAGTGGACGCTCTGGGGCGAGGCGCAGACATGGCGCGACCTGCCGTTGCTGGGCCCCACCGTTCGCGAGAACTACAACGGTGAGCAGAAAAAACAAAAAAAAAAACAAAAAAACGACATTCAGCCGCACAACCGCCCCCCCCCCTACTCCGCGGTCCTATCCACGGTCCTGATGCCCAAAAACTCCCTGATTTTAGGCCCGTTCCAGAACAGGCTGAGAGACGCCAACGCGCTGTACATCTCGGAAGAAGGACAGGCCGCCATCGCACGGGCCCACCCAACGATCGGGGCGGATGGTGCACCGAACGGCGACCTGGCCGACGTCCAGCGGTCCTGCGAAGCCTGGCTGCTGCTCAACCTCTTCCTCGCTCGGCTATGGCGCGCGGGCGCCGTCGACTGGGCGGCGCTCTACGCGCTCTGGGCGCTGCGTTCCGGGCTGGAAGACGCCCCGTCGCCCCTGCCCCGCCCCTCCGCCTCCCCCGTCGACGCGTACGTCTCGCTCGCGGTCGAGGTCGCGTCGCTCTGGCTGCAGCACGCCGCCCCGCTCGTTTACCGGTGCACGGACGTCTGGGGCCCGAACGGCCGCGCGGACTGGCCCGGGAACCGCGGGGCGCCCGGGCGCGGCGGGAGGCGGTGGACCGGCGTGGACGGGTTCGATGCGGAGCACGCGAGGTGGGCGCTGTGGAAGAGCGTGCTGCGAGAGGTGGCGCGGTGGTGCGAACAGGTGGAGGGGGAGGGACGTATGAAGGGTTGGAAGATCGGGCAGGCGACGGAGAAGGCTCTCGAGGCGATGGAGGCCGCTGAGCACAATGCAGACGTGTGATGTCTGTAGAACATTCACGGCGATGATGTATACCTTGTTGCGACTACCTCGATGACCCCGTGCCCTCTATCAACTTGATTGGCACGTACTCGAGACTGGGTGTTCTCTTTGTATGCTCATGATTTCCAAGCGGAAGCAGGGATCATGTCGCGGGGCTTTGTCACTCTCTGTGGAATTGAGGTTGTATTGCTTTACGAAAGGCAATGACTGGACCGGTCGCGTAGCCCAGCTTGACCCAGCTTCTGGGACGGGATGAATCGGATGCGGTTCGAACCCCGCTCAGACCGGTTCCTATTTTTTTTCGCATTCGTCCACTTTGAAGCACTTGTACGGTGCCCGTAAGTCTGCAGTCAACAAGTGTCAAATTGCCTGCCCTCAGGCAAGCTTCGTAGCCCCATCATGCGCACGCCCGGAACCCCTCAAGCACGCGGACAGGACTGGCTCCTCTATCCCCCCAGGGTTGCATTCCCTTGGCGTCTGGAAGATCGTACCCTCCTACCCCGTGTTCCGTGTCGTTACCTCGACATTGAGCTCAACGTGCTGGGTGAGTGCTTCCTAGGTGATGAGAGAGACCTTCACTTTGCATGCATTCGCTGCCTGCAAATCAGTCAAGGATGTATGCGATGCTCTGAGGAAGAAAGGAATTGGACCGGTGGCATAGCTAAACCGTAGATGTGGCGCAGAACTGCGCCCACATCCACTCCTACCTTCTCTGCAATGCGATTCGTTTGAAACGTAGTCAGACCGGTTCCATCCTTTTCGCGCTTTTTCGCCGTTGGACTGTATGTTAAGACGGAAACCACTCAAGTATTACATGCACCACGTCAACTTTTGAACGGCGCTCAACGTTATATTCCGTAATATATACAACGCCAAAGCGCCTGCCCTCAGGCAAACCGCGTGGTTTCCCATTCGGTAAAGTCTCGCGTCGACCGCAACACGGCGTCCCACTTGTCAGTACTGGCTATTGAACTCCTCGAGCAACTTCCTCAATCATGGCTGCACCTATCCACATATCGACTCCCAAAGGCGTGATACCAGAATGCTCGCCCAACCTCATGCCGTTCAATATCAACTTCACCGGCCCGGCCCCGATATCGACGTACTTCCGCCCCAGACCGTCCACCTCCCAACTCCCCTGCGCGTCGTCGTCGTCTTCAGCTTCTTCAACACAGTCTCCTCCGCAGCGAGCGGACACGCAGGCGCAACCACCACCGGACACGGACGAAGCGCCGATACCTCTCGCGTCCGGAATCGTCAACCCTCAGGGTATCACAAAGAAAGAGCGCCCGCGCTACACGGCCGCGTTCCGCGGTCGAGCAGTCCAAGGGGTCAAGGTCGAACTTCCTCCAGGATACGCCGGTCTCGTCCTCAAAGAGCCCTCCGCGCGTGCCACTCCATCGACGTCCAAGGACACGGCCGCGACGAAGAAGCGGACGCCAACAGCGCGTCGACGTCCCGCGCGACGAGCGAGCGCGATGGATCTCGACGAGGACGTCATCGACGTGGACTCCGAGAACGCCACAGCAGAAGAAGGCGCCGGGTCCGTGCCCCCCAAGGTACTCGCACCAAGCGCACAGTTCTCGTCGTTCGTGCTGTGGAATCCGGACATCCAGGTGGACGAAGGGCAGGACGAGTACCTGCGGAGCTTAGGAGAGTGGATAAAGCTCGCTCACGAGGTCAGTACCCACCGACGTTTGAGAGCGCTGTTTCTGAAACGTTGCTCGTGTAGATACATCACTACGAGGATGAGTAGCATAGAACTACCCTACGACACCACCTGTAGACATTGGATAGCGCTTCCCTGCCCGTGGTAGCATGGAAGAAGCGGGATTTTGAACGACAGTCCTTGGTATATATCAATGCAGTGGCCCAGTACGAATCAATGCCCCTTTACTCTTGTCCTTCGAGTTGCACGTAGTTCGCTGGCACCGCATGTATCAGCGATCACATTCCTCCGCAAAAGAGCCCAATTCGTGCATACCTGGGAACAGCCCAACCTCGCCTCGCGAGTTCCTTCCCTGCCACCAGTCGTCCGACGCAGCTTCGATCTCCGTGATGCGCTCGCCCTCCGTGAACGACAGCTCATTGTCTTCGGCTGCCTCGTAGCTGAGCGGGCGGGCCAATCAGGCATGGACAACGAGTACAAACGCGACGGGGACTCACTCGTACAAAGCGATCGCGGTCGCTCCCTCGTCAGCCGCGGGCTCGGGCTCGGGCTCCGGAGCGGGAGGCGCCGGAGGAGCAGCAGGAGCAGCCGGGGCAGGCGGCTACATCCATATCGTCAGTCAACAAAGGCGTCACGTCTATGACGCTGGAAATCGGCGTACCGGAGGTGGCGGAGGTGGAGGTGGAGGCGGCGGCGGCGGAGCAGCGGCCTCTGGCTCCGGCTCGGGTTCCGTCTCGATGACCTCCACATAATTGGCGGGGAACATGCCCGCCTTGGAGCCGTCCGCACCAATGCCGGACCACCAGCCCTCGTCGAGCTGCTCGATCTGTTCGATGACTTCGCCTTCGACCAGGTTCATCTCGTTCTCTTCCGTTGCCTAGAATCATGCGAGACGTCATATGAGGGGCACGAGGGTCGACTCTTGGGGGGCTGACCTCGTAGTCGTACAGCACTACGGCACAGAGACCTTGGCCCTTGTGGGCGGATGGAGCAGGAGGCGGGGCAGGCGCTGGTTCTGGCTCGGGTTCTGGTTCAACGCTGAGAGCTGCCATCTGTACCACCGGCGGAGGCGGTGGTGGCGGTGGTGGCTGGGGGGTGGATGAGCACTCCGGCCAATTCACCGACATGATTCAGAACATACAGGAGGCGGTGGCGGGGGAGCAGCTGCCTCGGGTTCAGGCTCCGGTTCCGGCTCTGAGCGATTGTCACGCGAAGGCATCGGAGGCGCCGGCGGGGCAGGCGGTGCCGGGGGCGCAGGGGGCGGCGCGGACTGCAAAGGAAGCGGTCAGGTATACGTCGCAATAACAACCAAAATCGCGTTACAGGCTCCGCCGTGCTCTCGTCCCAATCCTCGTCCGCCTCTTCCTCTTCCTTTTCGAGCATCATCTTGCCCACCGCGCCGACGGTCGCGCCGCCCACGACCGCCGCGCCGGCGACCTTGCTCGTGTCGAGCCCCGCACGCGCCGCGGTAACGTTCGTCGCCGCTCCGGGCACGACGCCGGCTCCCAGCCTGGTCGCGGCCGACCCGGGCGTGCTGACGGGGGCCGCGGGCGCCTTCCAGCCCGCCGCACGGCTGCGCGCCTCGTCCTCCTCCGCGCGCTGCTTCGCGAGCGCCTGGCGCTCGCTCCACGACAGCCCCGTCTTCTTGGATGCGGGGGCGGCGGGGGCAGCTGGCTGCTGCTGCTGTTGCTGTTGCATGGCCTCGAACGGGTTCTTGAGTTTCTTCGGCGCGGGGAGCGAGACGGGCGTGTAGGCGGTTCCGACGGGGGCGATTCGGTCATCTTCCGCGGGCTTAGTCGGCACGTTTGAGGAGGCGGTCGGCGCAGGGGCGGATGGCACGGGTCTGGTTGAGGCCTGTCAGACGCCGGAGGTTGTGAGCTGAACCGAAAGGGCTGGAAGCTATGCTCGTGAAACATACCGCAGGTGTTGGGCGCGGGGCGCTAGGGATGGAAGGCGGAGGCGCGGGCGCGGCGGGTTTCTCCTCGGGCCAGGCGTCGCTTGGGGCAGGGCCGGGGCGGGCAAAACCTGCGGCGGGCCTCGGAGCAGACGGGATGGCGGGCGGCTTGGATGGGGCCGTCGGAGTGGTGACGGGCGTGGTCTTGCGCAGCGCGTTCATGTCGACCTTTCCCACCGGGGTGTAGCTCGTGCCGACGGGCGTTATCGGCTCGTACGCCCGGGGCTTCTCCTTCTGAACGGAGTATTTGGCACCGGACGCGGCCTCGACGCGCTTCATGATCACATCTGGAGCGACGTCGGACTGAGTGAAGGTTAGCGGTAAAGTGACAGTGCGGGTTGGGATGGACGGTTACCTCGTTGCGAGCGGAGATCACTACGTGAGCACCACGAAGGAAGTTGGCTACGGCGGACGAGTGGGTGTGGAACAGGCCTTTCCTTGCGACGGGAACGCCATCGCCGCACCAGTTGATCTGCACGAACTTGGGCAACTGGCTCTGCATTGCGTATATCGGTCAGTCATGGACATGATCAGACCCGTGTTGGACTGGGACATACATTGGGATCCTTGACGCGAACGAAGGCATACTGCATTCTAAGCATCGCAGTCAGTTCGTCGTCGAGTTTTGTGTCTATCCTCGGCTGTCACACACCTTCCATCGGAGAATTCGTCTTGTAGTTCCTCCAGCCCTCCATCGCCCGTCGATTGCACCTTCAGATCATTGGAGCCTCTCTCGTACGTGAACAAGCACCAGTCGATGTTGCGCGCGTTGAGGACATCCTGGTAAGCGGTGTATAACTCTTTGCTGGACAGGTTCACCTGCAAAGACATGGTGGTCCGAGACGACCCGGGTTGAAGGTCCGCAAGTGTCGAGAGTGCGGTGATGGCGGCTGCGGCGCTTTCGTGACGCCATGGGCGTTTGCCGAGCCACAGGCTTTGGTTTTTACATACGATCGTCGTCGTCGTCGACGCCGCCGTGCCTAACTATCACTAGGATATGTTTCAGGCACATATAGGCAACCGCGACGACCAAGTTCGTAGAAAGGACGCGCAGGATTGATATGTTATGCACATGTAAATCGAGACCTAGTTTCCACTGCAGCGCAATCATGAACGGTGTCCCTACGCCGACAGGTAATCGTCCAGACACTCGATAACGACCTGATGGTCCTCGTTCTGCGCGAGACCGCTCACGACGACCACCCCGACGACACCCTCCACGCCCTTTACCCTGATCGGCACCCCGCCGCCATGGATCGCGTACTCTCCCGCCCTTTCCCCCAATCCGTACTTACGCGCGAACGCGTCCTCGTCGCCCTTGAACTTGTTGTGCATGTACCACGTGCTGCACCCGAAGCGCAGGACCGTGTTGCGCTTCCGCGCGACCCAGTGGTCGTTGTCCGGCGCCGTGCCCGGGTGGGTCGCGCAGTGGAAGAGCAGATGCGAGCCGTTGGCGGTCGCGATCGAGATGACCACCGGCGTCTGCGTCGCCTTAACCAGCCGTTCCCGTAAAAGAACGCCGATCTCCCATGCGGTATCGGCGGTGAAGGACGGAAGCGTCACTCGTTGTTCTTGCGACGCTATATCACTAGGCTGCCGTGGTCACTGTTGAGCGCGCATCGGCGCGCAGTGCAATGGAATGACTTACTTCCGTTGGAGCTTCAGCTTTCGTGACGGAGGGCGCCATGATGGTATAACGTAGGGACGCAACTCGTCAGATGTGGTAATCAGTCTAATCAGTCAGGTGTGGTAATCAGTCTGAGTGCTCGGCAGCCGGATAAACCGATGTCGCGGGTTGCAATACGTCGTAGGTGCCAGCTCACTAGTCTTGGTAGTTAGATTCAGAGCCAACACCAGGAAAACGCAGATGCGGCTCTCATGCAACAGCGAAGCAAATCGAAAGCAGCAAATTTGTTAGCAGGCGCAGCGACAGGTACTGGTTTTACACGGCGGCCCTCCGCCTCGTCAGCGGCTTGCTCCTCTTCCGCTTCTTCCCCTGCGCGAACGCGTTCGCAGTTTTCAGATCTCGGCCGAGCGCGTCCTCCTTCTTCACCTCGTAGATGCGCACGATCCAGTTTTCCGAGGTGAAAGCCTCCTCTGCAAACCGACGAAGGTCAGGAGACGTTCGCGCACATATGGAGCGCTCGATCACTTACGGAGGTAGTCAAGAGTGGGTCCGTCGCGCGGCATTTGCTGCTGGCGAACACGGTCGACCGCCTGCGCTCCGCCAAACAGCTCGGAGAAGCTAAAGCATAAGAGAGAAAACACCACGCTCAGCGTCACGCGAGCGAGTCAGATTCGGACGCCCACTGACCGGTAGTACGACATCTTGTACATCAAGCTGTCCTTCATCGTCTGCGATGCCCGGTCGTCGACGCGGTACTCGCCCTGCGGCGTAAAGTAGTTCGGCTCCTGGATCTCGTCCGGCCAGACGCCCTGCGCGATGCGGACCATCCACAAGAACTTGTTGATATCGTCGCCGGAGTAACCGAGCAAACCGCCGAAGATCACGAGGACGTAGTCGACGTCGTGCTTCCGCAGGATGGGGTACGCCACCTCCTCGCTGCTGGACATCGCCTTTCCGACGGTGGCGATGTGAGCTGGACAAGGGCGAAACACGTCAATCTCCCATGCGCGCGAGGGTAGGGTACGGAACAAGAGACGACTGACTGTTGTTCCAGGTATTGTTGTCCACCAACGTCGGCCTGTCCGCGAACCCGGCGATCTGGTAGCCATAATCCCACCAGCTCATAACGACCGCATCCTCGGGCGTGTTCTGCCTCAGCCAGTAGTACGCCTCGCGGAAATCGTCGATGATGTTCTGGCTCCCGTCCGGATTGTGGGATGCGAGCACGACGGACGGGGACGAGTACGCGGTCGAGGTCACGTATGTGCAGTGCAGCACGAAGAACCAGAGCATGCACAGCGCGTTGAACACCACGATCAGCCGCGTGTCGATCCCGAACACGCCGCGTGCTTTGGGCTTCTTCGCGGCCGTGACGGCCGTGGCAGCAGACTGCGCGACGCCGGTAACGAGGCTGCCAACGACGCCCGGCGCCTCTTTGCTCGCGGACGCCTCGGGGGCGGCTTCCGGCTCCGTCGGGTCCAGGTAGGTGTCCAGCAAATGCGAGAAAGCGACGGCGGCGGCAACGCAGACGCAGGGAGTGAGCGTCAGCATGAGCCGGACCATGACGCCCGCAAAGTAGCTGCCCATGAGCGCATACACGATGACGAAGATGTGCTCGTCGCGCAACTCGCGGAAGCAGAGGACGACGCCGGCCGGGAAAAGGAAGACGAGGAACTGGAGGTCCATGAAGAACGAGGGCCAGGCCGTCGGCTGGTGCTCGGAAACGGAGGCGATGATGGGGATGTATCTGCAAAAACGCCATCAGCATCAAGCTCACCGCAACACGGCCACACCGCTCACTTTTTAGCGTAGCCGGTGTCCCACAGGGAGTAGAAACGGCCCGTCCACGGTGCGATCCATCCCTTGTAGGTCAGGCCGACAATAGCGAACGTCCCGAGTATGCCCGCGGCAATGACCGAACCCAGAAGCAGGTTTTGGAACTGTTTTGATGACAGGTGGGAGCGCACGAGCTGTGCGAATGCGATGATTTGGAGTAGACCAAAGACACCTGCGAACGGCGGTCACTGCTTGTGACCTCACAGCAGAAACAGTGACCACTCACCAAGGGCAGCCATATGTTCGCTTGTGCGCACAGGTTGGAAGCCGACGAAGGGTACCTGCATGCTGGCAAGAGTACCAATGGCATACCACGACGAGTATGCGACATATAGGCGACTTGTGAAGCGGCCCATGAGGATGAGGATAAGCGCATGCAAAGGGATCATGTTCGTGATGAAAGCATAACCACCTAAGCAAGGGTCCAGATCAGCCTCAGCCGGTGTGAGCTCCCGGTGCGTATAGTAACGTACCCCAAGCGGCGACCATGTAGAAGTAGAAGATGGCAGCGCCAGTTCCATAGAGCGCGCTGCCTAGCTTCAATGCCTTGATCCAGAGGTAGAAGGTGAACATGAGGATAAAAATGGCGATCGCCTCGTTGTCGTAGGAACCTGCGACTGAACGGGAGATGTAACCCGGCACGATGCCAATGAAGGCAGCTGCGAGGAGGCCGGCGCTCTCATCCTTCAGTTCCTTGGTGAACCTGTGACGATTTCAGCATAGTTGACGGCATAGGACGGAGAACTAACATGTAGGTAGCCCATGCAGTGAACGCGCTAAACCCGGGGGCGAGAAGCACGCAGATGTTGCGAATGTCGACGGGTAGGTTCAGACCGTGAAGAATGTTGTGGATGACGCCGCTCGTGGCCATGAGGCCAGGATAGATGGTTCCGCCAACGACACGGCCGAGTGGGTACCATGCTGTAGGGTCGAACCAGTTCCAGAATTCCTGTGTTCGTAGAGGTTAGTCGGACGACGTGAGCATACTGCAGCTTCAACACTCACATAGAATCCACGGGAAGTCAATACTCGGGTGGCACGGCTAACATGGACGTTATTGTATGTCATCCACAGATGGTACGGAGCATACTAGTTGAACCACGGGTCGCTAAGATGGAATGAGCTTGGATTCAAGATGACATACAATCTGCTCACAATTCATGGATGATACTCTCGAAATTGACGACAGCAAAGAGACGAGACGCAATTGCAGCAGCTGAGATCAGACCTAGCGCGACGATGCGTAGCAAGGACGCGGTATTGGTGACCGTCGCCTGCGAAAGGTCCGAAGGGATCACGTAGGCCTTCGACATGGCCGACGTGTTGGGCGTCCGGCCTCTAAAGTCCTTCAGTTGGGTTGAAGGAGGGGATAACGGTGAGTATTGGAGGTGCTGGCAATACGCTCCCGTCGCAGCGCTCGGCGGACGTGTCAATGTTAGCGACCACGTGACTGTTCTAAAATCGGCACTCCTGCCAGGATACTGTCTGGACACCGCTGCGTAGGGACTTATGAATGTTGTGGCAACACAGATCTCGTACTGAGCGCCCATTGGAGAGAAAAAATATATCTTCTCGGACCGGAATAACAGCTCAAACGATCGACATCGCATGCACTGGAACGAGTTACTTCGAATTATAGGCACAATTACAGGTATGTCAGATTTACAAGCACAACTAGCAGCCACATTCCAACGACGTCGCTAACCAAATCACGAAGCGAGCATCGGTCGGAAAGTGGCGCTATGCTACGTCAATCAATACTCTGGCACGAGGAACGATAGTCTTTCGCGAAGCTTACATCCTACACGATCGTGTCGTGATCTATTTCTTCTTGCCGCCGCTGACGGGCTTCTCTCTGGGCACACCCTTAGCAGGGGCGGTCTTCTCGGCGGGCTTTGTCTCGGCTGCTTTCGCAGCGGGCGGGGAACGCGCAGGGACGGATTCCTTGCCAGCTTTGGGCTATTGGGACGGGATCGACCTCAGCCAGCGCATCGAGAGTAGCATGTACGCTCTGACACACACCTGAGGAGCAGGGACACCGGCCTTCTTGGTACCGACGGGCATATTGAATTGTGAATGGGATTGGGATGGGGTGGTGAAGCGGAAGCGACTGCACTGGGGGTCTCGTACGACCATTCGGCCCCTTTTATACCTCTTTGCTACTCATTGCGTGCAAGGACAGGCGAAGACTTCGAGATAAGGCGCGTTCGTGTCAGTCGGGCAAACAGCGTATGTTGCTCAATACATTGATTTCGGATCTGCGACGGCGAAACCACCGCAGCTAAGCGGTCTCAACGCGTCGCCTTCCGATTCGCCTCGAGACTGCACGTTCGTTCATGTCGACATACCGCATGCATGCTTCTTCGCTGTGGCTCGGGACGAGGTAGCCGTATCGGGTAGCAGAGGCGCGATACGAGATTCATCGGCGCATCAGGGTAGATCTCGTACAGTGTTTCTTTTGAATGAACACATTCCAGTTGCGGAGCAGTGCCTGATCTTCTCAACCGCTAGAGCCAGGAGCAGCTACTGTCATCGACGCCGGCAGGGTCGTGCAGAACCGCGCATAGAGACGTCCAGGGTCCTATGTCGCGTGACCAAGGGCCAAATAGCACAAAGCAGCACAGAGTAGCAACGATCTGCGTGTACTCGACACCGAGATATAACCCTGTTACTGGAGCGCTGATCAATCGTACCCAAAGGCGCGCGACACTCGATCGCCTCGCGTTGATCCGCTCTCTCATCCTGCCACCTCGTGCCACGCTTTTATTGGGACCTGGCAGGAGCACAGGTGATGAAGACATGTTATCAGCTTTCGAACATCTTTGGAATAGTGGAACAAGACACCGACTGCGGATCCCCAACGATGGGGACATCAAACTTCAGATATCACATTTGTCATTCGAGGACAGGTTACGGATGCTTTGCGCTGTCCTCGACGAGTCGGGTGCACATGTGTACCAGCTCATTCTCAAGTCTACCGCTCGTTCAAGGCTGCAGCCCACCGAAATATGCACCAAGCTAGCTCCTCAGTCGATAGAATTGGAGCCCACGGCCATTTCCATCCATGACATGTCCGCGTACGATTCGCCAACCCAATGGCCTATGACGCTCTCCGGATATTCTCGTGTTCTGGAAGACAATGGGGGGTTTGGACGCCTGTGAAGATATCTTGAACGCGACACTCCGCCCTACAATCGAGCATATTCGTTATTTTCCGAGTCTCTCGACTCTCATCATAGGCGAAGATCTCGCGATACAGGGTCGAGCGTTGGAGCATTGATTGGAGCTTGTGGAGAGCCGCAATGTGACCGGTGAAAACACGAAGACTCAGCAGGAAAGCCTGACATGGATAGGGTCGATCACATTCTCCGGTTGGTTGTGTGTTGAACGATATGAAGAGTGCAAGCAGTTGAAAGCACGGGTGCGGGTTGTGGTGGATAATCCCAATGATAGGTGAATGCCGGTGGTAATTGGCAATTTGGCTTCGTGACGACACGCTCAGTGACAAATGGAATATTCTCGGTTGCCAAACGTTTGCCGCTATATCTAGATAATAGCAGTCTATAGGTCACTACATGTGGTGGAGTCCAGCAATACAGGCAGGGGTTGATATAAGTATGTCATCGGGGTCACAACTGGCGCGCAACGGGCTCCGCCTATGGCCACAGTTACGACTGAGGTCGGCGTGCAGATGCTTCGTCCTGATGCAATCGACCAGCAACCAGGCAGGGGTATCATATGTGATAGAGGCGCAGGACGAGTTGTCCTCGGGTTTCCCAGAGCGGTGTACTAGGCCCAGCATGCGTCCACAACTGTCGAAGATAAGAGGTCCAGTCTCCCTTTGCCATGACGGGGCTCCTCAATCGCCAAAACACCAAAAAAGTCTTCACACTACGGAGCCCGTGTGCGGCGAGTCGGATTCGGGATCATGCTGGACCAAACAAGCTGAGTGAGCCGTCATGCCAGAGAGAATCATGATCCCTCACCGAACGGGTATGTCGCATGTTGGTGAGCGGGATTTCGCCAGGTTCCGATGCGATACCGACGTTCGCCGCGTACGGATTATAGTAATCATTGAATGTGTGCCAATCTCGTGGGTCTTGTTCGCTTCGCTTCTCTGAGCGGCGACCAAAGGTGATGGGACCGCCTTCGATCGCCTGAGAGACGTCTGGTAAATCTTGGGGCGGAGAGTAGAAGCCCTTCAGATTCAGGTATAATCTGGGATCGGGGCCATTGATTAGAATGACGTCGCTTTCGTATCCACGGGCATTGACGAGAGTGTGATTACCTCGAAGCAGTTATGGATGTCACTACCTGGCTCACCGCGGCGAATATTTCCTTGCGTGATGGCTGCGCCGTCTACATGCACTTGTGAGCAGAAATCCGCGAGAGCCTGAGTTACGCTCCGTACGAGGAAAATGATGGCGTTGATAAGATTTGCCGTGAAAACCACGAGGAAGTAAGCGACTCCGTCCTACTCGAGCGTGAGTCAAGCACCTTCTTGAAATCAACCCTCTAGATATAACACTCATGCTCACTCGGAGAAATAATCTCATAGCACTAGATGATTGTCAGCGATAGGCGCGGGCGCCACTAAGGGACAATACGTACGGCATAGATGCCCCTCTCCTGAAGTAGAGGCGCAGTCGCCACATCGTCAGAATAAAGATCAGGCTTTCCGTGACGAGCGGTGCGATCCAGTACGCCGAGGTCTTCGTTACCAGAACGCATCCACCTGTCGGCTCGAAGAGAGCTTCTCATCGATCGCAGGTTAGCATCATTAGTACGTGACACTGCACCTGCAAAGTAGACGTACCGAATCCCTGCGACACCACGATGATCTGTAGGATGATCTGACCCGCTAGACAGAGAGAAAGAGCAACCGCAACGAGCCGATTCTGATAGATCGCGTGGACGCGAAGAATCATCAACGCTATCCGATGTTATGTGTGAGCTCGCAGGCAGGGCATACGAAACGAACTGATAGCACACCTTCGCCGATCCCGACAGCTACTGAGGAACCGGCGCCTTGAAACTTGACGAAGTGCGTGCAGCTATCTGGAATCGTGAGCTATCCCGTCGGTGACATTGGCAGGAGAGTAAGTCACTGACACCTATGACATTGCGGAAAGGGTCAATCGCGCGCATCCAGGAAAGGACACAGAAATAACTACCCACCGCGTTGAACCAGGCAGGGTTGAACGATATCACGGCCACCGAGAATATCTCGAACAAGGAATAATATCTGTTCAAGAAGAATAAGATAATAGCGAGACTCCATCGCTTATTCCAGGCTCGATCGACCTGACAGGAGGAGAAATTTCAGCCTGGATTTGCCCCGGAGATACCACCTCAGGTACTACCTCGTCGCTGAGTGTAATCACTGAAAACAGGCCATCGCGGTCATAGCATAAGCACCACTCTGTAGTTGGCAAGACCATATGTCACGCACCATACTCGTAGGCAAATAACGCGATCACGGATATCGTGATCCACTGCTCTAACAGCCTATGCCATACAATAAGATCCGCGAGAAGCGAGTTGATGTTGACACCACATACAAGGCTTCATCAGCCTGTTCTGCAGCCTTGATGGGCACTGATACGGCCATCTCCCACACAGTAGGTATTATGCTGGTTTTAGATAGGCAGTGGTTGCATGAAGCGGTTGAGGGCAAAGCTGAAACTCGGGGTGGTGAGCTCTCAAGTCTTTATATTCGGAAAGGTTTGAATGCTCTTTATGATCGAAACCACATCAGCGAGATGTCCCTATCAATCATACCGTCAACGAAAGTAGGTTTGCTCGTGTCTCGTTACTCTCTCTCGGTCACGGCGCTGATTAAGTACATTCAAGACATCGAGGTGGATGCTTTCTTGGAGATGATTTGGTTCTTCACGGCACTGAACCTCAACGTCGACGAGGCGGAGCTGTAGACTTTGCACTCGACATATCAAAACAGGAGTAGCACGATCATGAGGATTCGATTATGTGGATCAATCTTGCACCCAAATCTGACCCAAATGGCGACTTTCCGAAAAGACGGGAGGTGCTAGATACATATATGGGCCCGTGGGAAGATTGGGCCACTTAATCTGAGATCCTGTCGAGAAGGCATCCCCACTGGTGCAGCTGGCTCATGTGAGTATCCCTGACCCGCAAGAGTACCACTCAACACAAGCTCAACCCCATAGAACATCATCTTCCAGAATGTCGTAGATGCTTGACATGAAGCTGAACAAAAGCGTTGCGGGACAGGGTCAAGGACGAGCCTGGACGAGCTCCAATGAAATAAAAGTCCGCCAGGCACAAGTTTGACGGCGCGGTCCCGACTTTTCGCATCCTCCAGGCACAGCGAGCGGATCGACGGTGGACATATCAGAGACGACCAGCAAGACCCTCGACCCACCTGCGGCTTTGGATACGTTTCGTTCTGCTGTTCTTGACTTGCGCCAGCTCCCTGCAAGTTTCATAGAGTAGAAATGTTCTCCACTCGCCGTACCCTTGCCATCCTGCTCATCCTCGCTTTCGGGCTTGTCGCCGTCCAGGCTTCCCCAAGCGGCACGTTCTCCTCCAACGCGGACCGGCTCAAGCGCGGTCTCCCGCCCGCCAAACCCGCACGTCTGTTCGGCTCGCGCACCGACAGCGAACGGCGCTCCATCCCTTCGACCACGCCTGGCTACACTTACACGAGCCCCATCGCCATCTGGCCGTCGGGTTCCTTACCCTCGCGCAAGCGCGACGGCGTGCCCCTTGGCTACCTCGGGGCCTACGGCGTCACTAACCTCGCGAGCGCGTGGACGTTCACGTATACCGAGCCTGAAATCGCCACGAACGTCGTGCAGTTGCCGCATCCGGGGACCCCCTACAGATTATCCGGAGTTGCCATCCGCTCGGGCTCGCAGGTGACGCTCGGCCCCGGGTACGTTGCTTCATCGAGCCAGCTCCTCAGGGCTTGAGGCTGACAGCTGTCGTGGCGGTTGCAGGAATACCATCTATCTTGAGCTGCAGAATACTCGGGCTTCCAGTACGCGTTTGCTTTACTTCGCTCTGCTCTCTCATCCGTATGTGCTGACCCCTCGTGCGTGCTGTAGCGCCCGCTGGATCTACCACGCCCACCTACGTGTATGACACTTACGCTATTGGCTACGCCCAGACGACAATAGTGAGCACTGACCTTCTGCACGGCATCAATGCAGACGATCCTGATTGTATTCCGCAGTTTAGCGTGGACCCAGCCACCGGTAAGGTCACGGTGAAGTGGGTAAACCCGGATGGCAGCACGCCGACGACGTACCTTGTGAGACTCCCTGCGCCAATCCATTCACTGGATTGCAGTTTGATGATGCGCATCTCGCTTTCTCTCCCCCCAGGCCGTCTCAGGGACTGGCATTTACGTCACCGGCGACGTTTCGGCTTTGCAGTCTCAGCTCGGATCTTCTGCGACGCTGACTCTCGTCGTACGTGCATTGAACGATGCATCCACCCCACCGTGACGAAGCTAATGGGCATCCCCTAGGACATCTACCTATCGGCCTAAGCTGGAAACGGTCCAGGCGCGCCACAAATGCTGTCAACACCTCCATCTGGAATCTAGACTTTGAGTAACCCGCTAATGAATTGCACAACGTGCTCCCATGCACACCACGGTCGTTACCTGATTGGGCAGGATATCTTTCCTTAGACGTGCTTCTAATCTTGGAGTTTGAGCTCGCTGTATCGTAGAACACTGGTAATAACGTGTATGTCCTGTCGTTACTGAATGCATCCACCAGGCTGCGCTTGTAATCCATCGTGAAGAATCTGGCGTCGCAAACCACGTACAACAGAAATAGAGCCCGCGCTGGAATTATCTGAGCTCCATCGAATCGAGGGTAGGCGCGTTCCAGCAGGTCAGCTATTGATGCGTTGATTGAAATGAACGATCGAGTTATCGCGGTGTCGTTGCGAACAAACCTCGCGGCATCTGAGTGTTAAGCGGTGGCGGAGGTAACGCGCAAGCCGCTGTCGTCGTAGGGCTCGAACCCAGTGTAAGTAGTCCTGGAAGACGTCCTGAAAGGCGTGCGCGATATCGTCTCCTTCACTACGTTACCTGAGCTTGTCTCAGGTATCTCCCGGCCCGTAATTAGTAAGCATCGCTAACTGTGACGCGGGCAAGCTGTCTTAGTCAGCGAGGTGCGTTCACACGGTTACTCGGGCTCAAAGAAAGACAGGGGTAAGCTGTAGTTCGATGCTCGCAAGTAAGATACAGGCAGAGGTCGACTGAGCAGTCCTTATGTACGATAGAATTGTCCAACCCTGCGCCCATGCCCTTAGCCCGAGGCAGAGGGTAACGGCGCCCTGATACCCGATTAGGCAGTCGCGCCCCGGGACGGGACGAAGCCGAGACCCGCTCCGTTACATCCGCCCTCCTGGGACGGGCACCGTTCCAACCAATCGGGCATCGTATGCGACCTAAGCGTCGCGGTCTTCCCGAGCGCGTCTCTTCTCCTTACGCTCCTTAATAGCCTCGCGCCGCAGATAGTCGCGCCGCATTGCATCATCGGCCAAACTGGCCAGAGCACGTTGAGCGACGCGCTGAGTGTACTGCTCGTCGTCGAAGTATCCC